GAGAACAAATATTTGGTAGTGAGAGAAAGGAACCTCATTATTTGTTGGAATCTCATCCTGCTTATGATTTGAGATGGAAAGCAGGTGAAAGTAAAGATGAATTTGAAAGAAGACTCAATAAGAAGAGAAAGAATGAAGAAGTTGAAGAATAGTTTATAGATCTAGTTATAGACGTTATAGACTTTACTATCTTGTAATATAAATTTCAAATATTTGTAGTCATATATTGAAGACTGTATATCACTCCTGGAAAGACGTCACACTCGTCTTGTATAATGAACTCTATTCGAGAGAAGTTGTAACCTAAAATCCGACATCTTCGATGACAATCGGCCTCCGGCAACGCGTACCCGAAATTCTGAAATTTGAAAAACTTTGGAACAGAGACCCGCTTTCATTGGTATATTGATTACATATAAATAGTACCAAGGATTCCCTAGTTCTAGAGTCAATTGGGAAGAATTAATCCCCATCGCAGTATTCTTTTCAAGTATTTCGAACAATGACATCAGACGAAGTTTATAATTCAGTCAAAAACCTTCCATATGCCGACCACCTCTTCAAAGCCACACCTAAATTCATTGGTCCAATCAATTTTACTTTGGAAAGTGACTCGAGCCGTACTGCCACCTTGTTCACCGTTTATGATGCCAAAGACGTTCCCATGAATTTAATCCAAGTATTAGAAGATGAGTTCAATCAGGTTGTTGAAGAAGGTTCAAAATATCCCCATCATAAACCACTCCATGCAGATGAGTTCATCAGATATTGGTTCACTCATTGTGTGGGTATCTTGATCGAAGGTGACTATGGGTCCGTAATTGACGTTGGAGAATTATCAATTGAACAATGGCATGACAAATTCTTGGGTACGTTTTTTGTTAAACCAAACTATATCGGAAGATGTTCCCACATCTGCAACGGAGCATTCATTGTCAATCATACCAAACGAAGAATGGGGTTGGGTAAAGAATTGGGAAAGAGATATTTATGGATTGCTTCGAAGTTAGGATATGTTTATTCGGTATTTAAACAGGTATTTGAGACTAATCTTGCTAGTGTGAAATTATGGGATTCTTTGGGGTTTGAACGAATTGGGTATATCAAGAATGCTGCTGTCTTGAAAGGGCATGATAGATTGGTAGGTGTATATATGTTTGGTAAAGATTTGCAATAAATCGAGTATATATAAGCGACATCCATGTCGTCTTTTGCAGCATATGTTGGTATTAGGGTTTCTGTCACAATGTGTGTATGTCATACTTGTCTGGATTTTGTATACTGGGATGAAATATGTTTACAGCTTAATTCAATATGCAGGACACTTAAAATTTTTCTATGTTGTCAGATCAAGGATTCTCTCGATCGGAACTTTGGATGGATTTCTTCTTCTAGGAAGGTAAGGGAGGAGGGCAAGGAATAATCTCTATATTTAGAATTATGTTCTTTATATTTAATTACTATATCATTATTGTTGTTGTATTAGTATTCCATAACACAAACACAACTAAACAAATTCCAACTAAAATACATAGAAATGCACGACATTATTTGATCAGGTGATTTCTGTTGCGTTGTAACCCATGTAGAAACCTCTTATCCTTCCTGTGTCTCTATGCTGAAGATTTGGAAAGCTGGACAAATTGGATCTTATAGACATATGTGATCTGCTTGAATTCAATTGATTGATTATTTGGGGACTTATTTTGTCATTTTGTTTCATTTTTTGCAACAAATGTTACTAAAAAGTGCTGCAAAATTTAATTAATATCCACAAGGGATTCACAAGATTGAAGGAAAGGAAACAAACACATAGCAAGAAGTAGCACGTTCTCTTCTTATATTCAAAAAGTCATGCTGATTATTTCGGAACGATATTGCCACAGGAACAACACGATCTCTATGCGACATGAATTACAAGCAGGTGCTGGCAAACTAGATGATTCCTTAGGAGACGAGCTACGAGATCCAGTCCAACAACAAAAGCAACAACAATATAGGTTACACCAACAACAAATACAATAAACAAGACTAACACAAGAAATACTATTACAAGTATGGTGACGAATACAGAAAATTCACCAAGCCCTGTGATACGAAGAGGTTTCACGGTGGTGTTGACTCTCTTGCCTCTTCTCCTAGTTAATCTTCTAGATTCTCCATGTGCTGCATGCAACTCATTAATTTGAACCACCTCGATTGCAGTTTCAATGAAGCTCTTATCACCAGCATTCTCCATCAAGCATTGAAAGAATACACGTTCATCTACTGTCTCTGCAAAACAGATCCTGTTGTCTGTTCGATGCTTTTGTCTGTTTTGCAAAAACAGAAAAAGTTCTTTCTTGAAATATAAATTATTAACCGATGAATCAAGGTTTGAATCTTAACTATCATTGAAAAGTGAATTACCCGGGATTTGCAAGAACTCGGTTGTGTCTTTATATTAACCGTTGTGAAGCGTATTTTTTATTTTTTATTTCAATAAAAAAATATTTTCATTCTTTAAAGAATTATTTTTTAAGTTAAACTTAAGCGACTATCAGATCCCTTAGGGGTTAACTTACAACTTCGTAAAACTACGGAGGATCACGAGATAATCGTACTACTTGGTAGTTCGAGAAAAAGTCAATACAAATAAATGGCTTTTGTATAGTGGCTGCGTGGAAGGATTAGGACCGGGAAATACAACAGAAAATAAAAGATCTAATTAAAGTTCATTTTGTGTAACAATTGAGACAAGATTTTTCATTCAAAATGTGCTATTTTTAGAATCGTTTGCAGTTTCTAAAAGCACCTCGTGTTCTTTAAACCACAGTAGTTAATTGACAGAAAAGCTTAGCATAGAGCCCACGGAATATTGCATGGGATGAAACAGTGGGGTCATAGCGGATGTAATGTATTTGGAGTAAAATATAGAAGGATGCAGTAAAAGACAGGCGGGCAACAGTAAAACAATGAGAAACAAAGCGGTCTAGACCTTTGTTGCGATTGTTTCCTATCTGTATTGTTTGATTGTTATCCTCTGCATTGTGTTATTGTTCGAAAGTTAAATAACACGGTTTTGTTTCATTTTATTATTACGAATTTATTGACGGTTTAATTAATTCTAACTTTTCCGTTCCTTTCTACAATCTTCTTCTTTCGTTTGGGTTGATATGTTTCCTTTGTATAAAGAGTAGTCAAAAGTCAAGTAGGAGCTGTTATGTTACAACTACTAAAACAAGCATTCAATATGAATAAACTCTATAGAAAACTACTATTGTTGTTATCATTAATAATAATTATAGGATATTACATATTACCCCAAGAATCTCCATTACCTTTATTACTTCCATTAAAATCACCCTTGATCCAACAACCAGATTATGTGATTACTGATATTGATCTAATTAAATGTTATCATAAATGTTCAATACCTCCAAATTATCAACAAATTTATCCAAATATTGATTCTGTTGCTAAAAGTAAAGTAATCAGTTATAATATTATTATCAAATCAGAACCATTAGATCAAGCACAAGAAGTAATAGTTGATGTATCCACAGAACCTATTGATGAATCATATCAACAGATTGCAAACTTCAACAAATATAAATTATATAAAAAATCAATCCCAATATCTGACAACGTTAATGAACCTCCTCAAATAAGATCAATCGAAGTATTATTCGGGAATAATGAATTTCAAGATCCTAGACCACAACACCAGACTATCCATTTACCTGGAGATACCCTCCTCCATCCCATATTATCCCTCAACAAATCACCTTCTACCCTTCCATCACAACAATACAACGAGATTATTCAACACCTGCGAGATAAATACAAAATCATGCAACTCTCCGACCTTCATATCGGTCAAACCGACCGTCAATGTCATAATTCAAAGTGTTTCGCTGATTCCAAAACCATAAACTTCGTCGACGATGCCATCCAGGCTGAAAAACCGGACATGGTTGTCCTAACTGGGGATATATTCGATATTGACAGAACTAGAGATTATAAATCAGTATTAATCAAGGCACTTTCTCCAATTTTAAAACATTCATTACCATTTTTATATATCTTCGGCGATGAATTAAACCGAATTCCCGATGGGCCAGAGAGACAAGAAGTCAAAACTAGTATATTGGAATATTTATCTACTTTGCCTGGATGTCTAAATGACCAAATAGCGGAGAATGGGAAGTTTTTGCCATATATGGATCTAGAAGTCAGGTATAAACTGGAATCGATCTTGATTACTTCTTTAGATTCTGAGAATTTGAATGATGGTCATATGAGCCATATATATAGAAAAGCGCGTATGGATGATGATGATGATAATGATAGTAAGAAACAATATGATTATAAATTGTTATTCTTCCATCATCCGTTAGGTGAATTTCGTCCAGTGGGGAAATTTAAACTTGTGGGGAGTTATAATGAAAAACATCCATTAGGAACTGCGACTGGGATGGTTCGGGATATGATAAATTGTGGATATGCTGCGGTTGGAGTGGGACATGAACATGAGAATGATGCTTGTATATTATATCCCGAGGATGATGGGAAGGAAGAAAGAGAGAATAAAAAGTCACAGAAGAAGAAAAAGGCGAAAAAGATTTGGTTGTGTTATTCTGGGGTTACGGGTGATTCTGGTATAACTAAACTAAATAGAGATTATGATAGACGGATGAGAATGTTTGAAGTTGATTTTGAGTTGAAGAGAATATTGAGTTGGAAGAGAACTGAAAGTGATCGAAAAGCTTTTGATTATCAACAAGTATATCCATTGTAGAAGGTATGAATTATTTATTGTGATGGACAACCAAATTAAGATAAATTTGGAATTTGACTTTGTCGTAAGATCATGTTTCTTATATGTAATGTATATATTCACTTTAATTGTAAAATAAACTGTATGTCTTTTAAATTGAACTTTCCATAATATGGTAAACCAACCATGATTCGCGCTACCAAAAATTGCATACAATTCCAAATTCTCACCTAAAGAAAAAAAAATTAAATTCAAGTTCATCTCATCTCATCAAACAACGAATACTCCAACCTAAGACCAAACACCACATATACAATAAGTAACAGCAACAATGGGAAAAGCTAAAAAGACAAGAAAGTTCGCAGCAGTGAAACGTACGATCAGCAAAAAGGACCCCCGAATGTCCAAACCATCCACCAACCCCAACTCCACCTCCTCAAAAGAAGATCCAGAACTCACCCGTTCAGTACCCCAAGTCTCTTCAGCCTTATTCTTCAAATATAACGAAGCCATCAAACCACCATATCAGGTCCTCATCGATACAAATTTCATTAATTTCAGTATCCAGAAGAAAATCGACATTATTCGAGGATTAATGGATGTCTTAATGGCAAAAGCAATCCCAATAATCACGGATTGTGTAATGGCCGAACTCGAAAAGTTGGGTCCTAAATATAGAATCGCACTAAAATTAGCCAAAGACCCTAGAATACAAAGGTTGAAATGTACACATGCGGGTGTTTACGCCGATGATTGTTTGGTGAATAGGGTGGTGCAACATAAGTGTTATATCGTGGCTACTAATGATGCGGATTTGAAGAGGAGGATAAGAAAGGTGCCGGGGATCCCGTTGGTTAGTGTAGGTGGACATGCATATGTTATTGAAAGATTACCTGATGTGTTCTAGCGAGTGAGAGAAAGAGTGTGTATATTAGTTATATATAGAAATTTAATAAGAGATTTTGAAATTCCGAGTTATGAATCTATTTATGATGACTTAAAGGTTTAATGAAGTCTTATATGTGGATTTAGGTGATCTGTAAATGCCTTAGATTGATTTTATGTAAGAGCCTATTAATGTGCTCACTTAGTTGTCCCTAACAAATATTTTTTTTGCACCCATCCAATTTCACCAACACCACAAACATAAACCACCTCTTTCCATGCCACTAACAAATGTCAATAAGATCAAATCCTCCAATCCATTACGTCACTGCGTTCAACCAAGAGAACCTTCCATCCTCTATCTCCTTCAAGCCAAGAAAAACATTCGACACAATCTTCTCCAAAGTAAGAAATGCCCCAAATTATCTCTTCACCAAACACCATCCAATCTCAAAAACCCTCCCACCGTCTACGGTATTCACCACCACAACCAAAACTTCTTCATCCACACGAGCACCAGAATCATCCATACACGAACAACTACATGTTGGGATTCTTGAAACCTTAGACGAATTGAAACAATTATTAGATCTTAAGCCATTCAATGTGCCCCCGAACCACGAAAGCGTAATTGGAGATGAATATGACGATGACGACAAGGAGTACAATTTAAGAAGGGAGCATTATTGTTTATTAATACGATATAATCAATTACTCGAATCTATAGTCTCCAAGAATAATGAGATCAACTTAACGAGATTCAAACTGAGGTGTTTGATAAATGAGCTTGAGCAGGCGATGACAATGATTGGTTGTGAGATGCAGCCTATTCTGATTGAAGGGAGGCTGCATGGGGTGCGGATAGCTACGTATGGTGCTGTTGAGGGATATGGGAATGGAAATGGGATTGAGGTGGGGGAAAAGGGTACAGATTGGGACAGTCGGGAGGAGGAGATTTCGAGGAAGTTGCAGTTTTTGTTTAGTCCGACTGAGGAATTCGATACGACTTGTGAATCAGGAGAGACTTGAGAAGCATTTAATTTCTAAATTTAGTTTGCAGTGAAAAGTATGACTTTTGCTTATGACTTTTGCTTCAGCAATTATATATATATTGACAAATTGTAGAGATAGCTTTNAAAGTATGACTTTTGCTTCAGCAATTATATATATATTGACAAATTGTAGAGATAGCTTTTGAACAGAATCACTTCAATGATTCAATTCTTCTTTATCAAACCTGGCAAGCACCGAAGCTGAGTCGTAAGATGACACGGTGTGTACTGATTTTCTCTTCTAATTCCATATTGCAATACTTTCCCAAAAAAAAAAAAGAAACTTCCTGTAAAATCTTGCAACTTCTCTTTTTTCGCAACCATTTCTTTCCTAAATATTCACACCTGTCACACTACTGCAGACTTTTAACCCAACAACTCAGTCGATGCATACCAAAGCTTCTAGGAAACCTAGGCAATAATACCATATATATCTCAACCTCTAAATCTATTCCCAATATCAAATACCAATAGCATCCCAAGCCGCGTTTTATCAATCATATCTAAATATTCACCACCAGTAGTAGTGTTGTCACCACCTGGATCACCATATCAATCAAAAATCCACAATGGAATGGATCCAAAAACAACTCAGAAAACTAGTAGTTATCGACCACATCATCTCCAATCAACAATCAGAACCCCTCTCAATCCCACCTACTGATCCTCATAACCCTACTTCATCGACATATCCCCCTTTTGATGAGGATGAATTTCGATTAGGATTGAGATTGTTGAGTAGTGGTGTCGTAGGTGGGACTTCGACATTGTTTAGGATTTGTGAATTGGAGTTTTCACACAGAGGGACGATTTTGAATGTGAGTAGCAGGACTAATACTACGACAACGACAACGACAGTTGAAGGGGATGGGGGATATGCGAGGGAAAAGGATAGTGAACTTGAAACTATGGAAGAAAAGGAATCGGTTTATGAGAGTGAAGACGGAGAATATGACGTGGAGGAAGGAGCTGAGGACATGGTGGCTGACGAGGAGATGATTGTTGAAAAAGGGAACAGAAATCACCAGCAGTGGCAAGAAACACCATATTTCCAGACCTACGATCCTAATAAATGGCCATCTGTTTCCAATCACTTATCCGAACTGGCATTTGGACAAGTTGGAAGAACCACCCCACAGAATGAAGAAAATGAAGAATTTTATCTAGATGTAATATCCGATGACGACGGTCTTGGTTCAGAAGATGCAAGCATTTCAGGATTTGCATTATGGAGATTAGCCCCACCTCCTCCTTATACCAATATTGGCCCTGAGAAGAGGGTGGTTGTTAGATATCCCGATTTTCCCATTTCCGGAAGTCTGAATGTGTCGTATGATAATATTTGTTATGAAGAGGAAGATGGATATGAAGACATTGGATATCCGAGTGCCTCTAGTTTTGAGAACCGCAACAATACCAATCCTCACGAAAGCAAGCCAGTTGGGAAAACTAGCCGGGGTAGAAGTATTTGGATGCTTCAACGAAGAAGAAAGACTCAGAGGAAGAATTGGACAAGAACAAAAGATAATTGGGTAATATATCTTAAAGGGAGATTATGTGAGGTGTATCTGAATTGGAAAACTAGGGTGAAGGAAAAGAGTGGGAGTGAGGTTAATTTGTTGAATGATTATGATATTGGATCAGTGAGGAGCGTTGTTAGTGATGCCGATAGCTGGTCTCGGAAGAGTTCTCTTAAGCTGTTTTTTGTGAGGGAGGGAGTTCAAGAAGGGTCTTCATCAGATGGCCTTGGCAAGAAGTGTGAGATGGAAGAAGGCGAGAATTTGATAGGGGAAGACGAGGGGAACGAAGAGTCTCTTGAAGAGGAGGTCAAACAAGAAGTTGAGGAAGTAGCAAAGAAGGAAAATGAGGACGATTTCGTTGTAATTCATAGTGATTATGAGGAGATGATCCAATTAGAGAGTGATGTTAGCGGAGCTATACTTTATATAATTGGTCAATATGCCCAAGGAGATGGAGAAGCATCAACAGCTCAGAAACACGAAGAAAATCATTCATTAGAGGACAATCGAGAGGAACTTGAGGAGTTTGCATCAGTTGAAGAATCATTGCAAGAAGGAGCACTAGATGCGTCTGAAGAAAAAGTGCACGAGCCCAAGGCAGGGATGACGATGGTAACAAACCAGTGTGAGGTTAATTGTGAAGAAGAAGAAGTAACTGATGTTGAAGATGATACTAATAGTAGTATTAGCCTTGGCAGTATTTATTCATTTCCTTATGAAATTATTACTTATACTTAGAAATTTTTCTTATCTTTGATTGTTAATTAGAACTTTTTTTGAGTTTTATTAATAATTGGCTGGACTACAAAGATAAGAAATTTTTAACATATGCAAAATTTATTAAAATCTGATGATCTTTCTTAATTAAATTAATTAATTATGATTTCTGTATATAGCAGTACATTATACTATGGTTAATTACAACTTTATATCTGGAAGGTTTATGTGTAGGGTTTCCTTGAAGTAATGGCATGTAGAGGGTATTGGTATTGCCCTAGTACAATATCAACATGGATTACGTAATCCAATATCTGAGGACTAACGGAAATTAATTTATTACAAAAACAAAAAATATTCATTCACCACAATTTCAAAATTTTTTCTTTGAAATTTCTTTTGTCTTTTATTAATAAATTAAAGAGTAATTTCCGCCGCCTCCACAACTTTTTTCAATTTTTAATTTTATATCAAATCGTCTTTCTCTCTCTTTCTTGCCTACTTTACTATTTATACTTGTAGTTTCTTCTTTTGCTGCTACGATATACCTAATTATACAATATCTACTAAATCACACAGGTAGACAATATAGATAAGATACATATATTTATACATCCAGAACCCAAGGCATCCCCCCACCCAACATCCACGGATTTTAACTACCGAACTAGAGAACCACGGAAACCACATCTATAACGACACCCACGATGACATATTCCACCGGCAGAGGAGGTGCTGGTAATATCCATTCTTCCATGAATATCACTTCTGACAACAACTACATATCACCATCAAAATCAGCTTCTCAAACGCCAACGCAGAATACTAAATCAAATTCTCCAGAATTATCCAAGACAATATCAAACAACAAACGAGTCTATTACTCTACAGGACGAGGAGGTGCAGGTAACATCCAGTCCTCAGATCAAATACCTTCTCCAAAATTAGTACCCATGGGTTCAAATACCCCACAGTTGACTACTAATAAAATAACTACTGGTAGAGGAGGATATGGGAATATGGTTGATAATGATAGTCCTCAATTAAGTAGAAAATTACAAGATGTTGATGGTCCTCCATTGGAAAATGATTTAAAAGCAATCGCATCAAATAAATCATTTCTGGTTGGTAGAGGTGGATTTGGAAATGTGATTTCTAATTCAAGAAGTAATGCCAGTAGTGGTGATGCTAATGCAAATGCAAATGCTGGACCTGGACCTGTTACTAGTGCAGGAAGTGATGTGCCTAATTTATATACCATTTCTTCTCGTGGTGATCAAAAGGATAAGAAGAAACCAGGGTTTTTATCTAAAATTAAAGAAATCTTTGGTCAATAATAATATACCCCAGAGTATATACCTCCTACAAAGATCTATACACATATATACATAATATGGAAAGTTTTATAGTTTAATTTAATGTGATTTATTTGTTTTCTATTGAGATAATAAGAAATCTCTTACCTTATCTAAAGCTCTATATCTATGACTAATAGTATTCTTAACACTCTTATCCATTTCAGCATAAGTCTCCTTAAACCCCTTTGGTTCAAATAGAGAATCCCATCCGAAATTAGTTGGACCCCTACTTCTAACAATATTCCCCTCAGTGATACCCTGAAACAACTTCACTTCTTCACCTGGTCCAGCACAATATCCAAAAGTACAAATTGCCTTGGCCGATTTATCTTCAAACCCAGTCAACATATTCACTAATCCATCTAAGCCCAAACTAGCGAGGAACCATTTGATATATGGACCAGGAAGGTTATTGAAGGCAGTGAACCCTAAACAAGTGTCTTCGACTAAGACTGGACCTTGTATGATTTCGGCAGCCGCACGGGCTTTGTGGATGGTGACATCTTCTATTGTGCCTTGGATTTCGTCGAGGTCTAAGGCATGGTTTGTGATTGTGAATTTTCCTACTTGCGATGGGGATGGGGCTCCGGCAGTGGAGGAAGCTGGGGTGCCGGAGAGGATGGCGATTACTTCTTTGAGTTTGTTGGCGTTACCGGTAACGAATGTAATTGTTGACATTGTGTTTATGCGATTTATATTGGGAGTTTAGTTAATTGTATTACGAAGATGAAGAGGAGATGGAGATCAATTTATAGATTGGAATTTTTCACTTGGGGATTGAAAAACTCTATGATTTCTGACTCATTGAGAAATTTCATAGGTGCATTAAAGATGAACAATAGGAACGGCTACAAATTACTTCTGTTTCTTTAAATATCATTGTGTTTATTATAAAGTTTTATGTACAAATTACTACTACTTCTTGTATAGTTATCCACGGAAGTAGAACCTCCATTACAATGTCCTTTTCATATGAAAAAAATGCAATCTCCATTGGGATATCTTCAAACCACTCACATCGAATTAGAAAACAACATACAATATTCGTATGTGCTTACAACTTACCCAATCTCTTCATTAAGGATCTTTGAGCTCTTCTTCTCTTTCTCAACTTATGTTTCTTCATCTTCAATCTTCTTTTTCTCAATACTGAATCAGCCCAAATTTGTTCCACATTCAAACTATCCACAAATTCTTGTATTTCCTTCAACACAGCTGGAGATGGTGTGAATTTTACTTGTACTGGTTGTGAGACAGGTACTGGTGCTGTCACTCCCAGTGGGGAAGTGGTCATGCTTGGTGGTTTCATGAATTGGAAAGAGATGGGTGTGCGTACCATTGTGGCATATCTTGTAGCGGTTAAAATTGGGGAGACAGTCAATCTTGAGCCGATGGTTGCTTTGGAGGTTATGCTACCTCCCATTTGTGTTGGGAGTCTCAATAAGGATCTGAACATTTCGATATAGTTGAACTCTGTTGAAGGAGTGGTGACGGTTGGGTATTCTTTCGGTGCTGAAGAAATTTTTTTATTGATTCAATTGGTAGCATTTTATATGCAGGAAATTAGACATTTCGATCCATAGTGAGATTGCAAAAGTTTTGAGCTCATTTATTACCATAGGTAGAGAATGGTCAAATACCAATGTGAGCGTTCTTGAATGTAAATATGATATCTGAAGGTTCATGAACGTATGAGTTTGTCAAAAAAAAATGTCGTTTCTTTACTACAAAGCCCGATGTCAGTTTTTATATAACACTTTAACACTACAAATTTATAAAGTAATGGCAATATTCATAACAATATCATCAGATGCATCAACGGTAAACCCATCTACACCACTAATATAATTCGAAGTACTGACTTTTCCCAACATATCACTCCTCCATCTAGTCACATCATATTTCAATCCATAAGTACTCAAAACAACTTCATTATTCCCAAGTGGTAATAATCCACACGCAGGTATATCCCCATCACCGCCTCTTGCCTTATGAAACACTTCCCGGGAATCAAATTTGATATAATTGAGTCCACGATGAATGAGAAAAATCACATCTTTACGTGTGATGTATAATAAGTCCAAATTTGGACATGTTCGAGCAAGGATATATAATTGACTAATTGAATGAATGGTTTGGTCAAATCGACCACCAATACCGTTCATAACAAATATCTTAACTTTAACAGCTTCACCTTTATTCTTCTCGAGTAATTCGTCCCAAAGGACACTTAAACCATCGTCATCATTCACATCATCGGGAATTGATTTCTGTTCCTGTCCTAAAGCATAATGAAGCTGGATGGTGACAATTGCCTTGTCGAAATCATTCGAGAATTGAGACAGTTGTAATATGACTCTAGACCCTTGTGAAGAATAATAATCAGATACATCCGGACGAATTGAATCCAAATCTCCGACAATATATTGTGGGATATATTTCGATCTAGGAAGGGAGTCGTAGTCGTTAAAATAGTCAAATAGACGGTTTGCACCTCCATCGGCGCAGACTATTAGTTCACATTTATGCCAGATGTTTATAATGTCGACATCGATTTTTTGATTTAGGATTATGAGAGCTTGGTTTTGGGTGGAGAAATTGGAGTCGGTAGTTGGGAGGAGGAAGTTAAATGGTTCAATTGTGCGGGTAGGTGATGGTGGCGGTCTGACTGTGAGCGCATCTGGTTGGACTGTGACCTCTTCTTTAAGTTGTGCCTGTTTTGATGACATCTTCTATAATGGTACCTTACTCTATATTGGAGATTGATAAAATTTACAGTGAAGAAAAAAAAAGAGTGAAGCAATTTAACAAAGCAAATTTCATTTTCGTAATTTCATATTTACCAACAATCTAGTTTGGTTGCCATCGATAAATAACTATGAGCATATCCTCGAGTCAGTCTGGTACTGCACCACCACTGAGTGCAACAAATCAACAGGAGACGACAGCTCCACCACAATCAGCACCCTCCTCTCAGCCACCTCAACAACAACAACAACAACCCCAACAACAACAATCAACAGATTCACAACCAGAAACCAAGAAAGAAAACGTCGTTCCAAGGGATGTCCGTCTTCTTCACTTAATCTTCGCTACGCAAGGTATCCAAAACTATCAAGAACATGTTCCACTCCAACTAATGGATTTCGCTCATCGTTATACCAAATCAGTCCTTCGTGATGCATTAGTCTATAATGATCATGCAAAACCGGTAAATGCTAATACTAATCTTAATTCAAACTACAATACCACCGTGAATACCGATGATATAAGATTGGCGATTGCCGCTAGGAGTAATTATCAATTTAAGCCTACTGCTCCTAAGGCATTATTATTGGAATTGGCGCAAGAAAGGAATTCAAGACCTTTGCCGGCAGTTATTCCTCGTTGGGGGTTGAATTTGCCCCCGGAAAAGTATTGCTTGACTGCTAAGGATTGGGATAATATTGATGATGAACCTAGAGATGGAGATGAAGAAGGTAGTGGTGGTTCTGGGAAGAGTAAAAAAATAAGAACAAGGTAGCTTTGAATACTTTGTCAGCTTTGTATTTCTATTGGGTTAACATTTCTGTAGTAATATTATATTATGTATATTAGATTAAATGAGCTTTAAGCTGTCAGTTATTCCCGCTTTAGTACTAAATATTGTTAGGAGCTATTGTAGTCAAAGTTGCCCCATGGCCGACTTCATATTCGATTACGTAATCCATAATAATTTAATTTTTGTTGAATTTTTGTTGGTTACGTAACTTAAAAAAATTCACATTCAAGTTTTTTACAACCAACACGAACAACTACAGGAAGTCAGCAGTCAATCAATCAATTAATACGAACAACAATGCTACCACCATCAATAGCATCAATTCCTGAAGTGAAAGAGGAATATCCAGGTGCATCGCTTATAGAACGTACTGCACGTCTTATTCAAATCACTGATTTAGGTCCTGCTGATTTGTGTAACATTCATAAACTGTCAGTCACCAGTAGCAAAAAAGAACATGAAATCGGAACATTCTTATATTTCACAGGGGTAGATACTTCCAATACAGCTTCAATTGCTGCTCATTTACAATCATTGGCCAATTTAATGACCGCAAAACTGCAATATTGGTTTGGTGAAAAGAAACATTGGAAAGTCCCTGAATTGACTTATTGTAGTTATAATGCTTTCTCAAGGGTTGATATGCGTGTTACTGTACATATTCCTGGGAGATTGGATGTTCTGGTTGTGAATTATGATGGGAAATTGATTCATGATAAATTGGAACTGGAGGAAGAATGGGATAGATTATGGCAAGAAACATTTGTTTCATCGATTGTTAGACTGGTTTTAGAGAATGATAATGATGAAGATGTTAACAAAGCGGGTGGAATAGTTGAGGTGCGAAAGATAAATCCATTTAATAATGGGATTGTATCTAAAGAATTATTAAATTCATTCTTGAATGGGTTTGAGCAATTGTTCTTCCAAGGTCCAAAATTAGGATGTGGTGTTGAAATTCCTCAACCAACTTTGATCTGTAATTATTTGGTAGATGGTTTTATGAAGGTGATCCAATTGACTCAAACTTATGATCGTGCTTTAGAAATCTTGCGTAATTTACAAAAAGAAGAACCTAGTGTGATATCGTTAATTGCTCAAGTATTGTTATTAAAACAAGATGAAGTTGGCGCAGTCAAAGTGATGAATCAAGGAATTCTTGATAACAAGAGAGATTCAAATTTATTAATTTTACAAACTGAATATTGTCTTGAAAAAAAGAAACCTGAATTGGCTCTTGAATTGGCAAAACAAGCAGTTAAATCTTCTCCATCAGATTTTAAGACTTGGGCTATCTTAGTCAAAGTTTATACTAGATTAGGTGATTTTGAAAATGCTTTATTGACATTAAATTCATGTCCAATGAATTCACATAAAGAAAAATATCAATTAAGAAGAATTGTTTCATTAAAGAGTAATAATGATTTACATTTACCTTCACCAGTTGATGTTACTTTAGATGAAGTTTCGAATTTACAAAGCAATGAAATCAGCGAGGAACAAAAAAGTTTAGATCCTCAATTATTAAACCTACCAGCTGCTAATTTAAAATCCACTTTTGCTAAAGCATATGATTTATTAACTGAAATTGTGGTTAAGACGGGTTGGGAATCACTTTTGAAATATAGAGCCAAGGTATTTGTCATGGAAGAAGAATATCGTAAGGATAGAAATGCAAGTAATGGATCTTTCATGCGTAAAAACTCCAGTGTTTCTAATGTAACTGACACATTGAAACCACAAGATAGTGTCGATACCGCTAATAATAACCTCAACACCAATGGTGAAGATGCTTCTTCTACTATGGCAATTAAGTCACCACACAGAGGTGCATTTACCGACAACGAGACCGAAACTGAAGCTGAGCCATCAGCTATAGCCACAGCTACAGAAACTGAAGCAGCAGATGACGACTTCAAGAAGAAGAGATTGTGTGAAAGGTGGTTAGACAATTTGTTTATGTTATTATATGAAGATTTAAGAGTTTATACCGTATGGCAAGCTGAATCCTTACATTTCCAAGCTCAGCAAATGGATTACAAGAAAACCACATTAGAATGGGAAATCTTGGGATCAATTGCATACCGATTAAAACATTTCAAAGAAGGATCAGTTGCATTTGCCAATGCATTAAGTGGAAGATTCTCGGCCAAATCACAACGAGAGATGTTGAGATATTATGTAATGGAAAAGAATAAACTCTTAACCAAAAACACTAGTTCTACATCATCCAATGGTGGTGCCATTCATAATTATACCAAAACCATGAATCAATTAAATGAAAAGATTTTGGAAAGTATTATTAAATTGTTGGTTTGGAATCATAGATGGTATTCTGATTTTTCGCCATATTTGTTATTATCGCTTTCTGATTTAATCGCTTGGGAAGGTTCAATTAAGATCCAATCTTCAGTGAGGGCTTTACATTCCGAAAATCCATTATTACCTGCCAAACATGCCAATTCTTCACAAGAGCATTTTGGAAATCATGGAATAATTGATATGATGAACGATTTGGACTTTGATTATATTAAGTTGTACAAGCTTAGTAATGCTGATGAGTAAGTAAAGCGAGGTATTAATTTACAGTCTATAGATAAAAATTGTTTTTAAAGGTTGTTCTTATGTTTTTATAATTAGTTTAATAAGATCTTTATTTTTTGCGGATCTTAAATTCCGATCTCACGTGCCATGATGCCAAATGCATCTCAAAATCCAGGCTTAATTGTATTACCGTCGGCTCCTTCATATGGTAAGCAACTTCTTAATTTTTGTCTTTCAGTCGTAGATAATCGAGATGTGTTAGATTTAAACTCTTTTCAACAATAATTAATAAATTTCTTAATCATAGACAACTTGCAACAATTTGAAACCAATACCGAAGAATTTTTAGCAACCATTATGTCAGTCACAACAGCTCAAGCAAGATTATCAATGATCCAATCCCATGTTAAACTCCGAACTCCGGAGGAATTACAACCAGAGTTCCCACTCTTACCAAAGAGTGAACGAGCCAAGTATAATGGACAGTCATACTATAGAACTAGTCGAAGAAGGACGGATGAAATAGTTGAAACATTGGTGAAGATGTCGGAGCCGAGAAAGGTCGCAGCTGCTAGAAATAAGTACAGATATATACCTCGCGGCATTTCCAAGCTGGTGCATAATACGCCGGTTGGCAAGATGGTTGTCTTTTGCGGGTTTGAAGAAGTGATCGAAGGACTCATTGACGAGGATGTGGGAAATGGGACTAGGATATTATGTCTAAATGGCGATTCAGAAGATACAAAACTTGAGAGTCTAGAGAAGTATGACGTGATTTATAGAAGGTTGACAGGGATCGATGAACATGACTTCACTGACCTGACATATAATATCATAGTTTTGAATGAGTTGGGCACGATGGAGGAGTTGCCCGAAGAAGAATTGTGTATATTCTTGAAAGCCATAAATTCAAATGTAAAGATTATACGACGTGCAAAGGCAGAGGATATTGTTGCCACTACAGTTAGTACTATGGTAGATATCGTTGTCATACTGGACATGAAAGTTTGCATAGTGCCTAATAATTTCGGTTCCGAAAAATCGACTCAAATCCCTTGATCAGTGCAATCCCCGAAATTAAAACTAATTACAATATTTGCATTTCCCATATAATGATATGTATAAACTACGAAATGAATGAGTATCTATTTACACAAATAAGCATTTTTGGTACAAATCCAAACGTTTTTTAATGATTATTTTCACATAGACATAAATAAACAATCCCTCCAACTGGTATCTAATCCTTCTTGGATTCATCTTCTCTTTCTGCGTCGAATCCTTCTTTAGCAAGCTCGCGTAATTCTCTCTTTGATTCTTCCAATCTTTGTTTTCTCGATTGAATAATTGCATCTCTTCTTTCCAATTCCTCGATCCACATTTGTTCTCTTTCTTTTGCCTTTAATCTCATCTTCTCTTCACGGTCAAGCTTTGCCTTTTGGGTTTCTTGCTGCCACATCATCCCACCACCAACTAACGCAACTAAAGTGGCTAATTGGAACCCAATTCTATATCTGAAATATATTTGTGTTTTTACTTTGTCACCTCTTCTTAATGAAAGTGCAGCTAAGGTTACTGCACCGGTGGTAAGTAATGTCCCAACGGGTACAGCAGGGTTCTCCTTACACCTCTTCCACATCTTTTGAAGGAGATCTTCTTCCCTAATTTGAAGGTGTTAGTAAATTCACTATGGATTCTCGGGGTATTGAATTCAAACCCCGGATATTGTAGTAGTCTACACATACTCTTCATCTTGGAAGGAGGCGGATGATGGTAAACCAATATTCATGTTCAGTGTTGTTGATTATAGTGTCAATTGGTTACTCCTTGGGGGTCAGATAATCAAATTGAGCTGTTACTCTTAAGAATTAAAGGAATAAGAAGAAGGAGTAAATTTAAAAGTTAAATTCGGTAGTTCATACCAAGAATTATAAAGTGGTTCCAACAGGGATTGTGCGAAAAAAAATTCAGTCATGTGACGCAATTGCCTAATTGGGAAGGGCCGATTCCAAATTGAAGTATGATTTCTAGAGAATGAAGGATCGAACTAGTAACAATATTACTAGAGAAGTAGATCTTGTTTCTAATCATGTCTATTATATTGAGTTCAATAAGTGTCCTATTTATTCTTCTTGTAAGATAAATTCCTTAAATTCAGCGTATGCCTTGTCTAAATCATCATTGACGATGATTTTATCATGAGCACCAGTTTGGGCATACTCCATTTCAGCGGCAGCAGCTGCAATTCTCTTTTCTAAAGATTCTGAAGTTTCAGTACCTCTACCAGTTAATCTTTCTCTTAAAGTTTCAATAGATGGAGGACTAAGGAATAGATATCTAGCATTTAAATCGGTCTTCTTGACAGATTTAACCCCTTGCATATCAATATCCAAAAGACAAGTTCTGCCTTGTTCAGCAACATCTTTAACTGCCTTAATGGTAGTACCATAATAATTACCTGAGAATTGAGCCCATTCAATAAATTTATTTTCTTCGATTAATTGCTTGAATTCTTCAACAGTAGAGAAATTGTAATCTTTACCGTCAACTTCACCTTCTCTTGGTTTTCTAGTGGTGTTTGAAACGGAGAAACCAAACTTGTTTGGATATTCAGCAAATAATTTATTTAATAAGGTGGATTTACCAGTACCTGATGGGCCCGAAATAACGATTGGTCTTGACATTATAGCAGTAGTTGTATATGAGGATTTGAATAGTCTGTAGTAATAACTTGGTCTAATGAAAGATGACGGAAAAGAACTCTTGAACATAAATAAAAAGGGAAATGAAACGTATTTACGATTTTTTATCGATGAAATAATACACATTCCCTTTGGGCAACGGTCTAATAATTTTTTTTTTTCACTTCCCCATTGTTTCATTTTGAAAAATATTGCGATGGTAGCGCGTTTTACGTGTCTGTATTTTAATTCATTGTTTTCTAAAGTTACTGGATTAATTGAATGCATACAGTTAGATAATACCCACGATCTTCGCTAGCATATTGATTTCATTATCAATTTGGAAATAGAAGCATTTGTTTTTGAGCGTTATTTCCGTGATTTTATCTGAGAGAACTGGCGTCAGAACCAGACACCTTCGATCAGACAAGCGGTGACAAGGAGAATCATATGAGGCTAATATTAATCTTGTGATAATAATTCAAGGTGGATATTGTGAGATAGAGAATGTACAGACTTAGTTTTAAATTCTAAGGAGTAACTGAAAGTAGTCATGTAAATAGACAGTGTTCAAAATGACCACATCAGTGATTTTAAAGTACGTCGTGTACCAAAGTTCAAAATCGTATCCTTTTTTTCACTTTCGTTTCGCACACTCAAAACTCACTCTCCCATCTTCACTCATTTTTTTACAACCAATTCAATTCCATTACCATTCAATCAAACACATCAAAGATATACATTACTAAGAGAAGAAAGATGGCATCCACAAATGAAACATTAACTCGACTCAATCATGCATTGGATACAATGTATACCAATGCAGCACAACAAGAAAAAGTTCAGGCAACTCAATTCTTGGAAGCCTTTCAAAAATCTCAAGAAGCTTGGGAAATTGTTCACATTATCCTTAATGATGACAATCTTACCAATATTCAAATCAAATTATTTGCATCTCAAACCCTTAGATCTAAAATTACCTATGATTTACTTCAATTGCCAGAATCAAATTATGAACAATTAAAAAATTCAATATTGGATATCATTGTCAAATATTCGCTTCCTAATCAAAAGTTAATTCGTACCCAATTATCAGTTGCATTATCTCAATTAGCATTACAATATTTGTCTTGGACAAATGCATTTTCAGAAATTGTTAATAAATTGTCTTCTAATCAAAGTTTATTACCTGTTTTATTGGAATTCTTGAAAATCTTACCTGAAGAATTATCCGATGTTAAAAAGACAAACTTAAGTGATGAAGAATTCAATCAAAGAACTCAAAATTTGATCAGCGATAACGTTGAGCAAGTGTTATTGATATTGAAGAATTTGACTGATTCCAGTCAAGGTGGAGACTCGCTATTAAGCTCTTCTATTCTTGATTGTTTGAATAGTTGGATAAAAGAATGCCCAATTGAGAGTGTATTACAAATTAGTTCGTTAACTGCATTGGTATTCCAAAGTTTATCCAATGACCAAACTTTTGACAAGGCCATCGAATGTCTTTGTACAATCATAAGAGAAACTAGAGATATTGAAAATGATGAATTGATTGATGCATTATACCAACAGATTTTACAATTAAATAAGTTCATGCAAGAACATCCAGATAAATTAGAAGATCCAGAAACCATTGACGGTTTAACTAGATTATATGTTGAATGTGGTGAAGCTTGGCACGTTTTGATTGCTAAGAATCCAAAACATTTCAAACCATTGGTACAAATATTATTACACTCATGTAAATATGAGGATGATTTAGATGTAGTAAAATATACTTTTTACTTTTGGTATTTATTAAAGCAATTATTAACCATGGATAAATTCCAAGAATCAAAAGCTGAATTCCGCGACATTTACGCCGAATTAATCACAATAATTATCAAGCATTTAACATATCCCATAACTGGAAATGATGACGATTTATTCAATGGCGATAAGGAACAAGAAGATAAATTCAAAGAATTCCGATATGAAATGGGAGATGTGTTGAAGGATTGTTGTGCAATTGTTGGTCCAACTATAGGACTTCTGATCCCATTCCAGCAAATTCAAACTTTATTATCCAATGCCTCAACCACTTCATATCAATGGCAACATTTAGAAGCTCCATTATTCTCAATGAGAACTATGGCTAAGGAAATCCCTACTAAGGAAAAAACAATGTTACCTACCATCATGTCATATTTAGTTCAGTTACCAGAACATCCCAAAATCAGATACGCAGCTACATTGGTATTGGGAAGATATACCGAATGGACCGCCAAAAACCCCGAATTTTTAGAACCACAATTGGACTATATCATCAAAGGCTTTGAGCCAGCTTCAACCGCATCTGCTAGTGGTACAAGTACTCCTGTTCCCAGAGGTAGTGTCCCACCTGGGTCAGCTGATAGTAAAGCAAAGAATGACATTGCTATTGCTGCATCAAGAGCATTAATGTATTTCTGTCAAGATTGTTCCGAATTATTGGTCAACTATTTAGAACAATTGTATATGTTGTATGGACAAGTTAAAGATAGATTGGATTTAGAATCCCATTACGAATTGGCTGATGGATTGGCACATGTTATAAGTAAGGTCCCAGAAGAAAATATGTACAAAACTACCGAAATGTTCCTTGCTCCAACATTAGAACTATTACGTAAATTGAGTGAAAGTGGTGCTGGTAATGAAAAACTAATTGCTGATCAAGTTGAAGTCATAACTATTTTTATTCAAGTTTTGAAAAGTCCGGATTTTGAAAAACCATCATATCCAGTTGCTGATTTGTTTATGGATAAAATCTGGCCAGTTGTTTGTCAATTGTTGAATAATTTTGGTTCCACTTTGATTGTGAGTGAAAGAATTCAGAAATTGATTAAAGCGGGTGTTCAATCATTCAGTACATACCTCAACCGCATCTTGCCCGATTTGGCCAATCTTTTGGTTCAAGGATTCAAAACCACTAATTTCGGTTGTTATCTTTGGGTTTCAGGGGTAGTTATTCGAGAATTCGGTGATGAGTATTCCACAGCCGAGGTTAAAGAAGCAGTCTATCAATTTGGCTTACAGCAATGTTTCACCTTTTTCGAAATCTTACAAGGAAAGAATGAAGAGCAATTAAAACAACTTCCTGATGTGATTGAAGATTTCTTCAGAATGATGAATGACTTATTAATGTTTTATCCACATAAATTATTACATAATTTCGAGTTATTGAATTCGACATTAAATTCCGCCCAATTAACTTTATCAATTATCAATGAATTCGAACCAATCATATCCTGTGTCCATTTCTTAATTGATTTGGTTTCTTGGGGATTACCTCATCCTCCAATCTCGTTATTCGAAGACAATCCAGAACCATTAAAACAATCCATGCAACAATTCGTCATGCTCGACAACCATGGAGGAGAATTGTTACGTGTAGTCCTCAATGGAATCATTTTTAGATTTCATAATGATGTTCAACAAGATGCAAATGATTTAATGTTGAAGATTTTAAGAGTTGTTCCTGATACAAATTTACCAGTGACTTGGTTAAGTGAAGTCGTTAATAGTTTACCTAATATCCAGAAAAAGGAAACTGATAGATTGTTGAATACCGTTAGTGTGGCATTACCAAATAAGGATAATAGAAGGGTTAGATCTGCATTGAGAGATTTCGTTAGCTGGTATTCGAGAAAGAATGTGTCTCCAAGATCTGAATTTTAATATGTTTATCGAGTTGCGGGTTGTTGTTATTTATATAGTTTATATACGGTTAATATAAAAGTTCTGTTTTGCGAGTTTTCATTATGTCGACATTCAAATGATCGGATACCTTAAGATTTTGCGTTAATTTTGAGTATCTACCCGTTTGTTCGTCCCAGACTACGTAGAACATGATGGTTGGTGCTATTGGTGAAAGGGCAAAACTTCAACAATGGCGGGTAACATATCTGAAACTTCCAAGAATTGGTAGCGCGTTATGTTGAAGATTAAATCGTCCCTGGGATGAACGTTGTTTTGGTTATTTTTCATTGTTATGTTCCATAGTAATGCAAAAAAATTGATCATTTTGCTTTTAATGAAGGTTCCGAAGAGTTGGGGTAATTCCCTTTTGGATTCCTTTGGTTTCGCCCTGAATGTTAAATAAACCATTGAGGAGACAAGTTACCAACCAATTAATTAAAATTGTTCTGTAATAGATGCAAAAAATAAAAAGTTGGTAGCGCTATGTTCTATTCGTTTGAATAATTCCCTGTTATTAGCTATGTAAGACAATTCTTGTTTCAAAATCCATACTATATATACATGTTTCTAAATGCAAATCAAATCAACCAGTATTGTATACCTTCTAGATAAAACCAAAATATTAGGGTGCCATGTATCACCTTAGAGCATCAACCAAGCAATAATTGTTTATCTATGCTGTTTTCCATAGAATTCAACAGGAACCAAGTACTTCTCTCTTGTCTGAGTGACACTAACAACGTACCCATCAATGATTATTTTTTGCAATAATGGGTAATTTTCTAGGTTTACGTTACGTGGCCTTATAGCCCTGAAGTCATGAGATTTTGGATGTATTCCCCCTGGAAGTCTACTGAAATCTGGTTTCCCGCTTCGAAAGCCTACTTGTTCTATTGATGAGAAGCTTAGTATTTTCAAAGACTTCTTATGATGTGCTAGCAATTTGTCATAGTCTGTGGCCAGTTTGTTGTAATCGTAGCGTATCCAATAGATTTCTTCGAGGCTCGTTTTTAATGCTTCAATAAATTTGTACCAGCTGCTCTCAGTTGTGTTAATTTCAATTTCTAGTGCTTTAAGAGATGTGAAATTCTCAGCCAAAGTGGGCAATTTCTGCAACAGGGGGTTTTCAAAACAACATATCTGCAATCTTTTAACCCGGTGAAGATCGAATCCGGATAAAACATTTTGTACATTTCTAATATTAAAACTTCTTAAATACAATTCATCAACGGCAATTTTGTTTGGTACAGTGAACTCAGGTGGTTCAATGAGCTTGATACTTTTCAACTTAGTGAATTTTGGTAATTCATTTTCTATCCAGGTTCTCTCCGTGTCTTTCACAAGCAAATGAGTTACCAATCTGGTGGGATATACCGCTTCAAGACTGTTACCAAACCAATGGTATTCCGAGACTGATGCTTTTTGATGATTCAATATCCACTTTTTGATTTCCATGTAAGAAATATCTAGGAAACTAATAGAACACTGGTGGGCCTTTCTGGTTATGGTGTTCAACGTGTCCACTAAAACCAACCTATCATTGGCAAAGAGAATATTCTTCATATATTCGGGATAATAATAGGAGCTTTTAATTAACTCTAACAATTTCATGAGTCCAAGTACTGTATACTTCATATAAAACAGAGAGTACAAGCTCTTAGGGACATTGATTCCTTTTCTGGATATGACATCATCATATACGTAGATTGATTTAAATAACTTTACCTTGCAGGCATTTTTGAAGCGTCTATGGGTCAAGGCTAAATGAAACGTATCCATCTGGTTCACATATTCTAAAACAATCGCTAAAATATCGTCTGGAAGTAAAAATATTCCTTTGCTGAAATTGTTAGCTGACTTCAAAGATTCTGATAGTTGATATAGTTCTTGTCTTATTTGGAGTATTTCGTTTCTAATATCCTCTTTAGACCGAATTTCTCTGGAAGGAGTTTCTGGAAGCTGGAGCACGTCAGTTTCCAATAAGTACTCAAATGATGAATCCATGGTTATATTCAAAGTTGTATAGCAATGCTGGAAATTGACTTCAATGAATTTATTAAGATGCCAATTCAACTCATAAAATATATAGTGGGAACTGCGTGATATATACTGTAGAATATTTCATCTAGGTATCAGCTGCTTGTTGGTGATGAGGGTTATTAGGGAGGGATTTTTAACACTACTTGCAGGTCGGCTTATGAGCCCCCTTTGGGCCCTTCTGGAAACGTTAATAAAACAGGATGTGGTATGACAGGACCCAGGACTGTTATTCCCATAATTCAGGTTACATTCTTGGTCCTTCCTTGGCATAGAGTTCACTCTTGTGTTTCAGAATGTACACAAGTTACTTTTAGGTAAGGGCGAGTTTACGCCCAGGTTCTGCCTGTCACGTCTTCATCATACAGTGCTCATCCAGACTTGGATAGATACCTGTATACTTTACACTTATTCGAAACGGAATCAGGAACCATAGAGCAAGAGTCCTTCTATGAATCGTACATAAGAGTTCATCTACGAACGCCACTTAGCTTAGGAATATTTCAGGTTCACCTCCCGTATTGCAACACACAGTCTCTGGGATCCTCTTTGGACTGTGCACAGCTCTTCTCTGCCGTCAAACAAGCTTAAACTTCTCGTTCTATCATATGTAGCTCCTCTCTTAGAGGTTTTACCTCCGGATAAGGTCTCCCTTATAGCGTGGTTGGGTCCTTATTGCACCAATCAAACATGATGGTGTCAAGAAAATTCTATTCGTGCAATCAATAACTGCAGCAGCTTGCTATCAATACTCTAAGTATCAAACAACTTGGTGGGTTTTCAAATGCCCAATGTTTTTTGGGTTTCAAGGCATCAGCAGACACACAGATTTTTGACACATTTTAATTTCGAGATACAATTTTTTTTAATTGCTACCCAAATATTTTACGCTTTCATGTTGCAATTTATAATAATTTTTTTAGCACATTTACTTCATTATTGGAAGATGATGATTGCTATAGAACTCATCTATTCATTATTCAGGAATACATACAATGGTCCCACAGGCTCAAAATTAGATGGCTTTAATTAGGCAACATATTCAATGATTTAGTACGGCATATTTCGCTACTTACTTTTGTTCTTCATTCAATATTACACTTGTATCTTAATTCTATAAATTATGTTTCTCTTATGCCTGGATTACTCTGATACTATAACTTGTAGTAATCTCCCCCCGAGTTTAATGTCTTCATTTTTGCAACACTAAATAGACTTGCAGCAATTGTTTTGAGGTTTGAATCTAAGCGCTACCAGCTCGAGTGGAATGATTTTTATTGGGGAATGTGAAACGTTTCTGCATATTTTCAAAAGGTCATTTCTCCCTGACAGAACATATTGTGGTAATCAATGACACATGCTTGTGTTCCTCAATGGAACGAAGTGACAGAATCTAGGGTTTTGTCTCTGAGGTCAGCTTATTAAACCATTGCCATGGGCGATATGTAAGTCGTAATAATACTAGAATTGGTCGCCAATCATATTCAGACAGTTTTACTGTCGGCTGACTCGTCTGAAAGACCTAGTAGTGAAAATTGTTAATGATTCTTCAGTTATTTCCATTTATTAGTATACAAGACAAATTATAGGGGCCAAGTGGGGTATCGGTATATGTTTCACAAAACAAATTTGTATTTTACTTTACTCTCTCGGCATCTGTTTTTTACTTTCGCAGTTCGTCTAACTTTCTGACATTTTGAAGAGTGGATTTTTCACTACTAACGAAATCATAGGCTCGCGCTTACATATATATACTCATTTGAATCGTTTTCAGTTGTTAGGGATTTGCGAGCTTTCTAAATCAATTCTTTTGTGCATAAGTTACTCAAGCTACTTCAATCAGGTTCTTGAGCCCGAGGGAATGGCAGATCACATTCAAACGTTGAGAGCAAGTGCTACATCTCCCATCCCTTATATTTCCTATAGAAAAGATTTAAAATCGAGCAACTAGTTCAATGATCCTGCTTAGACAGATACGTGGACCCAAATTGATTGGGACCTTCATTTCCCCTGAATGGATTTCTTGGATGATCTATGTAACATTGACAATAAGACTGCACAAAACGCGCTAAAGCTTATCGTAAGATTAAATAATTTCGTCAAACTATTGTTTACAAAACATGAATAAGAGAAGTTAGTTTTTAATCTTTATGAAGATGGGCTGGTCATGTCAAGAGCGAGGCACTCTTTTTGATTCTGAAGACAGCTAGGGGGGTTCGTCTTGGTTCAAAGGGTCGATTTACCTAGATAATGAAAATGGATTAAGAATTAATATTAGTGAACACGTCCTTTTTCTGCTAATTTCGACGTCCATTGCCGCAATCTCGATTCTTAAAATGTAAAACCTGTTTCCCTTTTGGGGCTTGTTCGCACAATTTGGGGATTATTTTTTATGCAGTCTAATAATTTTAGCGAATATTATTTTTTAATTTCATATTCATTTAAACAAAGTGACATAGAAAGCCTATAATTCTGTAAAAGCCACTCCAATACTCTTTGAACTAGTGGTGTATACTCGCTGGACACTTTCAAGCTGAGTAAGCTGAACCTAGAGTAATCTTCTAGAAACTGGTTTCCTACAATCTGACTTTTCGTATAAATATGCCGATAATTTATTTCCATGCAAGTCTAAAAATTTTGTTTCTATGCGACTAAGAAAATTTGTGATTTGCAATCACAAAAGTTTGATTCGTCTATTTTCTAATATAAAAATAAGAGAGATTCCTCGAAATTGATAACTCCTGTTTGAATTCTCTTTCCTTAGATTCTATTCAAGTATCATTTCCAACTCCTAGTCTTTCGTTAATAAATATACAAAAATGCAATTCTCCAAGGTCGCTTTATTAGCTGTTGCAGCTGCTCTCATCAACGCTGAAGAAGTTGTTGAAGAAGTTTTACATACCGAAGTTGTTACCATCACTAGCTGTGAACCTTATGCCACTGAATGTCCAGTTGCTCCAGAGGAACCAGCTCCAGTTGCTCCAGAGGAACCAGCTCCAGTTGCTCCAGAAGAACCAGCTCCAGTTGCTCCAGAAGAACCAGCTCCAGTTGCTCCAGAAGAACCAGCTCCAGTTGCTCCAGAAGAACCAGCTCCGATTGCTCCAGAAGAACCAGCTCCAGTTCCTGAAGAACCACCTGTTACTGTTTTGGCCCCTGTCTTCAACGAAACTATTTACGAAGGTTCTGCTAACAAATTTTCTGCTGGTGCCATTGCTTTAGTTGCTGGTGCTTTATTGGCTTTATAGGTGGTGATATAGCTACATAAATAAATTTATAAATTCTAATATTTTACATCTCTTATGCGATTAGTTTATTCAATAAGTGTCCATTCTTATTTATACTGTAGTTAATAGGGAACCCATCTCTTTAGTTGCAAATAACTTTTCCTATTAATATCGCTCTAGAATCTACAAAATAGTATTATCTTCTAATGGATCTTGTAATATTTGAGGATTTCTCTTTCAATATTTTTTTTCTTGAATCATATGTATTACGATATATGAAAATAAATAATTGTAAAGGTATTATATATGGCTCCTTGACTAAGACCTAGAGGGGGAACCTATATGACTTTAAGCGGTTCAAAAAACCCTGTATGGGCGTACTATCTAATAGAGTATTACATAGCCTGAAACCATTGCCACGTGATATACACGTGATTAATTCTTATGGCTCCGAGCCCAAATATGAGCAAGGGATACTGCTACATCACCAAATGAAACAATTTGGTGTTATCTCTAGTATTCTTGATTAGATTTTATTCTTTGATATTGTAACATTGACAAATGGCAATTAAATAGCTGTCGGATATGGTAGAATATATTCTAAAAGTTTACGATTTGCGTTCATTTTTTTTGCAACCACTGAAATTTTTCGCAACTAATCTACAAACAAATAAATAGAACATGTTATAAGCAAGAAAAACATCAATTAAGTATTTAAATTTATATATCTTATATAGAAAACAAATCAATGATCATAGTAAAATCTTTGAGAACAACTTATTGTTAGAAACAGCAAAATTTTTAATTATCAAATATAAAAAAATAGAGTTTTGGAAGTCAAAAACAAACCAGCAAGCCTTCAACTAATACCATTTACCATTCTTCGCTTGCTTTTCGTCTTCGGAATCACTGTCATCATCAAAATCTTTTCCATTCTTACCCTTGTTAACGTCACCTTTGTTCTTACGACCATTGCTAAACTTTGGAGGTTGTGGAAGATCTTCAAATTCATTATCAAAATCAACATCTGACCATTCTTTTTCGTTTTCATTATCATCGTTTTCGTTTTCTTTTTGCTTCTCCTTTCCATTGGATTGATTATCTTTACCATTACCACCTTTGCTGAACTTTTGCTTCAATTTGGCCAACTTTGGAAATTTAGTCTTAAAACCTTCACCTTGATCTTTGTTGCTGTTGTTGTCTTCTTCCTGGTCCCCTCCTTTTCCGAACTTGGATTTTAAACTGTTGCCACCATCTTTGGTGTTATCTTCTTTGGACTTACCATTGTCCGTTTCTTCATTTTTACCACCACCAAATTTGATGTTTCTCTTTTGAATTACGTTTGCAACTTCAGGGGATGAGAGCTTACCAAAATCATTTCTGTTCTTGTCACCATCCGTATTGGTTCTGTTCTTGTCACCATCCGTATTACTTCTGTTCTTGTCATCATCCAACTTATCTCTGTTCCTGTCACCATCTAAGTTACCTCTGTTCTTGTCAACATCCCGGTCACCACTGTTTTTATCACCCTTGCGATTCTTGTAACCATCTTCATAACCATCTTCATAACCATCTTCATAATCATCGTCATAATCTTTTTCTTTATCTTGATTCTTGTTACCACCCATATTTCCCTTACTAAACTTTTCCTTCAACTTGGCCAACTTTGGGAACTTGGTCTTTGCACCTTGGCCTTGGTCTTTGCCACCTTGGTCCTTGTTGTTGTCCCCCTTTCCTTCCTTATCATTGTTATCGTCACCATCAAGTTTACCATTGTGATGAGTATCATTCTTACCATCGTGTCTGTCGTGGTGGTCTTTATCCTTACCCCCAAGCTTACCATCATGCCTGTTGTGGTGATCATCATTCTTGTCATCATGTTTGTCCTTACCATCATGGTGTCCATCATGTCTGTCATTATGGTCTTTGTCCTTACCATCGTATCTATCATGTTGGTCTTTATCGTTACCATCGTTCTTTCCATCATGTCTATCGTGGTGTTCATCATTTTTATCATCGTGTCTATCATGGTGTTCATCGTGCTTGCCGTGATGGTCTCTGTCTTTATCATCATGTCTGTTATGGTGATCATTATCCTTGCCATCATGTTTGCCGTCAAGCTTACCATCATGACTATTGTGATTGTCTTTGTCCTTACCGTCGTGTCTGTCATGATGGTCTTTGTCCTTTCCATCAAGCTTATCATCATGTTTGCGATCGTGATGATCATCGTGCTTACCATCAGCCCTGTTGTGGTGGTCTTCAGGTTTGTTGACATGGTCATTGTGATTTCCATCATGCTTACCATCGTGATCACGTTTTCCTTCATCAACTTGTTTGCCAGAGAACTTTTGTTTGTCCTTAGATTCTTCTTCTTCTTCTTCACAACCTTCTTCTTCTTCCTTGTTGTTGTTATCCTTATTATTGTTCTTTCCAAACATACCCTTCAAATCTGGTTTCTTGAACTTTCCGCCGAACTTAGACTTCTTAGAATCTTCAGGAACTTCTTCTTCACATTCTTCTTCCTTTGGTAGTTCCTTTGGTTTTTCTTCCTTTGGTAGTTCCTTTGGTTGCTCCTTAGGTTGCTCCTTAGGTTGCTCCTTAGGTTGCTCCTTTGGCTGTTCCTTTGGTTTTTCTTCCTTGGGTTGTTCAACTGGTTGTTCCTTAGATTTCTCTTCTTTCTTTGGTTTTTCTTCCTTCGGTTTTTCTTCCTTTGGTTTTTCTTCCTTAGGTTTTTCTTCCTTTGGTTTTTCTTCCTTTGGTTGTTCTTCCTTTGGTTGTTCCTTTAGCTTGTCATTGTTCTTATTCTTCTTACCCTTACTGAACTTAGCCTTGAGATCCTTCATGCTAAACTTACCCTTGAACTTTCCACCCTTAGACTTCTTTTCTTCTTGTTCCTTCTCCTTTTCTACTTCCTCTTCCTCTTCATCACAGCCTTCCTTATTTTCTTCCTTAGTCTTTTCGGTTTCGTTGTTGTTCTTGTCCTTGTTCTTATTCTTGCTGAACATTCCCTTCAAGTCTGGCTTCTTGAACTTTCCACTAAATTTAGACTTCTTTGATTCAGGATCCTTTTCCTTCTCTTGTTCTTGTTCTTTTTCCTTTGGATTTTCTTCTTCCTCTGGCTGTTCCTTTCCCTTCTTGGTTTCCTCCTCTTCTTCTTCTTCATCCTCATCCTCTTCTTCAACGTTACCCTTATTCTTACTAAACTTAGCCTTCAAACCACCCAAACTAATTTGAGCTTGGAAGTCGACATCTTGTTCAGCAAGGTGTTCAAATGATTCATCAATTTCGGCAAGTGTAGCTTCATCCTCACCATTTCCAGCAAGGTCACGCTTATAATTAAGTGCCTTAGGTTCATAGTGTCCCTTCTTAGGTTTAATGTCCAACTTAGGTTCTTCAATCTTTGGTACACCTTCAAATTTCGGTTCAGGAAATTCTTCCTCCAAATCAATGTCAAGTTCATAATCAGGGGCTGAAGGTGGGATAGGAATTCCCTTCTCATCATACTCCCAATCATCAACATTTTGCTTCTTAAAAATCTTCTTCTTAACCTTCTTCTTAACCTTCTTAATCTTCTTCTTCTTCTTTTTAATCTTCTTCCCTTTCCCCTTCTTCTTCTCAGCAATGATTGAAACACCCTTGGAATAAGTCTTACTGTAGTGCTTAGGTTTGATTTTACCTCCTTGGGCAATAATAGACTTCAAGTTGTCGTCACAGTCAGAATCGCTGCCGTCCATATCTGGAACAACCAACGACCAGACAGTTTGAATGGTCACTAAAGCAATGAGAATCTTTTGTAACTTCATTGTCGGTTACCTATTGTCTTGATGTTAGGAAAAAGGAAGAAAGAAAAGAAGAAGAAGGAAAAGAATGAAAGAAAGTAAAAATTGACAGAAATTGAAATATAAAGAATATTTGATAGGATTATATATCAAGTTGATTTAAGTTTTTCGATATTTTGGATTTTTAGTTTTTGCAACCAAAAAAATTAAAATACACTTAAAGAAAATTTTTACTGTGCACCAAATTTTTAGTTTTTTTGAAATGCCATAGTAAATTATTAAGGAAAGACAAATGCTGGGGAAACTGTTAGACCACATGTATGTATAGGTTCACATACCACTTTGTCACAAAGGGGAAATGTAAATCTTCTCTGCAAGGTAAGCCACAATTGCCTAAGCCTACTTTTTAAGGTAGGCACATTTTTTAGTTGTCGTTTACGTACATAAACTATCATAAAACATTAATTAATAAATGCAGAATCTATAAACAAGTTAAATTAAAAATAATAAACTTAAAACAATCTTGGAATTAACTATCTCGAAGTCATTGTTAAAAAGAAAGAATAGGGCCAAACTCTTAACTTTTATGTAAAATCAAATACAAGTGCAAGAAAACCTCTTAAACTAGACATGACCAGGAACTAATTCATACTCTTGATTCATTGTTCTAGACACACGTGCAGCACCACTTCTCATGTTCAACTTGGACAACCATGTCGAAAACAGAAAACGTTTCTTTCTCTTCACGGAATTAAATTCATCAACCGTCCCATTCTTCAAACTAAACTCGTCAACCGCAAACTTAACCCCACCATCCTCTAAATCACCACTACTTACAATTGTCTTCCTCTCAATCGTAGGCGGTCTCCATCTCTTCAACATCAAAGAACTAAGCACCACACTAAGTGAACTCATCATCATAGCCGCACCAGCCATCACCGGAGACAACATAATCCCAAATGGCAAAAAACAACCCATGGCAAAAGGTAACATACACACATTATAAACCACCGCCCAGACGAAATTAAGTCTAATTCTATTAAATGTAACATTTGATATCCCCAAAGCGTTAATCACACCATGTAAGTCAGTAGTCTTGCCACTATCTCTATTCCCACCACTACCAATCAAGACAATATCTGCACTCTCAATCGCAATATCAGTACCTGAACTCACAGCCATACCTATATCTGCCTTTGCCAATGCTGGAGCATCATTAATCCCATCCCCCACGAATGCAACACCGACGTTTTTATCCCCACCGAGACGGGATTTGATTTCACTAACTATAGTGTCTTTGTGAATGGGACTAACTTCATAAAAGATATTGGATTCTGATATACCGACATCACGACCGATCTTGAAAGCAGCTCCACGATTATCACCGGTGACCATTCCGACTATGTATCCTTGTTGTTTGAGATATTGGACGACTTCACGGGATCCTTGTTTGACGGCATCTGCGAGCTCGAGACATCCAGCATAGTGGCCATTGATGACGACATGGGAGATGGTGTTGATGTTTTGAGGGGTGATGTGGGAGAAGGAGGACGTGGAGGAAATGAGGTCGGGGAAGGTCAGTTGGAGGAGTTTTAAATTCCCAACACAGACATGATATGTTTTCATATTTCGTAATGTGACTTCTGCTTGAATACCTTGTCCTGTCAAGACTTTGATTTCTCCAATTGTGGTATCGAATTGATCTTCATCGAAATGAAGACCTAATTTGGCCTTGGCGGCTTTTGTTAATGCTCTACCTACAGGATGTTCCGAATTACATTCTACCGATCCAACAAGTTCCCACCATTCATTAGAATTAATGTCTTTTTCATTCTCTGGTAATACCTGTTTATACCCTGCCAACACCATTTCTCCAGTAGTCAATGTTCCTGTCTTATCAAATAGAATCACATTCACACCTGTTGTCTTTTCCAAAATATCAGCACCTTTAATCAACACCCCATTGGTAGCGCCTACTCCAGTCCCCACCATGACTGCAGTTGGAGCAGCTAAACCTAAAGCACATGGACATGCCACCACCACCACCGAAATAGCTAAAGTTAAACAAACGAAAAATTTCCCATTTTCATCCTTTTTGAAAATCAGGGGTAAATTGTCAATATGCACGATATTACAAGTTATCAACCAGGCAATGAATGTGAATAAACTAAGTGCTAGCACAACTGGAACGAATCTGGCAGCAATATAATCTGAAAACCGTTGAACTGGGGCTTTATTAACTTGTGATTCCTTGACTAGTGTAATAATTTGTTGAAGTTGGGATTTATGACCAGTACGTGACACTCTAATATGTATCAAGTGGGGTCCATTTAAGGAACCTCCAATGACGGGATCTGAGGGACGTTTGTGGATTGGGAGGGATTCTCCTGTGATTATGGATTCGTCAACTTCGGTTTCACCAAATACGATATGTCCATCCGCGGGGATTTTACCTCCTGGTAAGACAATGGCAATGTCGTTGGGTTGGATTAAGTCGATACTGATTGTTCTTGTTGCAAAATCGTGAATTGTACTATTGGCACTGGCGGGTTTCTTTTCGTTTTGGGATGAGATATGTTGTTGTTTCATGAATTCTTCATATCCGGCTGTATCTTTGACAATTGTACAAATGGAAGGTGTTAATGAAAGTAAACTAGATAATGCAGTTGATGTGGCACCTTTTGCTTTATTTTCCAATAATTTCCCAAATGAAACAAATCCAACAAGCATAACTAAAGTATCAAACAATACCTTGGGAGGTTTATTTGTTTGACCTTTCCAAACACTAAGAATGATAGTTGTGATTGAAAAAATATATGAGATTGAAGTTGAAATACAAACCAAAACATCCATGGTTGCTCCTTTAAATTTATTTCTAACAAATGAATTTGTCTTTTTAAGAAATACTTCACCTAATTTGAATAATACATATGATCCTAATAAAAGTTGAATTAATGTCACTAAAAATAATCCTGGGAAAACCATTAAATTCATCCAAAATTTCTTCTGTTGGGTATGATTAAGTACCATTATCGGTATACCGAATATTAAACATTGTATTACGTTACTTTGCCAATATTTTATATCTTTAGCTTTGGAAAGTAATTTCAATTGTGTTGATGTTGATTGATCTATTGAGTTTATAACAAAAAATCCAATATCATGATCGATATCATTTAATCCATCTACGATATCTCTGATTCCAATTAGGTTTGGGTTATAAGTAATTGATAATTCATCAGACGAATCTGCTTCTGAGGATGGAGAATCTGACAGTTGTGGAGGTGCAATGGGACCCAATACTTGATATCCTGATTCAGTAGTGGCAGATACAATACCTTGTAACATTAAATCAAAGTCTATTATACCAGAACAACTATGCATATATGCTTCTAAATTATATCTTAATGTACTTTGATCAGTATGATTCTGTATACCCAAAATTCTGAGTGTTATTTCTTCATGTTCTTCTTCATCATCACTTGAAGATGCTGTATCTGAAACAGATTTAATTAATTTAGCATCAAACCCACAATCTTCAATAGCTTGTATAATTTCTTGAGGCAGTATAGTTGAATCATGTTTAATTAATCCTTCTTCAGTAACTAATGATACAGAAACATAGTTGACACCTGGTTTATTTTCAAGTTGTTCAGTAATAGAAGCAGAACATGCACCACAAGTCATACCACCAATAGCAATAGATGTTTCCATAGTAGTAGGGGTTGAACTTTCATTATTAGTAATAAGTTTAGTTGCTTCAATCAGAGCATCAAATCCACAATCTTCAATTATTTGTTTTATTTGATCAGGAGTAATTTGAGAAGTATGAGTGATTAAGCCATTTTCTGTTACTAATGAGATGGATGCATTTGTTATACCAATAGTAGATTCTAGTTGTTCTGTTATAGTAGCAGAACAAGCACCACAGGTCATCCCCCCAATAGATACTGATGTTTTGTGCATGGGTGTACTGTTCGCGGGTATTATATTGGTATTATAATCTGTATTTAAGGAATACAGTTTAATCTCTGATTCATCAACTCCCATCTAATATTATTCTCTTAGTAGTAGTTGGTTGAAGTTGATATATTGAAAATATTCTGGCGGAACTTTTGGTGTAAAAAAAATTATTTGATTTATTCCGAAATATCCTTAATACTGATTATTAATTAATTAAGGACCCTAATTTTCCTTTGTTACCGAATTCTTCTTTGTTAGTTAAGAAAAATCAAAAACAAAACGAAAANTTCCTTTGTTACCGAATTCTTCTTTGTTAGTTAAGAAAAATCAAAAACAAAACGAAAATCAATTGAAGAAGAAGAAGGAATTTGAAATATTTAAAAAGGATTGAAGATTTATTTAAATTTAAATATAAAACTAAAGTATTGACAAGTAGAAGATGTTAAGTTAAAATTTTTTTACAGTAGTAACCAATTACCGTAAAGCAAGGCAAAGTGAACAATGGGCAAATTAAAAATAAACTTTTTATCTTTTTCATCTCTTCTGCCATATGCATTTTCTTTCGTAAATAAAAGCAATTTCAAATTTTTCTTTCTTTTCAGTTCCATAAATAAATTTATTAATTACCGAAAATCGGTAATTACGCACGCATATTAAAATTGATTACATCATTTACATCAATTACATTCATGTTACATCTATACCCCATTTCGTAAATACTCTAACTAACAACTAAATAATTGTACCTTCAAGTGACTTATTATTATCTTCACTTACTTCTTTACTACTGCTACTACCACCAGTCTTACCTCTTTTAGATAATCCAGTATTATGATATTTATGTGATAAATGTTTATAAGCTTGTTTAGTATTTAGGATTCTACCCTCATCATCCTTATAACTTAACAGTACCTTTGGATTATATTGTTTAAGCTTATTCTCACTCTTCTTATTTGTATTCTTATTCCCATTGATTCTTCTATCATACAGTCTATTATTGGTATTATTATCAACCACTATACCCTTAGATACTAAACGTTTATCTAATTCCTTACTAAACATAACTTCTCGATCTACTTTCAGTAGTTTCATATATGATTTATCCTTTTCCAATTCATCTCGTAATATTCTTTCTTCAATTCCAATCTTAATTCGAAGTAATTCTGATTGTTTAGCAGCTTCTTTCCGTTCTAATTCTTGCTTCTTTTCTAAGTCAGTTTCCTTAGAAACTAGATTTTTTGCATGAAGAAACTTTAGTGTTTCCGCTAAACTTCTATTAAACTTAGGTCCTTCTTCAGGCTCTGCTGTAGTCCTATCCTCGTCTTCATGTTCATCGTGCTTGTTTTCATCTCTCGCTCCATTTTCAAGGGATTCCTTAGTACCGTTATCCTCAACACCATCACTATCAATTTTGATCTTTAAGTGCGGCTCTTCTTCATCTTCCTGTTTAGACAAAACTTTCTTATCCAAATTATTCAAAAAATCCGACGTATCATCAAATGTATCAAATTCCTCTTTTTCTAACTTATTCTCAAACTCCCATCTCCTAGTCTCAGCTATTTCATAAGCCAACTGTTCAACACTCAAAGCACCCTTACTCTTCTGTTTAGACTCCCGACTAGACTTAATAGCTTGTTGTAATTCTTCATATTCGTCTTCTATATCAACCTCAATGTTTTCCAATTCGATTGGCTCAGTCTTGATTGATTCTGAAACGATTTTTGGTCTAGATGAATTCTTTTTCTGTTTGATTTTCTTCATCTTTATGACATTCTTTGGTTTCTTGACTTCTTCAACTGTATCCAATTCCTCAAATAAATCACCAAATTTCATATCAGCATTACTCTTCTTACTCCTATCAACGTCTTTCGACTTTGGAAGAACAATCTCAGATCCAGTCATGACTAATTTCTCTTTCGTCAAATATTCACTGCCCCCTTCTTCATCCTCATCCTCACTCTCGCTTTTGTCATCTTGATTTTGATATCGCCTTCCGCTATATTTAACACTTTCTGCTTGTTTCTTCTCATCTAGGTCTCGTTTGAGTTTTGCCTCCGCTAAAAGTCTTTCATTAGTCAAGATATCACCTTCATCTTCATCTTCATTATTAATTATATCAGTGTCTGCAAGTGTAAGGATCTCCTCGTTGTGAATTTGTCGCAATTCTTTCCCAGTATGACCTATTCTAGTCTCTTTAATATCTATATCATCAGTCTTATTCGACTTTGTAAGGAGGGGTTTCTTCTGCTTCTTGATGGATGGTTTACCTAGATTGTTCAACCAATCATCAGTATCCACAATCCCTTCACTTTCAATTCGATCAGGTATGATCATTGTTTCTTCTTGGGGTCTTCTTTTTCTTGCATTCTGGATTTCGACTTGTGCCCGTTTTTGTTCTTGATATTTCCTATAGTTTTCAATCTCGATATCCTCTTGGGACTTTTCAATTGGGATTGGTTTTAGTCCAATTGATATCCGTAGTTTATTAGTTTCCTCTATTGATAATTCTATGATGGAGTCATCTTTAGGTTGTTGCTGTTGTCGCGGTATTGGAATCGGTTTCAATCCGGCTTTAAGTCTGAGTTTGTTCGTTTCTTCTATAGATAATGATATTTCTTCAGACATTTTGTAATGCTACAGGAGATTAGTGTTGCCAAAAAACGAAGTAAAATAGAAAATGATGAGTTTATAACATGCGACATTTTATCCTACTGAAGAATGTCGCAACTGATGCAAAAAATCCAAATCGCGACATCTGTCAAATGGATCAAAATTCTTCTTCAAAACAAACAATATGATCCTTGACACTTGAAGCTTTATACACACTACAATGAATAGTGCTAGTAGCAACAGTAGTGATGAGTCCAGTTCACTAATGTATGACCTTACTATAAACAAAGTAATTGGCACTTCTGCCAAATCATCCAACCAATTCATAGCCCAAGATAATATCATTGCATATGTTGCCAGTGGAGGGGTGGTTGTAAATATCCTAGATCCAACAGATAGCACCAAAACTACAAGACAACGCTTCTTTTGTGCCAATTCAAAACAACACAACCTACCACCTAGCATATATGACCTGACTGAAATAGTGGAGCGAGATTCATACGGCTTCCCCATCAACTCACCCAGTATCATCACCACCTCCTCCAACAATAGTCCTGGCGCCGACCCAAACATCCCAGATCAAGACCTATCCCTGACCTCACCCAGCAAACTCAAACAAAAACTCCGAACAATCTCAAGTCTAGCCATCTCACCCAATTCCCGTTTACTCGCAATTGGAGAATCTGGGTATCTCCCCCGTATCCTCCTCTTCTCCCTCGCGCCAAATCTGTCCCATTCACCAATCATGATCATCTATGAGCATTCATTCGGTATAAATTCATTAGCATTCTCCCCCGATCTGAAATATCTATGTTCCTTAGGTGTCGTGAATGATGGATATATCAATATATGGAAACTCGGCCAGAGTGGTGCAGGATTAATTGGGAGTAATCGATGTACGTCGGTGATTAATCGGATGATATGGCATGAAAAAGCGGGGATCATAACTCTAGGACTTCGGATTATTAAGATATGGAAATTTGAACATGATAATAAGATCGATAATGGGAGTGGGTCAGGCAGGAATAGAGTGGAGGTCCTAAAGGGGAAGAATTGTATTTTGGGACAATTGATGAATTCGAATTTTATTGATGGGGCGATCTTGAATGATGATGAGGTTTTGGTGATTACGAGTCTGAATCTGTTATTAGTGTTGAAGTTGCAGAATAATTTTGATATTGGAGCGAAGTTGGTGAGTCTCCAGAAGCCCGGGTTTGACTTTGGATCGGTTGTGGTGGATTATGAAAGGGAAAAAGTATGGTTTGGAACTGGTGATTATCTGGTTATGAGTATGAATATTTCTGAATTAGTCCAGACTGGAGATGTCGAAGCGAGATGTCCCAGTCCGAAGAAAGAACAGTATTCAAGCAAATCAATTATCAAAGTATGTAACATTTCCGACGAGTACATAACCTATTTAACCGACACAGAAACCATCAAGCTCCACCACAAAGAAACGAACTCCGCATCTCCACTCACCCAATCGCTTGCCCAAAACCTTGGCGGTATAAAGCAAGTATCCACGGGACATAGTTACATCTTCTCCAAACAGGGCCACATCAAACGTCTTAACCAAGACCTATCCCCTGTCGATATCGTAGACTTCAAACTCCCAAACCATGATATCTTAGTCAACAACCTCACTTCAATCGAAGCCTACAATGACAACAATATGCTAGTATTAGGAGATAAGTATGGTGCATTATATATTATTCAACTCCTAGAAACGGGATATAAACATATATATACCACCAAGGCGCATTCACTGAGCATAAATGAGATTATTTATTTTCAATTCCATAAATGGGGGATTATAGCCACCATATCGCGTGACCGGATGTTGCAATTTTTTTATAAACAAAGTAAAGATGGGGAATGGGATATTTTACAGACGGTTCCCTTACATAATGGGAATCTTATCAGGTTGATTCAGAATCAAGATAGGATATTTGTATGTTCGACAGATCGAACTATATCTGTGCATAGATTAATGGAGGAAAATCAAGAGGTGAAAGTATATCAAGAGAAAATCATAACCCTAAAATCCTCCCCGGTTGCTATGGAAATCATGGATGAGGAATTGGTAGTTAGTACAATCGATAAATCTCTTCAGATATACGATATTACATCCATCAACTATGAACTCAAACGAAGTATAAAGCTCCGTGATGAGAATGGAACGGAGACGGTTTTGGTCGAACGTATGCATAAACACAAGAATTTATTAATTGCATGGTGTGCCGACCGCAGTTTGAGATTGTTTAATTATTTGTCAGGAAATCATGTTAGTGTGGTCTGGGCACATCTGGACCCCTTAATCGGGATGTTTATTCATAATGAATCTGAATTGGTCACGATAGGTATGGATGGGGTTTTGTTTATCTGGGATATTCTCAAATCTTCCACCTCTCTTCCGGCAGCACCCCCACCTCCTTCCTCGTCGACGGTGGTTGGTAGCAGTAGTGAATCCGAATCGAGTGAAGATGGACTAGTCATGCCAATGTATTCAAAAGTCACAAGAAAGATACTTCCAACAACATCCCTCTCCAAACCCGTCTCCCCCGAGCGGAAATCAATCCGACTGGGAGCGTCGTCGCCATTAGGAAGGTCTCCACCGAAGATATCCAGCCAGAATGGTGGATCTGCGTCATATAGCCCCCCACCGAAGTTGAAATCACCATTTGTGAAACAAAGTTCCCCGACACCCGTGATTCCGAAATTACAGTCTCCCTTAAGGTCGAGTCTGCCTGTTAGGTTATCCAGTCCTGTTTCCTCGCAAACTATGAGAAGTGTACGTAGTAGTATTGGGAATGGTGGTAGTACAGGGGTGAAGCCATATGTAAATCTAGGGTCACCTACTCCCTCTCGTACCAGTAGTACGAGAGTCATACCTGGGAAGAGTTTGACAGAGATAACGATGGGAAAATTAGATGAGGTTGGTAGGAATGTCGCTTTATTGACTGCGGAAGAGAAGTTGTTGTTGGGTGAGAAGCTTCGTGAGACTCTTGTGTTATTGGAGGATAAGCCCAATTCTACCCATATGATGTTGGAGAAATACAGTGATAAGTTATTAGAATTATTTGAGGAGAAATTAAATTTGACAAGTGAAACTAGAAGTTCAAAAGGGTCGTTGAGTGACGACTACCTTGGTGTTGATTAGATTAAATAATAAATATACAAAGTTTTATAGAAGCATGAAAACTATATACATGTGTGTGTGAATTTCATGAGACGTTTTTCTCTACTATTTCCTGGGTTTGATTGATGCTGATTCTATAGGATTCTTGTCTTTCGACTCATCAGCTTGTTTCCAGGGGTCTTCTATTGGCTCCTCGGCTCTTGGTTTAATTGTAGCTGATTGTATTGGGTCCTTATCTTTCGACTCATCAGCTTGTTTCCAGGGGTCTTCTATTGGCTCCTCGGCTCTTGGTTTAATTGTAGCTGATTGTATTGGATCTTTATCTTTTGATTCATCCGCAAGTTTCCAAGGGTCTGCCTCTTCTGATTTCACCTGCTTAAACTCCTTAGCTTCCCTTTCAACTTTTTCCAACTCCTTTCTCAACTTCATATTCTCCTCTTGATCCAACCTCAATTTCTCCATATGCCACCTCTCGTCCAGCTGCTTTGCCAATATCTTAATCCTCAGTTGTCTCACCTGATCATCCACAAGTTCCTGTAAACTAGGCGGCGTATTCCTAGTACGTCTTAACCATTGTAACCATTGTGGAGGGATGCTTTTGAAATAATCAGCTTCATAGAATTCAGGCTTGAATGGTTCGAGTTTTCTACGTAATCTTTGCATGTTTCCATCATTGGTGAATTCCCAATAGGTATTTCCATGAAGGTCATATCCGACGAAAAAACGTTTACGGAAGGGGATGTCACGACGGGCTTGCCATCTATGTACCATCTGTTTCCATGCCGTATATTTGGTATTCATTGGATTACTCATTATGCGTTCTATGGGATGCTTGCTTTCTGGTTGAAATATTATCCATCTTACAAATGAAATCAAGGTTGTTAAGTAGAAAAATGATGGAGACCGGAATTAAATTCAGTCACGTGAAAACATAGAAAAAAATAGATTCGGTCAAGCTTAAAAAGGGGAACAAGAAACAAAGCAAGGATGTGAAAACACGGAGATATGTTGGTTCATTAATCACCAAAGTAACTAAACATCGTATGAGTAGGAATAAATCCGATTCAGTATCAAAACTAAATAAGATATTACCAGTACCGATAGAACTACATAATGGAGAAGAAATAGAATCTAGTAATCCTCATTCCAATCATCCCCATAATCATAACAACAAACTATCACATATAACCGATGTCATCGTAGGCGAAAACCATTCAATTACAGGTGAATCAGGGTCTCCATATATGGTCTGGTCCATTAAGATCACGTTAGATGATTCTATCTATTCTTCGATTTTGATATATAAACGATATAGAGAGATACATAAACTCAGACACGACCTTGCCGATTATTTTAAAGATGATCCAGGGGTTATGATACCTCCGTTGCCACCTAAAGATAGCTTAAGTTTGGATCGGTTGTTTGAATCCAAGAATTGGTTGGAAGAAAGGAGAAAGGGGTTGCAGTGGTTTATGAGTAATGTATTGCTAGACCCAGTGTTTCAAGGCTGTCCTATAGTAAAGGAGTTTATGCTGAAATAACACGGAAGATGGGAACAGCTGATGTGATTAATTAGATAAAAAGAATATTATATAGATTCTGGAATAGGCGATTGGTATTTTCTTTGCCGAGATTTTAGAATCTTCCAGAATAATAAATAATAATGAATGAGGCTTATATTATGCATCGAAATGAAACAAATATGTCAGCCAGGGAGTGATCTCGAAGAGATGAGGTCATACACGTTCGACATATTTCGAACTTATTTGTTATTGGTTTCTTTATTTGTATTTTGTAATCATGAAGTAATAAAGAGCCACAGTTTTTTCTTACTCTGGAAGTTGTAATGACTTTCATATGTATCAATGACCAGCAGCTCTCTAGAGACAAGTTATGAAGTTTGTAGTGATTTCGTAAAAGAAACTTAAAATGGAAATAAACGTGATTTATACGATAGTAAATATACAAATGAGATGGTTGATTAGCTCATCCAATAATTCGGTGTTTATGGATAAACTCGGAAAAGAACTCCGATCCTTTTTTTCGCTTATTAAGATTTTTTTTTTTTTGTCTAGACCGATCTTGACAATTAGAAATCACGTTCTTCAAAGACCGCCGCCGCATTCTTCAACTGAAAAATTTCACAACGACGTTTTTATTTTATTTAAATAGATTTAAGATTTTCTAGAAATTCTTCTTTTCCATTATTTCAACGTTCTTTCCTTTCTGTACCCTTAATTGTATATATATTCAAACACACACATACTAAACATGGTTCATCACAAAGTTACTATTATTGGATCTGGTCCAGCTGCTCATACTGCTGCTATCTATTTAGCTAGAGCTGAAATTAAACCTACTTTATATGAAGGTATGTTAGCCAACGGTATCGCTGCTGGTGGTCAATTAACTACAACCACCGATATCGAAAACTTCCCAGGTTTCCCAGAAGGTATCAATGGTACCACCTTAATGGAAAGAATGAGAGAACAATCTATTAGATTCGGTACTGATATTATTACTGAAACTATTTCAAAAGTTGATTTATCAACTAGACCATTCAAATTATGGACTGAATGGAATGAAGATGGTGAACCAATCACCACTGATGCTATTATTATTGCCACTGGTGCCTCTGCCAAGAGAATGCACTTACCAGGTGAAGAAACTTATTGGCAACAAGGTATTTCTGCTTGTGCTGTCTGTGATGGTGCTGTCCCAATCTTTAGAAATAAGCCGTTGGCTGTTATTGGTGGTGGTGATTCCGCTTGTGAAGAAGCTTTGTTTTTGACTAAGTACGGTTCTAAAGTTTATCAATTAGTTAGAAGAGATCAATTAAGAGCTTCTAATATTATGCAAAAGAGAGTTGCCAATAATGAGAAATTAGAAGTTTTATGGAACACTAATGCCATTGAAGCTAAAGGTGATGGAAAATTATTAAAGTCATTAACTATTGTTAACAACAAGACTAATGAACAAAGTGAATTAGAAGTTAATGGTTTATTCTATGCTATTGGTCACACCCCAGCTACCAAGATTTTCGAAAAGCAACTTGATATGGATGAAGCTGGATATATCATTACTAAACCAGGTACTGCTGCTACTTCTATTGAAGGTGTTTTTGCTGCTGGTGATGTTCAAGATAAAATTTATAGACAAGCTATTACTTCCGCAGGTACTGGTTGTATGGCTGCTTTAGAGTGTGAAAAGTTTATTTCTGAACAAGAATAAACACAGACATTTGTAATTAGCTAAAGTATTTATAGATTTGTCTTTTCTTTGTAATGGTTTTATTTTTAATTTAATTTAATAACGTTTTATTATTAACTTTAATCAAACCTGTTACCCTCGTCATCTCTGCTGTAATATTCCCCCGTAGTAAAATGGTGGATTATTTTCCCGTAGTAGAAATATTCCCGTACCAAGATTTCTTTTTCGCTTCCGTGCCCCGTTTTAACTTTTCCTCACACGCCAGAAGATCTCCCTACTACAACCAAATATCGCCACTTCTTCTATTTATATATCTATTTCTAACACAACTGAACTAACAAGCAGATATGTCGTTCAACAACCCATTTGACAGTGATTTAGAAAGCACAAGAACGAACCAATCACACAAATACAAAGATTATCCTGAATTCGAAACCGTATCAACCAGTATCGAGAATCAACTTCATCATATAAAATATACTCACTTATCTTCAATTAAAGATAATTTAGTTGACTTTGAACAATCCCCAAATCAAAGTGAATTAGGTGAAACTTTGAGTTCTCAGTTTAAGAAGACAACTGATGCCTTTAAGAAATTGAATGAGTTTATTAAACAGTTAAATTCTATAACTAAAACAATCGAGAATCAACACGAAGATGTTGAAATTATAAATTATTTAAAACAACGAGAAGGAATTCAAATTAAACTTATAAAAGATAATTTGGGTGTTTTTAAAAACTATCAGAAACGATTTGAATCATGCCAAGTTAATCAACTACCAAAATCTACCGGAACAGAAACCAGTGGCGCTGCCAGCACAGATCAAGGTACCGCTTTAGGTACACAGCAACAACAGGTGCAAATCACTTACGAGCCTATAAACGCCGAAGAGCTCGAACAACAAACTATACTAATCCAAGAGCGAGAACGAGAAATCCATCAAATCCAACAAGATACACTAGAAATAAATGAAATCTTTTCCAATTTATCCACAATTATCAATGAACAACAATTTCAAATCGATACAATAGAGAATAATATCTTTAGTTATAGCTCAAACGCAAGACAAGCTTCGAATGAATTACGTCAAGCGGAACGATATCAACGGAAATCGGGTGGGAGAATGTTATGTTGTTTAATGATTTTGATTGGTGTATTAGCATTTATCATCTTAATAGGATTAATCTTTTAGAGAAATGCAGCAATGTGTTTATTGCAAAGTTTATATGTCTATAAAAGGGATATAATTAATATTAGATTTATTTGAGTTTTGTTTTTTTAAACTTTCCAGAAATTTATACATCCATCATCACCAGCAGTTATCAAGACTTCTTCTTCTTCTTTATCTAATTTGGTCCAAATGATACAATTGATTTCATGCACTCCGTGAGACGATTCATGAGAGGATTCGATCTCCCATTCTCCATTGCTTTCTTTGTATACTACAATCTTCCCGTCTGAACCAGCAGTAGCGACCTTTCCTGTCACACTGGACCATGCGACTGAATATATTGGATACTTATGTGCTTGGGGAAGGATACTCTCTTGTTCCCAGGTCAATTCTGATGAATGTCTAATCGAACTTGGAAGACTAGTCTTTTCTGTCTCTTTCTCTTCAATATCACTCGACCAAATCCTGGCTGTCATGTCATCACTCACAGATACCAATCTAATCTTCCCGTTCACTGCATTTGGACTCTTCGGATTCTCAAACTTCGAACACCATACAGTCCCTTGATGTCCGTCTAAGACACCAACACATCCCCAATCATCCTCGTCATCCTGTTTGTATACCCTTATGCTATCATCATAACTCGAACTAGCTAACATATTCACCAGAGGATGCCAAGTCACATTTTTCACATCCTGCAGATGATCATTCAACACACTCACACACTCAAACTCCTCCAATGTCTCTGGGTCCGTCTCCCAGATCCAAACTGTCTTATCCCTAGAACACAGCGCGAGCAAAGTTCCATTATAATTCCATTCTACAGCTTTGATTTCATTCTCATGACCCTCGATTATTGCCATTAGGTTCCATTCATTGCGGGGACTGCTTAATATTTGAGCCTGATTAGCGAGGAGTTCTTCGTCTGTACATTCAACTTCTGGTTCATCTATGCCCCAGATCGAGATTGTTGAATCGAAGGAACCTGCAGCTAGGGCAGGAAGATCGAGGAATTCTTCAATTGGATGTTGGTTGTTGATGCCGCCGAGTGGTGGTTTGAATGAGACAGAACGTATTGATCGTTTGTGCGTGTCTTCGAGGATGGAAACTAATGGGAAGTTGGATTGTTGGGATAGTTTGTAGATTTTGGAGGTTTTGTCGGTGGAGGCTGTGACTAGTAATGGAAGCGTTTGGTGGGCACTTACGCTCCATGCTTTATCATTGTGGGCCTTAATTGACTTTAGTAATGTCACCATTTGTGTCTGTCTGTTTGTCTGTCTATGTATGTGTCTCTTTCAGCTGAGTGATAAGATGATGATGATGATGATTAATTCTCAATGGAAATTTTATAAAGTGAAATTTTTTCCGGTCTAAATTTTCAATTTATTCATCACTGAATAACGGACAAACCAAGACAAGGTGACAATGATATTTATTAAGAGAAGTCCGAGACTTCTTGGAAGGCTGAGAGTATTCAGGACTCCTTCTGTATTGCAACCCATCAGATTCAATTCCAGACTTCCAAACAACAACAAATCGGACCCAAACAACAATGACAAACCAGATGAACCCACCAACAAATCCGATGAAGTATCCAAGACCCAAGACGACAAATCCGACGTCTCCACATTCAAAATCAAACCCACCACCACCGCATCCGCTCCTGCCCCAATAGACCCCAGTCTCGGTCTCGAAAAACTCTTAAAAAAGGACAACAAACCATACATCCCCAAACTCAAACATCAACGAGTCAGTTTCGAATACCCGGGACTCCCTAATCAGGATGAATATACCAAGCTCGTGGACAAGCCTAAACGATTCACTCGTTGGACACGATACATCCCCAAGATGTTAACCGCTGTAGCTGTCGTTTGGACAGCATATGCTGTATATGTATTCGTACAAGATCCAGAGGAAGGTGAGAAGAGTCTTGATTTATTGGATCCTAACGAGTTTCATAAATTTGTCGTTACATATAAGGAACCCATTGATGATGAGCATATGTTGATTGAAATTAAACCTAAGTATAATCATTGGGAATATGCTTATGGATCTGATTATGAGAATAAAACGATTTGGAATGGGGAAAGGATCTGGTCAGTGGAGATTAAACAGCCCGAGATAATGGTTGTGAGGTCATATACTCCATTGCCGTTATATTTCTTAAAATCGGAATATACCAGATCTGGAGAACGTAAACCATTGCTTAAAGTAATTGACCCTGATCATGATCATTATGACAGAAATGGGACAATGTGTCTTTATGTGAAGAGATATGGTGATGGGGAAGTATCTCGATTTATTACAAACAAGGAGATCGGGGAGGAATTGGAATTACGTGGTCCTCGTGTTGAATATAAATTCCCTTATCATCCTTTGAAGAAATATTATTCTAGACCGATTTTCAAAGATTTGCCATCAAAAGTTGAGCCTGAGAATTATTTGAATATTATTAAGAAAGATAACAGGCTTCCTGATTCTGATAATATCGATTTCTACGCCGGCGGAACTGGAATAGCCCCAATTTTACAAGTTTTGTTCTCTAGGAATCCTACTGTTGGGTTTGTGAATATACATTACTCGGCTAGGAAACCAGGTGAACTCGGTCCATTACAAAGGTTTATGTTCTTTTTGGAAAAGCTTGATAGAATTAAAGTTCATTATCATTACGATACTGATTCAAAATCAATTTTACTGGCAAGGGACATTCAAAAACCCGAAAACCCGAATTATTTGAGTCCTTTAAGATTGGAAGAAAAAGAAGCACTTATGACTCCACAAGAAGCAGCTAAATTTAGAGAAGATATCAAATCGGAATATATGGAACATGAAAACTTCCCTGAAGACTCCCAAGAGAAAAAATTAATCACAGAACAGCATCAAAGAGGTGAAAGATTTGATAGTGCTATAGAGCAAGCAATGGCAACAAGCAGGCGTCCTAAGAAGAATGCTAGTCTTGCGCTTGTTTGTGGTCCTGAAGGTTATATTGAATATGTTGCAGGCGCAAAGAAATTGGCGCTGAATGAACAAGGAGAAGTGGCAGGTCTTTTGGGAAAGAAGAAATGGGATAATACAAATGTGTATAAATTATAGAAAATGTTTCCTACTTGTATATATATAAATAATCTAGACGAATTCATCAACAAGGCCGATTTTTTTACTAAAATGAATCAATACTCGTTGTGCATCTCTATGTTTTGAACAGGCGGTAATGACCTCCTTTAATAATTCTCGTTTATCGATCCCACATATCTTTGGATTCCACTCTTTAGAATCTTCCTTTTCAGGTCCGAGTAATTCCTGACAAACTTCAAATAATTTGGCTTTAAACCCCAATTCACAGATTCGTTGGACATATGTTAAGAATACGCGATGGAAATCTTGATCTTCACCCAAGATCTCACAACACAATATTCTATTCTCTAAATGACTGACGGAAATCGTGTTCTCCAAACTCTCAAATCCTTCCTTCATGATCATATTTTTGGATATTTTATTGAAATATTTTCCACGACCTGCTCTTGTCTTTTTAATGATTTCTTCATTGGTTTTATATTCCAATAAATCCACAATAGACTGTTCCTCGTCTCCATTATTGAATAATCCTAATGATTGTGGGCGCTTCTCGTCCGAGCTGTCCCAATAATGACTTCCAAATGCCCACCAAGACTCGGCAATGGTTTGCCAAACACCCAAATCCTTATTATACAAATATCCACTACCATTAGATAAAGTCACCAATGGGATTCCTCTAGCAGTCACAGCACACAACGTAATATTATCCGCCTTGGATAACCCATCTTCCAGAAACCGTTGTCCCAAATCCAACAACGCACAAATCGACGTCTTTAATTCCAACTTCTTAACCGACATATCCCAGACATATAATTCTCCCAAACATGTCACAGCCATCAAATATTGTCCATGACTTTCGAGAAAAGAAATCCCAGACCCGAGGACGATTGGAGGTAGGAGTCTCTTACCTGAAATATGAGAATATACCAAAACAGTCCCGTCGATTGTTGAAATTGCCCAGAATATCAGTCCTTCACAGGCGAGATGTATAAGTTTCGGGATGAAATCACACCATATTTCCCGATCTTTTTTGAAATAGGTTATACGTGATGGTTTTGTTTCATTGCCGCTTCCGTTCTTGATATCGAGAATAAATAATCCTCCTGCTGATTCGCCTTCGGCTCGACTGGTTAATTGGAATCCAAATCGGACTTTTGGAGTTGCTAGTCTAACTTTTGAGAATGCAGTATTGGGGTTCAAAATTACTGATCCGATGAATTTAACAGGTTCCATTTCTCGCTTGAGTTTTTTTGTGCTGGTTGAGGTGCCATTAGGTTCGTCTGATTTGGGACGTTTGTTCAGTTGGTAGAATGAATTGGAGACCGAATAAGATGGTTTATCAAACTCCATTAATGATTTTTGGGTGTTTGAGGGTGCGGCAGGTGCAGATGGCTTACTGGAAATATTTGATGCCGGTTGCAGCAGAGAAGATCCATTTGCAGATATTAAAATTGGTTGGATTCTTCTTTTCCCATTCTTGGTACTTACTTTTTGTTTATCTGTAGTTAAACTTGTTGTCACTGGCTTGACCCTGCTTGTTGATTTAACGGTGGAGGTTGTGGCTGTTTTAGCAGTTGAGCTAGCATTTCTATCACTCATGGCAGAGTGTAACCAATCTACCGATGCACCTTCAGGATCTTCCATATTAGGAGGAGGTATAATTTCCGGTTCTATTTTCCCTTTAACTTCTAATTTATCCTTTCCATTAGACGACCCTTGTTGCTTGCTTGAATCCTCGGTAGAATCCGGTTTATCAGAAGATGGGGCTAGTTTTGTAGTGTCAATAGCGTCTTTCTGATCTAGCATTTCGATCGGAGGTAATGCTATTCTTCTATTTGACGGTTGATTATGTTCATATCTATGATTCATGGGTTTAACAAGCTCAGTCTGTAATTTCTTCAACGATTCCATTGTAGAATCACTTACTTTCCAACCCAATTCTTGGTCAGCAAAACCAACAACTCCCAAATGGCCAGTTGACGTACATAACACCAAGAAATCTCCCTGGTTTAGCCATGCCATGTCTAATATTTCACCAGGGACAACATCCTGTAATACAGACAAAGGAGCATCTTTGGAAGTATTCCAAAATGCAAGAGTCTTGTCTGATCCGGCGGTAGCTACCACACTATAGATATTATTGGAATCATTCTTACCTTCTGAATATAATTTTGGGTTGAATCTTACTACTTCACATGAGAAATCGTGTCCGACTAGACTGATTACATTTTGCCAGTTACGGGAATGGGAAATGATTGATATTAACGATGTTTGATTTTTTCTTGCAGTTGGGATTGAGATTAAGTCACCTTCTGGGGACCATGATATACGTTTATATTTTACATTTAATGGACTTTTATTGAACAATCGTGATATCTTATTGATTAATCTTATTTTGTAAAATTTAGTGGTGGTCGTATCATATGCATATTGGTACACATTAATAATCGTGTCATCGCCAACGGTTACGAGATAGTTATTGGTAGGATCGAAGGCTATGCTTCTTTGAGTAACTAATTTTTGAGCTTTTGTCAAAGTTGATATTTCTTGTATGGTCTTTTTTGTTATGTCATAAATGAATACTTTCCCATCAGTAGTACTCCAAGCGACTAATCTATCATCCTTTGAAACGGACAAATCGACAACTGACTTGGCATTCGTTTGCGGCTGTGGATATATTTGAACATGCGTATCATCTTTTATATTATGAATATATATAAATCCTTCAATATCACTTGAAATAAATGAATTTGAATCTGTTGTAAACCATTTCAATGAATTAATCAAATGGCTATGTGATTTGATTGTGGCTAAAGGATTGAGTTCTTTAATGATGTTGTCTGGATCATCACCAGGTTTAACCTTTGTTATCCTAGTTAATATAGTTGTATGCCATACTTTAATTGTATTGTCTTTACCACCAGTAATTAATTTGGTGTTGTCATTATCAATATCAAGACTATGAATCCCTCCTTCATGTAATACAGATGGAATTTGTATGAACCTCATAACAGCCTTGTTTCTACTCTCTTGTTCTCTATTAGCCTGTTGCTGAAATTAACTTATTTAGATTCACCGTAAACAATGCTGTGCTTCTATGTTGCTTGTTTATTGTCTATTTTTCCAGTGGGACCAAAGTGGTGGAACACAATTTCAGTTCAATTTTTTCTTCCAGAGCTCGTGCTAATTTCTGAAAGTTCCCAGACGAAATGGTAGTAAATCTCCGGTCGAGATAGCTTAAATTTCCTACCACCTAGTACGGGAGATTGTCATTCTCGGTCTACAAATTTTTGTCTGCTGGTGCGAATTTAGTTGGTGAGAGACTATACTGAGACTCTATTGTGGGTAATCGCAGGCGAAACACCTGAAAAAAACTTTTTCTTTCAAACATCAAGTTGTCAGAACGATGCGAACAGAAGAATACACACTCCAACGTTATAGTAGCTAATACTCGCGAATAATCCTATTACGCTATATATATCTAGTAGTTGATTTCAATACTGTTGCTATTACAGTACTGTTTGCCGCCTAATTTATATATTGATTTGCTTTCGAATTCAATTTGCTTGCTCGTTCAAATCAACCATCCCATCGACATCCACACAATTACACATTATCTTATTAATCTAGAGAAAACATGGCAGAAGAAGAATATATGACTGATTCTAGTTCAGATTTCACTGAATATTGGATTGATGTATTTTTAGGCACAAAAGGTAACGAATATTTCTGTGATATTGATGACGAATATATTCGAGATCGATTCAATTTAACTGGTTTAAATCAAGAAGTATCCAAATTACCAACTTTAATCGATATAATAACAGATATAATTGATATAGAACTGAAACCTGCTGATCAAAGAGAAATATTAGAAAAGAATGCAGGAATATTATATGGTTTAATTCATGCAAGATATATTTTAACTTCAAGAGGTTTAAATAAAATGTTTGAAAAATATAGAAATGGAGATTTCGGTTATTGTCCAAGAGTTCATTGTCAGCTTCATCCTCTTTTACCTATTGGCTTAAGTGATCAACCTAGAATAGCATCGGTTAAATTATATTGTGCAAAATGTGAAGATTTATTTAATCCAAAATCAGCAAGACATTCAGTTATAGATGGAGCTAATTTTGGTACTTCGTTCCCAGCCATGTTTTTCCAAAACTTCCCAAGTATGATACCTGTCCATTCTAAAGAGACTTATGTTCCAAGAGTATTTGGATTTAAATTGCATGAATATTCAAAATTGAATAGATGGAGAGAATTACAACGAATGAAGTTGGAAAATAGATTAATTAAGAATGGAATACAGATAAATAATGTAGGTGGTGGGTTCGTGTCTGAAGAAGAGGGCATGGCTGCAGCTGCTACAACTGGTGCTGCTACAAGCACTACTGTTGCTGGTACTTCCACTACTGGACAACAAGAATCTCGTTCCTCACAACGTGGTATGTATTGATTCTCTATATGCATGTAACATCTACAATAGAAAACTGAGTAAAGTGTACAATTTTTATATGATTCGTAGTTCCTGATTTCTATATAGCCCAGCTGGACTTCTTTGTAATTAATTTGCCTGTATCAATGCTAAACGTCTCTCCCAATCAAGGATTTCGCAGGGCATATATTTCAATGCGGGAAAATCAAAAATTTTCAACCTCCATACTTCCAACATCTCCACATCTACAAATGCTAACAAGAATAAAACCATTGAGAAACATCTCATCTCAATCAGTAGCCAAGTCATTGTCGTTGCGCTATGCATCCAAAGATGCTTCTACCGCCAAAACAGTGCAGCAGATTTCGGGCTATGAACATCTCCCCAACAATTCAACCGTATTCTCTATGATTCAACCAACAGGTAAATTCCACATTGGAAACTATCTCGGAGCAATCAAAGCGTGGAGAACATTATCCGAATCAAATGTTGAAGAATGTAAGTTCATATTTGGAGTTGCGGATCTTCATGCCATTACAATTCCCAAAAAACTGACTGAATTAAAAGCAAATCGTCTTGAAGCTATGGCAAGTATATTATCAAGTGGGATTGATCCTAAGAAATGTATTTTATTTTATCAATCGGCAGTTCCGGAACATGCGGAATTACATTGGTATTTGACTTGTATTACAAGTATGGGCGCCTTAAATAGAATGACTCAATGGAAACTGAAACAACAAGAAGTAGAATCCACTTCATCTAAGAAGTTTCTTTTTGAACATACAAAAGCAGGATTGTTTTGTTATCCTGTATTACAAGCTGCAGATGTGTTGATGTATAATTCTACTCATGTTCCAGTTGGAGATGACCAATCTCAACATTTAGAACTTTGCCGGGCAATTGCTACTAGTTTTAATGATGTTTATGACACCAAGTTCTTTAATATTCCGAAAACATTATTAACCCCCTCCCAAAAGATTTTATCTTTACGTAACCCAACTAAGAAAATGTCTAAATCGGACAAGGATCAAAAAGCATGTGTTTATGTCACTGATTCTCCAGAAGAAATCCAAACTAAGATTCGAAAAGCAGTCACTGATTCTCAACAAGGTCCAATCTACTTTGACCCAGTTGAAAGACCAGGTGTGTCTAACTTAATCAATATCATCTCCGGTATATCCAATAAACCTGTAGATGAAGTCGTAAAAGATCTTGAAGGTGTGACTGAACATAGTGTCCTTAAAAATCGTGTGGCTGATTTGCTCATTGAAGAATTTTCGAAGGAAAGGGATTTATATGAAAAATTGATGGGTGATGCTGCATATTTGGAACAAGTGTATAATCAAGGTAGAGATCAAGCTAGAGAGATAGCTCTGGCCAATATTAAACAGATTAGAAAATTGATTGGAATGGATTAATCCTGTGAGGGTGTGGCTGAAGAAGAAGAATAATAATGTTTGTATATACAGTGCGTATTCATGTAATTTATTCCTTGTAAATAGACTTTCAATAGACAAGTAAAAGTTCAAGTAATAGTAGTAAGAAGTGGGACGTGTTTGTGTTCAACTCGTCACGATGATTTTTAGGAATGTAGCTTTGTGAAGTGATTATTGTATGCAACGTCAATTGGTAGCGTTGAGTGATTTTTCGCGTTTTTTTTGTTTGGCGTTTTGTTTCTTCGCGTTGTTTATTATTTTTGTGATTCCAAATTTTACTCGGGGATTATGTGAATATAGATGACCTATAGAGCTGGCAATTGAAATTTAATAATTACTTTCTTCTTTCGTAACCTTCATTAACATTCACTTTGGTTTGGGGATACTTTCACATTCTATTTAATTTGTTCATTCATTATTTAAACCAAATAAAGAAGGAAGGAATCTACCAAATCAATCTTGTGAAATTTAGCTTTTTTTTCAATCAGTAAGAAATCACAACAACAACAACAACAACAACACCAAAAAGAATTTGGGTTTTTTCTTTGACTTTTCATTTCCAACTTTTCATATTTACTTTGCACAATTGACTAAGTTCTACTTTACTGATCATTTCAAAGTCATTTCATCCCAATCCTAATTCAAAAAACAAAAACAATTTGTCACACATCACTTCTTTTTCCTTCAGACCATATTTTGCATCTATTCCCATATCACCTTAATATAATAACAACAATTACAGCACATTCGATATGAGTTCAGAAGAAGATAATAGTTACAAGAGAATGCAAATAAAGGTCCTTTATTCATTCAACAATAATCCAACTGTGTTTTTATCACGATCCAAAATCCAATATTCAGTGAAAACTGCACAATTACCGCTTGCAACATCCATGTCCGATGAACCCGAACTAATCACATTGGGTGCCTTTGATCTCAAGAACTGTGTTCAACAAATCATAAAGAGTTCTCCTGAGAATTTTAAACTCCATGCTGAAGATTATGCTGTGTATTATAAAGATATAACAGAGCAACCTGATGAACCTTTCGTTTCCAGTGGTGTATTGTCAAGTTTGATAAATACTTCAAAAGCGCATTTAATTCCAGGAAGAGTTTGTCAGAACGTGTCTGCAAGCTTCTTATTTGGTGATAAGACTAATGCATCCTCATTGACACTTGAGATAAGATTGAAACTACATACTATTGACGGTCCACCAAAACAACAACCTCAACAACCGCAACAACAACAAATGAGACAAAATATAGGGGTTGATCAGGTCGCAGCATCAGGTGGCGACAAAAAAAGAATACGTGACTCTTCTTCTTCCTCCAGGCAAGAATATCCCCAAAAGAGATTCAATCCTTCTTCTAGTTCATCTGCCTCCTCATTGGACGCGGCGGTAAAAGCAACCAGGACAAAGTCGCTACCAAGTTTCCCACAATTATTAAATAATCCAACAATGCTTAATATTCGAACAGCAGATAGAATGAATAATACATCCAGATATGATAATAAAAGTGTTCAAGATCGATTTAAACTGGCTCCATTTTTCCAAGCTAAAATTGTTGATAAACCAGTCGTACGGAAAACTACTCCGGTGAGGCGCTACCATGATAACAATAATCAACACCAATATCAATCTCGTCAACAATTGCAACTGCAACATCTTCAACCTGCTCGTGCTATGCGTACTAGATCCATGGTGAATCCTATGCCACTCATGATCTCGTCGCCTATTCTAGAAGGAGACGGCTCTCTTTCTGATAGCACTGACGATACTGAATACCGTGAGGATGACCACAATAACATGATTGAAGAACATGACGAAGAAGAGGAAGAAGAAGAAGATAAGGATTTTGATGAAGGTTCTCCATATACACCACAACAACCTCCATACGAAGGAAAATCGCTGATTCTGCATTCGGGCCATAATAATAATCATAATCATGAACAATTCCAATCACTCCCAGATTTGGAAGAATTGGATAGTAAACGAATCCATTCAATTCCTCCTTCAAAATTACTGTCAAATCATGGATTGGTATGTGTGAATCATAATTGTGCAACTCAAGATTCTATAACTTGGAGATTCTTCGAAACTGAATTTAGACCAAATTATTTCAATATAAACAAGTCGAAGAAGTTTGATAAGAATGATTATGATGGAATGTTTGGTCCCTTATGTAATGCATGTTTCTTGTTTTTGAGAAATAAAGGATTTATGAGACCTGAACATGTCGTCAAGAAGTATTTACAACAACAACGGTATAAGTCGAAAAAGGATGAGGTTCCAATGGATAATGCCGGCGCTACCAACAACAACAACAACAACACATTCACTGCTCCTATTAATAAAGAACGATCAAATAGTTTGAATGCAATTGCAGTCAAACGAAGTTCTCAGTTTGCATCTTCCCCAGTAGTATCCCAACTGCATGGAAAATTCGCCACTCCTGCCCACACACCTTCAGCCATCAATCAAGTCATCCAAAACAGAAACAGTACATCATCACATAATGCATTTATGAATAACAGCGGACATACACCAAACTATCAAGAAATCAGCGATATTATGAATCAAATAAGTAATTTCGGTGGACCATTGACTGATATTGATCCATTACCATATCTGGGTGTTACTCCTCCCATGATCGCTACTAAATCAAACACCAGGGTGATTAATTTATATGAAGATAATCCGAAAAAGGCAACCAAAGCAAATACAAGGGTTATAAATTTAGGTCCTCCAGAAGGTCAAGATGATGATAGTGAAGATAAAGAGAATTGCCCTCCTCCACCTGAAGCACCTTCTTCAGAAATGGATATTGATGTGAGAGATATTACCGATTTTGAAAATATGATTATTGCCGATTCTTTCACTAATGCTGGAAAATCTAGTCCTCTTGGATCTAATCAAGAATGGATGAATGCATTATTGGCGGAACAGGGGACAACGGATCCAGAACCAACTCCTAATGATCAGGAAGAACAAACATCCACTCCAGGAGAGACGAGAACCCCAGTAGATCTTCAAAATAATACTAATAATAACAAAGACGATCCTAAGATACCGGTCATGAAATCGTTCATAAATAGAAAATCATCCCCACCACCACAATCATCCCGTCCAGCTTCACAATCTAGACCAGTTGTGAATATGCCTTCATCTCCATATACTTCCATCGCAAACTCTGAAATGGAAGATACTTCCTTTGGTTCAAAGAAGAAATATGAATCTGATTTCAATCAAGATATAGAATCATTAGTCTCAGGATCACACCGTCAGTATTTTTCCCAACAACAACAACAGCAACCGAGTGAAATTCCACATTCGTCATCTTCCCCAAATCAGGCATTGAGGGCAGACACGAACAATCTGATCATGTCTTGGAACAACACTAATACTATGGGATCAGGAAATAACAAATCGGGACATTTGGGATCTACTCCGAATACTGAATTTAACTCTAATGATGATGTTGATCATGATATGATGTTGATGGGAGATGGGAAAAGTCATGGTGGTTTGATGGTTGGCCAGTATAGAAGGAACAAAGAGGTTGAAGAGGAAAATTAGCTAGAAAGTTTAACTTATAGTATATTATGTAATTTTAATGAATAATTTGTCATATAGTTCTCGTTTATATGTATAGGCTTGTAACTTGTGCGTTGTTCGTGGATAGACTACGAGCCAGCAGAAGTGCCAATCGAAATTTGGCATTCTACAAATCTTTTCTCTTTCAGTTCTAAAAAAGTAGCCTTTTCTCAAATTCTATTGCCCTCAGTCATGCTATACTTATTCCACCAAAAATTATAAATCCATCCATATATGCATCATGGGTCTCTGGCTTCTATTGTCTTTAAATAAAATGGCTGCAAAAAAATAAGTGAAACTCATTCGTTTCGAACTTTTGTAAAGCCCGACGCGGGGGTCGAACCCGCAACCTTTTGATGTCTAACATAAGAGTCAAACGCTCTACCGATTGAGCTAGCCAGGCGGCTTCTGAGTTTTGTTGTGGGTTGATATCACACCAATATGCCGGTAGCTTGAGATTCAGTGGACTAGAAAAATAAGAGGTCGACAGTGTTTATGTGCAGGATGTGATTCCATGCGAGAATATAAATAGCCCGGATTCCCCTCGAGTATGAATTATTACGGAACATTTGGAAGTAACTATTCTTTTACAGAAGAACAACCGTCATAAGATCGTACTGCCTAAACTTCAATCCCCTTCACAACTTATTTTTTTCCTTTTTTTTAGGTAGCGTAGTGTAAATAGTACTGAATATATTTCCACTCCGTTACATTTATGGTAGCCGCCCAGGTTAGATTTTAGAGAGACATCATTTTAGAGTTATTAGATTTTCATTAGATTTTCATTTTAAAGGCAAAAATTTTTTTTTCGACGATAAATTGGCAAAGTTTTTTTCGGTCTTAGAATAAAATAATCAACAAATTTTGCCGAGCAAGAAATTTTTTTTCGACATATTCAGAGTTTAGATTTTTTCAGGGTCCAGCAAATTCGCACTTTTTTTTCAATTTTTTTTAACTGAAGACAAATTTTTGCAACAGAATATTTTTTTTAGAAGTTTAGAACTGAAGACAATTATTGGCAATCATGACAAGAAGTACCAACAACAGTCAAAGAGCTGCATCTTATGAAAACTCCCTTGACTATAATTCAAGACCAAGTAACCCAAACACCACTTCAAATCCTTCTGGGTCAAATGCTAACAACCAGAACAATGCAAACGAATCAGCAAATCATTCTAATCAACACCATGAGGAGTCCAACACCCATCATTCCAATTCTTCCAAACTGGGAAACAAGGAACAACATTCAACTTCATCCAGAATCCTTCGTTTTAGTGGAAACCAATCATCCCTTAAGTACGCAAAATCCAAAATTTCAACCTTAGAAAGAGCAATTCAAGCAAAAATTAAACCATCAGACGAACTTAAATGTTCTGATATGTGGAACGCGGTAAATCCTTATCTCCAAGGAAATGCATATGATTGGGCTAACGACTTTTTCCAGGACCTTCATGACAAAATTAAAGGTCCACATCAAAAATATGATAGATATACCGCTGAAAATTTAGGCGAACTTGGAGAAACCATTGTGCTTACATTAGAAAAGGATGAACCATTGACTTTATTAGATTACAAGAAAGCTAGCGTCGGTGCAAGAAACTCTTATCTTATTGAAGCTTTCAGTGTCGCATTTGCCAAGGAATATAAGGCTGAACATGAATCTGCAAAAATGGTTGAGAAAATTTTTGTACTTAAACAAAGAGAATCACTTAATAGATACCGTAGAAAGTTCACCAAATTATATAACCAATGTGGAAAAGTTGTCACTTTACAAGTTGCTATTCCTTATTTCTTTGATGGTTTATATGACCCATATAAGAACATGTATCTTCAACAATCACAAACTATGACAACAATTGAGGAATTAAATACATTACTTTCATCTCCAGTCTTTGATCGAGAAATTGATCAGCTTTACAACAAGTACAACAATCATTCCAACAATCATTACCGTTCCAATGGCCATAACAAACGTTTTCCATCCAGACCTTCATACCGTTCCGAACCATACAATCCAGGTAATCATTCTAACTCCAATAAAGGATACGACAACCAACAATCAACTTCCCACTCAACTCGTGATCCACCTAAATGTTTCAATTGTGGAGAAATTGGACATATCAGACCAAATTGTCCTAACCCAAAACAACAACAACATTACCGTCAGCCGTTAAACCATTAAGGTCCGGAACCGACGGTAAACTACACGTATTACATGCTATGCATTTGGATCAAGATTATGAAGAAGGTGAAACCAAACCGAATTTGTATCATGTTGAATTTGAAGGAATGAAACCCCAAGTGGCCTTATTAGATACTGGAGCAACGACAAACCTTATCCATCTGAATTTAGTGAAGAATATACCATCGTTTGTTGGAGCTACTTATGATTTGTTCGGTCCTGATGATTTGAAAATAGGAACTTTAAATAGATACGTGTGTTTAGATTGGTGTAATGTGATGAAGAATATTAAACTCTATATCTGCGATGTAAGTCCTTATCCAGTTGTCTTAGGAAAACATGTACTTAAACCTTTCTTAAACATACCCCCTCATGTCAAGGAATTATCCCAAGATGAAGTGACAGATTTTAGACAATTCAATTCTATGGATTTAACTGAACTTGTTTTCGCTTTAACTGAAATTGAAGATTCATTAGATGCTGAAGGAGAAATTGAAGAACCTATTGAGAAACTAAGAGCAATTGAAAATGGAAATTTCATTGATGATCCAGAAACCCCAGTGGAAAACGCTAGAACTAGATATTCATTTGAAAAGCATGTTGATCTTAAGTATTGGTTTCAAGATTTTCTTGCAAAGAACTCAGATATTATTCACAACAACCCACCAATTAAAACTGAATCATTATATGAACATCAACATCCAATCACATTGAAGGATCCAAGTAAAATACATTGTTGTGCACCATATAAGAAATCTGCAAGATTGAGAGCTGAACTTTCAAGACATGTTGAAGAATTATTGAAAAATGGATTTATTCAAAAGAGTCATTCAAGATTTGCTTCACCAACTATATTAGTTCCAAAACCAGATCATTCAACAAGGTTATGCATTGATTATCGACAACTTAATACAAATACAGTGAAGGATAAGTTTCCATTACCAATAATTGAAGGTTTATTAGAATATTTACATGACTGCAAGTGTTTTTCAAAGTTGGATTTATCACAAGGTTATTATCAAGTGGCTATTGCTCCAGAAGATAGAGAGAAAACTGCATTTATTACTCATGATGGATTATATGAATGGAATGTTATGCCGTTTGGATTATGTAATGCACCAGCAACGTTTCAAAGAATTATGAATTCAGTTTTGCAAGGTTTTATTGGAAAATTTGTGGTAGTATATTTAGATGATATTCTTATTTACAGTAGGGATTTTGAAGAACATAAAAATCATTTGACCCAGGTAATGGATGCATTGAGGAAACATCATTTTATTGTCAAGAAGAAGAAGTGTGCTTGGTTTATGAAACAAATTGAATTTTTAGGTCATATTATTAGTGCTGGTGGTGTTCGTCCAACTCAATCAAAAATTGAAGCAGTTCAGAAGTGGGAATGTCCAAGAACACCAAAGGGAATGAGAAGTTTTATTGGATTTGTTCTGTATTTAAGAAAATTTATACCAAAGTTTGCTCAAATTGTACGACCATTGAATTTATATGCTCTTAAGAAAATACCATTTGATGAATCATTCAAAGATAGATTTAAGAAGTTGCAAGAATTAGTCACATCTGCCCCAATATTAGTACCTCCAACACCAAGTGGAACTTATATAGTAACAACTGATGCATCAGATTATGCTGTGGGATCTGTTATTCAAACAACAAATTTAGATGGTAAACCAACAGGAGTAGTTGCATATTATAGTCAATCATTATCAACAGCTGAACAGAATTATCCAATTAGAGAGAAAGAATTGTTGGCAATTATTAGAACATTAGAAAGATACAAACATATCTTATTGGATCATCATCTTGTTATTAGAACTGATCATCATTCATTACAATTCATTTTGAGTCAGAAGAAGGAACCTTCCAAAAGAATTGCACGTTGGCTTGATTTATTAAGTGAATTTGATTTAGAAATTGGATACATTAAAGGTGAAACTAATATTGCAGATACTTTATCTAGATCATGGGAACATACTTTTACATTAAATGCAATTTCTGTTGCTGTCCATAATCAGGTTTTAGGTGGTCAATTTTTTCAAGATGTTCAAGAAAATTATCAGAATGATATGACAACAAATGAGGTTTTTGAAACATTGACAAATAGAAGTGTGAGTACTTCTAAATATATCAAACATTATCTCAAGAATTTTCAAGTTGAAGATGGTTATTTATACTATAATGGTACCAATAAATATGGAGAAATGCAACCAAGATTGTGGATTCCAACTCCAGCTTTACAACGAATCGTAATGGACAAATTTCATAATGCTGAACATAATAGTCATCCAGGTGGTCTTGTTACTTATCTTGATATTCATCAGTTTTATTATTGGCCTTACATGGAGAAAGATATTAAAAGATTTGTTAGTAAATGTCCAATTTGTTTATCTGTTAAACCAGGGAATACTTTAACCAACGGATTAATTCAACCATTACCAATTCCACAATATAGATGGCAAAGTGTTTCATTAGATTTTATTAGTGGTTTTCCAAGAATTGAAGGTAAAGACCAAATTTTAGTTGTTGTTGATAGATTTACAAAGAGAGCTCATTTTATACCATGTACTAAAACAGTTACTGCCAGAGGAACTGCTCGTCTTTTTATGGAGAATGTTGTTAAACATCATGGTTTTCCTGAAGAAATTGTAAGTGATAATGATATTAGATTTACTGGTCATTGGTGGCAAGAATTTTTTCAATTTATGGGTATCCATATCGTCACTGGATACACTACGCAACACAAAAAGGGGGAAAATAGGGTGTAGATGATTGGTTCAGGCTAACATCTTGGAAGGGAAACCACCTCTAAAGAATAAGACCATCTCTGATTATTATTGATTAAAAGTATTTCTATCCAACTGTCGTGATCAAGGAATCCGGCTGGTTTATATACTCCCGAGCTACTCTCAGTCCTGCATATAAACTGTGGCGTAGTAAACCTCACTGGTACTAACCCACAACAAAAAAAATTTTTGCAGTTTAATATGTCCAAGCTTTCAAACATTATATGCAGGATTTTCGAGTGAAAATTAAGCGGCTTTTGGGGGTTTTTTAAGGGTGCGAAAGATGGGAAGGTTTGTGAAATAATTTGCAAAATTTTGTTCATAACTTGAAATAATTGGAGTTGAACGATAAAAAATACTCATCAAGATGAAGTTATTTCATCTTGTTAAGAATTTTGATAATAGCTCTTCGCTCAAAAAACTATATTAACCACAACAGGTTGCTTGAAATAGGGGGAAACCAAAGAAAGTTATCGACAAGTGGACCATCAAAGAATAAAACTACCACAGGGCCTCCACCTCTTTTTTTTTACATATACAATCTGTTTATTGAGTTCTTATACGTACTAACATACAGAAATGTAACAAACAGAAAACAATATACTGTAAAGGCAAAAAGCAGCATTGCCTAAAACCTTATTAGCGGCATCCTAGAGACTAAGTGTATAAGAATAGTTGTTAAGACTCTTCGACGCGTATGATACCCATTTTATATTTTTTTTACATCCACAATCTGTTTATTTTTTTTTTACATATAGTTTATTGAATTCTTATACATACTAACATACAGAAATATAACTCATAGATTCCATTAATGGGTACCTCCATCCATATCACTACTGAATTTTATTATTGAACATATCATCAATGTTTTGGATAGCGCAAAATGATTCTATCAACGAAACATTATTTTCGTGCTCTCAAATCAATATGTCATTAGTAGTTTATTTTTTTTTACATATACAATCTCGACAGTGGAAATATAACGGATATGTCATTTGGCTAATCTGCAGTACTCCCGAATCCAATTTTTATATATTTGAAACCATAAATAAATTGCTTTGGTTGCAAAAGAAAGCTTCATTGTTGAACAAAAGAGAAACGCACATATCCGATTTTGTACTAGAGGTTACAGATTCGAACCAGTATATAAAAGAAAAGGCATGAAACAGCTCTAATGCTATCGTGCCATCGGGGATTCTTGAAATTGAGAATGCTAGCAATTTCAAACATTTGGAACATCCAGTCTTTTGCATTTTTTACAATTATTGAACCTAAAAACCGTAAGTGACCTTGCTATTGGCATTAGTATACGAATGCATGAAGGCTATTATCCCACTTAATTAAGTCTCAGCTTAGTTCCAGAAGAATCACAGGTATGTGCATAGACCAGAATCCACTCCAATTGCATCAATCCAACAACTACAAAAGTTAAACCATCACCAGCCACCAGCGAAAGAAATTGAGTTGTCGTTGTGGCAAATACAGGATGCAGTAAGAACAGAAAACGATATTCTTACATTGATTTTGCTCTGACATCTTAAAGAGAAGTCTATTACGAGAAAATCATCATTCCTGAATTTTACTTAACCACTATGATTAATTATCGTGTCTAGAATTGGTATTTGTTGGTTATTGGTCGTCTAAATCAGGGTTTTTTTTTGTGTGGTTCTAGAATGACTACAAAAATTTGCAACAGTATTTGACGCCAGGTTGCAAAAAAAAAAATTAGAATTCATTTGTCCTTTTCTTCTCTACTGTTTACAAAGAAGAAATCCACCAATTCAATAATTTACTCCGCTTTTACAAATTCAATATCATCAACTCAACAAATTCCATTGAATCTTTGAATGTTCGAAGATGTATTTTTGACGTGAAGTTGTTAATTCGAAAATGAGACCTATTTGGGGCAAAATCTGCCACAGAAATGAAATTAAACCACAGAAACGAAATTGAAACATTCTCCAACAACGATCAATATTCCAATATGACTACTCCTTTATCAAAAAACCAACCCACTAGTATCTCAGTAAAGTTAACTTCCAACCATTATTATAATACCACATACAAAGCACACCAAAATAATTATGAAAATGCAGAGATGAAGAAATGGTGGTCCTAGATAATTTGGAGAGAGTTAAACCGGATTTCTTGGATCAGTGCTACCCTTTCAGGCTGAATTAGCCACCTGACCAATGGCTAGTTTGTGTGATGGAGTTTTATCTGATTTCAGGGAAGAAGGTTTGGCTTAATCTAAGTTGGAATTAACAAGAATAGTGGGGTTGGGAAATTGATGTGAATCCAATGGTGGTGACGGAATTTGAAAAGAATTTAATGGGATTTCAATTTTGGTGATGGATCATTTGTGAAGAAAAGCTTTAATGTGGATTCCAATCAAGTCAAAGAATTAATGCTGATACAATTTGGAGAAAGTTGAACTGAATTTCTAGGATCAGATTAATTCTTCATGCTGAATTAGCCACCTGACCAATGGCTAGTTTTGTGTGCTGGATTTTTATCTGATTTCAGGGAAGAAGGTTTGACTTGATCTAGATTGGAATTAGAAATGAAGAGTGTGATCAAGAAATAGGATTTCAATTTTGGTAGTGGCCAATTTCAATGGTAGTGATGATTTTCAAGCATACTTCAATTGTGGTGATGGGCATTTCAATGGTTGTTTTGGAGATTTCCAAGTGGGTTTTAGTGGAGGTCAAGGGGATTTTGGTTTTGATTTCGGTGGTGGTATTGGAACCGTTTCAATAGTGATGGTGGACATATTTATTTTCATTTTGGTGATGGTGGTGAAAGAATATCATTGAATTTGGATTTTGATCGTGGTGCTGGTGGATGGATCAATGTTAATGGTGGAGACTTGAATGTTGGTGGTGTTGGAGGTGGTGGTGGACGAGGAGGAGGAGCAGAAGGAGGAGGAGGAGGAGATGGTGGTGGTTGAGGAATCAATATTAGGGGTGGAGATTGGAGTTGGAGTTTTGGTGGTGGTGGTGGCGGCGGCGATGGTGGTGGTGGTGGTGGTGCGGGAATGTAGTGGTGGTGATTCATGTAGATTTCGGTTGTGTATTTGTGGCCCTTTGCGAATTTGATATAGATCCAATGTGGTGATGGATCGTTTTCCTAGAAGCCGTAGTGGAATTCAAGACCGGTGCTAGCGAATTTGAGAAGAGTTCGATGTGTGGTTCAATCGGTTGTGTGAGAGTAAATTTGGGGAGAATTTGATGTGGAGTTCACTGACGATGGAGACATAGACAATTCGAAGAGTGTTTAATAGGGAGGTCATTGGTGATGTTTGGGGAGAGCAATACATCACTCAACAATTCCCTAACAATGATCACTGGCTCTATTAGTGCTTTTCCAAAGAGTTTAATCAAGAAGAAAGACCTTGCCAACTGGATTTCATGCTTTAGAGCTACAACATCATTGACGGCTTTACCATACAGCGTAGGGCAAGTAAGATTGCTCGTCGTAGCCAACGCGTCACATAGTTCAATGGGTCAAGGGTTACAGATACTTCCATTCAAACTCAGGAAATTTCCAAAACTTTAAAAAACGCGACTCGTCACCCGATATGTGGATTTCTACGTTTCTCAGCCTCATGTGATATCCCTTTGACCACATTCTAAAGTGGTGAGTGGAACGGTCTAGGAAACCCGCATCCCTCTAACTACTTATCCACAGAAGAAGGCTTTACGATTTTGCTCTTATGGATCTGTTAACTTTTTGTGACATGTGCGTAGATATGCCCTTTTCATTGTAGGAATCAAGAGCCCGAACTAAAACAGAACAAAATCGTGCTAATTAAATCAAAACAATTCTAAAAATACCTCAAGAATTTTTTTTGTCCCACTTTTTCTTCGAGGCCTTTATTTTTTTGGCGATGAGTTGTTAGAGGATGTATGTTACAAGAGTTTTGTTTATTCAGAAGTCTGTAGAGACATGTCCTATAGCCAGCTTTGAAACGATATGTACAATACACTCATAAGCTGCAAGTAACCTATTTATAGATTTGGAATGCTTTCTTTCGTGTAAATTAAATTCCCATAATAAAAAGCATAAAGAAGCATTAACCTAAGGAAACTTCGAGAAGAGAAGTCAAACAATCTTCTACTATCTACTACATCAAATGAATTGACTAATTTTAGCAAACAACCGAATTGAAATTGTTTTAACTCTGGGGAAAGTAAACAAAGAAAGCTAATTCTCTTCCTCTTGAATTTAAAATTCAATGGAGTAGGAATTCAGAACCCGAGATGCCGTTGAAATTGTCAACTCCTTGTTTTGTCCTACTTTTGACAGGAAACAAAATTTCTTGGTAACATCACTGCACCTAAGCTCCCACATTGCAAACAAGAAAAGAAAATCCTAAAGCGTACGTTTACCCGTTAAAACTGTACCCTAGAAAAGCATTTCCTTACCATGTGTCAACCTTGAGAATCCAGCCATAAGTTGATGACTCATATGCTACCCTTTTTTAGGGAGGTAAGAAGGTTGACGGAATTCATATTCCTATACTGGTATTGTTGTTATGAAACCTCTTGAAAACCGTTTATACAGGAATCTTTTCCGTTAACTTAATAGATGCGTCATCAGTCATGAAAATCTTTCTGTACAGGAATCCATTCCGATCGAGGTTGCACAAAAACCCTGTCAACAGAAAAAGTTTTTTTTCTTTTCTTCGCCTGCTACAAAAAAGAAAAAAGTGAGACAACCGAAGTTATTTTTAGTACCGCGCTTAATGAAGACTTAGAATTGCCAATTTAAGACATCGGCAATTCTCCAACAATTTCCTTCTTATCAGTTGGAAGGAAATTCCTCGAGATCTATCTCTGAAAGGGTATCATAACCGACTTCTCCAGGAACCAAACGCGTCTAAAACCGGATAATTTACATCATCTTGTGCGATGGATCGAAATTTCTCCGGCTTATAATCGTGGGGCAGAAATCCTTAGCCCCATCTTGTTCTACAACTAAAAACTTTCTGATCTCTGTGTAAAATATGATTTTCAATCCGCCCACAAGGTCAAGCACTTTGACAATGAGAATAAACTGATAAACCTCTGTTATATATTTTAAAATAAAAATTAGTATGAAAATAAAAAACTAAGCAAAAAGAACTAAAGAATTAAATAAGAGTATATAAATGGAAAAACATAACAAAAATCTTTTTAAAGTAACCCAAAAAATTAAATAACAAACAAAATCAATTAAAACCGTCTAAACATCTGAAGAAGATTCTCTAAGGAATTCCTTGGCCATATCAGCATCTGGAATAGAACCACAAATGGTTTCAACCATAATACCGGTAACCAAGTATGGGTCAATGTTAGAAGCTGGTCTTCTATCTTCAAAGTAACCATAACCTTCTTTAGCAACTTGTCTTGGGATTCTGACTGAAGCACCTCTGTTGGCAACACCAGAACTGAATGATTCGATAGAAGCAGTTTCATGACGACCAGTTAATCTTTGTTCATTATCAGCTCCATATAATAACATATGTTCCTTATGTCTCTTGGCTAATTTACTTAAAGCAGTTTCAATAGTTTTCATACCACCTGGGAGTCTCATTGACTTGGTAGAAACATTAGTATGACAACCAGCACCATTCCAGTCACCCTTTAATGGTTTAGGATGGAAGGAAATCTTAACACCAAATTCTTCAGCAACTCTTTGTAAAAGATAACGAGCAACCCATAATTGATCACCCATTTCAATACCTTCACATGGACCAACTTGGAATTCCCATTGAGATGGCATAACTTCAGCATTAATACCAGAGATGTTAATACCGGCATAAAGACAAGCACGGTAATGTGCTTCAATAACATCTCTAGCAACAACCTTACCGGTACCAACACCACAGTAGAATGGACCTTGTGGAGCTGGGAAACCACCCTTTGGCCAACCGTATGGGTAATCATATTGATCGAATAAGGTATATTCTTGTTCTAAACCGAACCAAACAACTTCTTCAGCATGAGCCTTCATTAATTTAGCACATTCATGTCTGTGGTTGAATTTGTTTGGAGTACCATCATTGTTCCAACATTCATTTAAAACAATAACATTGTCACCCTTTCTGAAAGGATCTGGGTAGTAAGCAACAGGACGTAAGTAAACATCGGAATCATGACCTGGAGCTTGACCAGTAGAAGAACCATCATAGTTCCATTCTGGTAAATCATCAACAGATTGTGGAGCCTTGGCTAAGGTTCTACATTTGGATCTAGTGTTACCTTCAGCATCAATCCATACATATTCAGCTAAGATCTTACCCTTTTGTGGTAAATCTAAATATTTAGCTAAGATAGCAGTTTGTTCAATATGAGAAGCCATTTTTTATATTTGTATTATAATTGTTTGTAGTAGTTATTGCTATAAAGCAAAGGGGGAGTGTTTAAAGGATTAAGCAGGTCTTAATTGATAAGATGAAGAAGAAGAAGAGAAAAGAAAGAAGAGATTGCAAAATTTTTATTTCGAGGAGATTTGATAAAACTTTTATAGTTGAAATTTTATTTATTAAAATAAAAACCTCTCAACTGTAAAGTTTATTTTGCAATGCACCAAAACTTAAAATTTTTCTTCAAAAAGAAACGAATGATCGTCCGGTTAAGAAGGGGATCCCATTGTTAATCAATCCAATAATATTTTTATCTTTTGTGTAACCAATAAAATTCCCGATGTAACAGGTTTTTTTCGTAAGTAAATGTCCGGCATATACATTTTCCGTTTTATCAACACCTTTTTTAATTCAGGATTTTAGTTCTTGCCGCGTTTTTTCGTTGATGCTTATCAGTTTTTTTCATGGGAATAGAGTGGCGAGGTTTGATTTAGGGGTGCCCCAAATGCTAAATTACAGAGGCATTTTTTTTCCCTCAAGTTCCAAGAGAGTTTAAAGAAGAGGAACAGTACTTGAGGGAAATCATACGACCTACAATTATAATTATCTTGCGATGGCTTTTAAATTTATCCCTCCATCAGCACATTCCCAGCATTGGAATCAAGGGGGTTGGTACCGAAATGTGTCAATGGAATTTTATCGTGTGAGAACCAAACCTAGGGGTATATGCAGTATGTACATTCCGTCGTCGTTTTTTTTCTGGTAAGGTGACGCTTTTGATCCAGTGATGCACGATGATTCATCGTCTGAAACAGCATACAATTGGGTTTCAACTAGAGAAGAGATGAGATGTACTCAAAGTACCAAAGTACCACTACAGCATTGGTGCGATAACACCCAAGGATCATATTAGATGTAGCTATCTCTGTCGTCTTGGGTCCCATCACCCAGAAATTTTGATTTGGAGAATTTCACATCCACCCCTAAAGTATGGAGGTGAACAAAAATAACAATGGGAATTTTAGGAACCAAAGAAAGGAAGAAAATAAAAAAATAAAGGCTGTACATCCGTTCAACCTTAAGTCGTGTACCCGGACCAGCCTGCACATTCTTATCTATATGCAGACTGGATGCAAATATTTTTTAATGAATTTACAACGAAGAATCAATTCTAGATCAGATTGTGATCCAAGCCGAGATGATAGATTGCAACTTTTGATATCGGGTACCAAACCATTTACCACAAGGGGTCCTTTACAGTATAAATGGGGGATCATTGTATACTTTTCCTGTCAATTATTATACGCTTGAGTTCAAAAATCCTAACTTGTAAAATCAACATTTTCTTATCAAATTAATTACACCAAGAAATCCCTCCCCAGGCAAAAAAACAATAAAGAATCATGTGTTTCCACTGTTTTTTCAATGGTTAACCGATTGTTGCGATGCTAAACCCCATTATTCCCACAAATCAATTTACCCTTATCTTCTAATATGGCCATTCATTTCAGCACATTCAAAATTACCTTCCCCAACTCGAACCAGATAACACGCCAAATGTTTCACACGCCATCAGTGCCCAATTTTTCGTTTGAAATGTGGGGACATTCCCGCGAATTACAGAGTGTCCATTTGCTTAAGAAGTATGGAATAGGGATTTGACGCTCGCTGAGAGTAGTATCATCACAAATTGCCTTCTTGAATCAGGTGATTTTCCCCAGATTTTCCATTTATTCCTTTTACTTCTTTTCATCGAGATTCAGGATTTTGTGCATTGATCTCCGGGTTAACTTAGAGTTTGGTCTTTTCATCTGCCCCTCAAATTTACCCCAACGGCTATATGGAAAATTTTTCTTCTTTTTCCCTCGCTTACATTATCTGACAGTGAATAGAAATAATTATTATCGGCCAATGAAATTACATCAAGCTGAAATTGTCTAAGTAAGTTACATTTTTGTTTCTCTGTCAATTTAGTGAATCATGTGTGTTTGCAAATTGTCTTAATTGATCCGTTAAACCATCAATTGCAAATATCACCACGCCTTGAATGAATGACCGGAGTTATTATTTCCGCCCCAGTTCCAAAATTAGCATCCATTCAATATATGAACAATCGTAATAGATACATTTTACGATAAGACAAATTATTTTATTATTACTACACCGCCAATTTTTTGTCTAAGTGTCAGCCTTAAGAAATAAAGAGGGGCGCGTGGATGGCTGTCGCAATTATTTTTTTCCCCCTTTGTTTATCCTTATCAAAAAAAAATAACTGATAACGAACATCCAAACTGACAGCCTTTGAAATAAATTTCATTTAGCGCCATACCCCATATTTCATAAAAACACCTCTTATATCTGAATGTTTCGGAGTTCGATCTGATATCACCTTCGAAAAGACACTCTAATCAGGGGGCCCTAAGAAAAGAAATCTCGTTAATGATTTAGTCTAATTTGAATAAAGGGATCTTCTTATCAATATATGTCTATTAAAAATTACTACTGTACGTACGAAGTTTAGGAGAGATTAAATCTCTCGCTTCTAAAAAAAAGAACTATCGCTTAATCGTCAAGGACTTCTACGAATTCTTCAAATTCTTCAATGATATATTCAACAGATTCATCTGATTTGTCAGATAGTTGTGAAGAAGGATCAATTTGTTCTTCAGTACCATTAGTGATCGTACTTGAATTGAATTGACTGGAGATTGATTCAGATGAACCATTGGATTGAAGTGAAGTTGATAAGTTTACTAGGCTTGGCTGTTCCATTATTTTATCGACAGATGTAGCTTCATTGGATTTGCCTTCAGTTTCTTGAGATATGCCAATACTGATACTTGAATTAGACTTATCTTCTTGATGTTCACTTATCTGCTTTTCCAATTTATCCTTAGTATCAGTTGATTCATGCACCAGTGTATCAATGGTAGATTTCCTTTCAGTTGAAGTTGATTCAGCTGGCTTTTGTATAATTGAAGGAGTTTCCAAAGTGTCACTACTGACTGTTGAATTCAATAGTTGTACTTCGACACTACTGCTTGATTCACGCTCTATCCTTTCTTCAGTTGATTGTTTTGAACTTTCAATAGAGCTCACTGGTTTTATCTCAGGACTTGAGCCTACAACAGACGAACTAGATTCAGCTTTTGTCTTACCTTCACCATTCAAGCTACTTTCTGTTAAGTTGGATTGCGATATTGGAACATTAGATTTGACGTTAATTGAGCCAGGTGTAGCAGAAGCACTTTCAAAACTTGATTTGATTTCAATAGAAGAGGATTCAGCTGAACTAGCAGAAGGCTCTTCTTGAATAATGGATTGTGATTGTTTATGAACTGATGCAACAGAAGACTCACTTTGAATAGGTGATTGGGATTGTTCTTTAACAGTGACCGAATGAACGAAAGTCCCCTTGTCAATAGTTGATTGGGATTCTTCTTTAACATCATCAATCGATTCAGTATCCTCCTCTTCAAGCTTACCATATTTAATCAACTTAATACCCCGTTTTTCCATCTGCGTCAAATCATGCACCAACCCTTCCCGCAATTGGAAAGCAACATTTGCCTTAGCTCTAACCAATTGTAAATAATCAGCATTATCTCTAATCAAAAAATTCAAATGAAATTCAATATTCTTCAAATATTCATTCCATTCATTCATTCCCACAACTTTCATCTCCGCCTTTTTATTATCTTTTTTATATTCATGAGCGGAATCATATAAATAATCTCGGAAATCAAATAAGGATTCTTTTATTTTATGAAATTGTTGCCACATTTTCCAACTGACTGCATCATCAACAATATCTAAGTCGGTAATTAAGGCTGTTAACCTATTCAGAAATTGGGTCATGGTAGTTTCACTATATGTTTCTAAAATGTCAATAGTATTTTGAATTTCAGTAAAATATTGTTCCAATATATAATTATGATTTTCGGTGAGGATGGATTGGACTCGTTGGGAGCATTGATCAGCTAAACTATAACTTGCAGCTATATCATCTCTTATTTCTTGTCTAGTAATAGTTTCTATTGAAGTATCATTGGTATCGGCTATACGTTCGGCATCTTTGTGGATCTTGCTAATCTTTTCATTTAAGGATTTATATTGCATGTAATGATTCTTTTGTAAATCCTGGAACTCACTGCTGATATTTGGTTTAATTGATTCGATGATATGTTCGATTTTAGTTTTCATTTCAAGTTCAAGATGAGTAACAGCCAATTCAATGGTTTTGTTAACTTTCTTTTGCCAATAATTGATTTCATCTTGAAGTTGGGAAATTACAGGATCGGTTTCAACCGAAAGCGCGGAAGTTGAAGATGCGGTAATTGTAGATGCGGTAATTGTAGATGTGATAACTATGGTTAAATGCTCTTCACCTTCGTAATCGGAACTTGAATATTCTTCTTCATAATAGATATTTAATAAATCCTTTACAATCTGAACAATATTCTTCAGTTTTGCTTCATTAGGGGTAAACTCATCAAATTTATGTAAATTCTTGAATTCATTTTTGAGGAATTGAGTCATTTGTCTAGATTTAGCAGCGTGTTTTGATTCACTGATTCTTTTAAAGAATTGCGAATACCATTCTATAATGGATTGAACAGCTTTCAAAGAAACAAACTTGCTCCAACCCTGTCGAACTATATCACTTGCGATTGATGTAGATATCCAAGTCCATGCCTTTGGATAGAATATATCCCATTGGTATTTCAACAATGAACAATATTTAATGAACCTGGATTCAATCCATTGATAACCCACTTCAAAATAAGGTACAACATTTACCTGCAAATAATTACCCGCTACAGCCACATATTTCCACAAATAAGAAGCAGCAAGCTTTACATTACTTACCAAATGAACTTTATCATCAATGGCTCTCATGACACTAATACCAGTCTCATACTTCTGAGCCAATCCCAAAGTCTCATCACAAGCATGAACGATAGGATATACATTTGACTGATAGGCAGGAATAACTGTATCCAAATAGATTGGTTTAAAGTATCTATCACTAACTGTACAAAAATTGTAGTTTATTGGAGATAATGGCTTTATATGTGATTTGTGAAATGGAGAAACATTATTGATTGGACAAATAAACGTCCACGCATAGAATACGTAAAGGGTGACTATAGTTAGCCCCCATTTGAATGATGTATAGCGGGATACCATAATTGTGTAATTGATGGGGGATTCAACAGAAGCTATGTTGTTAATGGTTGGTTGGTATTTGGACAAGTTGTATTTTTTTCTGTTTGTCGATCATCTCTGTTTCATTTTGAATTGATGTTTCTCAGTTGCGCTTTTTCTTGAGGTTTATTTGAGATATGAAGATGCTAAGATCTCAAGGATAAAAGTCTTCAGTCAACCTATTCGACAATAGATAATTAATTAAATATATCTCGCTTCTATTTGATTCAGAGATTTGTATTCAGCACAATTGGATATTTGGGTATCTGGCTAAATCAATACTTCTCTTCTGCCACAAGTATATGGGGATATGAGCCCAAACCAAAAATACGTGCGCTACCAGTCGTACATAGGCGCTTACAATATGCTGGATTCATATTCCCTCTATTTAAGCTAGATGACTATGGCTGTTACGTGGTTGTGTAGACGATATTCAGTATTTTAAATCTTCGAATGAGGATAGTTTTTTTCACTTACCTTTCTATTGCGTACATAACCCAAAATTACCAGATAGTGCAACATAGCATGATACCCATATGTGATACTAATCGACAGGGTTGAGACTCTTCAAATCTTAATGAATCAAGAAAGCACTTTGGCAAATACAAGTAGACGAACTAGTGCTATATAGATTCCTGGTTAATCTCTTCTACTTCTTTTTTTGTTGTTTTTGCAACCATTTGGTCAACTCCAGAAAGTGATTCAACTTAGGACCCACCGAATAGATCATCAAACCCCTTTAAAGCAAGCACTATAAATCTGTATGATTACTTTCAAATATCGCATAGTAATAGCAGTAGCATTTGAATAGTGGAAATTTGGGCTGCTATCGCTTCCTCGTACTCAGACTTCTCTAGTCTTGTTCTTCTGTTTTGAAAACAGAATGATGATTAGCAAATCATTGATATTCAGCTTTAAATCCCAATCGACCAAATCATATAGCCATTATCAGATGCAGAGACTGGTGTTTTTGAGCATTTCGAGCCCTGTAGAAAACACACACTTAGTGGGGGAAATTAAGTAAGCAAGCATCTAGAGAGAGTATAAACCTGTTGATTGAGGGTTGAACCATTTTATCTTGATTACTTGGAATTACTTCTTTGAATAAGTTTTGTTAGCCTGATTGGAGTTGTAAAAGGTCACACTATGGATTCAACGTGTTTTTTTTGGGTTTTCCGTTTTGCAGCATTTGTTTTTTTCTTGATTTGATTTGATTTGATCGCGGGGTGATAGAGAGGGCCGTTGAAAAATTTTTAGACAAACATCACAAACTGAAGTTCTTCTTGTGGAATGGACACGACGGCGCGTCTGTCTTTTATACATTGGGAAAACTAAGCTACAAGAGTAAACTGTTAGGTAGTATTTTATGTATGTACGTATATATATATTAAATTAACTAAGAAGGGAAGAGAGATTAAAGTAAAATCATATTTATAGATAAAACAAATCAGAAATTGATAAAGGAACATTTATACAACAATTGAATGGAAGGTCACTTTGTAGGTCATTCATTCATTCAAGTTCTCTTCAACGGGTATAAAATATTGACTTTGTTTAATTCCCATACAATTTTTTACTTTATTTATTTATTTATTTATTCAAAAACAACTCATATATCAAAATTAAATAACCGGGTTTATTTACCAACAATCTTGGAAATTTCTTGATAAGTACGAGTTTCAATAAGTTCAGTAGCTTTATACAATTGAAGAACAAATGGATAAACATAAGTTTCATACTTATTCTTAGCACAAAGTACCTTTTGATCAACATTAAATTCAGCATATTTTGGATGAGAATAAACTTGGGAATCTAAAACACCAGATACCTTGGAAGTAATTGGTTGGACATCTCTAAGACCAGTTTCTATTAATCCACATAAATAAACTTGTCCATCATATAATGGATTAACTTCAATTTGTTGTTGAATTTCTGATGAAAATTGTGGACATTTATAATTATGTAAGTAAATGGAATAATACAAGATGATACATGCTAAGAAGCATTTGACTTTGGCAAATAAACTCATTGGAATTATAGAATTAGTTAATATACTTATGGGTTGATTTTAATCCAATGGAAGTAAAAGTAAAGGAAATTTAGTAAATAATTTTTTTTTGTTTGTTGTGTTCATCGTTGATCGTTCATCGTTCATCATTTTTTTTTTTTCAGTCAGTTAAATTTGACGAAACTTTTTTTTTTCGTTGACCTTCTGTGCACGTGATTTTGATAGAAAAATTTTAGTTTATTTTTTGTTGGCACTTTTGTTATCATTTACGCCTAATTAGGAATGTCGATTTTTCGCAACAACTGGGATCATTTGTAACAATTTTTAGATGAGATGATACCGGTGATGTAAGTTAAATGGACACTATTTACCTTTGTTCCCAATTAGGAAACAACCTGAACCCTTGAGAGATCACAACTTGGAATTTTTTTACTGGAGTAAATCTCTACCTACATTTTCAAACACGTCTTAAAGACACCCTTATTCTATTGGAAAGTAAAGAGTACCCACCAATCTCGAAGCAACAAACTCGTCATGCCCTTTGTCAAGCAAGAGTGCCCATCTACGCCTATAAGGTTATCAAATAGAAAGTCATACTCAATTCTCACCCCAATTTCACCCAATAGAATAAACCAAAGTCCACCGAAAGTAGATCTCAAGGCACCACCACAAAAGAGAGAAAGAATAATAAGTGAATCAACAGGATTAGTCAAATTTGCATTATCTCCAAAAGGTAAAACCAGCACAACTGGATCCAAATCAAGAAGCAGCAACACCAAAGCAAGTCCAAGCAAGCTTGGTTTACCTGTGCATATCCCAATCAACCCAACCTTGGTGGAAGCAAAACCAAAAACAATAGAAGACTTACAAGCCGAGCAAAGATATTTACTTGAACAGTATTCTATAAAACAAGCACAATTACATGAATATGAACGGAAAGTAGAATCTAAGAAACTTGAATTATTGGAAATTTCTCAGAAATTGGAAACTAGTAAAAGAGAAGAAGTGATTCTTTCAGGAAATACAACATCCAGTGATATCTACAAAAAAGCGTATGACGAAGCTGAACGGGAATTAAGCAAATTGAAGATCAGACCCGATAGTCCTAGTAGACGAAATACACTCAAAAAGAAACCTTCGTTCCTTCAACAAGCAAATTCTCTCAAGAAGCAAGCTTCACAAGCATTTGAAGAAACTATAAATCAAGACAATCTTAGGAGACAAGCTTCGGTTGTAAAACAATCATTTGAAATAAATCCAAATACAATCAAGAAACGTGCATCATTTATAAATCAAGCCTTTGATGATTTGAACAGCAATGTGAAAAAGAGAGCTTCTACAATCTTTACCACCCCTACTATGGCAAATGATGACTTTCAAAGTTTGATTCAACAATCAAATGAAAAAATTGATGGATTTGCTAAACAAACTACTAAATTCTTTAATGAAGTTACAAGTACTAAGTTCTTTAATGATAATATGTTTAACAGCATTAACAAAACCAATCCATTTGTTTCTAGTAGAGAAGAAGATATTGCCAATAGTTCATTTAATTTTGATAACCTTAAAGTCGAGAAAGATGTAGATACAAATAGCTTTATCTATGAACGCTCATTTGAAGATTCAAGAGATGAGATCCATATAGATGATTATGATTCATCATTCGATTAAATAAAGCATATATTCTAAACATATTCTATAAATAGATACAATATAAAAAAGTCAATCTAATCCTCATCATCTAACCACCCTTTAGCTCTATCAATTGCCCTTTCCCATCTCTTCCAATTCTTTCTTCTATCAGCATCTGCCATTTTTGCCTTAAATTCATTATTTTCTTCTCCTTCACCACTAATTGTAGCAATCACATCATCAAGATCTTTCCAAATACGCTCTCCTTCATCTTTAAAAGACAACCCGGCCGCGATTGCCGCTCCCAAAGCCGTACATTCAGAAATTTGTGCTCTCTTTACTGTAACACAAGGACCCAAAATATCAGCTTGAATTTGCAAAACCTCATCCGCCTTGGACATCCCTCCATCAGTAGCCAATGTCGATAATAATCTATCTTCATGTTGTGAAGACAATGCTTCTTCCAAGAAATCTTCCGATCCACCAGCATCACTTGCCATTGCCTTCAAAATCGCTCTAACTTGATAACAAACCCCTTCTAAGGCAGCTCTAGCAATATGAGAAGCAGAAGTGTATTGAGTCATACCGAAAATCGTCCCTCTTGCTCCACGATCCCAATATGGGGCATATAATCCCGAAAAGGCCGGAATGAAAACAACTCCACCGGAGTTCTGAACTTGTGATGCTAAAGGACCGATATCTTTGGCATTTTCGATCATTTTTAAATTATCTCTCAACCATTGAACAATTGATCCGGCAACGGCAATTGAACCTTCCAATGCGAAATGAGGCTTTCCTGAATCACCTTCCAATGTAGGGAACCAATATCCCATGGTACTTAATGCACCATGACTGGATACTAATTTACGTGTACCGGTGTTGTATAATAAGAAACAACCTGTTCCATAGGTACATTTAGCAGCACCGGGGCTGAAAGCTAATTGTCCCACTAATGAAGCTGATTGATCACCTAAACAACCACAAATTGGGACATTTCTAATTGTTTTCAAAATATCATAAGCTTCTTGGGTAATTTTATTATGAAATCCTAATTGGGATAAATTTGGGGCTGTGAAAGATCCATAGAATTCGGATGAAGATACAATTTTTGGCATCAGAATCTTAGTTGGATCTATTCCCCAAAAATCAAGTAAATCATCATCATAGTCCAATGTTTCTAAATTCATGAAATAGGTTCTTGAAGCATTGGTTATATCAGAAACAAATGTTTTTTCTTTAGTTAAATGATAAATTAACCAAGTATCAACAGTACCAAACATTAAATTCCCATCTCCCTTTTCATATTCTTCCTTGATAACCTCATCATTATCCAATAACCATCTTAATTTCGCAGCTGAAAAATATGTAGACAAAGGTAATCCAGTTTTCTCTTTTAATTCCTTCTTTCTATCTTCATCAATCATTTTTTCTAAATGTTCAACAATCTCAGCAGTTCTAGTATCAGTCCAAGTAATCCCACCACTAAGTGGTTTCCCCGTCTTCTTGGACCAAACAATAGTTGTTTCTCTCATATTTGCTATCCCAATAGCTTTAACCTTATATTTAATTTTTAATTCTGGATTTTGATTGATTTTACGTAATGAAATCAAACAAGCAACAAGACATTGAACCGCATTTGCCAAAATATGAACAGGCATACATTCAACCCAACCAGGTTGTGGGAATCTCAAAGTGGGTCCAACAGATGATTTATTATTTTCAATTTCAACATGATCATTAATTGAAATAGCAATACCTTCAGCTGAAAATATTGGTTCATTATGTCTCATTAATGAAGATCTTCTTCTAAACTGTTCGGTGTTTTCTGAATTTTCAGGTGCTTCTGATGCGGTTGTGGAATATTCGATTTGGTGTTTAGCGAGTTCTATTCCTTCTTTGGAGAATAAGATTGCTCTAGCTGATGTGGTACCAATATCGATGGTTGCAATTACTGGCAATGAAGGAGCTGAACTTTCACGACGTGGCATATTTGTATACGTGTTTTGTTGTGTGTCTATATGGAATAATCTAAGAAATGAAGTAAACTAGTCTGAAGTACAACTTTGGCTTTAAGAAGGAAGAAGAAGAAGCTTTATATGTTTCCCATTTCTCTCTTAAGAGAAAGCGGAGGTCCCTTTGGTGGTCCATTTGCTCCCCTTTTAAATAAAATCCCCCCACCAAAGAAAATCATTTCTCACGGCAACAAAAAAAAGTTAAAATTTTTGTTACAGTAATTAATTATGTCCCACTTCTTTGTTTAGGCTAATATCAATCATTCCATCGCTTATTTTCTCGCGATTTTACAAATTTATTGTTGCTAATTGTATGGTTCCAACAATGGATGTGGTACTTTGCATGCTTTATCCAAACAATCAGACAAAGGGATAGAGAACTATTCTGCTCCCCCCGCCTCCACCCCACTTTTGTCCCAGTAAAATTCTCTCGGAACTTAAGGTTTTCTACCAATAAAAGATCACAATACAGAACTGGTGGAAAGTTGTAGCGAAATACCGTTCGAATTGCTACTAGAAATAAGGCAAACCGTTTCAGTACTAAAAATACAAGAACAATAAACTTAGATTAGTTTCTCCAATAAGAAGAAGAGATCTAACAAGGTACATATGCATATCTATCTTTTTCAACGCATATTAAAGACCGCCGTTTCTTTGTTCTTAATTTGCAGTATTCCATGTGAAATTTTTTATTGGCCATTTTGTAACTAAAACTATTTATTAATAAAACTTACTAACTAACTACTATTATAAGAATGAAGACTTATTAAATTAAAAATTCGTGAGACCCGTTAATTATATAACTAAAACAATTATTAAAAAAGTATGAAAAACGCTCAAATTTTAAATGCGTTTATGATAATATATTATACAAATAAATACACATCCACCCAACTCTCCTTTATTCTGAAATCTCTTCATCTTCAACATCTGTATATCCAGGATATTCAATATCAAATGGATCATCTTCCTCTTCAACATCTTCAATTTCATCTTGTTCACCTTGATTGTTAGCTTCAGCATATTCATCCAACCATACATTATTTTCAGATTGGAGTTTCAATTTATGCTTCAACAACCATGCTCTCATTTCATCAGTATTTCTATCACCTCTACCACCACTAATAATCTTAAATATCAACTTAAAATAACCAATCAACGAATTAAGTCCCCGCAAATATCCCATATCTGGTAATTTTGGATGTTGAGGTGGGATATTTGGTTTTTGATTCTCTTCAGTTTCAGCAATTACCGATTGAGCAAAATCGATAATTTTCACATTGACATGATCATAACGTTCACCACCTCCTTCATACATTAACAAAATCGAGGATCCATACATTCTGTATCCGGGTAATTCTCGGAAGATTTGATATAATTCGACAAGTTGATCAATTAGATTGGGGATTCGATACATGATTGAATAATTATCTCGTCCATTGTATAAATACTTGGCTAAGATTTTACAAAATTGTTTACCAATCTTAACTCTTCTTCCGAAATATTTATCTTTAAATATTCTTTGATTATTATGCTTGAAGATTTGTAATCCACATATTCTAACTCCTAATTTTCTTGAAGTTGTTGATCGACATTTATTTCGTTGTGATTGTTGCTTTTTCTCACTGGCTTCAATTCCATATTGTCTAGTACCCATTTTTAAATCCAAAACACAGGGATGATTAATATTTCTCGTCAAATCTTCCAATAATATAAATCGTTCAAATCGAGTATGTTTACGTAAAACAGGTATTGGAGAAGTTGAAGAATAATTCATGGACATAATTGATGGAGATGGAGATTTTGAATGATCATTATCAGCAGCTTCATCATCCATACTAAAAATATCATCATTATGACTTCCATTATTATTCAATTTAAGTGAAGGTTCAAAAACTTCTTGTAATACTTTAACTTGTAATTCGGTGTTGATACAAGTTGATCCCGGATTACATAGTCTTGGTGAATGAATTGAACTCAGGACAGAATGATCACGAGTGAGTTGAATACTTTTGGATCCTAACATACCATTACCTGTTGTCAAATCCGAATCACCATATTTTGGAGAGGGTAATGACGAGGAATATTTTTTCCATAATTCATCGGGGATAATATGTTTATTATCATCTAATACAACTTCAGGAGTCATTAATCCCGACATAATATCTTGATGTTTCCGTAAAGGTTTGGTTGGGGTGATGTCAATGCCATTATTTTTTAAATCTTGACTAGACAATTCCTTTTCTTTTTGTTCAGAAAGATCTTCAACACTTTCATTAATAACACTTGAATAACGAACATTTAAAACTCCAATATATTTTGGCATAAATTTTAATAAGTTAGAATGATGTAATTCAATAGTTTCATAAAAAAGATTTTCTCGATTTACTAATGCTTTACAAACAGCACGTTTTGAAAATGAAAAAATTGCCGTATGTCCTCCAACTCTATTCTTGAATGGTCTTAATTCAACAGCCAATGGGAATTGTGGTTCGATTTGTTCATTATTATTATTGGGAGGGGGAATAAAGGGGAAATCTTCAACTGTTGGTATTTGGGGAATGGTTGACTTTTCTTCGATTTGAGGGGTAGATGATCTTGAAAGTCTAATTAATGCCTTTTCAATGTCAATAATTTCATCAGGGGTATCTATAGTATTATAAAGGGATGATATGTTTGTTATATCTCCATTTAAGCCATGATCATACTCCACATTAGCTTTCAAATGCTGAGGACCAGTTGATTCTCTTGGGTCCGGAGAATATTCTTTGCTGAGCCCAGTAACATAGTGGTCAACTGCTGGTGTATGAGGTATATAAGTTGCTGATGATACTGGCTCTAATTCTATAGCTTCTGTGGTGATTGGTTTGATTGGACTTGGAGATGCTATTTTGCCTCGTGAAGAATCTTCTTGGTCATTTTTGCTAGGTCGGGATTCTTCATTTTTTACCGTTTCACGAAATATACGTAAAGATCGAGTTGCTTTTCTTCCTGTGACTAGACTTGTGGGAAGTGGAATGTCTGATGTAGAAGAGCTTGAAGTCTGTGAATAAAATGGCGGTTGTGTATTTGGTTCAGATGATGAGGATTCATGTATGGTAGGATATTCGATGCAAGATTTTTGATGATTAAATTTTGGTGGTTGATCTTGGGTTGAATTATGTATAGTTTGAATAGATGATGAAGTTTTTGCTCTAGATGGTTTCAGCCGCAAAGCCGCTACCGGTTGTAATGTAGTTGTAGTTGTAGTTGTAGTGCTAGTATCCATAATGATAATGTAGATGTACAAATAAGAACATAAAATTGACACAAGAAAAATGATCAGTTCTATCAACGGAATATGAATTTATTATGGACATATAATGTACAGAAAACGGAATGAAGTCTCTGTGTATGTGTCTCTCTGTCTTTGGTTTTTGGAATCTGATAGAAGTGTTATTGTTGTTGTTGTTTAACACTAAGAAATGTGGAGTGATGATTTTTACAAAAAGCAGACTCTCCTTTTCTCTCTGTCTCTCTATTGTACTTTTTTATATTCTAATTAAAGACAACCAAAAAAGTGTTGCAAAAGTCCAAAAACAAAATGATTCTATACAACCAAATCAGTTCTTGTTTTTTTGATTGTTAATAACTTCTGTTACTTAGGGAAGTGATGAGCTAAAATGGTTATGAAAGGGAAGAAGAAGAAAGTGATGTCAACAGGGTAAGTTTTTTTTTGCTGTCGTTGTAAGTTTCTATCTTTGGAAGTTAAGTTGTTAGTTCTAATTATTAAGCGAAACGATGAACCTTTTTTCTCTCAGTCCCTGTCTGTCTCTTTCTGTTGTTATTGCAATTTAAGTGAGAAAATAAAACTACACCCTTTAACAGTAGGTGGTACTGTAGTAGTTGTAATAACTGTAGTAGTAGTAGTAAATTAAATATGGATTGAGTATAAAAGGGAAAGATTTTTCAAAATGTTTCCGAAATCTTATAAATAAAAACTCAAGAATTATAAAAAGATAAGATAAAAATATTAAGAAAAAGAATTTAACAAAAAGAAGAAAATATCAATAGAAGATATTATCTTTTATATATATAATTATAATCAGTAAATAAAAACTAAGGGATTGTTCTTCTATATAATTATCATCATCGCCATGTGTCAAATATGAATATTCGTTTATAAAGAAGAAATTTCAAAGATTCTATATAAAGTTTAGAGGGCGTGGCATACCGTCCGACTATGCAAAGAAACACACCAAAGATGTATGGAAATTGCATGTAGCAACATGAGTTTTAGATAACAAAGTATGTGTGTATATCATCATGGGCTTACGACATGACTGCGTGGGGGACACAACAAAGCTTACTGTTTCATGAGAACGTGGTTTTTGACACAACGCTTCTTTTCACTTTATGTCCCACCTGGCCCTCTCTCTTATTTTTTTCTTTCTTTTTTCCCCACCACTTCTTCTTATTATTCCTCTCATCCCTTAGAAATTCTCTCTTTTTTTTTCGCTGTTGTCGCGCTCAGTTCAGGGGACATGTGGTGGTTACATCATTAGTTTCTTTACACGTGTATAGAAATACACATAATTTGATACTGTACTTACCACTTTTTGCAACCAATAGAAAGATAATTTTAGGACTTTTCTTATTTCACTTACACACACACCCACCCTTCCCTTTAGTATGACATTGTAGGTTTGTTAAATGTTTAGTTATTTCATAATTTTGGTGCTCTTTTTCTTAAGCCCATTTCCAACAATCTTAATCGGTAAAATCCAAAATCTTATATTACCATTACATTCAATAGATAAGTGGGATGACAATGGAGTGATATATCACAAATATATACAAGATCAAACGTTTAAAGAATTTCTAACCCAAACAAATTTGATGAACCATGAGGTTGATAATGATTCCCAAATCGCATCTCAATTAATCACTATAATCAAAGGTCCAGTATATAATTCTCGAGAAAATGCAACCTTTTTAATATTATGTCGTAATTCCGATATATTCACCACCCTAGAAACAATTCAAAATATTCAAGATCGTTTCAATAACAAATTCAATTATGATTATACATTCCTAAATGATGAACCATTTACTGATGAATTCATCTATCTCATAAGTTCATACATACCCAAAGGTAATATCAACTTTGGATCAATTCCACCTGCTCATTGGTCATATCCTGATCATATTGACCAATCTAAGGCTCAGAGAATACGACAGAATTATGCGGATATTCCATATGGTGATTCGGAAAGTTATAGACATATGTGTAGATATTATTCTGGATTCTTTTATAAACATCCATTAGTTCACAAATATCAATATTATTGGAGAATTGAACCTGGAATAAAATATTATTGTGATATCGATTATGATTTATTCAAATATATGAGAGTGAATGATATAAGATATTCATTTGTGATTTCACTTTTTGAATATTCAGAAACTATACCCACATTATGGAACCATGTTCAAAAATATATCATGCACGAACATCTCGAATCTCTGGAATTGCTCCCATTATTACTTAATAATCACAATTGGTATAATCTTTGTCATTTTTGGTCCAATTTCGAAATCGCCAATTTAGATATCTACACTGATGCAAAATATGAACATTTCTTTAATTATTTAGATCAAATTGGAGGATTTTATTATGAAAGATGGGGAGATGCCCCGATTCATTCAATTGCCATTAGTTTATTTTTAAAGAAACATGAAATTCATTGGTTTGATGATATTGGCTATTATCATGCTCCATATTTACAATGTCCTCAGGATCCTAATGTTTATATTAAAAGACGATGTTCTTGTGATCCGGATGAGGATTTTACTGACAGTTATTTGAGTTGTACAAATCATTTCTTGAATGTTCTTGCTAGCTGAAAAATCTGAAGCAGGGGCTTCGCATATAGACATATTTATTAATCAATAGTATAACTTGGAAGGAAAATCCACTCTACTTCCTCTGATTACATTTCACAATGTGAAATGGCTGCAAAAAAAAAGAAATCAATGGGGTAAAATGTCTGTAAAATTTCTCTTTAAGTACCAGATTTAAGTGAAGTTGCCTAAAATCCCCTCCTTTTCATAATTCAAGAGTTGACTACAAAGGTATGTGTATAATATACAATGTCTTTTAAATATTCCCTCAAACTATCTAATCTAAATAAATGTCTTCCAAAAACGTGTCGATGATAATTCCCCCATCGATATCTAAAGTTTCAAACCAATTAAACGACTGTTATTTCAAGTTAATCATCTCTTAGTAGGCCCATACTCAAGAAACTGATATTTCGACTTCCAACAACCCTTCATCACATCATTAACTTCTACAATCGCAATCAATGGGCATGTCTGTTTGATTTGTTCAAGAAACATATCTAACCCATTCCTGATATAATTTTGATCAAGAAATATCCATTGTAAATCACCACCGTAATCCCAAATTCTTATATTTCCTAAATCGACGATCCCGCAATTTGATAAATTCAATAATTGTAACGATTTGGGGAATTTTAATGTCTTGTTATGTAAACAAATACCCAAATCTTGATTATTCTTCATATCTATACCTTTCAAGTTTTTGAATTCTGAAAAGTCTCCTTCTCGGATATGGGAGATTGGATTGTTGGAAATATCGAGATAGATTAAACTTGAAGGAAGCTCAAAACTATTGATTTCGGTGATTTCATTATGTGATAAATATAATTGTTTTAAATTAGGAGATGTCGTCTGTAGTTTAAGTTCTGATAATATGTTTGAAGTTATTATTGATCCGATAAGATTAAGTAATTCTAGTGACGCTGGAAATAAAGTATTATATTGTGCGTCGTGTCCTATTTGACTAAAGAAACATTCTTCATCCAAGGGAAGTTCAGATAAATGAATTTCCTTCAATCCTTGAGGAAGTCCGAAATTGGAACTACTTAGATATCGAAATTGATTCTTGGAAAGATATAATTGTTCCAAATTGGGACAATGTTCAAGAAAGATTGATTGAAGTTTATTCCCAGTCAAATCTAGGCGCTTTATACTCGGCGGTAATTCAATACATTCAAACAGTTCGAGATTTAAATATGATAAGTTCAAATCAACCAAATTTTGACATTTAGTGAATTGTAGTCCTTGTACATAACTCGCGGAACTGTTCAGAAGACATAAATGTTTCAAAGTTGTTGGGAGTTTTAATCCTTCTAATCGACTTGATTCAATTACTAACTCTTCTAAGTCAGGTAATTGACGATTGATCCATGAATCCTTTGGGTTTGCTTCCTCTGAATAGAAATACTTCAACGTTTCTGGAAGTCGCATAAACTCTAACTCACTTGGGCCATTTTGACATAATGAGACTGCTTTTAAGCCCCTGGGTAGGTCTGAATATGGTATACGTGCAAATGGGACTCTAACAAACAACGATTCCAATAATGTTGGGAATTTGGTTCTTATATCACATCCTTCAATTTCACCCGCAATGATGAATCGTTTTAGTTTTATGAATTGAGAAAGTGGAGTCCAATCATTGGTGATATATTGACTCTTGATTAATAATTGAGTGAGATTAGGTGAAACTTTCAACCCCTCAAAATTGAATGAATTCATCCCTAAAAGATGTAGCAATGTAAGATTGTTTAAATATAAAAGATCAATTTGAATAGCATCATCAAGACATAGGTCATATTCATCTTCGGCTGTTTCTAGTTCAAATCGAATTGACATTTTTTGTAACGTTATTGGAAGGTCTGGTTTAAACACTTTCCCATCAAAACAAACGCTTATATCCAATTCAACCAATTTAGAAGGAAGATAACATAAATCTTCCATATTGAACCCAAGGTGATGATTAAAGGGTTTCACATAAGAAAATTCGGACACGCACAATGGTAAATTCAAAATATCGGATTTCCTATCAGTAATAAAGCAATATCGTACATTTGGAATTCTAGACAATATCCTTCCCAGATCAATATGTTCAGCAGCATCCTGTCTATTGACCACAACTATGCTAGCCTGACCTAATATCTTGGGACAATTATCTTGTAAGATCTGTAGATCGGCAAGATCCTCGATAACCAAAACGCGGGGCATAGCAACATCTGCATGCGTATTTATAAATCGAAGAAATTGACCTTTATCGAAACATATATGATGAGAAACGGCGGGAATGAGCATGTTCAGGACATCAATCATGTTGAACTTCACCGGGAGTCCGAGGAGATGATCTCTAATCGAACCTGGTCTCATTTTGAGTATAATGACATGTTCAAAAAGTATTTCAATTGCATACTTACCGAGAATTGGAATGTCTTGATATGACTGTAAGTTTGTGTCGGGAATAAACTGGCAGATTAACTTGAGTAACTCTCCAGGTAGGTATGCTAGCTTCTTTATCATTCTCGCTATAGTTCTTTCTTCATGGTGTAGGTAGTAGTAAGTTGTAGCTTGGAATGGATTTTTAAAAGGGTTGTGATTTTGATTTTGAACTTTTTTTTTGTTATCTGCAACCCCACCAATTGTGATTTGTGGTTGCAAATTAAGATTACACAAAAACGAACCATTTAAAAAAAAAAAAATTCTTGATTGCACTGAGCAGTATGAATTCTAATTGGCTTGGGTTGACAACTATAAAGCTTGTCATGTCACCTAGTTCTAGAATTAAATGAATGACCATGCTTGGGTTGTTCGCAATATAAGAATATAGAGTACCAACCGTAGTTCTAGTGTTCCATTTACATGCCTTTTGATCTAACAAAACTGAACACATAATCTTTATTCACCAGTGAAACTATGTACCTCGATGTCTGTTGTTGTAGATTTCCATTTATATTGTCTTTCTTTAGTGTAGAAATTTCAAAGAGCTTTCCCCCTGTTGTAATTAAAGTTAAGAAAAATTCACAGCAAGATTTTTTTCCATATCAACAGTCATTTATTTTTTAGATCAATCTTTGTTAAACGTTTCCCCTTACTTATTGCTCTCTGATACTTAACTACATTTTTAGTCAGTCTCATGAATATTCAAACAATATCAAAAAAACAGAACAGATTGCATAAACCTTTTATTGACAGCCTTGAGGTAATGATATATCTCAGGAAGCCTATTGGTTCAAATCAAACTTTATTTATCAATTTTTTGGCGACTGATTGGGTTCTCGTTCAAGTTTTGTTTGCCGGGCTCCGGTGCCACGTATCCGCCGATCAGCAAAATAACTTCCCCGATTGGTGGTATAAGACTTATTTCTAAATGATTCACTTCTTTATTTCTACTAAACTATTGGAAATATCTCATAAGAAGCAAACTTACTATATTGACATTTTCTAAAATAAGAAGCAATTAGTTACAATACGTGAAAGTCTAGACTTTGGTTCTAACGGTAGAAAATTCCAGTTCTTGCGATATTTTTTGTCTCAAATTAATGTTCGGTTTTTTTCTTTTAAACTCGAAAACGTCAACTGGAAAAAAAAATATTTTGTTTTGATATGAAGAAAGAAACTTTGGATTCCATCACACACACAGAGATCTAGTAAAAGATCATCTTGTAAATAATCCAACTCCTTATAGGGTTCCTTTGCTTCTTGTGCTTCTTCAGGTGAGAGTTTTTTACAACCAAATAACCGAAAGACACGATATTTCCTTCTTGCATATTTACGAATTTACGAAAACAATTTTTAATTTATATTACAATATCCCAAAAACTAGAGACTTTGCATTATCCCTATCCAACCAAATGAACAATCCAGTCACCGATATTCTATTCAAAATACGGGTCTTATTCCGTCGTCGTCGTTCCAAATACTCCCTTGTTGTTCTGGTTATATTTATATACTTGTTATTTGTGATATTTTTTTACGGTGGTTACGCTTCAAATACTGAACAACCTACTACTAGTGGTGGTAATGTAATTAATGAAAATGGGTCATCTCAGAAAGGATGGTTGGACTGGTTATATCTGAAGAAAACCATTCCGTTTATGCATACAGTTGGAAATTCCGCGTCAAAAGGTAACTCGGGGCCTCCAAAAGTAGTAGTTAGTTCTGAAGACTTAAGAAGATCAAAAATTAGAATGTTGAATGAATTACATAAGAAACATATAGAAAGCAACAAAAATGAAGCAGAGAGATTGAAAACGGGGTATGAGTTCTATAATCATGTTTTTGAATTAATGGAGCAAGGGAAACCGAAAGTTGAAAAATTGGATAGATATCCAAGTAAAGAAAGAATATATCATGCAAGATATAATACCAAAGATCCAGAACCTGATGAAATTGTATTTAGTGAGAAGTATTTATCTAGTTTCTTACAATTAACCCCAGAAGAATTAACAGCTATGAAACAATCACATAAATATATGGTTGACAATCTACCATTACATGCACCTAAAGGATTATACAAAGGTAGTGGGATTGTGTTTGTCGGAGGAGGAGCTTTCAATTGGTTGACATTATTATCAATCAAATCATTACGTTCATTAGGTTGTCAAATGCCAATAGAAGTATTCATCCCCAAAATTGATGAATTTGAATTAGATTTCTGTGGGAAGATGTTACCTGCTCTTCAAGCACGTTGTATCTATATGCGTCACCAATTGATTGATCCTGATTTATCCAATTCAGACCAAGATAATTTTGCCGGTCGATTCAAATTCAACGGATATCAATTTAAAGTCCTAGCCATGCTTCTATCAAGTTTTGAAAATGTGTTACTTTTAGATAGTGATAATATCCCCGCACATAGACCTGATCAATTATTTGATTCTGAACCATTTACTTCGAATGGTTTAATCGTCTGGCCTGACTTTTGGAAACGGGCAACATCACCTCATTATTATACTATTGCTGATCTTCCAATCAGTAAAACCGAGCTTTTGCCGAAATATAACGAAGTACTGGGATTCTACGACGCTCTGGAAACAAAAGTCACCAAACCTTTGGATGAAACTCCATTACATGAACGGAAAGGAGCCATACCTGAAACCAGTTCTGAAAGTGGACAAGTGATGATTTCAAAAAAGACTCATTTTAAAGCATTGCTATTGGCATTATATTATAACATCTATGGACCTACCCATTATTATCCATTATTTTCACAAGGGTCGGATGGTGAAGGTGATAAGGAAACTTTTTTGGCTGCCACGGTGGCATTAGGAAATAAGTATTATCAAGTTGCAACATTCTTGAATGCATTAGGATATTTCACCGACAAAGGATTTCAAGGACATGGAATGGGACAATTTGATCCAACTGAAGATTATCAATATAATTTACGTCGTGCAGAATTATCGAAATTGGAAACTGAAGATGAGAAACAATCGTTCATAAATAAGAATCCAATTTTATCAACTGGTCCAAGAATGTTGTTTGTGCATGCTAATTTCCCGAAATTGAATCCATGGGTCTTATATGCTGAAAAGAAGATTTTTGGACCTAATGGTAAGAGAATAAGGTTGTATGGACCTAGTATGAGAAAGAAGATTGGATATGATTTTGAATGGGTGCAATGGAATAATATGAAGCTGGTTTTATGTGTTTATGGTATAAAATTGGAGATCTTTAATGGGGTTGATAAAAACGCATTGTGTGCCGAGTTGAATCAACATTTGAATTTCTTGAAGGAGACCATTGGAGGTTCAGAATAGTATGCAGTAAGTTAATAGAAACAAGTATGGTAGTTGTAGTAGTAAATTTAATAGATTATGTGTGTATGCAGGACATTTCAGCTTTCCACCGTGTAGTAAACACCAAAAAAATTATCAACACCTCTCTAGACCATCCACCAACTATCAGTGGCTAACTCCAATCCATCAAAATAAACATATAATACAAACCAAAAAATGGCAGTTCAATTCCTATTGCTTATATCCAGACAAGGTAAAACCAGATTATCAAAATGGTATCAAACAATTTCCCAAAAATCAAAAACAAAAATCGCTCGTGAACTTTCCACCATAATTCTTTCCCGTCGAGCCAAGATGTGTAATGTATTAGAATATCGTGATTTAAAAATAGTATATCGTCGTTATGCCTCGCTTTATTTCATTGTGGGGATAAATGAACAAGATAACGAATTGTTGGCTTTAGAAATCATACATCGATTTGTGGAACAGATGGATAAATTTTATGGAAATGTTTGTGAATTAGATATCATATTTGGATTTGATAAAGCATATCATATATTGGATGAGTTGTTGTTAGATGGATATGTTCAAGAATCGTCTAAGAGAGAAGTGTTGAAGAGGGTTACTCAACAGGATGAGATGGAAAATATGGATGAATTTGAAAATATACTTGCGTAGAGATAGATATAGAGTCGTAGGAAGACGGCTTGTGTATATGTTGGCGTTTAGAGAATTTTTCAATAATATGTTACGTATCAAAGGTTGATTATTTTGTCCATTTTAAGAAATTTTCACATGTGTCCTCGTTGGAGGATGAATGCTTGATGAGTTGGACAGATTGCGCGCCCAAGGATTGCCATATGTGCTTTCAAGCGTATTAGCTTGCTCTTGATTAGGAATCTGAAGTTAGATCGGTTTCTTAGATCCATCAGATGTGTGCAAACAAGACGTTTTTTAAAAGTATAAAATCCTTGTGAGTATCAGAATGCAATTTCCAAAAGTCCGTGACGAAGTTCATTCGGGGAATAGGGAAAAGTCTCTGAGCGGTTTGTTATTCTATTATACTGTGGCTCTATTGTCAACCAGTCCAGAACTAGATGAATTCGTTGACAATTATAGCCCAGCATTGAGATCAACAGATTGCTAAGAGAGTGCATCTTGATCCCCGAGGAGTATCATCGAAATTAGCATGAGCCACTGGCGTATCCGTACTATCTTCAAGTCTCTAGAACGCGTACTTTTCTTCCCAGCAGATAATTCCTCTATCCTCTTTGTTGTTAGCCTTGACGTACTGCTGATGTTTGTTGAAGGGCACTATAAGATTCACGAACGTGAAACAGGTGAAGCTGGTCCTAGCTGGCTTGTTCTGCGGGGCCATTGCCAGCTTCAAATCAGAATGTTCCCTGTAGACAATTATTTTGCAACCTGGACCTATTGTACTTAGGCGTGTGACGTATTTGTCATTGAAAGAATTAATCTTGGCTGACGATTGCACATCAACAAAAGCATTTTGGAAGGTTTGGAGTCTTATAAATGGTTTTAAGTTCTGGGCAGCTCATATCGTTTGATTTGATTCATGCCGCGAGAAAGGGCACATTCAATAAATTTTCTTATCTATATATACATCATTTGTCCGAGTGGAGTGATGTCGGGCAGAGTTCATAAGATTAAATTTTATAGATTTGAGCCAATGGCCAGGAGAATTACACGTAGTGGTGTATTTTTGCGGAAAGTCTTGGAAGATCAAACAACAAACTCGACGTCATCACTTACCAAGACTATTGTCAATCTCCAAGAAAAACCGCTTGGGAAATAGTGATACAACGGAACAAAAGTCAGGGGTAATGCATACTGTCCATTTTGTTTCGTTTTGATATGATTCACCGTTATAATTCTATGTATAATGAGCAATAAGAAGAAAGGGGTAATGAGTTAGTTTTGGGTATAAATGGTTGAGCGTCTGTATCTTCATGTGTTTCAGATAGTCAATCTGAAGAAATGAGGGATTTGAATATCATTGTTTTATTGATCTTTCATTCTCATGCAATGTTATGTACCTTTGTTTGGATTTGCTCGATGATGTAATCGATAATTCGTGGGGTAAAAGTTTAAAATTCATCAACCGATTCACAATCCATGCAACCGTTCTTCTTCGATTTATATCTAAGAAAAAAAATAAAAAAGGAGAAAACCCAAGCCTGTTGGTCGGATAAAGTAGTAAAAGAAAATGCAGATTGAAGCAACTGGTGAGACGATCAAACACATTGCACTTACAATCAACTTGTTCTCTATTGGATGGGCCTTCCAGTTGTTGACGGTTCCAGGGAATGTAAGAATATGTCGCTAAAAGTTTCCGTTGCTATGGCAAATTGTTCCTCGGCAATTACTTAAAGTAAGGAAAGGCTGAGGAAAGCGCATTTGCAACACACCTCATAAAAATACTTTGTACTAAATAATAAAACTAAAAAATTCAGGACCAAAAAATCTTTCTGCAATATTTTCCAATGCGGAAATCCTATTACTCCTATTATAGTTACGAATAATAGAATCTTAATAGGAAAAGTAGGAAAAATATATTCTCCTAGGCATATCTTGAACAATAGCAAATCATCTTCTTTGTTTCTTATCGGCTGGTGCCGGTTGTAGTTCTTGTTGCATTTGAGAGTGAAAGAAACATGAACGCAAGGCACCAAAAAGGAAGTTGTGTAAACGTTTAAAAAGCTATATATACTCCCCATGATCATCCAACTGAGATGTTTCAGGATTGTTAAGGGATATATTAGTCTTTTGGAGAAATAGCAATCAAGTAAGAGTAAGTAAAATGGCGAATGTCTGCAATTTTAACTTGAAATTATATTTTTTTCGCGACTTGTTTATGCGCTACTGCTCCACTTGTACAAGATTTTAAAAATAAATTTTATTTTTAGATTCACAATTAAAAATTAGAGTCAAAACAAAAAGCCAAAAACCCTTTTTGGTTTTTGAATTATTTTATGGAGTAATTAATTAATTTTTTTACTGGTTATACATTTCTTTGGTTGGCTGGGGTTAAGTACCCCCATAAGCCATTGGGTTAAGTATACCGATCCAAAAGAAACTCATTAAAATTCCCCATATTCGGTTTTGAGAGTTGCTTCTCGGTTACGCCACTACAAAAAGGACACCCAATTCATTAATTGGAATGTGTGTAATACTAATAATAAGTAGAGGAATTTTCTAGAGCAAGTAATGTGTAAAAAAAAAGACGAATCTTTCTCTAACTTTTAGTGAATTTACTAAAAATTTTTAAAGTAAAAAATCCCTCAAAACAATTTTACCCAGGATGAAATTTACTATGGTATGATAAAATTTACTACTGGAATTAAAATTAAATTTAATTCTACCCTGTCCGATAAAATAAATTTAATTTGTTACTCTAACCAAAAATTTTAGAAAATCCCTCACAAACAATTTGTAACCTGTAAATACTTGTATGTCACCCGTTTTTTACATACACTTTAAAATTATTGCAGTTTTTCTAATGTTAAACGGGATTCTTTTTTTTCTTAACAATTTGAATCAATTATTGTTTTTTTTTCTGACTTTTACTTTCTTTCTACCTGTTTTCCCATAATAAAAATCGATGATGTAATTGAAGATCCATGAGACTTTTCTTATTTTTTTTTACAGTTTAATAAATTTTTAATAAAATATAAATGGCTACAAAAAACCTCCTCAAAAAGAATTTTAAAATTTTTAAAAAAATTTGGAACTCTCTGAAGTGTTGAGGTTTACGCTATTTCGAAGTTATCTTCATAATAACCTTTATCACTAGCATCCTCATCATTAACTGACCTAACCTTATTATCAACAAATATCAATCGTCCCTAAGTTTTGAAGAGACAATCGCCAACTTTATTTCAATTTTAGAGTCACGCGATCCAGATTATATACAGGAACAAGTCTAACCCTATAGCAAATTGCAAAACATTTTTCCATATAAAAAGTTGTTTGAATCTTTCGACCATTACACTATTCAATAATAACAGTTTGATAATTAATTAATTCATTTCATTATTTTTACATTCACTCCTTTGCCTATTATAACAGTTTAACTATGTGTGTTTAACCCAAAACAACACACATTTAGAAAAAGTTTTATTTGAATAAAGTTTTATAATGACATTTCTCAAGAGAAAAAATTCCTCGAGAAGGTCTTCAGATGCATCTTCATCAAGTTCCTCCTCACCAAATTGTACATTTTCGAATTTCGATGAAAAGAAAGATTATGTTCGTCGATGTTCATTAAAGAAAGATAAACATAAAAAACCTGTTCCTGTTAGTTTTTGTTTGGGAAAATAACTTATTAACGACGTTTTTATTATTATTCATTATTAGAGAGAGATTTTAAAGTTTAAGGATCAATTCAGTTTTCAATTCATATTATCATGTAATTTAGTTAATAAATTTATATTTTGGTGTTTTATTTTTGGTGTTATTATTTTTTGTTTATGTATTAGTTTTTGTATAGTTTCTTAGTGTGTCTGTCTGTGTGTGTTTTTGTTTATCTTGTCTTTGATTTGGTATATAAATTAGTACAGCATAATAACTGGGATATTCTGCTATTAAGAATTAGTTATACGTACCATGTAGAAAAAAACACTTCTTCCTAACCCTTGTCAGAATTGGTTTGGAAAGGGTTAAGCTCTTGTTTTAACATTGTCTAAGCTGTACCCAGGACAAAGTTCATAACTAAGGCCAAGAGCAAGAAAAGAAATAGTATAGCTAGGAAGATGGGTATACATCTCCTTTCATCCTCTTCCATATCACGAAGGGACATGCTCTCCTTCAGATGCTAGAAAGTTAACTCTTGTGAAGACTTGATAGATGTTTGAAAGCTCGTAGAGTCGTGATTCCACGGAGGTAACAAGAAATCATAACTGAACATAGCACTTCAAGATCTGATCTTCCGGGCTAGAGAGTACGTCCACACTAGGGCAATCATAATGCCGGCATGACCGCTCATTGCAAGTGTCCCGGTTTTAGCATAGAGAAAAAGAAAGAAAGCAGATGGAAATGAAAAATCTTTTCGAATTTTTTTTTTGCGTTTCATCGATGGGAGCGAAACTAGAAAACTGAGTGCAATTTGATAGTGAGAAAATTAAATAGGGTTACGATCTTTTTGTAGGTTGCAATCCTCCAAGCTGTCTGGAGGGTGATCTTGAAATGACAACGCTTTCTATAAGAAAGATTCAATCAACTAATGACCGCCGTTCTATGACCATAATAATACAAACTACAAGAACTGAGTCAAGTCACGCTTTATCCTTTGTCAATTGAAATTCGTATTTAAATTTCTGTTGTCAATTGAATAATCTGATGTGGATGTTGACAAAAATTTTGCAACCTCTTGGCACTATAAAGAGTCTAGCCCATTGCTCATAGTTAAGAATGTGGTCTATAATTAAATTAAAGGGAGAGCGTCATGAATGAAATATTTTATAAGGCAAATCATGATCATTTTTTCCATGCAGATGAACTTACATCAATGAGGATAAAATAATTTCAAATATTAAATAATATTATTATTGGTTTTACCTCCCGGTTTCCATTTCATTACTTTGCTTCCGGCTAATTCCCCTATGCCAGACAATGGCCAGGTTGTTAAAGAAAATAAGTGAATATGCACATATCACGTTACGAATATATTTTTAGGTTCAATAATTATTCCGTTTGTTCAAAATTGTTCCTTGTTTGAAAAGAAACGGGCTGCAAAAAAAAATTAAAAATCTTTCGGATATGCACTGCCAACACCGATTTCATTTGTTTCCTAAATAATATTAATATAATAGTCAATCATCTGATTATTTTTATTAAGGGATTATTTATTAAGCCTTAACCGACCGCCCCAAGTATAAATACTGTTCAGAAATTCCATTTGTCAGCTTCTACCTTGTTTTCTCTTTCTCTATAAGCTTAATGAATAAACTTTCGCTATAAACTAAATAAAAATTAACTCGCTTTATCCTAACATGCAAGCAATTGAATATCACGGAAATCAAACCATCAAATACGTCAACGATCGTAAAGAACCCACAATCACTCATCCTCATGACGTCAAAATAAAAATCAAATATTCCGGAATTTGTGGATCAGACCTTCATGAATTCGTAGAGGGCCCCGAAATATTCAAAAAATCCCATACTCATCCTGAAGGACAAGTAATGGGTCACGAATTCCTGGGAGAGATTGTCGACATGGGGCCAGAAGTATCTAATCTCAAACTTGGCCAACATGTCGTCGTAGAAGCTAATGGCACCTGTAGAGACCGGCCCGACATTGAAGGCGAATGTGATGCCTGTTCTCAAGGATTATATAATTGTTGTGAAAATCTTACCTTTTATGGTCTTGGGTTTAGAGATGGTGGAATGGCGGAGTATTGTGTGGTGAAGGATAATCATGTTGTTCCTTATCCTAATGAGATTATTCCTGACGATGTTGCTGCTTTGATTGAACCTTTGGCGGTTGGTTGGCATGGGGTTACCACTTCAGATATCGTTGATGAACCTAATAAAGATACTTGTGCTTTGATTATTGGTGGGGGGACAATTGGATTAAGTACCGTTTTTGCATTACGTAGTCATGGAATTAAGAATATTGTATTGACAGAACCTAGTGAAACTAGAAGAGATCTTGCTTCAAAACTTGGTGTTAAGGTGTTTGATCCATCTCCATTCAAGGATGTTGAGTCAACAGCTCAAGAATTGAGAAAATTAAGTCATGATGATGCCGGATTTGATCGAGTTTATGATTGTGCAGGGACTAGAGAAACTTTTAGGACTATGTTGTCAAGTTTGAAAACTGGAGGAGTTGCAACTGATATTGCCCATCGTGCTCATACCAATTTCAATGTTTGTCCAGTTCATTCAATGGCACATGAGTATACTTTAATCGGTAGTCAATCTTATAGAAGAGAAGATTTAGATTCGGTGTTGAATGCCTTTAAATCGGGTGAGTATGATCCTAGAGAAATTCAAATGTTGATTACTGAGAAGAAAAAGTTACTGGATGCCGTTGACACATTTGCCGAATTATCAGCTAATAAAGATGCTAATGTCCTGGTATTGTTACAACCATAGACATTGTGTATAATAATATACAATTTTTTTTTTCACGATTTGACGTTATTGATAATACTTATATAGTTCAAATAGATGTTATATTATAATTCTATCTAATTTAATCTAAATTTCCTTTTAATTACCCATAAACACGTTTAATAATACACTAAATAATAGCAATAAATAAGTTAGCACCATTCTTTTGTTTAGATTTACTTTGAATTCTTCTTTAAATAATGATGCAATGAATCAATTTTGACTCTTTTCGATAATCCAACTCTGAATTTTGGTTGACTCATGCCAACAAGAGCCAGTAGTGGTTTTGATGCGACTCTTTTGCGAGCGGGTTTACTTGGAGGTGGTGTGATATGTTCGATTCCTTCTTTGGATTGATTACTATCTGGCTCACAACTGGATTCTGACTGGTATTCTATCGTTTCTTTCTTACATGCTGAATCTGTTGATTCTAGTTGTGAGCTCTCCAGCTTCGCTTTAGATTTCAGTTGAGGCTTATGGTCAGCAGTGCCACGATATACATCTTCTTGTTTGACTGGGAAATTCAATTCTTGTTTAATACCAGCGGACTTGATAAAAGAAGCAATAAACTCAGATTTGCCAATGTCAGTCTTGTTATCACCATGGATTAGTTTCATTTTATCATCAGAAACGAGCTCTTTTGTATTTAAATCTTCGATATTGAAGGGAATCTTCGTTTCCATCTCTCCACTACATTGGGTCGAACATTCCAAAATCTCATCAATCCTCGGATCATCAGATATGGATGACAAAATACTTTCATCACTCAACCCAGCAAGTATATTTCGCTTATCAAACTCTTCCGAATAATCATCTTCGGTGATATTCTTCTCGAAGGCGTCATTGTATCCTTCGCTGTCATAATTCACTTTTTGGCTATGATTGATTGATTCTTCATCAATTTGCATTTCATAAGAATGGTCGTCGATTATAATGATTTCTCTGTACTCATCTTCTTCTTCTTCTTCTTCTTCAACTGCCTGCAGCTGAATAATTACTGGTTGCGAAGTATAAAAATTGAATTGGGAAGAAACTTCTGGATGATATCCTAGATCTTGTTCATGAAAATTCCCATTACTCAATTGTGATGAACCAGCTCTCAAGTCCTCTTCCGTTATTCCTATTTCCATTTGAGTTTCATAGTCATTCTCATACATCGATGATTGCGTGTGTACATCTTTTGTCAGTTTTTGAGATGAATCAAGTTGTGTATCTTTATCCCTTGAGTATCCGGGAATACTAGTCTGAATAGTATGACATTCATCATCTTCACTCGAAATACCACCACCACCGCCGACTCGTAATGAATCTATCAAAAGAGTATATTCTACTTCACTGTCTTCCACTATCTCTAATGAATCATCCATTGAACGTATTAGTCTCTCAACACAAGGATCCTCTTGGATGTTATTTGTGATTGGGAATGGATCAGTAGCTGAGCGAGTGGCAATATTTGTATTGACTTCTCCTAAAGCCTTACGCTTCTTCCTTATTATTGTGGTTGAAGAAGGACTTTCTCCATTGTATACGTGTATAAATTTGGTTCGTTTAATACTAGCAAAGTTGGCAGCAGAGTTTTCATTTTGGGAAAAGACATGATGATTATCAATTGTATCATGTGAAGATGTCGCTCGTTGATTTAGCTGGGGTAGTTGGTTCTTCTGGTTATGATTAGGCATTAGCAGTAGTAGTTTATTTAGCATTTGTTTTTATTGTATTGTATTGGTTAGCTGATGGATGAATGATGATTAAAACTGGTTGTAAAAACTTTCTCTTGTTGTAAACAAAGTCGTTGAATGGGTAGCGCATGCCCCAAAAAATAGGGCAGAACAATTTCTAGACGCGTCATTTATCTTCATTCAAAAGAAAGTGTTGCAAAAAAAGATAGCGAATAGAAAGTTAACAAGGAAGAGGGAATAAACAACGAATGAATCAACGAGATTGGTTTGTTAATTTCAAATACGAAAGTCTATATTTGTACCTTTATAGAAAAGTTTCTTAGAAGAATATAAAAAGTTCACTTAAAATCATTTTCCACTTTTAGGAAAGTATTATGTGACGTAAAAGGAGACAGAAATTAGATTGTAAGTCAATGGTTCAAGCTTGGACAATTTCTATGATAATCCCTTGAAGTAGTTGCATTCCAAAGTTTCATAAGTGGTTTTCAGTAGTTGGGCAAGAATTAGTGGAGTAATTATACTTTCCCAAAAAAAGGATAAATGATTTGAGTTGCCAGGCGCACATAATTTATTTTAAACGCTTGTTTTTTCGCTTAAACAAAACACGAGAATTAAATTTGAATCTTTTCTCTTTTCTTTCTTTCTTTCTGTTTATTACTTCAGAGCGCTTTCATTCATTCAATCGATATCCCCCCCCTACAAAGGGGATATGCTCTAGCTGCTTTCACTTACCTTCCTCCCCATACCCACCTTTGTTGCCGTTTAAGGGAAAGTGTCGGACGTGAACGTCACCCCCTCAAACTCATCAATGCTTCGTCTGAAATCACTGTTTATAATAGCAGGAGATATAGAATCGGTAATGTCACTTCCTTTGATCAATTTGGCCATAATGTTAGAAACATCCAGACATCCAGAGAAACTTGCTTTATTTATTTATCCTCTAACAAATGATGCTGCTTGCAATTTTTTAAAACTTCCTTGGTTATTTTGACGAGTTTTGATTTCCAACCTATCGTTAGTTTCCCTGGAAAGATCGGAGATTGAATTCGAAGAATGCAGTGATTGGCTTTACAAAATGAATCAACTTTTGATTCAAACATATGCAATCATTGAACGTTCTGGCTAATGGTTCGATTCTCATCATTGCGTTCAAATCAAGTGAAAGTTTGGAAATTGTTGAATTCCCATGTTGCTTCTTGGTTTACAATTTTTTTTACTTTATTGATTTCGATTTTTTTGATTAAGAAAAACATTACTACTCAATTTCAAAAAGGGCTAGGTTTTGTTCAAATAGCTCCTAGGTGAAACATACCTTATCCTCCTCGGATGGTCTAGCATAGGGGTATCACCCGAATTCTATTTTTTTTATTTTGTATCGAGTGACGTCCGTTCCTTCTTGGATTTCATCTTGGATGGAGGATAAATGTCGTTTTCACATCTTGGATTCCGTGCTGGAGTTCAGATAAAATAGGTGTTCTTTTCAATGAATAAAATCAGTGACGTCCAAGAGTAGAGAAATCAAGTTTGTCAAATTGTGTCAAAGGAGTGGGTATATTTGAGATCTATATTTAGAAAATCACAGTTGTTAAAGAGTATTACATGATTTTAAAAGACTTTCCAATCCATTGCTTTATGAATCATATTTGATGTATAAATGTTTGTTCTTTAGGCACTTCTTTAGGAAGTTGACCAATGTCCAGAAGCAATTTTGGGTATGTTAAGGAATAAACCCGTACATTAAATAGATTCAGATTGGAAGTTTTTGAATCTTAAGTGTGTATTCTTGCTTTTGTGTACTTGCTGTCTTTGGTTTGATGGAGACGTATGAAGTGGGAATGAAGGTGATTGGGACCATTTTGGAGGTTGGACTGTTAGAGATAGATTGAATTTGAGAGTCTCTCCCTTTTTTTGTACGTGTGCTTTTTTTTTGCAATGTTATCTTAACAAGAACCAATTACTAACTAATAGGATCTGTCTTTTGAAAACTACCATTGTTGGTGAGATAACCAGTAAAATTGCTTTACGTATCTGTGACGCAGTTGTGGAATGTACCATGTGAATTGTTCTTTCTCGCAGCTTGTGTCGTCATCCAGCTCATCGCGAAGCCATTAATTTCAAAATAACTAAGTACTTAAACTCCTAACTTTCTAAGTTTTGTTACTTCCAATAACTTGGGCAGGATAATCAATCATGTATTACCTTAGCCCCAGGTTTTGAAATTTGCAATAACAATGGTTGCATCCGCATAAATAGTTGGTAATAACAAAGTTTGCAAATCAGTTAGGGCTTTGATCTAGTATTAGTTTAGAGTCTTGCTACAATGGGTCCCGTTAGGGGAAACCTGACTCCGGAAAGCTGATGCATTACCAAGCCAAGATTTTGAAGCATGAATTATCCTAGAAACAACATATTCACGAGAAGTTTGCTAGAGGGTACTTTTGGATGGGGGCCTGAGTTGTCGACATTTCCGTGTGAAAGCGATGATTACAACTAGCTTTACGTCGCCTTTTTAGCTGCAATTTCTTTTTTTGAATTCTGATTTGAGCTCCATCTTCGTCATGATATGTGTTTTCATGATAAAATGAAAGCACATATCATGACGAAGATGGCAATCCACTCAAACTTTAAGAATGGGTATTCAAGAGAACTATACTTTCCAATACTTTTCCAAACGGTATACTGTTCCTTATATTTATTAGAATATGTCATGAGAATAAGTTCCAAATACTGTCTTGATCATATTCGGCATTTTTGGTTCCTCTTCTTGTCTGTATCTACATTCACAAGATAGTTTCCCAAGATAAGACAATCAGATTCATGGGTTCATGTGGCTGGTGATATTGCCAAAGAAGCCGAAACTGTGTCCTGGAAAATAGAGTATACATCAAGAAATCTTTCTTTGTCTATAGTCTTTTCGGTGAGTTTGCTGATTAGACTATCCTTAGATAGCTAGTTTAGATAGTGAAATGCCATTGGAAGTGTGAAAAGGAAAATGTAGTGGGAAATGTCTTGGACCAATCAAACCTGCTGAGATCCTAGTCCGATATGAAAGGCATTCGTTGTTTCTTTGTGTACAATCAATTATTGAGCTTCTGTCTATGGATTTCTTGCGAATACTCTACTTTGTACTTCCTTTTTGTTTTAAGGAATTTGGTATTGCCCGGGGCAAAACCGGACCCAAGAAAAGAATGGTCGTAGTCGAGATTATTATTTTTTTTTTTAGCGGTTGCAAAACTGAAACAAGCCACATGGGGTATGACGAGGGGTTGATGTCATTGTGTATTGTACAAACGGCAATCCTGCTATTTTTTGCAGCAAGTATCTCCTCATAAATCTTTATTCTCGAGTGGGAATGTTCCATCGTAAGATTCTCAGATGCATATCTGTTGTTTTCCAGTTCATTCTTATAGCAAACAAGACACGAGTTAGTTGGGCACATGGGCACAATTCTGGAAGGGAGGTTCGACTAAGGGGTAAAAAGTTAAAACTCTCCCGGGTTTTTTGAAATTATCATCTTGAAAGAAAGCAGATTTTCTTGGTATTAATTATAAAAGTTTTATTAGAACACCCACGTTGTTGCTGATTCTGATATTAAAATTTTCTTCTATCAAATAAGGGTTCTAAGAAGAAATCTTCTTGTGCATGACAAGGCTTTTAATTTTTTTTCTGGTAGGTTTTATTTTATTTTTTTTACTTCTGTTGATAATAATAAAAGAAATTGAGTCATTGTCGCATGACTGACGAGCAGTAGTTGGTTCTGTTCGAATCGATTATCGATTAAATGGTCTCGCTATGGGTATTCTCGGTGAAGATAGTTTCTAACAAACGTCTCAAAAATGATAGGGGTACCCACGTGCGATTGATAGGTTATGAATTCAAGTAATTGTACCTTATTAATTTCTTGGCAATACTGAAAAATGTACTGCATCTTACATCTTGCCGTTTTTCAATTTCTTTTTTTTTTAGCTTGGCTTTTTGATCCTGGGGGATCTATCAGTTGATTGATCAAAAATGGAAGTTTAAACCGTGTATTGTTAGAAGACAATAATCCCACACGACTATTAAAATGTGGAAGTATGGCTTGATATTTCATTTAATAGATTAGGTTGAAAATAATTTCCAATGGCCCGTGGCACATGAATTAAATCGGATGTACATGTATTTCATGATTCATCGTGTCGTCAAAAAAAGAAGAACTGACGGATGATTCATGGAAAAGTGACATGCGAAATGTTTCATGTTGAGTGGGTTAATAAAAAAATACAACAATAAATTCCATTCTTACTAAATTGCTTTTGTGATTCAATCATCGCTTAAAATAAAATTTTAATTCAAAATCTTTTTTTTTAATAGTTTTTTCTTTGGTGAGGCTTCAACAACTTAAATTGAGTTTGATTTTCCCATAAATTGAAATATTTTTTTTTTGCAACACTTTTTCTCTTTCTTCTTCTTCTCTTCTTCTTTACATACAATAAGAGACTCTCAGTCATTTTAGCAAAACAAACAGTTGCTTTATATTTAAGTTTTGAAAACTCATTTTAAAAAAGAAAAATTGATCAAAGCTTAAGAAAATTTTAATTTCTTGTTTTATTTGTTGCTAATCATCTGTTGAAAATAAAGTCTTCCATCGAATTAACCAATCCTACTAAAAATGGTTCGTCAGTTAGTAAGAGCTATGAAAATGAAAGCAGTGAAGAATCGTCGGGACAACAGAAACAAAGTAGTAGCTTATTAAGTACTGTCGAACCTTTTAGATTGGAAATTGCGGATGTCGCAAAGGTATTTAATACTGACTTGCAATCAGGTCTTAATGACCAACAAGTCGCTGCCAATCTTGAGAAGTATGGTTTAAATAGTTTAGGTAAAGAAGAGAAGATCTCCATTACGAAAATTTTGGCTCATCAAATCTTCAATGCAATGGTTCTTGTTCTTATTATTTCCATGATTATTGCTTTGGCTATTAAAGATTGGATTTCAGGTGCTGTTATCGCTTTTGTCGTGTTTATTAATATCTTTGTCGGGTTCATTCAAGAATTCAAAGCTGAAAAGACTATGGGTTCTTTACGTTCCTTAAGTTCTCCAATGGCTAGAGTTTTAAGAAATGGTATTGAAGAAAATATAAATGCCGAAGAAGTTGTCCCAGGTGATATTGTTCTTATTAAAGTTGGTGATACTATCCCTGCTGATTTAAGATTGATTGATACTATGAATTTGGAAACTGATGAAGCTTTATTAACTGGTGAATCAATTACAATAGCTAAGGATCATGAAGAGATTTTCATTAGTGATAATCAACCTGTTCCTGTTGGTGATCGAATCAATATGGCTTTTAGTTCTTGTGTGGTTGCAAAGGGTAGAGGTTCAGGTATTGCTATTTCTACTGGTTTACACACTGAAATTGGTAAGATTGCTGATTCTTTGAAAAATTCTAAAGATACAATTGTGGTAAAAGTCGATAAAAATGCTACCTTCAAAGAACATTATACTGCTGGATTCAAAACTATTTACAATGTGATTATGAATATCTTGGGAACAAATATTGGTACTCCTTTACAAAGAAGATTATCTTGGTTAGCTATTTTCTTATTCTGGGTAGCTGTTGTATTTGCAATTGTGGTCATGGGATCTCAAAAGATGATTGTCAATAAGAATGTCGCCATTTATGCCATTTGTGTTGCCCTTTCTATGATTCCTTCTTCATTGGTTGTTGTATTGACTATTACTATGGCTATTGGAGCTCAAGTGATGGTAACTAAAAATGTTATCGTTAGAAAGTTAGATTCATTAGAAGCTTTGGGTGGTATTAATGATATTTGTTCTGATAAAACTGGTACTTTAACTTTAGGTAAGATGATTGCCAAGAAGGTTTGGGTAGCTGATTTAGGTACATTTAAAGTTGATGGATCCAATGAACCTTTTAATCCTACCACGGGAACTCTTTCTTTCAAACTGTTATCACCAAAGGAAATCGACTCTATTGATGAAGAAGAAGTTAAATTTGATCAGAATGTTCCACAGCAACATGAATTATTCAAAGCTTGGTTAACTACTGCAACATTGGCCAATATCGCAAGTGTTCAACAAAGAGAAGATACCGGTGATTGGGAAGCTCATGGTGATGCCACTGAAATCGCTATTAATGTCTTCACTACCAGATTGGATTGGAAGAGAGAAGAATTAATTGAAAAGGAATCCTTGTCTCACATTGCTGAATTTCCTTTTGATTCTTCAATCAAAAGAATGTCCACCATCTATGAATCAACCAAGGATGCTAAAACTGTAATCTACACCAAAGGAGCTGTTGAAAGGATCTTATCTATTTGTAAGTATTGGTACCGCGACAATAAACTCGTTGAATTGACCCTTGAAGATGTTGATGTTATCGAAGCTAATATGACCGTCCTTTCCTCACAAGGTTTACGTGTTCTTGCATTTGCTCAACGTCATATTGTCGATCCATTAGCTGAAAACCTCAGTGATAGAAATGGTGTTGAATCTGATCTTACATTTTTGGGATTGATTGGTATTTATGATCCCCCAAGACCTGAATCACGTCCTTCGGTTAAGGCATGTCATAGAGCGGGTATTAATGTTCATATGTTAACTGGTGATCATCCAGGTACTGCCAAAGCTATTGCTCAGGAAGTTGGGATTTTACCTCATAATGTCTACAATTATCCTGCTGATGTTGTTCAAAGTATGGTTATGACTGCTAATCAATTTGATGGTTTGACTGATGATGAAATTGATAAATTGCCAGTTCTTCCACTTGTTATTGCCAGATGTGCTCCACAAACTAAAGTTAGAATGATTGAAGCTTTACATCGTCGTAATAGGTTTGTTGCTATGACTGGTGATGGGGTGAATGATTCTCCAAGTTTGGCCAAAGCTGATGTTGGTATTGCTATGGGTATGAATGGTAGTGATGTTGCTAAGGATGCTGCTGATATTGTTTTGACTGATGATAATTTTGCCTCGATCTTGAATGCTATTGAAGAAGGTAGAAGAATGAGTTCAAATATTCAGAAATTTGTGTTACAACTTCTTGCTGAAAACGTGGCTCAAGCATTATATCTTATGATTGGTTTAGTTTTCATTGATAATGATGGCTTTTCAGTTTTCCCATTAGCTCCTGTTGAAGTGTTATGGATTATTGTTGTTACTTCATGTTTCCCAGCTATGGGTTTAGGTCAAGAAAAGGCCCAATCTGATATTTTAGACTTACCTCCCAACAAATCCATCTTCACCAAAGAAGTCTTGATTGATATGTTTGCTTATGGAATCTGGATGGCTGCATGTTGTTTAGCTGCATTCGTGGTGGTTGTATTTGCAATTGGTGATGGAGGACTTGGTTCTGGATGTAATACTTCGTTTCATGAAAGTTGTGAATTGGTATTCAGAGGTAGATCAACTGCATTTGCTGCATTTACTTGGTGTGCATTACTTCTTGCTTGGGAATGTATTCATATGAGACTTTCATTCTTTAAGATGAGACCTGAATCGGAAAAGAATTGGTTGGTCCAATTGTGTGGTGATTTATGGGATAATCAATTCTTATTCTGGTCGATTGTGTTTGGATTCGTGTCGGTTTTCCCCGTGATTTATATTCCTGTGATTAATGATGTTATCTTCCTTCATGGTTCTGTGACTTATGAATGGGGTATTTCGATTGGGTTTACGATTGTATTCTTTATTGGTGCTGAAGCTTGGAAATGGTTCAAGAGAATCTATTTAAGAAAGGTTTATTATGTAAAGCATGATCCTGCTCTGATTAGTGATCCATTCCAGAAATATGTTACATTCAGTAAAGCAAACACAATGGAAGTTTGAGAGGTGGTTCGTTTTTGTTTTCGTTTTTTTAGTTTGGAGGTTTTTTTGGGTTTGAGTCCCATGTTATCCATGATGGATTTTCCTACCATGATCATTACTTACTTTATCTTAATTTCTTTTCTTATTTACGTTTTTACTTTGATTATAGGAATATTATACATTTATATTATTTTATCTTTGGCTTGTAAAGATTTGCCCAGAGGGTGTCTCATATGCTTCAAAAAATCTTGCGATGCGTGTTCTCTAAGCGATGGTCTCAGTACTAAGTATATGTTGAAATAAAAAAGATAGCAGTCATATTGCCAGCGTGGTTATGATCCATATGGAAGAGGATGGAAAGTGGATGTCTGTATTTAAACAGACTCTTGAAAAGGGCTCTGTCTTGCAATATCCTATAATACATCAATAAAAAAGTCTTGCATGAAATCCTAAATACTAAACCTATATAAAATTATTCGAAGGAACATAATCATCGTATACCAATGACCCCAACTCTCGGAAATTGTCAAGCGTACTGTTTTGCAGAAAGGACAGAAGTCCTCCCAAATGAATGCGAATTAGAGGATTGTTCTCAAACAATTCTAGCATACACTCCGTAAATTTATCAAGTGAACACTCACATAGGTCGAGAAAGCGCAAGTTTTTGCATCTTCTAAAATCAATCCTCAGAGAAATATCGCCATCCATCACTCTAATGTACTTAACTGATTCTGGAAGAAGCATCTCTTTTGCCACTGGAAGCCGCTTCTCAATTTTACACCTCCGCGGAGTCAACAAAACCATCTCTAAATTAACCAAGTGGGCTAACGATCCAGTCCAATTATGTGCCATTAAGCTAATATTCTTCAAGCTTGCTGGGAGGAAGTCTAATGAAATCACTGAGTCGTTCATTTCCAATTCTTCCAAGCATGGAAGGTCATTTAGTGGCAACATCGGAGGAGCATTTGTTAAACGTAACTGGCGTAAACTTTTTGGGAAATTCCAGTTGGGCAGGGTCTCGGTAGGCTGTTCATGAAATCCTAAAACAAGATAAAGCAAGCCTTCCGGAAGTTTGGCGAAAAAGTTATCATTGCTTATTGACTTTAAATTATTCTTGTCAAGGGATAATTCTTTCAAATTCTTTGGAAAGAGGAATGATTCCCCGAATTCTTTGATCAGCGTAGAGTCCAAATTCAATATTTCACAGCAGTCTGACACCTTGAGATTCTGGTGGTCAGTTATCATACGAAACGGATTGTGTGATAGATTAAGAGATATTAATGATAAATAAGAGCCCTGAAACTTAGTGATCCTGTTATGCAGCAAGTCAAGCTCTTTCAAACTCGAAGGAAGGGCTTCCATAAGAGCGTCTATGCTACTTAACTCGTTGTCGGATAATTCCAATCTCCGTAATTTTGTTAGATAGGCTATATTATGGTTCTGGAATTTCAGAATATGACATGAATTAACGTTCAACACATTCAAAGTTTCTGGAAATATCCAACAAGTAATCAGTGACAAAGGTGTGGCAGAGAGATCCAAAATTTTCAAATTAGAATAACCAGCAATGTATAAAGACCGCCAATTCTGAAGTTCGGTGCTGTCATATTCACAGCTGATCTGAAGTTTGTTAATTCGTTCTTTTGAAAAGCGAGTCAAACCAAGAGCCCCCGCCACGTAATATTGGTCACACAAGAAAGTTCGATCCTCCCACAAATCAAGCAGTTCCTTTTCTCGCGATCGAATACTCAAGGGTAAATTAATAAATATGTCGAAATCTGATTGAAAATATATGCTATGTAAATTCGTATATCTTTCAATGCCTTCCAAGTTTTCCAAGTGGGGTGCCCCTAGTTTTAAGATCTCAATTGAATTTGGTAGTTCTAAATCCGAAATGGCCCTGATTTGCAACGGAGAAATTTGGAGATAACGAAGCTTAGTCAAAGCCAGTAGATCAATGTGTTTGCAGGTAGAGCCTCTAAAGCCACTGACAATTAACTGAATCAAAAGAGGAGGGAACCTTATGACCAATGTATCCTTTATCAGACTCAATAATCCGCTCAATGTTAAATATTTTACGTTTCTAGGGAGAAATGATAAATCATCAACTCTTATTTCCATCTCAAGTATAAGATGTGTAATGGAAAGTCCTTCAAATGCAGTTTCAAAATTCCGTATTCGACATCCCCCAAGTCGAACATAGTACATAGAGTTTGGAAACAACACACCTAATGGATGAACTTCTCTTAAGATATAACTGTACTCTAAATTGGGAATTGCTTCTGCTACGACGTTGTCACAGTCTGTGAATTCTTTGACATATTTTGCCCCGTCTCTAGCATCCAATTCTGTATATAAATGGATCCTTCGTACTTTGGAAAGTATGTGAGAACCAATTAAACGAAACCTTAGCAAATCTCTAGGTCTATTAAATACAAGTGTTGATGGATAAAAGGCTGTATTTGCCCCACTGAACTCAATAAACTCTTCCAAATCTAAAAAATACACCGCTGGGGCTCTCCAGTCTCTACGGGAATGTGCTGGAAATCCAGGAGCTTCTAATTTGCCATAGATTTTCTTGTAACAATATGTTCTTGCAAACACATCTGTCTCACCAAGTAGAGCCTTAGGCTCCTGTATGGAACTGTCATATTCACTTGCGTAATCACCAATCACGATACTGGCGTAGAATGAATTGAATGCATACTTGTCAATTTGATCTATGTGGATATATTCATGTAGATACAAGAGAGGTATAGCATCAAATATAATCTGAACGACTTCAGGTGGGAAATTTAGAATCCAAAGCATAGAGGTTGCAGTTTGTTCTTATTGTGCAATATTTTGTGATGGGCACAATCGAGAAAAATATGAGATATCTTTCTTGTGTGATATGGTAGCGGTCTCGGGGAGTTCAAAAGAATATTCCCTTAGCATTTCGCGTCGCATTAAGAGCAAACGGAGGCAAATAAACTGGTTTACATTCAGCACCATATTAACCTCAATGTAATTGATCCGTTTGTGGAGCACCCAAAGCTAAGGGGTCGAGTGCTCTCTGAGGAAATTCCCAGAATAGGTATTTGTTGAAAAGAATTCTTCATTCCCGCAGCTTCGTGGTGGGCTTGCAAGAGTAGATCGATAGAAGACTATTTCTTACAATCTACGGAGTTATATTAAACATTGAAAGAATACAAGTCTAATTCAAATTATTTTAGGGCAGGGTCAACATTGTATATGTTTGCAGCGCTTCCTTCAAATTAATATCTATAGCAGTTTTTCGCTCCAATTTTAGATACTAACATCCGCTTGATTCTAAATTGTAAATGACAGCTAATAATAATTACGCTGGCGGTATTATTTTATGCTGGCCCGTATTCCAAATTTATGGAGCACGTGCATGCCTCTCAATTGAAGATCATGGATAGTAGCTGTCTGTAATTAGAATAATAGTGTTCGATCGTAATATATCCTATTCATTAAATCACGACGCAGCTAAATCATCGTATACCAATCCCCCCAGCTCTCGCAAATTTTCAAGTGTGCTGTTTTCTAAAAATGACATCAGTGCCCCCAAATGAACTCGAATTCGAGGATTGCTCTCAAGCAATTCTAGCATGCACTCTGTAAATTTATCAAGGGAGCACTCTCGTAACTCGATATAATGTAATTGTTTGCATCTTCTAAAATCAACTACCAGAGAAGCATCAGGATCATAAACTGTGATATATTTAACTGATTCTGGAACAAGTATATTTTTAGTCACTGAATCGAGGTCGTTTTTATCATATTCCCATCCTGACAACAGAACCACCTCTAAATTAACCAAGCGGGCTAACGATCCTGTCCAATCCTCCAATTCCATCTTCTTTAAACTTGGCGGGAGCAGATCTAACATGGTCACTGAATCCGTTACCACCAATTCTTCCAAGTATGGAAGGTCATTGAGTGCCAACATTGGAGAAGCATTTTTTAAGCATAATTGGCGTAAACTTTTTGGGAAATTCCAATTGGCCAGGGTCTCGGTAGGCTGTTCATGAAATCCTAAAAGAAGATAACGTAAGCCCTGTGGAAGTTTATTGAAAAAGTTTTCATTGTTTATTGAGGTTAAATTGCTTTCGTTGATAGATAATTCTTTCAAATTCTTTGGAAAGTGGAATGATTTCTCAAATTCTGAAATCCAATTATTATCCAAACACAATCTTTCACAACAATCTGGCACGCTGAGATTCTCATGGGTAGGTATAGGTAAATCATTGAGTGATAAATTAAGGGATATTAATGATAAATAAGAGCCCTGAAACTTAGAAATCATGTTAACCAGCAAGTCAAGCTCTTTCAAACTCGAAGAAAGGGTTTCTAGAAGATCTTCTACAGTGATTAATCCATTATCATGCAAGCTCAATCTTCGTATGTTTTTTAAATTGGCCACATTATGATTCTGGAATTTAAGAATACCGCATGAAGAAAGGCTCAACACCATCAAGGTCTCTGGGAATATCCACGAAGTAATCAGTGACAACGACGTGTTAGATAGATCCAAAACTGTCAAATTAGGATAACTATCAATATGTAAACACAGCCAGGTCCGAAGCTCCGGACTTCCGTAATTACCACTGATCTGAAGTTTGTTAATTCGTGCTTTTGGAAAGCGAGTTAAGCCAAAAGCTCCTGCCCAGTAATGTTGTGCACAAAATAAAGTTTTATCCTCCCACAAGTCAACCCAACCATCTTCTTCGGAAATATACCATTGCGTATTAAAATATGGATCGATATATGGCTGAAAATACATGCTATGTAGATTCTTATACTCTTCTATTCCATCTAAGCTTTCCAACCTAGAAGCCCCTAATTTTAACATCTCAATGGATTTTGGTAATTTTAAATCCGAAAATGCTGTGATCTGTAATGGAGAAATTTTAAGATAGCGAAGCTTATTTAAAGCCAGTAGATCAACCACCCTAGTACAACTATCCCCAAACTGATTGATGTCTAATTCAATCAAATGAGGAGGGAACTTTATGTCCAACACATTCGAGTTCAGCCACAACGATCGCTTCAATGATAAATATTTTACAGTACTAGGAAGGAACTCCAAATCATCAGCATTTATTTCAACCAAATCAAGTACAAGGTGTGTAATGGAAAGTCCTTTAAATGTAGTTTCAAAATTCCCTATTGGACATTCAATTAGCAGAACATAGTACATGAGGTGTGGAAGCCGCACATCTAAAGGATCAATGTCTCTTAATATGTAACTGTATCTTACATTGGGAATTGCACTGCACATCACTTTCTCGCAGTCTCCAAACTCGTTGTCGAAGTAAGCCTCCCTTTTGATGTCCAATTTAGTATACAAATGGATCCTTCGTACTTTGGAACTCATGTCAGAGCAAACTGATTGGAACCTTAGCAAATCCCTGGGCCTAACAAATGTTATCTTTGACGGAGAAAACTTTGGATTTACCTGAATAAACTCAATAAACTCTTCCAAATCTAAAAAATATTCTGCGGGGGCTTTCCAATCTCTGACTCTATTATTAAAGGGTAAATTCCCCGGATATTTTAAACTACCATGGATTTTCTTGCAATTGAAAGGTCTTGAAAATACATCTGTCTCGCCAGGTAGAGCCTTGGGCATCTTTATGGAACTGCGATATTCACTTGCGCAATCAACGATCACGATATTGGAGTATAATGAATTGAATGCATACACGCCAATTTGATCTATGTCGATATACTCCCGCAGGTACGGGAGAGGTATATCATCAAATATAATCTGAACAACTTCAGGCGGGAAAAGTAGGATCCAAAGCATGGATCTTCCAGTTTCGTCTAATTTAAAAATCTGTGATCCAGGGAGAAGTTAAATAGGCTTTCCCCAACGGAGTGGTAGCATCTCCGACTGAAAAATCACTAAGGAGCTTTGTGTGTAAAACTTAGATAATTTAACTATAAAGTGCAATCAACACTAAGTATTCAGTTGAAGTCCGATATAACTATAAGTGGTCCAATAAATCGATTTGAAAGCTCCATGTTACTCAGTAGGGTATTCCCCAGCCATGTCAGAGTCACTCTAAGCCGGGTAAGCACTAAATCTGAATAATGACGAACGTGATTTCCGCGTGCAATTCACGTGTTGATGACTGGTAGCGCTATTAATCTATGATTGGATATTTCTTACAATTCCAACACTTCAAGTTGCAATTCAATTAGAAATGACATGTCTATATAATTAATTAGCTTTTGAATAACTAAACATAACAAAGATCTTCCTAGATTTAGTCAAATTTTCTTTCTGGTATTATTTCTTCATTTTGTCATTATTTTGGCAAAAAGTGATCATCTGAAGAAGAAATGAAGCAACTCTTAGGGTCTAGGAATTTATAGTATTACTGGTCCAACTCACAGCGCATCTAATCGTTTGAAAGAAAGGAAAGGTAAATCGAGATGGATTTCAATGAATGCTTCCTTGCCAGAGTTCATAAAGGCTAGGCACTGCGAGAATAAGACCAGAACAATTAACACGGTAGCGCACATAATTTTTGGTTGGAAAGTAGATTTGCAGCTAACTTGGAAGTATTATATACACTATTATACAAGTAGTCAAAATATAAACCCCAACCGAATCAAATAATTAATATTGTATATTAAGGTAGTGAAGCATCGCAGTTGAATAAAAAATCACATAACTATACATTTAGAACAGAATCCCTTCTCTTCAGTTTCAGGAGTTTGAGAAGTTTGCTGGGCTCTAGCGCCAGCGGTAGTTGGAGCAGCAGTGGTAGCTGCAACGGTCTCTCCAGTTCCTGTAATTGTCTTCTTCCCATCTTTAGTCTTTTCAGTTGCACCCTCTTTAGCCTTCTCAACAGGAGCCTTTCCAGCAAGAGGATCAACGTCTTCTTCTTCTTCAAGTGGGATAGATTTTGAATTTGGAGGAAGGGTTGCTACAAATTTAATGGCAGTCTTGACGAAATCTTTACCTTGTTGAGCAGCCATGCTCTTTTCCAATTCAGTTGGAGATCTACTCCCATCAGCCCCAGCATAAGTACCTGCACCATATGGACTTCCACCTCTAACCTCATTTCTATTGAATTCATCAAAAAGTGTAGAATAACCTAACGGAACATATGGCATACCATGATGAACAAAATATTCTATAAAGTTACGGGCAGTGGCTTCTTGACCTCCATTTGTAGTTCCAGTTGATACGAATATACCAGCAGGTTTCCCGTGTAATTGTCCTTGAGCCCAAAGACCACCAGTTGCATCCCAATAGGCATGCAATTGAGCAGCTGCGTGTCCGAATCTAGTAGGAACCCCAAATATGTATGCATCATATTCTAATAATTTCTTCGTGGTTGCAATTGGGATATCATCAGCTTTTGGAGGTGCGTGCATTTTATCTAAGATTTCTTGAGATAAAGTTTCTGGGACTTGAAGAATATCGACATTTGTAGCAATACCTGCACGTTCTGCCCCTTCTTTCACGGAACGGGCCATAGTTACTATATGGCCATATGTGGAGTATACAATAATAGCAACCTTCATCTTGATAATTTTTGCAATCGATAGGGAGGGTAACAAAGGGAACACAACAAGAAAGAAGAGAGATGAATGAAAAAATTCAATTGGAATTGAAGGGGTTTTTGTAACAATTTATTTGAACATTGAAAATATTGGCTATGAGAGAGAAATAGTCAAGGAATTGAAAAATTAAAATATGGAAAATAAAAAATAATTTAAAGCTTTCTTTTTTTGCCATGAATTAAAATTAACAAATCTCTTACTAAAATTAACTAATGACACAAAACCATAAAAAAAATAACCTTCTAATTTTTACTAAAGTCAATTAGTGAAAGTCAAATCTTTCAAATATGCCACCACCACATTATTAATCCAAGATATACAGACCAATTGATAGGATTTAAATCATCATTAACACCGAAGCGACTTCTTGGCTTATCGCAAAAAAGTGTTTCCTTCAGGGCAAATGCTGATACCGGAAGATGGATCCTTAAATGGTACCTGGACGCGATTGATTCGGTTTTCAATTGGGGGGATGAAAAATTAAATGACGGATCTCAAGTTAGTTTTTGATGATTATCTTCTTGATATAACGAGTGATCGTACAGTTTAGGAGACAGAATCGATAAGAAAAGTCTATGGAATATTATTTTTAATTGTCCCTTATTGTCATTGGTTTAACGACTAACGAATATTATGAGCGAATTGTGTAGCCGTTCGAAATGTCTCGGGCTTTACCCAATTTGGAACTGGATCCTTTGTGGTTTCGTAAAATTGACCCTTTGGGACTCAATTGACATCAATTGACGATGTGACAGAAAATCTAATGCTTCTCTGGGCTGTTGAAGGGTCGTTTTGTAGCCATAAACGGAACACGTTGAACACCACCTTCAATACCTTTTTGGTCTTTGTACATGAGGAATTTATTTTTTTGGTTCTTTCTGGAATTTGTTTTTGTGATTTTGCGCCCTTATTCTTTATTTTACTAAAAAATTATTAATAAATGTATAAAAATTCATTTAGAGTTGTGGAAAGTTGCATTTATGAAGTATTACTAAAGTATGACAGGTAATTTATTCATAACGCCACAAAAGCTTTCAATCTCTAATACACTGACGCGTGCACAATTGCAATGATTTTGAAAAGCGATCGGATTTGGAATTCTTTTCTTGTCTTTGTTGATTTATAATTATTGTATTAGCTCTTGGTACGTGGAACAATCTGGAATGAATTACTAAACCGAAGCTTATTTTTCTATTTGTATTTTTATTTTTTATTTTGTTTTTTAGTAATTCTTGAATAATTTTTCACTTTTTACTTTTCAGGTTAATTCCGGACTAATAAATGGAGAAGGAGGCAGGGGAGAAGGGGGGAGCCACACTAAATGCAATTTCCAAATAATATAAATAAATTATCAAATCATCTCTTTTTTTTAAGATTGAATATTTTACCTTTCTTTATCTGATCAATTCAGTAATCTTCCATCACAACTCAATTACATACATCAAACACAATGGCTCCAAAAGTTGCAATTATTATCTATTCCATGTACCACCACATTGCCCAAATGGCAGAAGAAGAAAGGAAGGGGGTTGAACAAGCAGGTGGTCAAGCTGATATCTTTCAAGTTCCAGAAACCTTATCTGATGACGTTTTGAAATTATTACATGCCCCAGAAAAGCCAGAATATCCAATTGCCACTAATGAAACCTTGGAACAATACGATGCTTTCTTACTCGGTGTTCCAACCAGATATGGTAACTACCCAGCTCAATTCAAGGCTTTCTGGGATGCTACTGGTGGTTTATGGGTTAAGGGTGCTCTTGCTGGTAAGGTTGCTGGTATTTTCGTTTCTACTGGTACCCCAGGTGGTGGTCAAGAAACCACTGTCTTAAACTCTTTATCTGTTTTGATTCATCATGGTATTACCTTTGTTCCATTGGGTTATGCTAATGCTTTCCCATTATTGACCAATTTGGATGAAGTTCATGGTGGTTCTCCATACGGTGCTGGTACTTTTGCTGGTGGTGATGGTTCTAGACAACCTTCTGAATTGGAAAAGGAAATTGCCAGAATTCAAGGTAAGACTTTCTATGAAACTATCCAAAAATTTTAATTGGCTAATTAATCATATAGTTTAAGTTTATATTTTAATAACGTATTAGATAAAGATTGATTTTTTTGTTCATTATGACGCCTTCAATGTAGATTTGTAAATGTAGATGGAATATGACCGGAGTGACCTATGACCAGGGCGACCTATGTCCAGAGTGACTTGGTATTGTGTTTGTATGGGGTACCTTGCTAGGAAGTGTTGCCAATGATTTACCACCTGAGATTTCCTGAGCCATTTCACAAATTTCTTGTTAAGGAAGTAACGTGACATTAAGCTTGTTACTACTCACTCCTGTGACAGTATCAATAACGTATCATCTATTATCAATTGCATTAAAAGTAATACGAACTAAAAGCTTGTTATGGAAATTGAATTTTTTTTTTTGCAACCAATTTTATTTGAGGATTTTTTTTTACAACCATTTTGTGCTGCCAAGATAGAGGATCACTTTCAATTCGTGGCATATATCTTCATAGTTACTGATAGCTAAATATATACAGTCTAAGAGAATAAATACATAAACACGATTGGCAAGATCCAAGAGGTGGTCTGCCTACTCATCATCACTTTCTTCAAAATTAAACGAGAATGCTCCTCCAGTGGTAGGCTGTTCAGTTAACTTCTCCCAAGTCTTACTCTTCCCAGTTTCCTTTTCATAATTCTTCAATTCAATCCTTTCCAATTTCTTCAATCCATCTTCCAATTCTGCTTGCTTATCATTCAATATCAATAACAGCTTAAACATTTCAAAGATTGGCATTGGTGGTAATCCTTCAATCTCACCACAATCTTCATTCAAATCCACACCATTACTCAAATTACCAAACTTCTCACAATAATCCTTCATATCATCATTATCAATTTCCCTATCCTTAATCAAATAATCCAAAGTTGATTTAACTTCCCTTGGTCTAAATCCACTAATTTGTCCAGGTTTATTTTTCAAAAAATCCAATACATCCCCTAATTTAGATTCAGGTATAAAATTTTGAGTAATTGCAATTGAATCATCAATATTTATAACCAGATGCCACCAGCCAGCAGGTACATACATACATTCCCCAGGACAAGTTATACCCACCAAACAACCATCATCTTCTAACTTTAATGAATCATTAAAGAATCCGGATAGACACCATTCCGCAATTCCCACGGGGGAAGTGACTTCACTTTCATCTTCTGAAGCAGCTACTCCCGGTGGAGAAATATGTGGAGGAAGCATGACCCATAATTTATGACCTTGGATAGCAACATTGAATGCAGAAGTATGATTTGGGTCTTTATGAAAAGTAGATCCCAGTCTTGCTGAACCCATTATTAACCAGGCATGGTCAGGACGACAATGGCCCTCAAATACTGAAAATAGATCGGATTGGAAGATTTGGGGGACTTTATATTCTTGACGTATGGTTTGCATTGCCGGACTATTACAATCGAATAAATAAAGGGGGTTTTCATCTCGGTTATGGTCAAGATATTGGGAATATTTGGATAAGTTCCATTCGACTGCTTCTTGACGGAATTTCACATCGGGGAATCGTTGTAATAAGCTTTCAAATGTCCATTTTGGCCATCGCGTACTATCTGGATTTGTAAGGATGAATGGGATATTGTTGTATTGGGTATTGAATTCTTCAAGGGTAAGGTTACTTTCATTGATACGTTGAATACGGCCCGGTGGGAGTTTGCCCAATTGACCTAAGATACTATCTTGGTGATATCTTTCTTCTTCAGTCAATATCTTTGCAAATAATTTACGATAGTTGATCTGAGAACATTGAAAAGGACGATATATTAAATCAGAACATAATAAATTATCCATCAATTGCAAATTAGCCGATTGATCAGCCGGTATTCCTAGAACTGTATTTCTCCAAGATCCTAACCATGGTTTATCATGATATAATTGAATATTTTTGATATATAATTTTTTCCATACTTCTTCATCATATAAAAACGCATAAAAAATTCGTGATACATGAGATAAATTCTTGAGACTGTTGACATCGGTTACATATCCTATTATTTCCATTATTAATTCATCGGGAAGGCAAGCAAATGAACCGAGAAGGTCATTTCGTTTGGTTCTTAGTATTGGATCAGTGGCTAAAAATGAATTCCCACTAGGTTTTATATTTAGGGGATGACGTGGGGATATACTATGGGTAGAAATGGCACGGGAAGCATTTGGATATATGTACTCCTGTTTCTGTTTCTTGAGGGGTGGTTCACAGACGGTCATGAAGGTGTTTTTAGGGGTTGGAGTTTCAAATTTTTGTTAAATTAATGATGATTTGAAATTTTTCACCATATTGGAATTTTTTTTTTTTCAAACTCGCATGATTTTTATTTTTTCCAGTGCATGAGATGGACATGAGATTATAATAATGCTGTACATAATAAATGTCAATTGAATCATAAAAGAAACTTTCGATGTCAGGTTCTGTTATTTCGCTTATCGAGGCTTAGTTTACGAATGTCATCTTTATCCAGTTTCAAAATTGACTCTGATTCCGCTAAGACATTTACAAGAACAGGTGAATTCTTGAAGCAAGATTAAGCTTTGAAAATATTCCAGTTGCAACCACGCCCCATCCCGTACTGTTCAGTATTGAAATTTTGGATCTAACGGGTTGAAGATCCCGTCGCCATGGTAGCAACATCTACGAAATGTTAGTTTGACTTCGTTCATAAAACGAAAAGGAAGTTTAAAAATATCAAAGAAATACATGACTTGAACAGGATAAGAGTTCATTAAAATGGTGGAGAGTAACCGAGAAAGATACACAAAACTGATCGAAGTACTGAATAAATAACATATGAAGTGACTTAAATTATTATTTTTTGGTTGGTTAGGATTCTGAATTTTTTCGGGTTCGGTTTTGTGATTCTTTTCAAAGAAAAAGTTTACTCATTTTAATTCTCTTTCATTTAAAAACCACCTGATTGACTTCAAATAATTTACTTGTTGTTTTTAAATGTTTAAGCAGATTATTACCAAACAAAAATACGCAACCACCAATACAATTAAGAGAGCCATGTCAAACAAAAGACCAGTAGATCCTGAGACCACTACTCAACAACCTATCTTGTTTGCTCCTGAAACTTATCAATATACCAAGGGTCATTTAAATGAAACTGAGGTACAACCGGATCCATTCTTACAATTCAACAAATGGTTTCAAGAAGCTAAGAATGAATTACCTGAAAATTCCGATATAATTGTTGAATCTACGAATTTTTCAACTGCAAGATTACCAAGTGGTAGAGTATCTTCTAGAATTGTTTTATTAAAAGAATTAGATCAATTTGGATTTATAATTTATTCAAATTGGCATACTTCAAAAAAGGCTGCTGATTTTGAAAGTAATAAATATGCTTCATTAACATTTTTTTGGCCTCATATTCAAAGACAAGTTAGAGTTGAAGGGATTATGGAACATGTTACTCGAGAAACTAGTGAAAGATATTTCCATACTCGTCCAAGAGGTTCTAAGATTGGTGCATGGTCAAGTCCACAAAGTTCGGTAATTCAATCTAGAGATGATTTAGATCAAATTAATGCTAAATATCAAGATGAATTTAAAGAATTACCTGATGAAAAAATCCCTTGTCCTGAACATTGGGGAGGTGTTAGAATTGAACCTTTAGAAGTTGAATTTTGGCAAGGTGGTATGAGTAGATTACATGATCGTATAACTTACAGAAGAGAGAAGATAGAAGACCCAGAATGGCAAATATTTAGACTTGCACCTTAGAATAACCGGAACTTTTTCGATGTCCTTTGTTTTTAGTTTATTTAATAGCTTCAGTTCTTGGTATTATCGAGCTTTATTACTTGCGTCTTTCTTGATTAGTTTTATTTAAATAGTGATTAATTATAAGTTTAATATATTTATATATACATGCTTTTATAAGTAATTTTTCAATTACTTACTTCTTTTTATGAACAAGAAATGCTTTATCATACATTGGAGCTTCTTCTCTTCTAGGAATCCAATCCTTTTCTTTCAAACGTAATTGATATTGAGTTTCACGTTTACCAGGATATAAAATTCTTTCATCAATAGGGTCTAAATCAGTTTGTACCTTTGGTTCTTCCTTCAATAATCCAGCATCTCTCTTCTTACCCTTTAAGAATTGTCTAATTTCAGCAAAACAATACATACACATAAAATGCGATCTTTTAACTCTACCACAAGCAGAACATCTAACTATATTTTGTAATGGTTGAATTTGTTTCCTTCCTGCAGCATATAACTTCGTTCTTTTTCTAGTATAAGACACTTTCTTCTTTGGAACAGCTCTAAGAATAGTACCATTATCTATCATGAATGGCTCTTCTCCGTTTTCGAGTTGTTCTTGTAATTCACGTAATCTTTCATCACATTGGACATGATCATGAGAATGTTCATGATGACCAATGGAAGATGGGTTGTTATTGATACGGATGGCGATCCTTGGGAGACGTGGAATAAGTCCCCATAGGGATTCGTTTATGCTGGCCCCAAACCTTAAAGTTAATGACATTTGGGTCTGTTGATACTGGACTTAGCTATGGTTTCAATGTATAACCCTTTTAAGTTGATTGAAAGAAAAATTTTCAATGTATGGGATAGTCGTGTATATTTGCACAAATAATGTTGGGTGGAATCAAGGTCGTGTACAAATGGTCAAATATTTTGCAGCCTTTCTTGAGTATCATCATTGTAAACAACAACCAGATATAAATGAATGATTGAGACTATAGATTGTCAAGCAAAGCAATTATTGTTATGTGTCTTACAAAAAGTATAGATCTCTTCATCCTAAGATGACTCTAGACACTGTGTCGCATACCTTCTATTCCCTTCAAACTAACACATTGAAGATAGAATAACGACATAATTTACTTCATTCTTGAGACTTCTTGACCTTTAAATATACTTGTATTCTGTTTCAAATCTGGTTACGCTATCATCTGTTCCAATCGCTTGGTGCTATTGATGTTTCAATAGAGTAATTGTAGTACATAATAAGTCGTGTACTTAACAATCCCTATTGTATTTTTTCCTTAAGCGTGTTTTATTTTTTTTGTATTTAAAGGTTTGAATTTTTTTTTTCTCATTAATTACACGACAATCAATCAAACAACAGAATCAACAAAAATATCAATCGATTTTATTACTCCTTAGACCACACACTCAGAATAAGGGTAATACATATATATAAACATACAAACAAATAGAAGAGCAAGTCATGTCATTAGAGCAAGGAATTGGGCAACCACTGAAATATGTTGGTTTTGATACAATCACTACACAAATTGAATCAAGATTATTAAAAAGAGGTTTTCAATTTAATATTATGGTTGTTGGTAGATCAGGATTAGGTAAATCAACATTAATTAATACATTATTTTCATCTAAATTAACCGAATCAAGTGGTAGAAAATCACCAACTGAACCAATTGAAAAAACTACTGAAATTAAGGTTTCATCACATTCTTTAGTTGAAAATAATGTTAGATTAAATATTAATGTAATTGATACTCCAGGATTTGGTGATCAAATAAATAATGAAAGATGTTGGGAACCTTTAGTTAAATATGTTAAAGAACAACATTCTCAATATTTAAGAAAAGAATTAACTGCTCAAAGAGAGAAATTTTTACCTGATACAAGAGTTCATTGTATTTTATATTTCTTATCACCAAATGGTCAAAAATTAAAACAATTAGATATACAAGCTTTAAAGAAATTAAGTGAAATTGCTAATGTTGTACCAATTATTGCAAAATCTGATTCTTTAACTTTAGAAGAAAGAAGTGAATATAAAAAAATTTTACAAAGAGAATTTATTAAATATAATTTTAATATTTATCCTTATGATTCTGAAGATTTATATGAAGATGAAAGACAATTAAATGAAGATATTAAATCATTAATTCCATTTGCAATTTCTGGTTCTGAACAAGAAATTCAAATAAATGGTGAATTAGTTAGAGGTAGAAAGACTAAATGGGGTTCAATGAATATTGAAGATGTAAGTCAATGTGAATTTGTGTTTTTAAGAGATTTCTTAACCAGAACTCATTTACAAGATTTAATTGAAACTACTGCTTTAATTCATTATGAAACTTTTAGATCTAAACAATTGATTGCTTTGAAAGAGAATAATACTAATAGACAATCTGCTGGTCAAGCTGTTGCTACTGCAGCAGCAGCAGGTGCTACTTCTACTAATCCTAACGGTACTACTCAAAATATGCAAGGTATTCCTGCTGCTAATTCAACCACTGCTGTTCGTATGTAAAAGTTTTTTGGTTGATTTTGCTACTGTTTTCTTGCTATAGAGCATAAAGCAAATTCATTTCATCGGTTATCTTCTTACAGATATATATATACTATAGTTTTCTTTGTTTAGTTTAAAAGATATATTTAGATTTTTGCCATTTTTCTCTAAAGTATCAAGTTCCCTACAGATTTCCTTACTCTATAGGATTTCCTTACTATTAATTTATGTCAATGATTTCGCGTTTTCTTATTTTTCATACGCGTTTTGATTTATAAAATATTTTTTTCAACAGAGTCATCATCAATTACAATTGCTTTTCCCTTTTCCTTAGTAAAGTGATAGTATTTATAGAACATACAAAATGGGTGTTAAAGGACTTAATCAACTAATCAAAGAACATTCCCCCAATTCAATCAAAGAATTCCAACTCAAAAACCTCTTCGGTCGAAAAGTAGCAATCGATGCCTCCATGTGTCTCTATCAATTCTTAATTGCCGTCAGACAATCAGATGGACAACAATTAACCAATCTGGAAGGAGAAACCACCTCGCATTTATCTGGTTTATTCTATAGAACTATCCGGATGGTTGAAAACAACATTAAACCAGTCTATGTCTTTGATGGAAAACCACCCGTATTAAAGGGGGGAGAATTAGAAAAAAGAATGTTAAGAAGAGAAGAAGCCCAGAAACAAATGAATTCAATTAAGGATGAAGGTACAGTTGCCGAAGTGATGAAATTCGAGAAACGATTAGTTCGTGTCTCAAGAGAACAAAATGATGAAGCGAAGAAATTGTTGGAATTAATGGGGATTCCATATGTGAATGCTCCCTGTGAGGCAGAAGCTCAATGTGCGGAATTAGCCAGGGGTGGGAAGGTATTTGCGGCAGCTTCTGAGGATATGGATACGCTATGTTATGAACCTCCTTATTTATTAAGACATTTAACGTTTGCTGAGGCGAGAAAGATGCCAATTGATCAGATCACATATAAGGAGGCTATTGAAGGGTTGGATATGACAAAGGAACAATTTATTGATATGTGTATTTTATTGGGTTGTGATTATTGTGAAACTATTAGAGGAGTGGGACCGGTTACGGCTTATAAATTAATTAAAGAACATGGATCATTAGAGAAGATTGTGGAATATATTGAAAACAATCCAGGAAAGACGAAATTCAAAGTGCCTGAAAATTGGCCATATAAAGAAGCTAGACAATTATTTTTAAAGCCGGAAGTTGTGAATGCAAGTGAGGTGACTTTGAAATGGAAGGAACCGGATGTAGATGCTTTGGTGGATTATATGGTTAAACAAAAAGGGTTCAGTGAAGATAGAATTAGAAGTGGGGCAGAAAAGTTAAAGAAAGGATTAAAAACTGGAGTTCAAGGTAGATTAGATGGTTTCTTCCAGGTTGTTTCAAAGACACCGGCTAATGATAAGAAGAGAAAAGCCGATGATAAGAAGGGATCTAAGAACAAAAAGAGAAGGTAGAAGGTTACGATGTAAATATATATTAATAAAACAACAGATTCTATAAAAAGACTACTAATCTCTTGATTTTGGTTTCTTCTTTTCAGCTTCAGCAGCTTTTTCAGCTTCAATTTCATCAACATATTTCTTAATTTCATCAAAATCTAAATTCTTAATTGCATTTCCTGGTTTTAACACGGAAACTTCAATATTTTTAGCTCCGGTTTGAACAACTTCTAATAATGATTTAATTGTTAATTTTATAGTTGCTTCTTCACTTAAATCTTCTTCATAATGTTTCTCCAAGAATTCTTTAACTGTTTTAGAGGATCTTCCAATTGCATGAGCTTTCCACGCATTATATACCCCAGAAGGTTCAGTTTGATATAATTTTGGAATTGTATCATTCGTATCAAATCCAGCAATCAAAGTAGCAATTCCAAACGGTCTAACCCCTCCAGATTGAGTATATTTCTGTTGGACCCCAGCAACATATTTCGTCAAATAATCTACCGAAACTGCATCTTCTAAAGTTAATCTATGAGATTGAGCTTCTACTCTTGCCTTATCAACCAATATTCTGGCATCGGCATTCAATCCGGCAAATGCTAATAAGATATGATGATCTACTTTACATATCTTGGATGGAGTAATACGAGGATCTTGTAATTTCAATGTTGTTCTCTTTTCACAACCTAATACTACGGTATCTTTACCTTTAACTCCAACGGCACATGTACCTCTTTTAACTGCTTCTGATGCGTATTCAACCTCTAGAGAAGAATTGTTAGTATGGACTCTTTATATTCAATTGGGGGTTTCATTTTGTTACATACGGAAAACGTGTCCATCTGGTCTATATTTGAAGTGTTAGTAAGGTTTGTTCAATTTCAAGTGGCAATTGACATGGATTGACTCAAAAGTCAATTGATTCCAACTCAATCGTCTCAGCTTAAAAAGTACATACGAGAAAATGGATAATGCACTATCGTAACCACTCATTATTATTTATATATTTCTATTTCGACTTTGTATGTTGTTGTTGATATCTCTACTGGTAAGTTGTTGATTGTGAGTTTTCAATGAAATTCTGAAAATTTAATTTTTTCGTTTTTGCCCTCCAATTTTGTTTTTAATTATGAGGGATAGAATAGTGAGACTATTAGACAGTTGTGATAGAAACACACCAAAGGAGGACAGACCGCATGGCCAAGAAGAAACAGCAACAGCAAAAGGGAAGCAACGCTCCAAAGGGAGTTCCACATCGAGATAATTATGCAAGAGTCTCATATCTCTATCAATTAAGTACACAACTTTCTTTACAACACAATCATCAACCCATCTTGTCTCGAGCGATGACTAGAAATCTTGATTTGGTTGGAAAGAAAGCAGTATTAAAATTAGGACCAAGTCTGAAGAGAAGTATATGTAAGAAATGTAATAGTTTATTAATCCCGGGGTTAACTATGCAAATTAGATTGGAAAACTTGTCTAAGCTGAAATCATCTCATAATGATGTTCTTATTCATAAATGTTTAAATTGTAATGAAGTTAAACGTTTCCCAATTGGTAAAGATAGAGAGTATATAGTGTTTCCTGATAGAGATGGTGTAAGGATAGATAGTTAAGATAAGCATAAATATTTTGTATCGTTATATATATATAAAACAGTTGATTTAGTCCTTTGGACCAATCATGTTTTCTGGTCTAACCCATTCATCAAATTCTTCAGAAGTTAACATCTTCAATTCTAAACAAGATTCTTTAAGGGTAATACCCTTCTTATGAGCATTCTTAGCAACTTTAGAAGCATTATCATAACCAATCTTTGGATTCAAAGCAGTAACCAACATCAAAGATTCATGTAAAATCTTATGAATCTTTTCCTTATTAGCAATGATTCCTTCAACACAATGTAATCTAAATGATCTACATGCATCACCTAATAATCTAATTGAACTTAATAAATTATATGCCATAACTGGTTTAAACACATTCAATTCAAATTGTCCCGAGGCACCTGAGAAAGTAATAGTAGTATGATTACCCATAACTTGGGCACAAACCATAGTCATAGCTTCACATTGAGTTGGATTAACTTTCCCCGGCATAATTGAAGATCCGGGTTCATTTTCAGGTAAAGATAATTCACCATATCCACATCTTGGACCAGAACCTAAATATCTAATATCTTGAGCAATCTTAAATAAAGATACTGCCAATGTGTTTAAAGCACCTGGAGCTTCGACAAATGCATCATGGGCAGCTAAGGCTTCGAATTTATTGGGGGCAGTTTCGAATTGTAATCCGGTGATTTTGGAAACTTCTTCAGCTACTTTGACGTCGAACCCCTTTTTGGTATTTAATCCAGTACCTACAGCAGTACCACCTTGGGCTAAGAGTGATAATCTAGGTAAGGTTTGTTCAATTCTGGCAATACCAAAAGTTAATTGGGTAACATATCCCGAGAATTCTTGTCCTAATGTCAATGGAGTTGCATCTTGTAAATGAGTTCTACCAATTTTAATAATATCTTCAAACTCCTTAGCTTTAGCATCCAAAGCATCTCGTAAATCTTTTAATTTTGGTAATAATTGTTCTTGAATTTCTGTCACAGCGGCAATATGCATCACACTTGGGAATGTATCATTAGATGATTGTGACATATTACAATGGTCATTAGGATGAACAGGTTTCTTAGTCCCCTTAACACCACCCAAGATTTCAATCGCTCTATTTGAAATAACTTCATTTGCATTCATATTAGATTGGGTTCCAGAACCAGTTTGATAAATCACAAGGGGGAAATTATCATTAAATTTCCCATCAATAACTTCCGTGGCTGCAGTTTTAATCGCTTCGGATAATTTTGGATCTAATGTTCCATAAGATTCATTAACAATTGCGGCGGCTTTTTTTAAAACTCCAAATGCTTTTATAATTGGGATTGGCATTTTGATATCACCAATTTCAAAATTCCCTAATGATCTTTGGGTTTGGGCTCCCCAATATTTATTGGATGGAACTGCAATTTCACCGAATGCATCGGATTCAATTCTTTTATCGTCAGACATAGTTACTACTTGGTTATTAATCCTCAATTGATGAAAAAGAAGAAGAAAAATGGGGATTTAGTGAAAAATTTAAACTTTATATTAAGGGGGTTAAGGACCGGGGAAAATTGGAATGAAAAAAACTCCGATGGGCTGAAAAAACCCGGAGGCAGGTCCCGAATTTAAACTGTAAATTGGAAATAATGGATGAGATTGATCCGTGAAATTCAAGCTTTCAGACGAGCGCCTTACAAGATGTGTTTCATAGGGTGAGATCTAGTGGATGTCAAAAGAGATTCGATTTGGTAAACCCCACAAAACAAAAACCACAAGAAATTTTCTATTGGTCAAGTGAATTCGCTTGGCATATGTCACAGTTTAAAATGTAGTCAGCACGGTGACAGTATAGAGTTGAATTATACGAAGCAACAGACTCATATGGAAGCTTTGTTTTATTCTGGTAATTATTATTATACAATTACATCAGGGCCATTAACAACTTTGTTATTCAACTAGCTATTATGCTATACATTACTGATACTTAAAGCAATAACCTCGAAACACCACTCTCTTCTATTTACAAAAACTTAGAAGGTTCTCTTCTTCTTTGTTCTATTCTTCTTGGAGGTTCAACCTTAGCACCTGACCAATTATACTTAAATCCAATTTCATGAGCCAATATCTCACCAAATCCCAACATCATCCCATTAATAAATGGCAACACCAAATTAATAGCCCCCTTCTTTAGTATTTCCCAAACATCAATCGTCATAACAGTAGTCTCATGTACTTCGGATTCATAATCACTATAATCATCCTCATCCTCATCTTGAACAAGACGAGATTCATTTATTAATTTTTCAACATTGAGTATACCTGAACCAGTCACAACTTCATCAGAAGATAATTGTTCACGTAAGACAGTAAGATCATTAATTTCGCTAATTGCATCCACATCGGCTGGGACTTCTCCTTGTTCATTCAGAGGGGTGATTGTGACTGTGCCTCCAAGGAGTTCTATATCTTCTATTGTATGGAAATCGGTGGAGGTGCTGCCTGAAGATGTCGGTACTGTGGTGTCTTCGTTCAATTGTGTTTCTTGTGATGGTTTGATCTTTGATGATGATTCTGCGTATGCTGTAGACATTTTTATTCGTTTGATTGGTTATGGAAGTTAAGGATTCAATTGGCTGCCTGTTTCGTTTAAATTTATGATAATTTTTTTGCCTTTTGGAAATCTCAGATTTTTTTCGTTTGAATTTTACTAGAGACGATTTACAAAGTATGGTACGACACACACGCAGGGCAGATTAATGAGAGATATATATGTATTTATAGTATAAAGAATGGTTTAATAGACAAGTGAAGGCGATTTACAAGATGTCATACAATTAGAAAGTAAATGAAATAGTTTTAGAAATTACATTTGTATTATCATTACTATATGCTTTTATGAAAGTCTTATATTTATACACATGGATTAATACTCTAATTACTAGCAAGTCCAACAGACTTACCTTCTTTCAATCTCTTTTCAGTCAATGCAGCAATCACAGCAGCACCAACACCAGATCCATCTTCAGCTGGTACAATAACAATTGGATCTTCAGTTACAGAATCATCCCAACCAAAAATATCTCTTAAAGCTTTAGCAGCTCTAATTTTAAAATCAGGATATTTATTATACACAGAACCATCAGCAGCACAATGTGCAGTCTTATAACCTCTCTTCTTGCAAATAGCACCAATTCCACAAACTGATAATCTTGCTGATCTTTCTCCAATCACTTCAGCAATCTTACGAATTACTTTTCTTTCTGGACTAGTGGTTTCAATATCAAGAACTTCTTTAAAAAGTTCATATACATCAGATAAATTTTCAAATGGATCTTCTTCAATTCTAGCTGGGAATGAAGTGTCTAAAATAAATGGGGTTTTCAACTTGGTTAAATCTTGCCCCTTGAAGATTAATTGTTTTGATTCAGCCCATTCAAGTAATACCAATCTTAAGATTTCTCCTAAATAATAACCAGAATTCATCTTTTCAAAAGATTGTTGACCTGGTTTTGGTGATTCTTTATCAATTTGAACATCATATTTAGTTCTTGGTAATACAATCAATTCATTATCAAAAGCACCATATTCACAATTAATTGCCATTGGAGATTCAGGATCAATATCATCTGGGATAATACCTTGTAATTTTGGAATATCTTTAACAACATCATAATAAGCACCATTAACACCAGTACCAAAAATTAATCCTAATTTAGCTTCGGGATCAGTATACATTGAAGCAACTAAAGTACCAGTAGTATCATTGATTACAGCAACAACATCAATTGGAACACCAACTTTTTTAATTGCCTTTTGTAACAATGGAACAACATCATGTCCTTCAACACCTTCAATATCCCAACCTTTAGTCCATCTTTGTAAAATACCTTGTTTAATAGAATTTTGTGAAGCAGGATAACTAAAAGTAAAACCCAACGGTAAAGTTTCATCACAACCATCAGGGAAAACTTCGTCCACAAAGTTTTTCAAACAATTAGCAATAAATTCCCATAATTCTTCACTAGTGGCCGTTCTCATATGTGTTGGGATTGGGAATTTTGATTGAGTAGTATCGAAATCTCGATTTCCGCCCAATTTAACCAAAACAACACGTAAATTAGTTCCACCTAAATCAATGGCCAAATAATCACCTTGTTCTTTCCCAGTGGGGAAATCCATAACCCAACCTGGGATCATGGGGACATTACCACCGGTTTTGGATAATCCTTTTTCTAATTCTTTAGCGAAATGATCAACAATTCCACGTAATTTTTCGGGAGAGACTGAGAATTGTTGTTCCAACGTTTTTAATTCATCTAATAAGGCTTTTGGTACGTCGGTGAAAGTACCTTTTCTATGTGGTGGAGCTTTTGGACCTAAATGAACCATCTTTGTTATGTACTAAATATAAAATAATAAGCGAGGGGGGACGAGCGTTTAGGATTGTTTATCTGTTTTAAAGTAATCGAATTTAAGGATTGAGTTAACCCTGAAGGAATTGAGTAAGATACTTCGAAAGGTGGAATTGGGGGAAGACGTTGGGGGGTTTAAATAGTAATTTTTTTTTGAATTCAAATGTGTTCATCATTTTTTTTTTTGGAAATTCGGACGTCGTGTAATCGTTGATTATTTTTTTGTATGTGTAATTCGCCCTACTCCCCCACCCACTTCATAGAAAGTTCTATTCTTCCGGAAAAAATATTTGTTCTATCTGCAAGTTTTTCCGAGATTCATGTTTAGATCAAGAAGTTTTTCCACACATTTATTTGGTTTTGTGTATCATATAACTGTAAATGTGGTGATATCTTTCCCATGGGCTGAACCAATAGAAAATGTGGGCCCATAAAAATTAGATCGAAGACTAAAATCTGGAGGTTGATGTTACATTCTCCTTCTTATGGGTTGATCTAATGTTCGCTTAAACGAGCTCATGCCTATATTTATCTGGCCAACCTTCTCCTATCCTCCCACAATTTCAAATGTGGCGAATCCTATGCGTAATCGATGCACCATACAGCCCTGCCCACTTAACGTGATTATCACAAGTTGTACATCTAAAAGTCAGTTCATTTTTGTTGTTGTTGGGATTCCTACCAAATTTCTTTAGTTGATTCATCAAACTCCTTCATAGCTGCTCCTAATTGACCCAAATCCTTTTTAACTTCAGCAACGTATTGATTTATTTCTTCAAAGTTTTGTTTATTATAAATGGTTTGATTCTTATGATCAAGATCATCATCTTGGAAAAATGCATTTATCTTTTCTTCCTTCTTCTTTTTCTCAATTTCAAGATTCTCTTCTGAATGAGATGCATTAGGCGAAGCTTCCTCTTGTTGTTGTTGATCTGAAGTTCCCTTTGACATTGCACTTAGATGATATAATTGTTTTTGATGTTCATTCGTATTCAAATCACTAAATTGTTGAGTTGACATAGTTTCCAATAATTTATTCTGCAGGATTTTCAATTTCAGTAATTCTTGATTAAATTTATCATTAAAGAATGATCCTTTATTCTTTACTTCTTCTGCCATATTTCTAACATCATCTAAAACATCAATTTGAGTCCATAATTTATCAGCATAAGTTATGGCAGGTTTTGCTCCTTGGATCTTATCGATTGTACGTAAACTTTGAGGAGCATCATTTACTATTGCATTAGCATATGAATCGGTATTATTGGTAGTGGTTCTACTTAATCTCATATTGAAACCACCACCACTGGAAGTTGATGGATGTCGTTTAAAATATTGAGGAGTGACATTTGATGATATTGAAGTGTTGTAAGAATGTTTTTGTTCTGGTAATGTACTGGAACCATCTGTCTTCACAGGTTGGATGTTACTCATGTCTTCTTTAGGGATTGCTTGTCTTTGGATGTGTGTTGGTTAAGTGTCTTTGGGATGAAGTTGTAAATTGCTTTGGTGGTCAAACTGAGTTTTTTCCTTTGTGGCTGTAAGTTTTTTTTACAACCAATTTGGTTTACTACGGGCACCAGTAGAAGACGGAGACTGACCATGGGATCAGTTAGAGCTACAGGTAGTTCTACTACGACTCCACCTCCTTCTAATCATTACTTCCTATCACCACAGATATCTCCAGCTCAGCGATTATATCTTCAGCCGCTAGCTTCATTATCTTCACCTGAAGTTAGACAAACTTTACATCCACACCACCATCATCACCACCAGGAACAACATCCACCATGGAAGAAACTTCTATATTTGAAACAACCATATCCTGATAATTATACAGACAAGTCATTCCTTTCTCAACTAAAGCGAAATACAACAGTTGTCAAGTATTCTTATATAAAGTTAGTTGAAGATTTTTCATTAATCATTTTCCATATTTCATGTATTCTATTGGTGATTTTAACTTTTAAAGGAATTTATATTCATAATTGGGATCCAATTAAACCGACGATATTAAGTAGTGCAATCTGGTTATTATTATCAACATCAACATCAAACAATGATAGAATCAATATCAAATCATTCATATTAATAATCTTTATATTATTAATTCTATCACCAGTATTAAAATCATTAACAAAATCAACATCTTCAGATTCTATTTGGGCAATATCATTTATGTTATGTGTTGCTAATGTATTACTACATGATTATACTATGAATGCTGCTAATACTTGGAGAAGATTAACTCCTCATCGACCAATCATATCTACGAATATTTCATTATCAAATGCAATAGTATTAGCATCAAGATTAAATTCCACAATTGAAGTGTTTCTGTTTATTTTATTTGCAATTCAAATTGGGATTATATTACCTTTATTTGATGCTAAATTAAGACAATTGAATTATAAACAAGTTCATTTATTAATATTCATTATATTATTTAATTTGGTTAATTATATGATGTATTCAATATTGGATTATAAATTCTTAGTTTATTGGATTATTGGCGCTATTACGATGATTATAATTATACCGGCATACTTCTTATCATTACAACGATATAAGAATGAACTTCAAGGTCCTTGGGATACTGCAAGACCAATACTAAATAGACCTGATTAGAATAGAATTAATATACGAATTGAAATGTACTTACTAATTTAGGGTGTTTTCTGACTCCCGGGGCCATTCACTACCAGAGAACTAGAGATATCTATAATTGAGCTTAATTGCTTTAAAGTGAAGAGTCGCAAACTATTGACTTAATTATCTAATTTAGACTACGCTTGACTTGTAAATAGCTTTCTATTAGCCCATAGGTTTGTAACTTTCTTACTCTAGAGCCGGAAGAGATATATCTACGTAGTACATTGTCAACATACCATATTTTTAGATAGCTTCCATTGGGAAGAGGTCATTAGACGGTTAGAACTAATCATGTAACATCATCTCAGATACATCAAACTTCATTTGAGGCATCTTCACATACAAGCAATAGCTTTACCAACAACCACTTCATAGAACAACCAAAAAGAACAAAAAGATTTTTTTTTTCCATCAATTTTTTTTACAACAACAAAACAGAATTGTTTCACCAGTTGGTTTAATCCAAACAGATATTACAAAACAGATAGAGACAATCATGGCAGGAGAGAAGAAGGATACGAAACCTCCAGTGGTACAGAGACAAACCAGTAACCAAAATGTAGCTCCCACTGCTCAAGGAGTACGACCTGCAAACCCTCAACAACAACAAGGTCAACAACAACAACAACAACAACAACAACAACAACAGCAACCAGGAAATCCAACTCAATCTAGACCAGCACAAGCCAGAGCCAATCAACCACAATATTCCCAAGCCGACTTGAATAGAATCGTATTAGAATATCTTAATAAGAAAGGATATCATCGTACTGAATCTATGCTTCGTTTAGAAAGTTCCAATGCCCCAACTCCACCAGTTGCACCAATTGCTCCTGGCACTACCCCGTTAGCCAATCCAAGTGAGATTGATGCAAAGAAAGAAAAGGAATTGAAAGATAAATTGACCAAGAATGAACGTGAGATTCGTGAATTAAGGGACAAACAAGCAAAAATTGAACGGGAATTACGAGAAACTAAAGATCGTGAAGTTAGATTGGCTAAGGAGAAAGATTTACGAGATTTAAAAGATTTAGAAGAAAAGAAAAAGAGAGAAAATGATCCAGAAATATATACTATTGCGTATTCAATGTTAAGACGTTGGGTTGATTCTTCTTTGGATTTATATAAACCGGAATTATCCAGGATTTTATATCCATTATTTATTCATTGTTTTTTGGAATTGATTTCAAAAGGATTTGGATTACAAGCTAAACAATTCTTTGATAAATTTAAACCAGATCATATTATTTTACATGGAGTTGAAGTTAATAAATTTGCTGGATTATCATTACCTGAACATCTTAAAGAAAATGAATTAGCAATGGCTTATAGAAATCATAAATATAAGATTTTAGTTTCGAAAACTTCCTTGAATTTATTATTATATTTCTTACATGAAAATGAAGCAGTTGGAGGTGCAATTCTTATCCGGATAATTAATCAATATCTTGACCCTGTGATTTCAATAAATAGACCAGATAAGATAGATCAAGAAGATGAAGCTAATCCAGAAGAAGGAATTCCAGAATATGTAACCGATACAAATGAAGTTGAAAAATTTAATGAACAAAGTGTAAAATTAGGTAAATTACCATTAGATCCAGAAGTTTCAAAAGAAATCGAAGCAGAATTAAAAATTAAAGATGAAAAAATTGAACCTATAAATGGGAAAACCTTAACGGATGAATTTCAAGAAATGACAAAACCAGAAACAGATTCTCCAGCAAGAGAATCTCTTCCATTGCCAGTTAAGGATTATTCTGATATTAAAAGAATGATTTTAGAGGTCGAGGATTCAAGATCAAAAATCAAACTTGGAGCTATTCAAGCAAGTGCTCCTTCAGTGTGTATGTACACTTTCCACAATACCAACAATGATATGACTTGTATAGATTTCAATGAAGATTCCAATTTAGTTGCAGCCGGGTTTCAAGATAGTTATATTAAATTATGGAGTTTGGATGGAAAACCATTAAAATCAGTCTTAAAAAGAGATCGTCATCGTAATGAAAATACCAGAAAATTAATTGGTCATAGTGGTCCAGTTTATAGTGTATCATTTTCACCAGATAATAAATTCTTATTATCTGCATCTGAAGACAAAACTGTCAGATTATGGTCACTTGATACCTATACATCACTCGTTTCTTATAAAGGTCACAATCAACCAATATGGGATGTTAAATTTTCTCCATTAGGACATTATTTCGCCACCGCGTCCCATGATCAAACCGCAAGATTATGGGCTACTGACCACATATATCCATTAAGAATATTTGCCGGACATATTAATGATGTAGATTGTGTTGAATTCCATCCAAATTCAAATTATGTATTTACTGGTTCCAGCGACAAGACATGTCGTATGTGGGATGTCCAAACCGGACATTGTGTACGTATATTCATGGGCCACACCAATCCTGTAAACTGTCTAGCTGTTTCACCGGATGGAAGATGGCTCGCTAGTGCCGGTGAAGATAGTGTGGTTAATATCTGGGATATTGGAACTGGTAGAAGACTTAAAGCCATGAAAGGACACGGAAGAACTTCGATCTATAGTCTTGCATTCAGTCGTGATGGAAGTGTTTTGGTGAGTGGAAGTGCGGATAACACGGTTAGAGTTTGGGATGTGAAGAGAAATACTAATGATGCTGGTCCTGAACCGGAAGCTTTTTCATTAGCTGGCGGAGATAATACAAAAGCAGATGGTGGAGCAGTTGCTAATACTGCCGATGGAAAACCGGTTGAAAAAGTGAATAAGAAAGAAATTATAGCTACAAGTGATCATATGACTGCTTATTTTACTAAAAAGACTCCGGTTTATAAAGTTCACTTTACAAGAAGAAATTTATGTCTTGCTGCTGGGGCATTCATGGGATGATCATGTTTATATTTTGTAACATTTATAGTTTTTTGTATTAATATAATAGTAAGATTATCTATTGAAATAAAGGCCCATTTGAGAAATGATAAACTACAAGCTGAATTCTACACGCAGAAGACCTTAGATTTCTTTCTAAGCGGTGAAGATAGTTTAATTGAAGACCTTTCTCAACTTGACAACACGTGTAAAGCAGGTTATTCTACAGCTATTTCTTTTTAAAAAGTGGTGGTCTTAGGCAAAACCTTAACATATGTTTGCTACCCCATTCTTTAAGAATCGTTAGTACATGTATAAATGGCGTGGTTTGCTTTCGGAATTTTCAAAAACTACCAGCCTCCATAAACATTGTAACCAAATTATCACACTTCATTAATCTTAACAAATACTCTATACACACTACTATTGACGCATTATTACAATTTATCAACAATATAATATTGCTTCGAGGTTACGACGAGGCGAGTGCTTTGATGGTGCTTTACGCAACCTGCTATTGTCCATCTCTCTCAGCCCCTTACCGCGGCCCATTATCTACTTATATGTACACCACAATAGAGATTCAAATCAAGGGACATGCAATTATTTTAGTAAGGTCACGCTATAAATAAATAAACTCGATAGGGGAAGGTTTGTACAAATTACCTTTTGCGCTGTGCAGCCCCCAAGGCTCAGCAACACAACTTAGCCAATACTTGCCTTACGAATATTTGCAATTAAATATTGTGGCGCGATCGGAAAAACTATACACAAGGCTTAATCCAAAAATAGAATTTACGACCAATATATCCAAAGTAATATCCGAAAGTAATTGATCAATTGAATTGGTATGTAACTACAACCTAATTGCAATTATGTTTCCGATTCAAAGGGTAATTTCACCTGGAGAAAATTTTATTACTAAAGATGTACACGGTGTTTTTTTCCTCCTATACCATTGCTGCATAAGCCGCAAACTTTAAAAAATTTGATTATTGCTATTATTTTTCGCTATTAATGGCTGAATTAAGTTAAATTCCATTTGAACTAAAACAATAAGGGCGGTTCATAACGCTCAAGGTAAAATAATTGCAGCGGAGAATGAAGCCCCATTTTTCCATTTCTTACTATAAATACTGAAAGAAATTGCCAAAAAATTAAGAATGAAAATATTTCTTACACTCCAATCCACTATCCTTAAAAATGAGATTATCCACCTTATTAGTAGTTGCTGCTTCTACCGTTACCGTATTCGCTGCTGATACCAGTAGTACTTCCGAACATTCCTCAGCAAGCTCGATTGCTTCCAAAGTGGAATCTAAAGTTTCTTCAGCAGCATCCGAAGTGGCATCTAAAGTTACATCAGCAGCATCTGAAGCAAAATCAGCTGCTTCTTCCGTTTTATCAGCCGCAAAGTCTGGTGAATCTTCCGCAACTAAATCTGGTTCTACATCTAAAGCTGAAGCTGCTGGTATTGTAGGTGCTGGTGTTGGTGGTTTAGCTGCACTTGCCGGTGTTTTATTATTATAAGATGTTTTTTAGTTAGATGAAATAAGAGCACTGTGTGTTTACAATGTATTAACTAAATATAATTAAGTAATAAATGCCAATTCAATAATTGTAACAACTCATTGGTCTTCTGTTGTTTGTAGAACTCTCTTTTGTAAAAATTGGCTGTGGCTGCAAAAAACGAAACACGAAAAATATGAATGTTTGTTTTTGTACCATCTTTAACTTAAATAGTTAAACAAGAAGAGGAACCCAGGTATTGATTCCTTATTTGTACTTTTAGCTTACACAAGGTGCAATTGAATCGAAATCTATTATTCGATTAGATGGTATACTTCAATAAACCATATTTTTGATAGTCAGTCATTAGAAAATAGGAGAATCTTCGTTAACAAATTAAAAAACGAGAAAACGAACTTTACGGGCTTAAAAAAATAAAAATCGCGTTTCAGTTTGGAGAAAGATCGGTAAATGTTTCCAATGACTATTATTGCTATGGGCTCAGCTTCTTGTGAAAAATTAGCAATTTATCTGATTGATTGATCGTTGTGGATTAGAATAATAAATGTAAGGCGGGATCAATCAATTATCAATTTTATATAATATTATGACCACACTATCGAAGCCAGACACTTACCTTGTTTCATATCCTCATTTAAGCCTCGTAGAAGATATACCCCTGAAACCGTGGTCACATTTATTGTGTGCATTAGAATATTATTTATCATCTACGAAGTTATTTTATAATGTTCAATTACGTTTTATTGTTCTCTAAGGTGACATATATCCCTCAAAGTCATCATCAAACCCTTAATTACAAATAATTAAATGACTCTTGAAACTATTGCAATGACACGTAGAAAATTGCATCCAAAGTTAGCATTAAAGTGCATCTGGGTGCAATGGGCCCCAACCAAAACTTGGTTTCAGATCATTCTCATCCGCATCACGGGTCGTAGACATACCCCAGTCTCTGGTACATACATCTCTTTGCATCATGCCAAATATCTCTGCATTGTCACAACAAACTCAGGAGGCTGATTGATATTTTAATTCTTCTCCACCCTACAGAGAGGTTTATTATAAAATATAAATCATCATCATCATCTCAATTTCTATCCCAGATTATTTTTTCAAAATTGAAATACTAAATCCCTTGTAAACTGTTGTAGGAAGTAATCCAGAGTCTCAGACTTCCGGTATAACTTGCACGTGACCAAATTACGTCATTGGTATGTATTCTATTTACTAACAATTATACTAACAAACTTCTAGGATATCACTATGATGCAATAGCATTATATGATATCATTACGATGCAATAACATAAACAACAACTAAAAATAGAAATAACTAAAAATAGCAATAAGCTAAATATAGCATATGAGGTCATAGACCATATAGAAATGAAAGTTGAAGTCAGCATAGCTAGACACCCTGAGCATAGCTCACCAGACACATATAAATATGGGACAGAGTCCACTACAGAAGAATATCTCTATACATATAATAACTAACTAACTAATATACACCATACACTCTACTACAATAAGTATCAATATATCAGTCAAAATATACTCTAAAAGAAACTATCAGAAATGGGTGACAACTTAAGTACACAAGCCTTCAATGACTACGCCTCCAGAGAGCCAAACCTACAACATAAACTTCCTCAAAAATGAAGCTTTCAACTATTATATTAGCATTATCAACTACGGTAGCCACAGTCACAGCACTTGATCTTACTGCCGCATTTCAACAATTCCAATCGCAAATAAATGCCGCAACCGCAGGAGCTTCAGATGCTTTAGCTTCCGCGAGATCAGCACTTTCAGTTGCCCAATCCGAAGCATCCACCAATGCACAGGCAGCTAGTGCAGCTTTGGAATCGGCTCAATCTGCATTATCTGTCCAATTAGCTTCTGGCGAATCAAAGGCTACTTCTGCAAAATCGGAAGTATCAGAGAAGGCATCTTCAGTAAAGTCGGAAGTATCTGCGGCTACTCATACAGGTACTGAGACAAGTAAGGCTGATGCCGCGGCTATGACCTTGGGTATTGCCGGTGTGGGTGGATTGGCAGCTTTGGCTGGTATTTTGATGTTATAGGGTGAAATAATGAGAGAGTTTGTATTTATTTGGGATATTTTATGTTTTATAGGATTTTCGTTAACTAATGAACTTTTCGACTTGTTTATGTTATATATAATGTAACATCTCTTTCTCATGCCATTGATCTCATGTCAATCATAAATTACTGGGCTAAATTTGATGACAGATATTTTGACGAGATTCAAGCTGGCTTGTAACAATTTGTATCCGTTACTTGGCAACGATAACAATAGGTGGAGCTGCGATGCAGGATTGAAATCATATCGAGAGCCTCCCATACATAAGCAAGCTCCAAAAATTTTCACTTCGGATGCTGAGATTCTTCGTGTAATGTCTAATTAGCAACTGGAACCGAGCACGTTAACATCCACTATTTTAATTTAAGCCTTTCTAGAAGTGTGCCTCTTAGACACGACCACTCCGCAATAATCAGATTGAGCGAAAAAAATGCTGCAAAATGATGTTTTAGATAAGTTCCTTGTAATTCCACTTGTAGGTTGGATTTCTATGAGCATTTCAATTAATTTGAGTAATATGAGCCTCCTAACTAGTCCAGGCTCTCCTAAATGTGGGCATTGTATAATAACCAATCTACTTTTCAAATGATCAAACAATGAACGTGTCGATTGATATTTCCAAATTGGTGGTTCACTTCCTAATTAGGAAATTTATCTGCAACCGAAATTTTTTTTTGTGCCTAAATGGCAAAAAAAGTATCAATGGTGAATCATGATGTTTTAAAGAAAGTATAAATAAAGCATCAGATTTCCCACTTACTTTCATTTTCTTATTTCTTCTTTTCTTTTATAGTTGTTTAAAACCATTCTCAACTTTCTTATAAAGTCATTTTCTCATAGAATTCACTAATTGTCTCATTAAAATACACATTACCATAAAATCATGAAAGCTACTTCCACAATTTCATTATCAGCAGCTGCTTTATTATTATCAGCAACCTCAGGAGTCCAAGCTGCCGACCAAGCCGAAGTAAACTTCTTAACTGCATTAGTTGACGATTATCAAGCTCATAAAACTGAATATATCAAATTTCTTGCCACCGCAACCAGTATTCCATTAGAATTAGCGACAATTGCAACTCAAGTCTTAACATATACTGATCATTCATATACAACTCTTTTAGATAATCCCGATTTGGATTTTGGAAAAGTAGAAAGTTTTGCTTCAGAATTACCGTGGTATACTAGACTTGAACTTGAAGCCGACGGTTCAGCTTCTGCAACACCAACATCTAGATCCACTTCTGATTCAACTACAAGTCATGGAGATGTGGCCAGTGCCAGTGCTGACGAATCTTCTACTGAAGGAGGACAATCTGAAACTGAATCAAATGGTCATAGTACCACTCAAACTGGTAATACTTTGACTACTAGTAGAAGTCAAACTACTGCTACTACTGGAAGTCAAACTAATACTAGAACTACAACTCACGAAACTTCTACTACTACAGGTGGTGCTAATGGATTACTTGCTCCTTTTGGTGCTGCTGTTGGTCTTGCTATTGCTTTACTTTAGGCGAAAAACTATGGGGTGGTACATAGAGGGTACCTTGTTACAACTGTTTAATAATGATTCATTAACACTTATAAGTGGTTTATTCAATTTCTTTTGGATGTATACATTCTATTTCGTTTTATATATAATTCAAGTTTTTTATTTATAGATTTTAAAAATATCCGTTGTTCATGAATAACTTCAGCGTTTGCCTGAGATTGCGTAGAAGTAACTACTGACATTGAGCAGACTATTGATTCGTAATAGTATGATGTACGTTTCTATGTAGGTGCAGTCATAAATAACATTAAATATTTCAAATTCCACAAGAAATTATCCAAACATTCCATAGGCACTTCATTATTATTATTATCCAAATTAACGTCCCCTGGATATATTCGTTTACATAAGTCCGTCACATGATTAATCAAAAGAATTAAATCTCTATTAAGTAATTTCAAAGCATATTCAAATTCTTGATTCATCAATATATATTTTCCTTGATGACTAGTATTTGTTACTTTTTCAATCTTATACTGATTATAACACAAGGCGAATTTATATGGGGATTTGATGTGCAGTTTTGGATATGTTGCTGATGCAAGTGGATATGAATTAGATACATGGTCAACTATAAAACTATGAGACCCGGCAAGGATGATTTCGGATTTAAGTGGAGTATTGGTGATATTAGCCAATAAACTTATTATTTGGGCAATAAATGTTATCCCGGCGTTGATTTGGGCGATTTTGAAATTATGCCATTGGGATTCATTTAAGAATGTTGGTTGATAATATGAGTTTTTCAAATCATGGGAATTATAATAACAAATATTTAATAAATCTTTTATATCTGAAGGAAATTGGAATCCTAGGATTGAAAACAGAATCCCATCAATGTTTTCAATTGGGAATATGTCTTGAATTATTTTGGTTATTGATTGTAGTTGGGAAAGTAACTCTGGATATAATGAAACTTGTAGGGATTGTTTAATCGATTCAATTTCAGATTCATATACTTCAATCTGACTAAGTGTTGTTTCTTTAATTGCTTCGAATTTAGTGGAAAGAATCTCTTTTGTTTGAGATATTTGCTTCTTTATTTGATATATTTCTGATCGTATTTCGTCATTCTTTGATTGCTGGTTTGTAATTGCAATACCCAAGGCATCACACGAACTTTTTAATCTGCCCAAGAAAATCGGTACATTATTGATATTATTGGAATCTTGAAGAACATGCATATCATGAGATATCTGCTTGCTTAACTTATGTTTTGATATATAAAACTCTTTAATTGACCTATCTAGATTATTCATCGATCGTATTGAATCAAATGAATATGAAGGTATCGATTGGATATGATTTGTAGGTGGGATTAAGCACGATAAAAGATTTTCTCGGGGAATTTTCAATAAGTTAGGTAATGTATACCATCTACCATTTAACTTTAGAATCATTGAATTTGGTTTAAATAGCGACAGTAATTCTTCTTCTAATAACTGTTGTTCACCAAGATAGATTAGATTGGCTTTCAAACTAAGTCGATAGATTGCTAATAAATGCCATTCATTATTATTTGAATTTGGAATAGGAAACATCGGTCGACTCCATAACTTTATAATTATCTTATCAAAGGAATTGGGTAAATCAAAAGGTAATGAAATTGTATCAAACTCAGGATTCATAGTTTCTAATTGAATATCACTAATATAAATCAATTTCTCTTTATGTCGTTTACTGAATAAATGAATTGTAATAAAAGAATCAACAATACGTCGGTTATTAATATCTATTAATTCTTCATTTTCTTCAACTTCATCGAATTCAGGTATAGCTGTAATTGTTCCTCTTCTTCCTAATCGTTTAACTGGGGATGTAGTGGGAGTTACTTGTTTGGCTGTCTTTGATTGTTTGACATTTGATGCTAAAAATAGATTGAGAAAATGAATTGACTGGAGGTTTCGTAGTCTACCATCATTATGCTTTCGATTCATACTTCATTTATCTCTTTCGTTAGATGCCCAATTGCCATATAAACACCACACTTCCTATACACTAATTGGGACAACTCATAAGGGAAGGAAACGAATAATATCAGCAACCAATTTGGTAACAGTTACACGACTTAAAGATCGACAAAAGAAAGAAATCTTTTTTCCGGTGGTCCCTCAAAAAATCCCAAACAACAAAAACAAACTTTTACAGTTTTTACAGCGATTCAAGAAAGAATTAAATCATTGAACATTCAGTGTTGTCAAATCAAATAGGATTGATATTAACACATCAGAAAGATTGATACTGTTTAAATATAGTTTATACACATGAAGAAAAGACAGGCCAACAATGTCTTCATCATCATCATCTGATAAAACACAGAATAAATCCTTTGGATTTAGAATATCCTCAATCTTTAATCAACATCACACACATTCCCACTCATCACAACATACAAGCCAGCCTAATGATAGATCCATACACAAGCTGAACACATCACCAGCTATGACAGTACTGCCTAATAATACAGTAACAACAACAGCACCAGCAAGGAGACTGCAGACGAATTCTTCGTCTGCAAAGCAACAACAGCAATTACCTACGCCGGTTAGTAGGTCTTCCACTTCAAATCGCTCGGCCCAGGTCCTACATGGTTCTACACCACCTCCGCAAACCGCCCCAAATGTCCCACCACCAAGTACAAGAGGGATAGCTAGTAGCGCACCTCTGAATACTACTCAACTAGCTAAAAGTAGACAGAGCCCAACCCCACCACGATCGCCTGATAGTCAAAATTCTAGAGGTTCCAAGATTTATTCACCTGGCAGAAGAAAACCTCCTCCAGACTTTGATGTTGAAAATCTATACTTCCAGGCTCCAAATATAGTGAAAACCTCCCCTTCACCATTAACATCACAACCTACCCTTCCAAAATCAAATTCTCAATCAGATAGTATTGATACTGATAAAATTGCAGATTTAGAAAAAGGGCTTGATAGTTTTCTTAATCTTAATTCTTCTGATAGTGACTCGCTTTCAAATAAAATTGAATATCCAACAAATGATTCAATTGAAGATTTTAAGATGTCAAGATCTTCACCTTTGATGGGACTTTCTGATTTTGCACCTAACTATAACCAACTTAATAGAACTGAAACTGAAGATTCAAATAGATCGGATAATCTGACAAAAATAGAAGGGACAAGTCTTCCATATCCTGCTGAAATGAGCTTCAGTGAACTTAGTTCTCCTGTTAAACCAATGTTTGATATGAGTGGTTTGGATTTAAGACCGCAAGGTAGTAGTGTACTGGATATATCAAAATCACCTAGTCCACACGAAACTTCATTAACAAATTCAAGATCAAGTACTCCCACTGGAGGTGCTTCATTAGATAATGCATCAATTGGATCACTGGATTTATTCATCTCAAGGCAACATCAACAACAACAGCAATTTCAACAACAGCCACTGGCTCCTCCATACCCACCAACTCGTCATTCAACAGGAACGGCTGTATTCCCAAGATCTCCAAGTCGACCCTCTCAAACCCAGCAATTTCAACGTCATGCTTCCGAGCCTATGTCATTTGGAATCTCGAAATCAAACACCGTTAATACATATACAAGTTGGGGATCACCCAGAAGTAACCTGCATCGTCGTCAATCAAGTTCAGTAAGTTCAATCTGGAGTTCTAATTCTTATAGGAATGTAAATCTTGCGGCAATTAAGAAAACCATGAATTTGAAACCCGGAGAAGGGGAAAGATCTAATTATGTATTATCAATTAGAAGAAGTTCAGGGACTTCATATAACGAAAACGGACCTTCGAAATGGAAATTACCTGTTGGGATCTTACCAGTTGATAAATCGGCCCTATATGATAATTCTAATGGTAGATATCTTCGTCTTGCTGGTGCAAGTGCATATAGAAAGAAGACCAGTGGGGTGGAATTAAAGCATGGTCATTTGAAGCCAAGATTATTAGCTGCTGAAATTGATGAATATGATGATAATACTTCTTTGGGACTTAGCCCTTCTACAAATACGACTACGAGTGGAAGTGGACCAACCGCATTCACACCAACTTCAAGATCCAATAAATCATCCGAGTCTTCAAAGACTGCTTCAAGAGAGAATTCTATCGCTAGAACAGTTACTGATGCATCTATGAGAAGTGGAGGGGATAATCAAAGTTTTACAGGGCTTTCAGCTAGGAGTACACGTAGTGATTCTATGGGATCTTCTTCTTCAGAAGATTTGGCTGACAAGATAGATGTTGGATATTATCAACATCGCGGATATAAATATGATAAAGATGGTAAGGATGTGATATTTGATGAAGAGATTGGGTTTAACAATAATGAGCATAGTGATTTGGAGGGAGTCAATGAGTTTGATGGAGAGGTTATACAAGATATTAGTGAACTGGAAGATTATGATGAAGCTCCAAAACTTGTTTTAGCCAATCCTGACGCTGATACTGATAGTGATTGAGTTGGGGGAAAATATTACCTTTATGTACAGTTAATGATATTATATTAATTTATACCATTCTTTTTCTTATGGTGCCTAACTTTACAATCAACGTATCTCTTCTTTCGCAACCGCATAAACCACCGGCAAATTGAAATATAGAATGAAATGTACTAAAGCTACATAAAATATTCTTCTGCAGCCGTCGGGCTGCTGTTCATGCGATTGCCTTGGACTAGGTAGTCAAAATGTTACAGAATGTACAAGGCAAGTTTGGTATGACGTACCCGAAGGACAGAATATTTTGAATCTTGAAATGCAATTGATTGGACTTGATAAACCAAACCGCAATCTCTGTTTCGATAACCATGGGAAGTTACTATTGAAGCAAAGCGATTTTGCAATTGCAAAACTGGTAGCGCCTTTGGACGAGTTGTTGTCTTGCAATAAAATTCATAAATGGAATCAGAAACGGATTAACATTTAACAAATCAGGCAAAAATAGTCCCCTCATATAGCTCTAACTCTAGAAGAAGTATACCATTTAAGTCTCTAATAGAGCCATTCGCAGATGGTTGCCAGCGGCACCAAAACTAGGATGATTGATTGAAGTCACGTGCAAGTAAAGTCGTGTAATTGTACCCAATTCCTCTATTTTGACAACCACCAACCAAAAAAATCAACACGCAACAGAGTGTTCAGAATTTTCACTTTAAAATTGGCAGCACTGGAAGTCACTCAATCAATAGAACTAAACTAAATAAGCGACAATATGTCAATGGGTGGTGATACAGGTTACACGTTGATCTATGAGCCCAATGCGGCTTCTAAAGTATCAGTGAATGAATTCAAGACTTTATTGGAAAAGGGAAAAGATGAAGTTAAGATTGATACCATGAAGAAGATTTTAATCACAATTCTTAATGGAGATCCAATGCCTGATTTATTAATGCATATCATTAGATTCATTATGCCATCAAGAAACAAGGAATTGAAGAAGTTGTTGTATTTCTATTGGGAAGTTTGTCCTAAAATGGATGAAACTGGTAAAATGAGACATGAAATGATTCTAGTTTGTAATGCAATTCAACGTGATTTACAACATCCTAATGAATATATTAGAGGTAATACTTTAAGATATTTGACTAAATTGAAAGAACCAGAATTATTAGAAACTTTGGTTCCAAATGTTAGACAATGTCTCGAACATCGTCATGCTTATGTTAGAAAGAATGCTGTATTTGCTCTTTATTCAATTTATAAGGTTTCTGATCATTTAGTTCCAGATGCTGATGAATTGATTTATAGGTTCTTATATGATGAAGCAGATTCAGTATGTAAGAGAAATGCATTTGTTTGTTTAACTGATTTGAATAGAGATGCTGCTTTACAATATATCCAAGACAACATCTCGGTGATTGAAACATTAGATCCATTATTACAATTAGCTTTTATTGACTTTATTAGAAGAGATGCTCTCAAATCTCCATCATTGAATCAGCAATATGCTCAATTGGTTACCGAAATTATCGAAAGTTCGTCTTCAAATGTTGTTACATATGAAGCTGCTAATACATTAACTGTCTTAAGTTCGGATCCACAATCTATTCTCTTGGCAGGTAATAAATTTGTTGATTTGGCTACCAAAGAAGCTAATAACAATGTCAAAATTATCACTTTGGATAGAATCAAAGATTTAAATAAACAAAATCCAGGTGTTTTACAAGAATTATCTTTAGAAATCTTACGAGTCTTATCAACTCAAGATATGGATGTTAGAAAGAAGGCGCTTTCAGTTATTCTTCAATTTATCTCCAGTAGAAATGTTGAAGATGTTATCAAATTATTAAAGAAGGAATTGCAAGCAACTTCTCAAACCAATGAAGAAAAAGCAGCCGAATATAGACAATTGTTAATCAATGCTATCCATCAAATGGCTATTAAGTTTGTAGAAGTGGCAGCTGATGTTATTGACTTATTATTAGATTCAATTGCTGAATTAAATACTACTGCCGCATATGAAGTCATAACTTTTGTTAAAGAAGTTGTTGAAAAGTTCCCTGATTTAAGACCAGATATTTTGAGAAGATTAATTTCTGCATTGCCTCATGTCAGAAGTGGGAAAGTGTTTAGAGGTGCTCTTTGGATCATTGGTGAATATGCATGGGAAGAGCCAGTGATTCAAGAATCTTGGAAATTTATTAGAGCAAGTGTCGGAGAAGTTCCTATTTTGGCTAGTGAAAGAAAGGCAGAATCCGCGGCTCCCGAAGACGAAGAAGAATCAGGACATGTGAAGAGAAAGAAGGGGCCAGTTATTTTGCCTGACGGAACTTATGCTACTGAATCTGCATTAACTGCTGAGATTTCTACTAATGAAGATGACGAAACTAAGAGTCCGATTAGAAAACAAATTCTTGGTGGCGATTTCTATTTAGGTGCGGTACTTTCGTCTACTTTGGTTAAGTTGATTCTTCGTTTACAAAAATTGTCTACTCCTGCTAGAGTATTGAATGGATTGAAGGCTGAAGCTTTATTAATCATGGTTTCTATTTTAAGAGTTGGTGAATCTAGTATTGTTTCCAAAAAGATCGATGAAGATTCTGCTGATAGAATCTTAACGTATATCAAGATCTTAAATGATGAGGAAGATGCATCTATTATTCAATCAGGTTTCCTTGAAGATACAAAAGATGCATTTAAGGCACAAATCGAAACCGCAGAAAATAAAAAGGCAGAAGCATTGGCTAAAGATTTCCATGAAAATGCTGAACAAGTGGATGATTCTATTGTGTTTAGACAACTTGATAAAGATAATAGAAAACTGGGAGCTGTTGAAGATGATGTGGTTGCTGTGGCTGGAAGTGCAGATGTTAAGAAAGATAATTTATCATCTAGATTAAATAAGATTATTCCATTAACTGGGTTCTCAGATCCAATTTATGCCGAAGCATTTGTTAAGGTTCATCAATATGATGTTGTTTTGGATGTCTTGTTGGTAAATCAAACTACAAATACTTTAAGAAACTTATCAGTCGAATTTGCCACTCTTGGAGATTTGAAAGTTGTTGATAAACCAACTACTGCCAATATTGGACCTCATGGTTTCTATAAAGTACAAACTACAATCAAAGTTACTTCAGCCGATACTGGTGTTATCTTTGGTAATATTGTATATGATGGTCAACATTCTAATGAATCTACAATTGTCATTTTGAATGATGTTCATGTGGATATCATGGATTATATCAAACCAGCAACTTGTTCCGAAAGTCAATTCCGTAAGATGTGGAATGAATTTGAATGGGAAAATAAAATCACTATCAAATCTCCAATTGATTCTCTTAAGGAATATATGGATGAATTGATGAAGGGTACAAATATGAATTGTTTAACTCCAGGAGCAGTGATTGGTGAAGAATGTCAATTCTTGTCTGCTAATTTATATTCTCGTTCTACATTTGGTGAAGATGCTTTAGCAAACTTGTGTATTGAGAAACAAACTGATGGTCCAATTATTGGTCATGTTAGAATAAGGTCAAAGGGACAAGGTTTAGCATTATCTTTGGGTGATAGAGTTGCGTCAATTTCTAGAAAAAACAAAATAGCTCAAATTACTCATGTCTAGATGTTGTTCCACCACGACTGGCTCCTCCTTTAGTATTTTAGTTCTGGTTCTACTTTATTTTGTTTATATATACTTTCTATAAAATATACAATTACAATTTGTTTAATTAAATCTTGAAGTTGGATATATGAATTCTAATACTTTTTGAGTTGATTTTGTGAGTAATTCAGTATTCTCTTCTGATCTTTTATATAAAGCTGGATCTAGATGAATACCAAACGATTGCATATTAGTAAGATCATTATCATCACAGGAAAGATTCAATTCAAGAGACAATAAGTATGTATTGTGCAAAGAATGAAGATCTCCTTGAGCAAATACCGAGTGAACATTTTGTTTGAAATTATAAGTAAACAGCGATGAAGTATCAAGATATTTCAATCCGTGTTTATTCTGGATCTCAACCGACGTCTTAAGTAATAAAGTGGTTTTATAATTTGATGATTTTAAAGTAAACAAATCGATACCTGCGATATTGTTTAACTTTGTATTTAGAATGAAGATTAGATATACCATTGCTTTAGCTATGGGTTCAGCAGTACCATATAATGATAAATATCTATCTACACTTCCTGGATGATCTGGAGAAATTGACATATCTTTAATACCAAAATTCAGACGTAATGATTCAAGAAGTGTTTCTTTATTAGTTTCAAAATACGTAGCTTCTGAAGTACATATTAGAATGGTTAACCGAACGAACTTGTCTACTAAAGTAATGACCTGTCTTGCATGTATCTTCAGTAAATAATGTATCACTTTCTTGTCTTCAAGCTGCTGTTGGGTTGGGTTGCCTTGGGCTGTTTGTGGAATTGGGTTTTGTAGTTGTAATGCATCTTCTATTTCTGTTGGTTGATAAGTTGATCCACTATCCTTCTGCCTCTTTCTACTAACATTAATTGGCTTACGAGGCATATTAGTCTGTGTGTATAGTAATGGTACCTATGAATAAGTAGAAGTATTGACTGTTGGAAATAAAGGGGCGTGTAAATGGTTTCAAAAATTTTGTTAGTGGTTTCTGGTTTGTCTGTGGAGGGCATCGCACTCATCTGCAATTTTTTTTTCACTTTCAAAATTCCTGAAAAACCAGGAGGAATACAAAGGAAGGGGTAACCACTTTGTAAATAAATAAAGAATAAATAATAACAATGGCCAAGAAGGATAAATCAGTTAAGGTAGAGGAAGCTACCGAAGACAATTATGAAAAGAGAATGTCTGCAGTCTTACCATTTGCTAAACCATTAGCTTCTAAGAAATTAAATAAGAAAATCTTGAAAACCGTAAAGAAAGCTTCTAAGGCCAAGCATGTCAAGAGGGGTGTCAAGGAAGTTGTTAAGGCTTTAAGAAAAGGTGAAAAGGGTTTAGTTGTCATTGCTGGTGATATCTCCCCAGCTGATGTTATTTCTCATATCCCAGTTTTATGTGAAGATACTTCAGTTTCATATGTTTTCATACCTTCAAAAGAAGATTTAGGTTCTGCTGGTGCTACCAAGAGACCAACCTCATGTGTCATGATTGTTCCAGGTGGTGGTAAATCTAAGAAGAATGCCGATAAGACTGATGAATATAGAGAAGCTTATGATGATATTGTGAAAGAAATTGCTTCAAGTGATTAGATACTGTACTATTAAACTTACTTGCATCCATCCGAAAGATATGATATTATATATATTTAAATGAAGAAGACCTTGTAATGATATTCCAATGTTATGTAAAAAGTCTATCAGTGATTTGGAGCGGTGAAAAGGAGGGAAATACAATGACCTCTTGAAGAGCATCCGCTTATTCACTACTTCCAAATCATCTCTTGCTTCATAAACCTTTTGCTTTTTGCTTTCTTTCTTCTAATTTTGTACTTTTAGCGTTTATTAACTCAATAAATAACATCGATTTAACCGTTGTCTAGTGGCGGCACAACCTTTTTGGCGAACACCGTATACTAACAGCACTCAAATTTCGTTACTAAGCCCGCCGTCTTTTATATTCATTGTCGAACATTCTAGGGGGTATTGGTGGATTGAGGATTGACCCGATAACCCATATTAAGAGAGTTACCATAGAAATCATATTGAGTGTCAATTTCACATCTGGTAGCGACGTTTTGAATTCTTAGATCAACTCCCCGAAAAATCAAAACAATAAACTTATGCTTATCAGTAGTACAAAAGACACCCCAATACTTCAAACAAAATGAGTCAACATGATGCTGTTGAAGGCTCTAGTCAACAGGATTCGGTGACAGCGGTCGATTACATTGAAAATCAATTGAGATTAGAACGAGAAGCAAGGGAATTAATGCCCTACGATCCAAATGAATGCACTTACGAACAAGGTGAACTCAGACAACCCGTATTCGCATGCTTAACTTGCTCTAAAGAGAATGACAACCAGCCAATTGGGGTATGTTACTCCTGTTCAATTCAATGTCATGCTAGTCATGAAATTGTGGAATTGTTTAGTAAACGATCCTTTGTTTGTGATTGTGGGACAACAAGAATGTCCAAGACTTTTAATGGTGCTTGTAATTTACGAAGAAGGGGGGAGGCTTCAGAAAAGGGAAGGCGGTTATCTGTTTCATCAACGAGTTCTAAGGAATTGAATTTGAATGCGGAAGATATTCCATCTTCTTCAAATATCTATAATCAGAATTTTCATGGGAATTTTTGTTGTTGTGAGAAACCATATAATCCACTAGAAGAAACTGGTGATATGCTACAATGTTATTTTGGATTTGTTTGTGGAGAGGATTGGTATCATGATAGATGTATTATGGGTATAACGAAAGAAGCAGTAGAGAAGGATAGACAAACCAACGGTAAAAATATGTTGGATAAACTTGCTCCACCAGGAGAAGATGCTGAAGCGGAACAACAACGAGAGGAACAGGAATCAGATGCAGAGTCTGCTATACCACATTTTCCAAAATTGGACAATTTCGATGTTTTCATCTGTTGGAAGTGTATATCACAATTCCAAGATGTGTTCAACGAACTTGAAAAGACCCCGGGTATAGTCTACACTAAATTAGCACATTTTGATACTATCAACACAATGCATGACTGGGAATCCAAAAATGCAGAGCTAGAAAAGAAGCTGAATCGTACAGATGACGAACCAGTTGTGAAAAGAATGAAGACCGAAGAACCGAAACAGCCGCAGTATTCTTTCTTCTTGGCTAATGATTTCCGTGAAAAGATTATACAGCTTTATGAATCATTAAACAAAGAATCTAGATTGTATGAATTTTTAACAAACAACAACTATCTTTTCTTGGATGATCCTATATACGAACCACCAAATGATGTAGAATCAACAACTGGGTCAATACTTGAGATGGGTGCTGATGCATTACAATCAATTCCTCGAGAAAAGGCAATTGAAGGACTACAGGCATATGATAAAATTCGCGAGAAATTACGCGATTTCTTTAAACCATTTGCAGAAGAGGGTAAAGTCGTTACTGAACAGGAGGTTAGACAATTCTTTGGTTCAATGAAAGAGGAACAGGAAAATGAACTCAAATAATACTTAACATTTACTTTTCTTACTTAAAAACTATGTACAAAAATGTATAAAAGAAAACAGACATATCTCATGATAATACAAAAATGCTATTCCTACGTTTCCTTCTTCTTCTTCTTGTCTTCTAATTTAGAAAACTCTTCTTTCCATACCTTGTTACCTTCTTCTTTCGTTACGCCAGGGAAAAGAATTTCGAATGCTTCATCATACCATTCAATAGGAATCAATTTAATACCCTCCTTAATCTCATCATCAATTTCTTCTAATTGATTCTCAATAGACTTAGGGAAAATAACAGTATCACAACCATATAACTTGGCACCTAATAACTTTTCCTTTAATCCACCAACAGCCAACACTTTACCAGTCACTGTAATTTCACCAGTCATGGCAATATTGGCAGGCATGGCTTTTTGTAAGGCCAAAGAAATCAACGAAGACGTAAATGCAACACCAGCAGATGGACCATCCTTAGGTATACTACCACCCGGACAATGCATATGAATATCTGCAACTTCAAAGAATCTATTCTCAGGGAAATTCTTCACCATATACAGCTTAACGAATGAATAAGCCAAAGAAGCTGATTCTTTCATTACATCCATTAAGCGACCAGTTACGTGCACCCCGGCGTGTCCGGAACCTGAAGAGATTGAATTGGTTAAAATAGATTCGGTATAAAGAACAGAGCCGAACCCGGAGTTGAGGAACGCTAATCCAGTGGCTACACCGGGAACAAGCTCGTCATAGAGTCTGTCCTTTTCAAAGACTGGGGGACCAATGTAGTCTTTCAAGTTTTCTGGAGTGATTTCAAAAACAACATCTGCTGGGATATCTAATTTGTGAGGTTCTTCTTCTTCTTCGGCTTGTTTGACTTCATCAGTAGTGGTAGTTTTGGCTTCTTCGGGTTTGCTTTCTTCGTCAACCTTCTTTTCTGCTTCTGATGAAGATTTGGTTACTTCCGATTCCTTGGAAATATCATCCTTAGCCTTGCTTTCGTCTGCAGAAGCGACCTCTTCTTCCTTTGGCTCTTCTTCCGGTTTCACTTCTTCTGTCGTGGCTTCGGCTTCCTTTGTTTCTTCTTGCTTCTTGGCTTCTGCTTCGGCTTTTTTAGCTTCCTCGGCTTCTTCTCTAGCTTCAATTTCCTCGACAATCTTCAAACTAGCCTTACTGAAAATTCTATTGATCAAAGATTTCATATATCTCATACCACTTTCTCTACAATATTTATCATTGATGAGTGAGACGGTTTCCTTTGGAATGATAACATGTCCATTTTCCAACTGAGCTTTTTTACTTGCATTTGGAATTAAATGTTTAGTTGCAATTTCAATCTTTTCGTTCTTGGTATATCCTGAAACTTCAATAATTTCCATACGATCTCTTAATGGAGCAGGAACATTCTCAAGATAATTTGCTGTACAAACAAATAAAACTTTTGATAAATCAACTCTACATTCAATATAAGTATCAACAAATTCAGAATTTTGTTCAGGATCCAAAATTTCCAAAAATGCAGAAGCTGCACCTCCTCTTCCGGAAAGATCCAATTTATCAATTTCATCAATTAGCATTAATGGATTTGAAGTTTTTGCTTCTTTTAATGCATAAATTATACGACCTGGAACTGATCCGACATAAGTTCTACGATGACCCTTGATTTCATGAACATCCTGAATACCACCCACAGCAAGCCTGACATATTTTCTATTAAGGGCTTCTGCAATAGATCTGGCAATTGAAGTTTTACCAGTACCTGGAGGACCAGTAAGACATAGAATTTTCCCTTCGACATGACCTGAAACTTTACCACTTGAAATGAATTGCAAAATTCTTTCCTTGACATCTTTCATTCCATAATGATCGCGATCTAATATAGTTCTTGCCTTTTTCACATTAAACAGATCTTTGGAATATACACCCCAAGGAATGGAAGTCAACCAATCAATATATTTTTCACTTACACCAATTTCAGAAGAATGGTCTAAATTAGCTAATACCTTGGCTTTTTCAGCATTATAAGCTTCCATTGCTTCTTCTGATAATTTCAATTTTTTTAATCTTTCGTCGTATTTTGCAATACGATTACCTTCCTTGATACCGATACCTTTTTGCAATTCTGCAATGAATTCACGAATAAACCCACGAATTTGGGCTTTCTCTGCCTTTTTATTCAATTCACTCATTGCTGTTTGTTTGATTAATAATGCTTCAACTTCAACTTTTAAGATTTCAAGTGCTTTTCTTAATCTAAGTGGAATATTGCTTTCATCTAAAATCTCCTGAATAAGTTCTGGTTTAGCATGAACATTTGAAGCAATATAATCAGCAAACTTGGCGGGATCCTTAGGTATTTCTCCAGTTTTCAAGTTTTGAATTGGATTTTGGGCACCTAAAGTACCTAATAATGTATGCATAGTTTCAATTAATGCCTTAATTTCTGGTGAATCAGGGTCGTATGGGAGATCCTTTTTCTCTCTAACAGTACCATATGAAACTTTCTTATTCATTAAATAGGAGGTTGGGAAATCTTCGGGTTCGATACGTCCACCCTTCATATTCGGAGTACTTAAATCAACTAATTCACATCTTGCCAGAGGATAGGCAATAATAGTCATTGATTTTGGACTTGATTCTTCCATGAATTTGATCACTTCACATATGACCCCGGTCTTATGTACTGACTCTTTGCTTTCGATAACATCAGTAGAGACCGCATCTGGATCACGCTCATGGAATAATACAAAATAGGCTTCTCTTTTATCGGAAATCGTTTTGATGGCTTGAATGACTTCAGGATCTGTTATGGATATGCTGGTGGTTCTTAATGGTAATGGAGGACGACTTTTCATTGGAATGGCTAATAATGGTGGATATTCTCCATCTCTGTTAGGTTTGATGCGAGGTTCTCTTTCCAGGTCTTCTTCAATGGGATACTCAGGATCCTTGTCCTTGTTATCATTACCATCGTTGTTGTTATTGCTTGGAGGGGCATTACCACCTGCAGAAGTAGGAGCATTCGGATCTATGCTAGTTCTAACATCATTGACATCAGATTTTTCAATATCTTTATCTTCTTTCTTCTTCTCAATGTCTTTATCATCCTTTTCCTGCTTGTCCTTCCTTTTAGGGGTTTCCTTCTTTTTAGGTTTCTCCTTTTTGTTAACTGATTCATCTTTTTTATCTAAATTTGGTTGCTCATCTAACAAAAACAGTTCAATGGTTTTTAAAGTTGGAGTATTTGATGGCAAAAAGAATGGACGGGGTTTTATAGATGAATTGCTTCCATTCCAAACAACAGAACTGGCTGCTCTAATTGGAATAGAAGTGTTCACTTTATAAAGGTTCCTAGACAACCCTCTAACTGTATGTCTTCCTCTGATCATTTGCTGTTCACTGACAAATCCACTAATGGGTAGAATGCACAACTGGAAGAAATTTGGAGTTTTTTTTTGACAACAGAATTTTTCCGAAAATGGGTTTGGTCATGTGATCAGTTCAACAGTTGGTAGCCCATCGACGCTTTACAAGCTTGTATTGGTTCAAATGACTGTAGTAGATATGTAATTCTTCCATTCTGTCTACTAACTAAAGGAAATTTCAGGAGAGCCAACACAGGGTATTCACGAAACATTCAAATATTTATTTTCTACAAAGAAATGACAGTAATAGTAAATCGCCTGGAAACTTTGCAACCGACTTTTAAAGGTCAGAGATACCCTGAGGAAGTGACTGACCCAGGAAACAAGGGATAGTACAACTACTCTTACTGAATGGGTATATATATATATTGTTACATTTAAAATAATAAATAGAATGTATCTATAAAATGATTCAGGCGAATGTACCCAGACATCACCCGAACCATTATGTCTCATCAATCAATCGTAAACACCTTCCTTCTCTTCTTCCCCGCCTGTTCTTCAACATTACCAGTTTCCTTCTCCGAAGTAGTGGGATCCTTCTTTTCAACCAATTCCAATTTCTCTGGCAACACACGTTTTACAAGTGGTGACGCACCACCATCGGGATTTATTTCAAAATTCTTATCCAGATAGTAATTCACCATATTAAACGATTCGTCTTCCAATCCATGTATTTTCTTATTAAATAATGAAGTCTTAAACGCGTCTGATTTCCATAGTTTTATTTTCTTCTCTTTTCTTTCTTCTACTTTGATTGATAGGGAAGATTTTGCACTTTCATATTCTGAAATTCCGCTAGTTTCTGCTATGTGATGTGATTCTTTGGTGGTTGCTGGAGTGGATGAGCCCATTAAGCTCATATCACCAACTGTCTCTATTCTGGGAGAAAAATCGGGTGAAGAAATAGGTGAATCTGATTTATCGAATGATTGGATGACCTTGGTGGGAGTCTTTGTTGGAGTCGAGGGTTTTTTGGATATTACTTCCTCTAGATGTGTCATAGGCTGTGGCGCCTTCTCAGAAGGAGAAGACTGTTGAGATGAATTGCGTTTCGCTTCCTTTCGGGATGGACTTAGAAATGGAGTGTCATATGTCTGTTGTTGTCTTTTCGTAAATGAAGGTGATCGTAGGGGTGAAAACCCGAAGGACAGGTCAAACAATCCTCTCCTGGGTGGTTTAGTATTTTCTTTCAATAATAGTGTTTTAGTAGTAGTGGTGGGAGGTTTGGCTTTGGCTTGGAGGGATTTTAATTCTTTAATTTGTGCTTTCAAAGATTCATTCTCTTCTGCAAGTTGACTTATCCTTGCTTCTTGTATCTTTGCCTTAACTGAATGTTCTTGTTTTAATTTGTTTAGTTTCAATTCGTATTCATCAACCAATTCTGGAATTTCTGCGGCAGGTGGAGGTGGTAGTGGGATCTCGATTGGTTTCTCCTTTTCTAGTCTCTGTCTTTCTTCAGCTTCCCTTTCTTTCTGTTTCCGAAGTGCCCGTAGAGTTCTTGGTGATTCGTCTGGAACTTGGATCGGCAGTTGTGGTTCTCCTTCTTGATGTTGTTGTTTTGGTTTCTCAATTGGATTAATTAGTGATACCAATTTAAACACCGCTAATTCTATAAGTGTCTTTCGATATACATCTTCAGCAACAAGTAATTCCAACTGACTCCTCCTCTCATAATGTCTGTCTATATCACTTTGTTCTACCATTGTCCATTGACCCTTACTTCTCCATCTTTCTTCCACAAAAATTTCCCAAAAAAAAAAATCAAAACACTTCAAACCCTCGCATCGCATCTTAACCACTACCACACAACAGACAGACAGTCAACATGAACATCTCACAAACAGACAGAAGCCTAATCAACAATGCAACAGTCTACAACGCCGCCAACGGAGAATACTACAAACAACAACACATAGACCTCGAATACGTCTCTCAATCAACCAAACATAAAATCGTCAACCATCCTCCAAGGGGGATAGAAGTTATAATAGACAAACAAGCGGATGATTTGGATAAAGTATATGCACCGAAGGGAACTGTAGTACCACCGGATGAGATTTTGGATATGTTAAAACCGGGGAATTTAAAGATTCCGATTGTACATAATGAAGATAAGATTTTACCTGATAGTGAGTTATTGAAAGTGATTCATTATTTTGTGAGTAGGAAGATAAGTAAGGCTGATGGAGATACTAGGCGGTTTATTCGGAGTATGGACGAATCCGCTTTGTTGGCTATGGGGATGTTGGTAGAGTCGTGGGTGGATGAGTTGATTGATGAAGAACTGGTGAGGATGTTTTTGGAAAATTATTCGTATGAGAGACCAGAAGAGAGTGATATAGATCGAGATACAAGCTCTGATGACGAGGATGAGGAGGAAGATGAAGAGGACGAATAAAGAGATTGTCTAGCAGATTTAAGGCTACTTCTATGTTTAATGACTTTAATGAATACATTTTAATATACAAAATTGGGACTATAATTCTATGGATTATATGGCATTTAATTTTCAACTTCAGGAGTTTCAAACGCGGAATCTTCAGTTGGTTCAACGGTTGATTCCTCGGTTGGTTCAACGGTTGATTCTTCAGTTGGCTCAACGGTAGATTCAATTTCACCACTTGCTGCAGCTGCTGCTCTTGCTTTCTTTTCAGCTTCGACTTTCTGTTGATAGATCTTTTCTTTACCTTCATCCTTAGCAGAAGTTTCAACATCAAAAACACGATAAAGTAATTCATGAGTATCATTCTTGTTAACCATCAAGTTAATATTTGACTTACCCTTCCATAATGGTAAGAATAAATCTTCTAACCCATCTCCTCTTTCAACAGTCAAAAAGATACACCCTTCTTCCATTTCTTCTAATTTATTAGAAAATTCAGGATCAATACCTCTTTCTTTAATATCTTTAACTTTTGGAAATGCTTCTATGAATAAAACTTCCAATAATTTTAAATTACACTTCAAATGTCTCTTTTCACCTAAATGTCTTTCAATAGTATGTAAAGATTCAGTTTGAACTCTCCATGGACAACTTCCAAGATCATTACGTTGAGCTACAAATAATTTAATTCCCGCTTGAATAATCTTCAATTTTTGTTCAGTTATAGATAAGATATCACGTACAATTGGTGCAACATAATAGATAGTTCTAATTGGTTCCCCGGTGGCATTTCTAACTAATGTACAATCCTTAGGGAATGTATCTTTGACATCATAGAATGGCCAACATTTTTGTAATTCAGGATGATTTGGATCTAAGAAAATAAATGGTTCTTCATTGGCATCTCTTGGTAATTTTTGTTTCTTTTGAGGTTTATGAACCATTTCAGTATTGGTTTTTTGTTTTTTGGATTCTTCTGATTCTTGATCAATTTCTTCTTCTTCTAATTCTCTTTTTGATCCTTCTACTTGTTCAGGATCAATCTTTTCAAAGACAGCAATGAAGAAACCTCCGGTATTTTGTAAATGGGGATAAACCCTAATACAACGGTTTAAATTAAATTCAGCGGCTTCTTCACTAGTTGGTGGGAATGCAGTTTCTGGAATATCTTCAGCAGAACCCTTTTCTCTTAATTCCATATCCTTTCCAAATACTTTCCAATCACTAATACCTTCACGTCTAATCAATCCTGGTAATTCTTGAGAAACATCAACTAAACGAAGTTGATCCTTACCCCATTTTCTTAATGCCGCAGCAACAACAGCTTCATTTTCAACTGGTGATAAGGAGCATGTAGAATATACCAATCTACCACCTTTTTTCAATAATTGTAAACCTCTGTTTAAGATATTGAATTGTAATGGATGTAATCCAAGTCCGTTACCGACTCTGAAATCTTTCCAAACATTTACATTCTTTCTCATAGTGGCATCACCAGAACATGGAACATCACATAAGATTCTATCAAATTTTAAGAATTCATTGGCATCATTTAATTTAATTTTTGGGAATAATGTAGCATCGTGATTAACAGTAATGAAATTTGGTGAATTTAATCTCTTAACTTGATGAACCAACATATGAGAACGTTTATAATCGGAATCATTAGCTAAAACAAACCCAGTTGGTAATTTATTTTCATCATCTGAATGCAAAGCTTCAACCAATTGAGCGGTCTTGGATCCTGGAGCAGCACACATATCTAAAACATAATGATGTGGTTTAATATCCATTAATAATGGAGGAATCATGGAAACTGCTTCTTGACGAGAAATATTCCCAACTTGAGTTTCAACAACTAAGAATCTTTGAGTTTTGGCAAATTCCTTTTGTTTTCTAATGACAGCTTTAGAAACATCTAATTGCCAACCTAATCCATCCGGATAGTATGCTAATGGTTTGGGGGTTAATTTAACTCCATCAAATTCCGCATCTTGTAATTTTGATACATGTCTAGTTTGAAAGATTTCTCTAATTTCTTCAGCATGTTTTCTGGAACCAGTAATACGGAAAGTTAATGGCAAGGTATCTTGACAATGTTTCTTGAAAGTATCCCATTCTTCTTCAGGAATGATATTCATGGTTTTATAATATTTTTCCCATACTGCACTTTCTCTAACTGCTTCTGTCCAATTTTCATTATCTGATGCTCTTTTTCCAAACCCCTTTTTGTCACCACCACCGCTTCCTCCTTTTCCTTTTCTAAAATTTCTCTTTCCCATTATTCTTATAACGTTCTTTATCGTTTTCATAGGAAACACCTAAATCGATAGTCCGTGAAGTGAAAAGTGAAAAAAAATTTGAGATGCCATTCAAAATATATTTGCAGGTTAGCTTGAGGCTTTTGCAGATTAGATAGTTGAGATATTAAGTGGTAGGATATAGGGACACACCAGTAAGTTCTCAATTAGCTATGGCTTTTCTAATAGCTAATGGGTAGCATCGCTGGACTGGATCAATTCATTATAATCATATTAGTTGCTTAGGTCTGATTGTTTGATAAGTCTCAAAGCTTGATTTTCCCTACAAAAAAAAATTGGTTGCAAAACATAAATTCTTATTGCTTCTGCTTGCTATGAGGACGACATTGATTGTAGCAATAGGCTCTATCCAACCAATTGAAGTATGTTAAACCTGTAGGTATATTATCGGCTAAGGATTAATTAGTAAATAGAGAATGCGCTCCTTGTTGTATTCATCTCAAATTGAACTTACGGCAAACTCTTTTTGGGTCAGGGCTCTGCAAAGTGATATAGAATTTAGTTGTAATTCTTGACATAAGCTTCCCCCCTATCTTGGCTGTAGCTACTTTATAGCAACCTCCATGTTCTATTACTATACTTCCCTTTGTTGTTATCGTTGCTTCACTTGGTGAACTGAAAGAGACAAAATTGGCAAAAGATAGCTTTCCAGTAAAGGTAAGTGCGGCTCAACACTAAAAATTTTAAAGTTTTACGTTTTTACCCAAAATTTTTAAATCAAAAGAAGTCAAAAGCAAGTGGGGCTAGTCTTTCATGATTTTAGTTTTCAGTTGCCATTGGGAATTAAAAGGAATTCTAATAGTAGTTAATGTGAATTAAGATTAAATTTAAGAGTAAGAAAATCCCGAGGAATAATAATCAATTGAATCACAAAGAACAATGAACGATCCCTTACACCACGTAATTGTCTTTTTCGTAATTAAAAAACAATGTAAAAAAAAACATCAAATAAAATATTTTCTCTCCGCCATCCTCCCTTCTTTTCTTTACACTTACACTAATAGACTATACTATACAATACTATAAGACTACACTAGATTAAATGTCACTAGTAATACCAGAACGACAACAACGGCAACACCCATCTACAGTTACAACAATTTTATCTACAACTGCATTAGCAACTTTCACTAAAAAACGATTAAGTTATGGAGTTGTATGTATTCTTTATCACACAAAATTAAATAGTTAAAATCATCTCTAAGGATTATTACTAACAAAATATTGAAAACTAGTTTGGAGGGGTCCTCTTATCACTTTATTACAAACGAATCAAATACAATCCAGTGACTCTTGTTTGTGTTAATTGGTTAAAATGGTTAATGTTAGGGAAATTATCCAATAAAGAAATTACAATAATTGTAAATGATCGAACCGCCACTGTAACTGATGCTAATAAAATATCAATAGTGTTAATATTCTCAAATTTAATTGATATTGCAATTGCAATTAGTCAATACACTACTACAACAACAACAGGCGATGGTAATAATAATGCCTTGATGAATATCTTAATAATTGAATGTTTGAATTTATTACCAATTATAATCTTAACTACAATTAAATGTTTATTACCTGAATATACAAGTTCTTATAAATGGATTTATATTGGAGATTATATTAGCAGTTTAATTAATTTCATTATGATTGTTATATTCATTACGGTATTCAGTTATAATCAATATTCATTTCCATTTTTCATATTACCTTCAACTTATTTAAGTTTAAAATCATTAATTATGAAAACAAGACAAATTATAAATTATAAAAAGAAAGAAATAATTCTAAATAAATTAAGAATACCCAATCAACAACAACAAGACAGATGTGTTATATGTCATGATAATCTTGTTACAAATGTTATACAAATGAAGCATTGCAATCATCAATTCCATTATGGTTGTTTAAACCTTTGGATTGATTATAATATGTCTTGTCCTACTTGTCGAAAATCAATTGATTGAATTTTCATGTATTTAACTGATTGCTGGAAAATCAGTTGTATTATACCTATTTGCAACAACGAGGGAATTTAATAGACTTGTTGAGGCCTCCAGTTATTATTTATTGTTTAGTTCTATGGTGGGTACTCTTATGTATAGGTACATAGGTAGTTTATATATTTGGTCTAATCTTGATCTATACTTGTGTGTAGTAATCACCTTTCTCTCTCTACCTCAATAGGGAGCGCTTCTATTATTAGATGGAGCACTGCTCTTAGTGAGAGCATTTCTGCTTCAAATCGGTTCTAGAGTCTGAATCGCCCACAGTCCATGTGTTAAGGGAATGTAGACACTTCACATAGTTTGAGAAATCTACATAATCGCAGGATTATTCTCATAATAAACATACAAATAAAATACATAAGTTAAAGAAATATATACATAATACACCCATACATATACACCCTGCTAAAAATAGCTATCCGAACCATTGGTTATTCCAGCAGTCAACGCATCAATATCAGCATCCTCATTCGTCAACTGTTTTGCCAATTCCTCAATACGATGCTCTGAAGCTGCATCATCACCTGCGTCTGCTCCAGCACTCCCATCTACTGGTTCATGATGATTAAGGAAATCATCATATCCAGCATATTGTTCAGGATTATTGTTGGTATTGTTAGTCTCAAGTAATGAGGAGGTTTCTTGCTTCATATGAGAAGCTTCCACTTCTTGTTTTATACTTGGATCTTGGTTGTTGCCGTTGTTATAGTCATGATAATAAGATTCCGGAGATTGGATTGAACTTGATTCCGAACTGTGAAGATGTGCTTGGACTTGCTGTGCCTGCGGCTGTTGTTGATGTGGTTGTTCATCTATATGTATTTCATATTGTTGTGAATGCATATTCACATCAGGATGGGTAGCACTAGTACCAACCGCGGCGTATCCATGCAATTCACTATCCATATCCATAACCTCATCACCTTCATTCAAATGCGAAGATGACCCTTGTTCTACCAGAACAGAAACAGTTTCCTCCACATTAACACCACCATCCTGAATCCCTTGTGCAGATGCAGCAGCCGCAATAGCAGCAGCCTGAGCCGCAGCTTGTTTAGCTTGTTTCTTAGTTGTTCTAGTCTCCCCTCTCTCTTGCCTCAATGCTTGTTGTTCCCTATATTTCGCCAAATAAATCTTCAATACTTCAGCATAATTCTCAAACCCCAAGTCATGCATTGAAAATAAAATATCTTCACCATTTATGGTTTTTCGTTTTTCACGTAAACATTTATCACTTGCTTCTGATGTTATAAATGATATGAATTCAGATACACATTCTTGCATACATTCTTTAGCATCTTTTGAAACTTTTGCTGTTTGTGGTAAGGTATTTTTCATTAATCTGGCGACATTGGCTATTGGAAGCCATCTATCTTGTTCTCTTAATTCGATATCTTTTTCCATATTGAGTGGAGGTTATTTTCCGTTGATGTAAATTTCTCTATTTCTTCGAGGATATGGAACAAGCAAAAGAGTATCTGGAGTACTGGTGGATGTTATCTCTCTTCTATTGTTTAAGTTTATAAGATTTTAAAATCTAAAAGCTAATACTCCACTTGGTAGTTTATTTACCAAATGCTTATAATTCACTTTTTCATAAATGGCTATAATTTTTTTCCTCGTTGGAAGAGGAATCTGTAAAAATAAGGGATACAAATAACCTGTAAACTCCCCCCCTGAATCTGTAAAATTGAAAATTGTCCAACCTTTTACAGGTTTTTGAACCCATTAGCTGTCAAACACCATCATCATCATCATCTATTGTCCCTCCAATTAGTTCAATGTCCACCGAGAAATCAAAAGAAGACAATCAAGAAAATGAACCCAACCAGCAATTACCCCAACCAAAAGCAGCATCAGGAGTCTACGGACTAATCATTATCCAAATCATAACCAAATTATTCACATTTCTCCTAAATCAATTATTAATCCGATTCATATCTCCAAAGATATTCGGAATTGCAAGCTATTTAGAATTCATCACATCTACAATCCTATTCTTTTCTAGAGAAGCTGTTCGACTTTCAGTACAACGAATTCAAGCTGGAAGAAATGATGATGGTGGTACGAAAGGAAATCAATTCAGAATAGGGACCAGATCGGGGAGTTTACAATCAGTTATCAATTTCGGATTCTTGGCTTGTGGGTTAGGGTTGGGTGTTTTGAGTATGGTTGGATATTGGCAATATAGGACCGATATGTTTCAGATCACATTTATGAAATTGTCATTATGGCAATATAGTTCATTATTGATTATATTTCTGATTTTGTTGGAATTGATTATTGAACCTGTGTTTTTGATATATCAATTTGAATTGGATTTTAGTAGACGGTCGAAATTTGAAGGATTGGCGATATTTTTGAAATGTGTTATGACTTTTGTGGTGGTTGTTTTGGGGAAGAGTATGGATAGTGAAAGTTTTGAAGGGATTGGTGTGTTGGCATTTAGTTTTGGAAGGTTTGTTTATTCATTGACTTTGTTTATAACTTATCTGATTTCATTTTTGAAATTTAATCAAGAAAATAACACAGATGTTAAATATTCAATGAATAAAATATATGATTCAAAGAACGAATCATCTTTCTATTTCCAGAATGAAATATTCAAAATTTGGAAAGAATTCTTTATCCAGATGTTGTTCAAACAATTATTAACCGAAGGTGATAAATTAATCATCAACTACTTATGCACGATTGACGAACAAGGGATCTATGCCGTTATATCAAATTATGGAGCAATAATAGCACGATTATTATTTCAACCATTAGAAGAATCAACCAGATTAATGTTCACCAAAATCCTAAACTCCACCGCTACCACTTCATCCTTCGACTCAACCAAACAATCATTCAACTATCTCAAATTGATCTCAATTTTTTATTTCAATCTTTCGATAATGATCCTATTCGCAGGAATAACAAACGCTCCATTTTTATTACAATTCATAATTGGTCGCAAATGGGGCCATAATACCGATTTATTCGACTTATTCCAAATATATATAATCTATATCCCATTTTTGGCATTCAATGGGATTCTTGAAGCTTTATACTCGGGAATGGCGCTGAATAAAGATATGAAACGATTCTCGTCATATATGATTTTCGTCAGTATATTAATTGTGTGTGTTCTGTATTTATTGATTGAAAAGTTAAGGTTTGGAATTTTGGGATTGATAATTGCAAATGTTATCAATATGGCTTTGAGAATTGGATTCTGTTTTGTTGGTATAAAGAAATATTATTCAATAAGAAGTGTTGCAGGTCTTTCATTGATGAATGTAGTCAAGTATACTTGGAGTTCGACTTTTGTGATGGTAGTTTGGTGGGGAGTTCAATATTTGGTTGTGTTTGGAATGAATGGGTATACTACTCAATCTTGGAAACAATTGATTGGCAGTGGGTTTATATGTATTGGATTGTTAAGCAATTTATTATTCTTAGAAAGGAAGAATTTGCATGGGCCATTAGATAAATTAAAATCTAGACTTACAAGACAGAAACTTGATTAGTCGATAGTTGTACATATACTTTTATAGAATCAAATAGAAATGGATAGATTGGTTGCAAAACACTGAGAATAAACTTACAATTACATAATGGCGCTCGGTATTGTTGAAAAATGCAAAAATTTAGAGTCGACACACTATATACCTTGTACAACCTCATTGGACTAGAAGTCCCAAATTAGTGCCATCCGCTTCGCCTCCACCACGGGTAACATACTGTGCTGAATTGCTTCCCTCCAGTGATATTGTTACTCATTGCATGTACCCAATAAAAGACTGATTACTCAAGTCATCGGAATTCGTACCGCAGGGATCGAACCGGACACTCATTCGAAATGAGATAAAACCACAAAGTACAGAAATCAAACAATGCGCTTCTGCTATAGGCCATCACAGCCAAAATTTTCTGAAATTCGTGGTCACGCGCTTCTGTCGCTGAAACACTATATGCAGGATTTCTTTGCTGCAAAATTCAAAATTGTGCGGTTGAAAATGGCAAAATTTCTGACTTCCCAAGCAGAAATCCTAAGAAAGAGAGGTGGAATTGTAATTAAACTCCCTGTATCATGTATTTCAAGCTTTTTTCTTTCTTGGAATTATGGTTTTGTTCTTTTATTTTGGTTTTTGATAACACAAAATGAGAAAATGGTGCAATTTTACATCAAAAGGGCCAACCGTCTCATATATCTTGCCATTGAGTTTCCTAAATATGTAGTTCACCTCTTATAATCACTCTGGAGTATAACCTGATGGCTACTCTTAAGTTGCGATCTACTTTGGAGGTTTAAAAAATATTTTTCTCTGCCTTAATATTTTCCAAAAAATTTTGTCTATAAATTGTAGCAATTTTCAACCGCCAGGATATGATGAATGTTTCCCAGGATTTCTGCAACTGCATCAAGCTGAACACACTATACAACCCTCTTAGCAAACCAATCCATTTGAATAGTCGTACTTTTCTGGATTGTAGGGCGTTTATTAGGTTGCACTGAACATTAAAGTTAGGTGTACAAATGGCAATTGTAACATCTGCTTCAGTATAGCAGTAGTTTTACGACTCTGCATATTAAAGCTTAAAGGGCTTGTTAAGCTAATAATCTGGTCATTTAAAGTTGGCTGTCATTTGATATTCTTTGCAAAAATGTCCAAAAAACTAGCTTCAGTCAACATATCTCTAAACCGAAGCAAAACCTTTGACACAATTTGTTCGAATCTTTTAAAAGGATACACTACTAAGGATGACGAGGCTCAAATGATTAATTGGCCAAGCTTCTGGATACTCGCCGACCATAAACCGTAATCAGCTAGTTTTGTTAAGATGAGAAGCTTCACATTTCCATAATGAACTATTGATAGTTGATACAATTGGAAGTTTTCAACAGGTATTGAGTAAGGAACGCTTGAAGTTATACGTCAAAAAGAGAAATCGATTACAAGCAAATTTCCCTTTTTAGAATCCTTACCCCCTATGCTTAATTATCGTGGCCAGATTTGTTCCGGGGGTAGTCTTTCGTGGTCCAGGCTTGTCTTGTTTTTTTGTGCTTCTAGAATATTTGCAGCATTCAGATTGCGAAAAAATTAGAACTCTAACTTCATTTATCTTTTTCTTTTTGTCTTTGCTGTCCACAAACAAATCTACCATTTCAATAATATATTCAATCAATATTCCTACATCTCATCAACCCAAAAAAGCAGTTGTGTCTTTGAATGTTCACCGAAGAATTCCTGGTGTGAAGTTGTTAGAGGGAAACTAGACCTAGTTGCGGCAATTAAGCCAAAGAAATCAACTTAAACCATAGAAACCAAATTAAAATTTCTTCCAACGACGATCAACAATCCAATATGACTACTCCTTTGTCAACAAGCCATACTACCTGTACCTCATCAAAGTTAATTATGAAGCTTCCATCCTATCAAGATTTTAAAAATTTAACAAGAACTAGAATTGAAACTGAAATAGAACAAATGGAACTAATAAATCCCCAAGTCAACCATCATTCATCTTATTTCCTCAAAAGAAATATGGTTAGTATCACCTTTCAATCTGCTCAACATTTAATTAATCATTATTTTTAAATCCAAGTTTCCACCTTTATTGTGTTAAATCACAAAAGCAAACACAAAATATCATAAGAAAACACGGACATGAAGAATTGGTGGTGATACAATCTGGAGAGAGTTTGACTGGATTCCAAGGATCGGTGTAATTGCTCATACTGAATTAGCCACCTGACCAATGGCTAGTTTGTGTGATCGATTTTTATCTGATTTCTGAGGATGAAGGTTTTGCTTAATCTAGGTTGGATTTAGGATGAAAAGTGGGATTCAGAATCTGGCTTTCATTTAAAAGATAGCATTAGAAGTCGGGAGGGATTTGACATAGATTTCAGTGGCAGTGATATAATTTGGGAAGAATCACATGTGGAGGTCAATGAGGATGAAGAAATAGTGGTGATACAATTTGGAAAGAGTTTGACTGAACTTCATGCATTGGATTGATACTTCATACTGAATTAGCCACCTGACCAATGGTTAGTTTGGGTTGTGGAATTTTTATCTGATCTCAATGGAAGAAGGTTTGACTTAATCTAGGTTGGAATTGGAATGAAGAATGTGATGAATGCTTATAAAGAATTTCAATTTTTGTGATGGAAAATTTCAATGGTGACAATGTGGATTTTGATGTTGTGGGGATGGGGTTTTCAATGTTGGTTTTGGTGATTTTGATTTTGATTTTGATGGTGATGTTGGAACAACGTCAGTAGTAGTAGTGGAAATTTCATTTCCATTTTCATTTTCATGTTGATGGTGGTGGAGAAAGAATATTCATGTTGTGACTTTAAGTTGGATTTTGATTTTGGTGGTGGAGACTTCAATTAGGATTTTGGTGGTGGAAGTGAAAGGATTTGGATTTTGGTGACTTTAGTTTGGATTTAGGTTATGGTGGTGGAAGAATATCAATGTTGGTGGTGGAGGTTTGAATTGGGGGCTGGATGATGTTGGTGGAAGAATATCAATGTTGGTGGTGGAGGTTCGAATTTTAATTTTGACGTGTGGTGGTGGAAGAATTATGGTGATGCTTGTGGATTTTAATGGGTAATTTGTTGAGACTTTGAATGCGTAGTTCAATGAAGACGACATGGTGGAGGTTATGCTGACTAGATTTCAAGAATCAGGTTAATTCTTCATACTGAAATAGTCATATGACCAATGGCTAGTTTGTGTATGGATTTTTCATCTGATTTCAGGGAAGAAGGTTTGCCTTGGTCTAGGTTGGAAAGAGAAAGAAGTTTGAGATTCAGCATTTGATGGGAAGCCAATGGCGGTGATAGAGAAATTTGGAAGAATTTGACTTGGAGCGATATAGGCAGCTTGGGGAGAGGTGGGAAATTTGGGGGAGAGTTTAATCGGGAGTTGAATGGTGATGTTTGGGGCGAGAACCCAGTAATCAACAATTCTCTAACAAAAACGACTATTAGTTGAAATATGAGTACTTACCTAATGAGCTTAATCCATGAGAAAGATTTTCTCCAGATGATACAAAGCCAACACCATTAAGCTGCTTTGGACCCTCCAAGGGACAAAAATAAGGTGGAACCTAATCTGACTTCTCCGATTAAATTCTGAGTGAAAGTAACTAAGTTATGGACGATACCTAAAATAAGGAGACTGTCGATTCTAAGGAACATGGAATCGACGACGTCGACCTTAATAATTTAACAGGTCCAAGGCCTAATTACGTCCTGGCCAATCGAAAGAACAACGAATGAAGCTGCTCTAAACTCAATAATCAACAAAACCAAACAGAAGCTACAAAAAGTCGCTGAGTTGAACATACAATCAAAAGAAAATGAATGTCAAGCTTTAAGTGAGGATCGCGAAAAAAAAAGTTCTAAGATGCTTTCACTGATAATTAACCCAAAGCAATAATGTCTATAGTAGAACTTCTGAATACAGTTGATAAACTCGCCAGAGTCATAAATCAGAAGAACCAAGAACTAGAAGAATTGAAAAAAGGATACGATGAGAAATTGTATTTAATAAATAACTATGTACGAAGATTGGAAAGTGTAATAACAGATCATTGTGGTGATGATGATGATGATGATGATGATGATGAGTTTAGAGAAATAAATGATGAGAAATTGATACATACACTTTCCAATGATATTAATTGTCCAAATTGTAATCATAAAGTTTGGAATAATAAAGAATCTGAATTTATATTATTACCAAAATCACAGGTGAAGTATTTAGTTAGAGGTAAGTCAACAAGTGAAAGTAATCAACCTGAGACAGAAAGAATTCACTCATACACCCAACAGACATCTTCTTCATCTACACGACTGTTTCCTCAACAACAGCTGAAATCTAAAAATAAATCGAAAGTCATTTGTTCATTCTGTAAAGAGCCAGGTCATACAAGAGCTAAATGTCTAACAAGATTAAATACACCAGCTACAACAAATTAATTAAATAGTACAATTATCGCATTCTCTATATTACATGTATATATACATTTTATTTTGTTGATTGAACCATGGCCTCTATAGTGAATATTGTTAGTATAAATATTTCAGAATGAAATTGAAAACACCCAGATGGGGGTTAGGGAAATACATACCTCTTCTTGATGCATCTTGTAACAATGTACAATCCACTGACCTTGGACTCATATGAACATAACGGACATTCGATCCTCTTATGAATAAGTTCTTTACTGCTTGTAAATGGGGATATTTGGTTCCATTGGTTACTTGTATATTATCCAATTTTAAATTCAAATATTGATCTACTGATTTTAATGTTCCTTTTATTTCTAAATCATTCTTTAATTCGACTGTGACTTCTTGATCAACAAGAGTCTTGAAAAAACTGAAAAATAACATTTTAAAAACTGGCACTGATTGCTTGAAGATTTACTTACTACAAAGTGTTAAATAAAGAGGGTTTGAGATTTTTTTTTCAGAGTGGGAAATCGAAACTACCAAACAGAGAGCATTACATCCAAACATCAATACTTAAGGCAAATTATCAATCTATTCAGGAATACTAAATAATAAAGAGGGAGATATACATGCTTGATCTTCAGCCGAGTCGTCTAAATAAGTCTTATGGTAACCATTAATACGATTTTCAATTGACTTTTCAGTAAATGCACTTGAGAAAGTTGAAGCTGTCGAACATTGCTTTTCTAGTTCAATATCAAATGATTTTCTTAAATAGAAATGAGGTTCTAACAGTTCTGGTTCAGGTGAGGGTTCCCCGAGACGAAACTTACTACTAAATCTTGAAGATGAGCTTGGAGTGGATTCAAATCTAAACACATTACTACTTGGGAATGGAACCAGAATAATAAGTCTAGGAGATTCAAATCTAGAATCTGTAGTTGCATAACTATCCGTTTCTTCTTCATATTCCAGAAATGGGTCACCCTGTTGAAGAATAATGTCATCTGAGTAAATTGAATTTGGTTCAAGATTTTCTTTTTTAATTGGAAGTCTAGAAGTTTGAGGTAAACTATGAGTGTGTCTTGGTTTTCTAGGTTCTTGATTTCCTGAAAGTTTAGATAAAGTATAATTGGAAGGAGATCTACCTCTAACTGTCAATGGGGGAGTAGCTGAAAGGGCAATGACGGCATATGTATCCTTTTCCAATTCAACCATTAATTCCACTTGTAAAATAAAGTTTTTCTTCCCAGTACTTGGTTTTCGATGCTGAGCAGAAGATGCAAATTGAATTCTTTCATATTTGACAACCTTGGTTAAGTTTCCAGAGGGATAAGTATTCAATATGGATTCTTCAGTCTTTGGTAAGAAGTTGTCATCATAAAATAGTCTATCAAAATGGATAATCCTGGCTTGTTTTCTAATATTGGCACTTTCCTTAATAACAAAGTGACTAGGTAGCGCACCAGGAACAACAGTTACAACTGGTGGTTCAATTTGTGGACCTCGATCTCTTTTGGCAGTATGTTGAACCAATGGGACTTCTGAATTATCTTCTAAGCATCTTGAAACCAATCTAATTGCAAATCGTTTAACAGGATGAATTTGGTTCTTTATTTCCGTATAGAATCCACTAGTTTGAAATTCTAATTTATTGAAATCTTCAAATTGAAAAGATGCAACGACTGAGAAATAATTCCTCTTATATCCAATCCATTCATTATCAATTAAATCAAATCCTCTATCTATCCTAGCATCAATATGGGGAACTAGTGCTTCTTTAGTGGCAGTTGAATGTACTGAAGATACTTGAATTGTTTTACCAAATGGTGGACCAACTTTGAATTGTAAACTTGATCTTGGAGCTATTTTAGATTTAGAATTTATGGGATCTGATTTTATTAGGGTATCAATAGTTCTTTTGTGTCTTTTGACTGGACTACTCTTGAATTCAATACTCATGTTATAGTAGTTTGGTGGTGTAGTTTCATTTACCCGCTGAAGGTTTTTGGGAAATAAATTGATTTACTTTTAATGTTTTTTCGCAATCGTTATTTTAATTAATGGTTCCAAAATAATTTATGAGAAGCAGCTTTCAATGAGGCAATACACTGTTCAGAATCACACAATTAGACATACGAGTACATAGGGTGCTTTCCATCAAGGTTTCCAACATTTCATTAATATCATCAATCCTGACAATACTTATGATAACAGTCTATATATATCCTTAGTCATACGAAATGAAAATGGTTGCAACTTTTTTGTATTTTTAGCCAGTTATACACGACTCATCTCTCATCTAATTCTTAATCAATTTTAATATTTGAAAAAATTATTCAACTACCATTAACCAACCATCAACCAAGAATCAACTAAGACGCAATCCAATAAAAATGGGAAAGAAAGCTATTGATTCTCGTATCCCATCTCTCATCAGAAATGGTGTTCAAGAGAAACAAAGAAGTTTCTTTATAATTGTTGGTGATAAAGCCCGTAATCAATTACCTAATTTACATTATTTAATGATGAGTGCTGATTTAAAGATGAACAAATCAGTCTTATGGGCATATAAGAAGAAATTGTTAGGTTTTACGTCACATAGACAAAAGAGAGAAGCTAAGATTAAGAAAGATATTAAGAGAGGTATTAGAGAAGTAAATGAACAAGATCCATTTGAAGCATTTATTTCAAATCAACATATTAGATATGTTTATTATAAAGAAACTGAAAAGATCTTGGGTAATACTTATGGGATGTGTATCTTACAAGATTTCGAAGGGTTGACTCCTAATTTATTAGCAAGGACTATTGAAACTGTTGAAGGAGGTGGATTGGTTGTTATTCTTTTGAAATCTATGACTTCATTAAAACAATTATATACCATGACTATGGATATCCATTCTAGATACAGAACTGAAGCACATGATGATGTAGTGGCTAGATTCAATGAACGTTTCTTACTTTCCTTAGGATCATGTGAAACTTGTTTAGTTGTCGATGATGAATTGAATGTTTTACCTATTTCAGGTGGGAAGCATGTCAAACCATTACCGCCTAAAGATGACGACGAATTAACTCCAAATGAAAAGGAATTAAAAGAATTAAAGGAAAGTTTAGCAGAAGTACAACCAGCTGGATCTTTGGTTGGGTTATCCAAGACTATAAACCAAGCCCAAGCGATCTTGACATTTATCGATGTTATATCAGAAAAGACTTTAAGAAGTACCGTTACATTAACTGCAGGTAGAGGTCGTGGTAAATCTGCTGCACTTGGTATTGCCATTGCTGCTGCTATTTCCCATGGATATTCAAATATTTTTGTTACTTCTCCATCTCCTGAAAATTTAAAAACCCTTTTCGAATTTGTTTTTAGAGGATTTGATGCTTTGGGATATACTGAACATATGGATTATGATATTATTCAATCAACCAACCCTTCATTCAATAAAGCTATTGTTAGAGTTGATCTTAAGAGAGAACATCGTCAAACTATTCAATATATTTCTCCAAATGATAGTCATGTATTGGGACAAGCAGAATTGGTTATTATTGATGAAGCCGCTGCTATTCCATTACCTATTGTTAAGAAACTCATGGGTCCTTATTTGATTTTCATGGCTTCTACTATTAATGGTTATGAAGGTACTGGTAGATCCTTATCCTTGAAATTAATTCAACAATTAAGACATCAATCCAATAATACCACTCCTGCCGATACCGCTATTGTCTCCAGAGATAAGAAATCAGCCGAAACCGGTTCATTGACAAGAAATTTGAAAGAAGTCGTCTTGGATGAACCAATCAGATATGCCCCTGGTGATCCAGTTGAAAAATGGTTGAATAAATTACTTTGTTTGGATGTTTCCTTATCCAAAAATGCAAAATTTGCAACAAAGGGAACCCCACATCCTTCTCAATGTAACTTATTCTATGTGAATAGAGATACTTTATTCTCCTACCATCCAGTTTCCGAAGCTTTCTTACAAAAAATGATGGCATTATATGTTGCTTCTCATTATAAGAATTCTCCAAATGATTTACAATTAATGAGTGATGCCCCAGCACATCAACTATTCGTATTGTTGCCACCTATAGAAGAAGGCGATAATAGAATCCCTGACCCACTCTGTGTTATTCAATTGGCTTTAGAAGGTGAAATCTCGAAAGAAAGTGTTAGAAAATCATTATCAAGAGGACAAAGAGCCGGTGGTGATTTGATTCCTTGGTTAATTTCACAGCAATTCCAAGATGAAGAATTTGCTTCTTTATCTGGGGCTAGAATTGTTAGAATTGCTACCAATCCGGAATATTCTGGTATGGGATATGGATCTAGGGCTATCGAATTATTACAAGATTATTATCAAGGGAAATTCACTGATATTAGTGAATCTACCGAGCTTAATGATCATACAATTACTAGGGTCACTGATAAAGAATTGGCTAAGGCTTCTTTGAAGGATGAAATTAAATTAAGAGATGCAAAGACATTGCCTCCATTGTTATTGAAATTGTCTGAAAAAGCTCCATATTATTTACATTATTTAGGAGTTTCCTATGGATTTACTTCCCAATTACATAAATTCTGGAAACGATGTGGATTTTCTCCAGTTTATTTAAGACAAACTCCAAATGAATTAACTGGTGAACATACAAGTGTGGTTATAAATGTCTTACCAGGGAGAGAAGATGCTTGGTTACATGAATTCTCCAAGGATTTCCATAAACGTTTCTTATCCTTGTTGTCTTATGAATTTAGAAAATTCCAAGCTTCTCAAGCATTAAGTATCATTGAAGCTACTGAAGTAGGTGAAGGTATTGGTTCATCTGCAGTTCAGAAATTAACTAAACAACAATTGGATGAACGTTTATCACCTTTCGATTTAAAGAGACTAGACTCATATGCTAATAATTTATTAGATTATCATGTTATTGTGGATATGTTACCTTTACTTGCCCAATTATTTTTCTCCAAAAAGACAGGCGATGAAGTTCATTTGTCCTCCGTACAATCAGCAATTTTATTAGCTATTGGTTTACAACATAAAGATATTGATCAAATCTCAAATGAATTACACTTACCTTCAAACCAATCAATGGCCATGTTTGCCAAAATTGTTCGTAAGTTCTCTGTATACTTCAGAAACGTCTTAAGTAAAGCCATTGAAGAGACAATGCCTGCCTTAGAAGATGAGCAAGTCAAGGAAATGGAAGGTGGTGAAGAAGAAGAAGTGGTTGATTATGCAGCTGTCGAACAACAATTACAAGATGATTTGACCGAGGCTGGGGATGAAGCCATTAAAGAAATGAGAGAAAAACAACGTGAATTGATCAATGCTATTAATTTGGATAAGTATGCTATTGCAGATGATGCTGATTGGGAAGGTGCAGAGAAGTCTTTGACTAAGGCAGCAAAGAAAGGTGGTGTTGTTGGAGTTAAGAGTAAGAATTCAAAGAGGAAGTCTACTGAAAGTGCTACTGAGATTTATGAAAAGGAAATGAAGCTGGTTAGCAAGAAACTTAAGAAATCTAAAAAGTAAACAATAGAAGAATTGGTTGTGTGTAGTGTGTATATTAGGTAAAAAGCTTTTGAATAATAGAAACAAATCTATAATAAATCTATAAATAAACCCCGAGGATGCCTGTGTGCCCATGTGAAAGAAAACGGTTCATTGCTCATATGCCGTTGATAATTGACGTCAATGACCATTCAATCAAATGAAATAACGACATTTCCTTTTCATTATCAATGTCTAAGATATTATACTTGTTACGGACATCTTTCTTTAATATCAGCTGCACATTTTCATCTTGAAATAAGTATTGATGACTTCTAACATATGCTGGCCATACAATCTTTTCAAAATAATGGGGCGGATCTACCCAAAAACCATCCAATGTCGTATACCCTGAACGAGATTCTCTTCTTTCTTTTAAAGTTTCATATGAAGCATGAAAGAATAATTTTATATCAAACAATTCTATTATTTCTGGATTATGATATAACATAAAGCCATCTACCAATACAAGTTTCTTATTCTGGAATATCTCTTGGGATTCATTAACTTTATTCTGGAAATGAGCTATTTCTTTTTGTGATAATTTCAAGTTTACCTCCGTTGGTTCCTTTGAATTTATCTCCGGAATAGAAGTATTGTTATGTTTAATGTCTCTGATGTAGCCAATGAAACGATCAAAATCAATTGCTTCAGGACAATCCCAATTCTGCATTCCTGTGGCGTCGTCTATTGGTATTTTTGTATCATGGAGATAAAAGTCGTCGAGATGGATTACGGTTAAGTCCGGGAGAAAATTCTGGAGAGTTTTGGATGCTGTTGTTTTACCACTTGATGAAGGTCCTCCACAGGCCACGAGTATCACTTCTTTATTGTCCAGACGCGTCATAATTGGTTATAAGAAGAAGACCTATAAACAATTACTTGAGGCTTCTTTTCTTGATGATGAGTAAATAAAATAAAAAATTTCTTTATCTTCATATGAATGATTTCTTTTTTTTTCCGTTTAAATCTCTTGTGACGTCAGTCTTTAAACAGAAATTATTAGCGAAGTCAATTAATGCAACAAAACTGATGTTAATTGCAAAACAAATTGATTTTGAGTCGTCTAGTTGTAGGAGGCTATGAAAAAAACTAAACCAGCTTACATATAAGTGGGAGAGCGATAAGAAAAGGAAATGGCTTTTAATCAGTTAGAGTTGAGAAAGTGGTACAGAGCCAATGGAACCAACCAGGTCATTTATAATTTGAAAAGGGATTGTTGAGAATTTCTGAAAGCATTGGTTGTGGGCTTCAATACCAAGACAATGGAAACTTCTAGACATTCACAATATAGCCTATTTGTCGAGCGGCATGCACAACATACTAAATACGGACACTGGGCCCATTATTAATGAAAACCATGGAAACCAATTTGGTCATCATGTACATGCTAAAAACTGATTATTAGTTTGTTGCCGTGATAGGTTGCCCTGTATTTAGTAGATTTCTAACAGCATCTAAGCCCCATTTCTAGAGTTACACGAATTGGCATTGGAACTTAAAATATCAACCTATCACAGATAGTATATTGGGCAAGGGACACGTGGTCTTGAGAGTCGTAGTTAAGAAATTGGTCATGCTTTAATGAATAATTGCGGAAATACAGCTGTCCACGGAAAATAGTTCCGTAGTTTGGAAAAGATTTGAATTGATTTTGTACGAATTAGGTCAATCGTTTCGTAAACCATATCTTTACTAGACAGGCTTTAAAAAATACAAAAACTTGACAAAAAAACCTTGCCCAACTTGAGTAAAACAGTAAATTTCTGTTTTAAGAGTTGACCATGATTGTGATTTACAAAAGAATGAAAATGACAAGTGGAACATACCCCAATTCAGATAAAGCGCCGTTAACCACATCAGGGGAAATTTTGGATGGGCATTCATTCTTCATAACCGCAGCTAGTCTCCCCAACTGATTGAAAAAGGTGTCAGCTCCATCCCCCACCCCCAGTTTCCCGAATTGATGTAGTCTTATTGTTTTATAAAGGTTTATAAAATTGTTGGTCTATGAGCAAATTAAGTTATATGAGATCATATTACCCAATACGGAGTACAACTCCGGATGTTGCGAAGGGTAATTACTTAATTGGGAAGTTCACATTTTTTGGTAGAATTATTTTTTTTTTCTTGGGGCTTTCTAAAAATTTAAAAATTTAATTTTGCATCCAAACTAAAAAAAACTCTTCTTGTTTTCGCTAAATGGGATTTAGAATAAACTGAAATCTCCAAGGCACTTTAAAAAACAGTATTTAATAAAAACAAAATGTCTCCCTCTAATATTCTTGTTTCTTTTGTTTGGACTTGTTACATTTTGGAAAGCTTGAAACCTCCCTAGACGTTTTGGTTTGATATTTTTCCTTATTGATAGGTTTTATGGTTTTAGATTAAGCAGAATTGCATTTCGTATAAGTTCTTCAAACCAGTTACACTCCCTCCCTACTCCTTTTATTTAAATAACATTCAATTGAGACAAATTGTTATCCGTACGTAAGATGATTCCTTTTCCAGCAGAGAGGCTGGAACTCAAACATCCACATCAAGGCTTATCTTCCCCACTAAGTGGTACAACTCCTTCATCCTTGAAAACGTATACTATCGCAACAACTGCGGATTGTTCTTCAAAACAACTATCCCCAAAACAGCCATCTTCACCATTCATGAACTTTTCAAAAGGATATACGGTCAGACCTAGAACCGAAGGAAACTCACCTATACTTCCTCCAGTAGCAACCAGGATAAACCCTTTAGAGAGGCCAACACAACCAATGACTACACCTCAAGCGGCAATACCGGAAGAAGATCCTTCACAATATAGTCACGAAACAATAAATGAAATGATCAAATTAAAAATAGAACAAGAGAAAACGAAACAAGAAACAATCAAGAATGAATCTGTTCGTGCAGCTGTGGAGTTATTGAAGTTGGCACAGACATTGAAAATAGATACTGCATTGATTCCATATTTGTTTCAGGATAATATTAGCGAGCATTTTAATGGCATAGCAGCTAGACTCCGAAACGACCCTAAAAAAGTTATCAAGGAAATAGAGCAAGTACATAAAGACATACAGAGAGAAACAAAGAGAGGAAAAAGAGCTTGGTCAGATGTCGGGTTGTCCTCACAAGGATATCAACAAGTTCCTAGTTCATTATTGTACACATCAACACAAATAACTCCAAAAAAGTCTGCTGTTGTTCCACCTAGAAGAGCTCTGGCAGAAGCAATTGAGAAAATACAACGAGCGCTGAATGGTGCTGGTTCTAGATTGTCATTGCCGAGCATAAATCCAAAAGACAGTACTCAACAACAACAAACAGGATTGACACAGCCTTTTATTCCTCAATTCCATCCTACACAACAGCTTTCACCTCCAAGCATACCTTCTGACTCACGTCCACTTCACGTCTTCCCTGTCTACTTCACACCACAACTGGTTCCATCGCTATCTCCCATACAAGCAAACGGCCAGACCGAGAAGAATCTAGGATCCCCATATCAACAGAAATATTGGACACCGCCCGCATTGCAACTACAACCCCAAGCATATCATCGATACACTGCAATAATTCCTTCGCCGTCAAGTGCTCAATCTAATCAACAATACGTATCTACTCATATGCCACAACAACAGGTGATTCAGGCTACACAATTGGAAAAATCTAAAACTAAAAAAATTCCCGCATCCTCCACAAACGTTCCCGCACATCATTTTCAAAACACAGGTGTTATAATTCGTAATTCATTCAGACCAGTTGAAGCTGAAGAAGTCATAAACACTAATAAACGAGTCAAACTGAATAGGAATTCTAATATTAATTTTATGATTACCACTCCGAAGAACCCGCCTGCCAGGAAATATAACAATCCAAATAAATTAAAGTAAGGCGCTATATAGGCTATAAGACGTGACCCAAAGTGGTGGTTGATATTCAGGGGCTCAAGATTATGCTGTATGACTCAGACATATCTCATGCTAATCGAAGACAAGTTATATTTTTTAGCTTTTTTTAAGTAGTAGCGGTCATGAGTAATTTCCTTATCTAGACGAAAAAATGAAGTTTCAAGCGATATGACATAATCCTGAATTAGGGATGGTTTTCGAAAGTCGCCAAGTTAAGATTTCGCAGATTCGCTTCTTGAAGCATCACGTATGAACATTATATATTAGATTTCTGAGCGAAACGTAGTATCCTGTTTGTAGAAGCGTATATGAATCATGAGAATAAATGAGACCTTATTGTTGACGCGAATATAATACATCAAATAGATCGTTTTCTTGTACTGATAAATGCGGAATAATACTTAAAAGTGTGTTTGAGATGCGCCGTTATTTTAAGTGGTGTGACCTTTATTATTATTTGAGTCATGAGCGTCTCGAGACTTGCAGTCTAGAACATCAGCGGAAAATTTAAAAGCCAAGTAAAAGAATTAACAGGCAGTTTTTCCTGTAAAAAATATTTTATTTTATAAAAATTTGCAACACCTCTGCATAAAAAATATTTCACAAAGGTAGAATTGAAAATAATTTTCATTGCATCAGGTGCCAATTTCACACACATTCCATATTTGCAAGGGTTAAGCTAGACGATTGATCCGAACCAAACAAAAGATGTTAACATAACATATAAGGTACATAGAGTATATCTAAACTCGAATTGAACGAATTGATCGAGTTCTTTGCCCTTTTAACTGTACCTGACCAGGTGACTGCAAATCGCACCTAATTAAATAAATGAAAAAAAAACAAGCTGAATAGAAAATAAATACCACGTAACATCGTTTAAAAAAATAATTTTGCATCACCATCATCATGAAACGTTATTATAATAAAGTTTTTAACATGATCAGGGGGGATAGATACCTACGATATGAACTCAAAGGCGGGTATAGTCTTGGAACGTCATAGTAACCACATGAATAAGATCTCGATATTATATATACAAGTGTATTTCCCCTGAATTATGATTTTCTCGAAACATACAATCTCGCTTTCTCTTTCCTTGTATATTCTATTATGAACCTATATAGAGAGTTAATTAATAACATTATTAACCCAACACAACATGTCAACGACAGAAAAAACTTACGAAAATAAGAAGGATTTCCCAGATGATGAGAATGAGAAGCATTATAAACTCGACTCTACTGAGACCCTGACTGAAAAGGCTCCCTTCACAATATTTCGTAATAACGAAAGAGTTTTATTAATCATTGTTTTAGCATTATCAGGATTCTGGAGTGCTACATCCAGTCCAATTTATTTCCCTGCTTTGCCTACAGTTAAATCATATTTTAATATCGATGAAGGTACTACTAATTTATCAGTTTTATCATATTTGATATTCCAAGGTATCTTTCCTACAATTTCGTCAAATCTTGCAGATACATTCGGAAGAAGACCAGTCATCTTAACCAGTTTACTAGTTTTCATTGCATCCTGTATTGCTATCTCTCAAACAACTTCAATATATGTACTTATTGCTTTAAGATGTATACAAGCTGCTGGTATAGCTCCTGTATTTTCCATTAGTTCTGGAGTTGCTGGTGACGTATGTACTACTTCCAACCTTGGAGGGATGGTGGCTATGGTTTCGGGTTTACAATTGGTTGGGAATGGTGTTGGTGGTTTACTTGGAGCTATAATCATCAGTCTGTTTAATACTTGGAGAGCAATATTTATATTTTTAGCAATTGGAGGCGGTGTTACATTTATTTTGGCGTTTTTCTTATTGCCAGAAACATCAAGAAGAATTGTTGGTAATGGATCAGTGGTCCCAAAACACTATGTTAACCGTGCTCCTTTGATCTATTTCCCATGTTTCAAAGATAGGTTGAATAATGATACAACTACCTTATCTGACAAGGCTGCATTTGATATCTTTGGTCCTTTCAGGATCTTTTTCAAACCAATTGTGTTTTTCACATTATTACCCCTGGGAATTCATTTTGCTGCTTGGACAATGGTTTTGACATCCCTTTCTACCGAATTAGAATCATCTAAATACAATTTTACTACCATGCAAGTTGGTCTTGTCTACTTACCTCAAGGTGTTGCTTGTACTTTAGGATCACTTGTTATTGGAAGAGTCTTAAATGGATACTACAGATACAGAAAGAGAAACTACGACATGCAATATAAAGATGTCCCATACACTGAAAGACCACATTTTAACATTGTCACAGCAAGACTTTATCCATGTATTGTTCCCTCCATCTTATTGTTCTGTGGTCTTATTATTTTTGGATGGTGCATTCAATTCCTGCAACATCTTTCATCCATTATTATTTCCACTTGTTTAATTTCCTTATCTTCCTCAATTACAATGTCAATCTCAGCAACTTTGTTAGTAGATTTGTTTCCAGCTAAAGGAAGTGCACTGGCTAGTTGTGTGAATTTGATGAGATGCTTATTGGCTGCTGCAGGTACTGGTTTACTCGAGAAGATGGTCGGTGTTATGAATTTAGGTGGGACGTACTCTTTGATTGCGGGAGTTTCCTTGATTTCAAGTTTGGGATTCGTTTACGTCGTTTATTTGTCCAAGAAGATGATTAAGGAGGATGACCTGTCAGAGTCTTCTGATGTAATTTCAGAAACAAAATAGACTAATAGACTTTTATAAAGGGTCATTCAAAAAGTTTGACATTTGGGTGTCTGTATTTTTGCATATGCTGCTTAGCACGATATCAGGTTATTTTGTAAATAGAAAGTTATACAATACAACATTTATTCTTCTTTATAGATTTTTTTTATAATTTATAATGTTTAATTATGAGCCAAAAAATTTAAGTTAAAAAATTTTGTAGTTGGTCATTTGCCAAGTAACTCTGTCGATTAAGGCGGAATATTTATAAGATTCTTAGATTTTGCAATCGTACCCGCAAGCATGAGATAATTCTAAACGACTAAAAATAGAAGTCATGACTCTTTCTATATGGTAAAGGATTAGAATAGGGAGCACCATTGAATATGACTATCAAGGCCGGTTCAGGCACTATAGACACCGATACCGGGAAATTACAAATATTTTATTGTTCGGAAATCTGAGAAATTTTCCGTTCTGACAAAAAATAAGGCACGATGAGATTAAATCATTCTACTCCGATACTACAAAAGGAAACTAGATTCCTATTAAAAATCCCACTTTTCAATCCACCTTTCCCCTATGAATCCCCTAGAACCTATTTTTCAACATAAAACATAACCGAACAACATGTCAAATGAAAATAACATAACCGAAGAATCTTCAGTTGATGAAAAACAACCCGACAAGCTCGAAATCACGGAAACCCTGACAGAAACCCCACCCTACACAATCTTTCAGACCAAAGAAAGAGTATTATTGGTAATAGTACTTGCATTGTCCGGATTCTGGGGCACAGCTTCGAGTCCGATTTATTTCCCTGCCCTACCTGCCATAGGGAAATATTTCAATACCGATGAAAGTACAACTAATTTATCAGTATTAACATATCTAATATTTCAAGGTGTATTCCCAACCATATCCTCAAACCTCGCCGATAAGTTCGGGAGAAGACCGGTTATATTAACCTGCTTGGTCGTGTATATAGCTGCATGTATTGGTATTTCCCAAGCGAATTCGATTTATTTACTCATAGGTCTACGTTGTATCCAAGCAGCCGGGATTGCACCGGTATTTTCTATTAGTTCCGGAATCGCTGGTGATGTGTGTACGACTGCAACGCTTGGTGGAATGGTGGCTATGATCGGGGGATTACAGTTGATGGGAAATGGGATTGGCGGATTGCTTGGAGCGGCTTTGATAAGTGGGTTTAACACTTGGAGAGCCATTTTCGTGTTTTTGGCAATTGGTGGTGGGGGGACCTTGATATTAGCTGTGTTTATGTTGCCTGAAACTTCGAGAAGGATTGCTGGGAATGGATCAGTGGTACCCAAACATTATGCTAATTATGCTCCAATATTGTTGGTGCCTTCTCTCAAAGCTAGATTAACTAATGATGTAGAGACATTGACTACTAAAGCCTCATTTGACATTTTGGGACCATTCAAGATCTTTTTCAAGCCAGTTGTATTTTTTACATTATTACCCCTGGGGATATTTTTTGCAGCCTGGACTATGGTTTTAACTTCGCTTTCAACTGAGTTAGAATCACCTAAGTATAATTTCACAACCATGCAAGTTGGTCTTGTGTACTTACCACAAGGGATCACCTGTGCTGTTGGATCACTTGTTGTTGGAAGAGTCTTGAATAGGTATTACAGATACAGAAAGAATAACTACGATATGAAATATAAAGACGTTATACATACACAAGTACCACCTTTCAATATTGTCAAGTCAAGAGTTTATCCATGTATACTTCCAGCTATTTTAATGGTATGCGGTTTGGTTATTTTTGGATGGTGTATTCAATATCTGAAGAGCCTTGCATCAATTATCATTTCCACTTGTATGATTTCTGTTTCATCATCAATTACGATCTCAATATCGGCAACTTTAGTAGTTGATTTGTTTCCTGGCAAGGGGAGTGCTCTGGCTAGCTGTGTGAATTTGATGAGATGTTTATTGGCAGCTGCTGGTACTGGTGTGCTTGAGAAGATGATAAGTGCTATGAATTTGGGTGGGACTTATACCTTGATTGCCGGACTTTCGTTGCTTTCAAGTTTGGGGTTTGTATATGTTGTCTATCTTTCTAACAAGATGATTGCCACTCACGTAGAATCATGATAGTTTATTATTTCTTTGGTTATACGATTGGTTTTTTTACAGGGTTGGGAGTATTTTAAAGCATATAGAATATACGATTTATAGAGTATGAATGTTTTTTATTTATTTACATACGTCAAGCAAAAGATTGTAGTCATGTGCCAAGTCTCTAGTTTGCCCAGTTTCGGATATACCTTCAACCCATAATCAAAACTATTAATAGGCGAGAAGTCCCATGACATAATTCTCAACCAATAAACAATAGACGTCAACCAATTAGACTGGCTAAAGACATCACAAAATCAACATTTACGCATTAATCCCGTAACGGTATCGGATTTAAAATTTATTGTTCGGCAATCTATTTAATTTTCCGGCACCTAAAATAATTTAATTACATAGAAAATTATGCGGGACGGAATAATAAAGCCATGATAACTCCGACAAAGAAAACAATTAGGAAGGGTATGATATTGGAACGGGTGGCGTTAATGACCGGTTGGATATCCCGTTGATCAGATATAATAGGCATAACTGTGGATTCAGACATATTCTGCTCCCCATCCTGTAAAGCAAAGAGAAAGCAAAAGCAATTGGTTGTTGGTTCGCTTATAAATTTATTTTTCCGTTCTGTCTATCAAATTTTTAATTTTTAATTTAAAAATGACATCCGTTTTTTTATTTCTTTTTTTCTGTCTGTCTATTTATTTTAATTGGGTCCCCCATTTTACACTTTTGCTTTTAACTTAAATTTATTGCTTTTATTAAATTAAACTGATTACACTTTATATAAATAAAGTTAACCGACAGACAATTATTACATTTAAAGAATTATTGAGAAATTTGATTGTTTCTCTTTATCATGAACAACAACACATATGTCACAAGATAATAAACAGACAGAGACTAAAACAGCAACAGACACTGATACTGATCAACATCATCATCGGCAGACAGACAGTACTGAAACTAAAGTCACTATTGATATGACGACCAGTAAAGATGAAGAACTGCAGACACGAATAAACACAGAGAGAGAACCACCATATACAATTCTAACCAATAGGGAGAAGTATTTCATAGCATTGCTTATAAGCTGTGCTCTGATCTTCTCAACATTATCTGCATCAATCTATTTCCCAGCATTACCAATCTTAGCCGAGTACTTCAATGTTTCAGATGGAATTGTTAATATTTCAATTGTCGCGTATTTCATATTTCAAGGAATATCGCCAACATTATTAGCGTATATAAGTGATACTTATGGGAGACGACCCTGTATAATTGGTTGTTTACTATGTTATTCAGCCGTATGTATTGCCATATCTCGGAGTAATGTCTATTGGCTCTTAGCCTTCTTAAGATGCTTACAAGCAGCTTCAATCTCACCAATTATTGCTGTTGGATCCGGGGTGGTGGCGGACCTTACCGTGAAGAGCAATCGAGGTGGACTCATCGCCGTTACTCAGGGGGTTATCCTTGTAGGGCAAGGTTTCGGGGCTTTGATTGGATCTGGGCTTGTGGCGAGATGGGGATGGAGAGGGATATTTATTGCATTGGCTATTGGTGGATGTTTTATGATGCTTTTAGCGTTGATTTTATTACCGGAAACTAATAGAAAGATTGTCGGGAATCTTTCAATCCCACCAAAATATATCTATAATCAATCTCCAGTGATTCATTTCCCTTGTTGTAGCAGCAGATTAACTAATGATGTATCTACATTAATGGAAGGAAGACCATCAAACATCTTCAGTCCATATAAGATATTCGTCCAACCGGCTGTTTTCTTTACATTACTTTCAGGTGGTATCCAATTTACCGCTTGGACATTATCACTCACATCCTTATCCACATCCTTAGAATCCAAATATGGTTTCAGCGTAATACATATCGGTTTATGTTACTTATCCCCTGGGATTGGTTCATTAATAGGTGCAGTGGGGACGGGTGCATTGCTTGATTTCATATATAAACGAAAACGATCCGCTTATGATCGAAAATACGAAGGTGTACCGAAAGAACAAAGACCCGCATTTGATATATTCGCCACTAGGTTCCAAACTGCCACATATACCACCAGTCTAGTAACAGCTTCATTAGTGGTGTTTGGATGGTGTATTCAAGAGAAAACTAATCTTGCTCCAATTTTAATTGCTGCATTTTTGATTTCATTGGGAGGTGTTAGTTTTATGTCATGTATGACGACACTATTAGTTGATTTATTCCCCGATCAAGGGTCGGCTGCTACTAGTTGTCTTAATTTGATGAGATGTTTATTGGGTGCTGCAGGTGTGGGTGCATTACAAGCTATGGAAGATGCCATGGGTGAAGGAGGAACGTACACTTTGATGGCTGGATTGGTCATAGTCACATTCTTATTGCTTGGATATATGGCTAGAAGAGCTCAGAAGAAACGAGAAAAAGCACAGGTAGAAGCGCAAGCAAAAGTTGAAACCAATGCATGATTTTTATTTATTGTATATACGAATAGATTAACGAAATATTATATTTATTATAATAATATATAAAATAAACAAATGACTACACCCTAATTAATCTAACCAAAAATGAATGAAGAAACTTACTACAAAAATTAGTGACATACCTTTTCTTAAACACAAACAAAATACTCTCTCTCTATTGAGAAGCACATTGGACACCTGGGTGACCACCTTCTTCATCATCTGATTCATATGCATCTCTTCTAGTATTTTGATGTAAAGCAGGGTTGAAATTAACCATGTCACATTCATCAACTTCAGCATCAGCTGGAATACTAACCTTAGCTCTTGGAGGTAAGATAGTAGCCAATTTAGCCAATTTATCTTCAGTTGTGAAATTAGCTTCTGGAAATTTAACGGTGAATTTAATAAATAAATTACCTCTACCACCTTGTCTATATATTGGCATACCTTGACTTTCAACTACTTTAACTTCACCAGGAGAAATGACTTCACCAGGAACGATATTGATTTTGATCCAATCACCAGAAATATGTTTAAATGCGATTTCACCTCCTGCTAAAGCACTTAATAAATCAACTTCAGCTTCATAATATAAATCGTTACCCTTTCTTGTGAATTTAGGATGAGGCTTTTCGTCAACGACAAACACAACATCGCCAGGAGTGATACCTGGTTCTTGATCACCTTCACCACTGAAGACAATTCTTTGACCATCTTTCATACCTGGATCGATATGAACTTGTAAGATTTTTCTTTCCGATTGAGTCTTTTTACCCTTACAATGAGTACAACGATCCTTTGGATTACAGATATCACCAGTACCTTGACATTTATCACAAACAGTTTGGAATCTTTGAATCATTGGACCCATTTGTCTAGTTACAAATCTCATACCACTACCATGACAATCAGTACATTTATGAACTTTACCTTCAGCACCACCTAACCCCTTACAGTTGGTACATAAGATAGTCTTATTAAGAGCCAATTTGGTAGTCTTTCCTTTATATAATTCTTCCAAAGTACAAGAAATAGAATGTTTAATATCTTTACCTCTAGTTGGACGTTGTGGTCCACCACCGTGACCAAATCCTCCACCAAAGAATTGAGAAAAGATATCTTCCGCATTCATACCAGGTCCACCGGCACCAGCACCACTTAATCCTTCTTCTCCGTATTGATCATAGATCTCTCTCTTTTGATCATCTGATAATATTTCATAAGCATGAGAAATTTCCTTGAATTTTTCGGCAGCTTCTGGACTTGGGTTTTTATCAGGATGATATTTCAATGCGGCTTTTCTATAAGCTTTCTTTAATTCATTGTCACTTGCTTGTGGTGATACTCCTAAAGTATCATAGAATTTTGTGTCTTTAACCATATTATTTGTCTGTCGGTTGTTACTCTATAAAATGTGTTGTTTGATGTTAATCTAAGGATAAACTGGATGTGTGTGTTTATTAATTGGACGTAGTTTATATTAGGAGATTTATTTCTGTCTGTCTGTCAGTTTTGGGATTAGAATCTCTTGATGTGACTTGTTGTGATATGTCTGACTGTCTGAGATAAAATAAAACTTCAAAAAGAAAGATGACTGTAAATGGTTCGTATTTTTAATTTATAAAAATGTACAATTTATCAAAAAAGACGTTGAGAAGAAGCTCAATAAAAAAAATTTTTTTTTTTTTTAATTGTCTGTCTGTCTGATGGAAAAAGAAAGAAAATTCTATAGAAGAAAAAATAGCGCTTTGTTTATATGCAGGAGCGAACAATCAATCAATCTACACCTTATAAGGCACATGCTAAGACTATTGGTACAAATGGGCAAAGTAACTAGAAAGAATGTAAAAAGTGTCTTTTGATGTTATACAAAGAGAGAAGACTAAACGACTAGAAAATGTGTCTATGTAATGTCTAACCAGCATGTTCTACAATTTCACTTGATAATTTACCACCTTTAATTCTATGGACAAATTGTTCTGGTACAGCCAATTCTTGATAATCACCATCTTGTTCAGGTACATTGATATTCAAAGCAGTAGTACTACTAGTAAACACTTGAATATCAGCATCAACGCTATCTTTCAGTAAATATAAAGCACCTTCATCTGACTTATCAATACTAATCATGGGTACTAATCCCATAACTTGTAATCCATATTTAGTTGATTTAATAATATCAACTCCAGAAATTAATGAATCAATTACAATTCCACATCCTTTAGTTTCAGAAATAGAAACAGCATTGGCTTTACCTTTTAATTGAATAGTTATATCTGAACAATTTCCAATAAATACCGATTGATGCATTTCAACTTCAATAACAATAGGTTCGGAAATATCGGATTTGGTATAGTTTTGAATCACCCATTTAGTACCATCTACTAAGTCCTTAGTTGCTGGTTTCTTCTTGGTTGCTGTAGCTTGTGCAGATGGAGGTGGAGTGCTGCTTAAAGTGGATGGTTTGGTTGGTTTTTTAGGTACCACTGGAGCATGTTTTCTTAATTCTGGATTCTTATGGGTCATTTCTGATTTATCAACTTTTTTCAATCCTGAAGTAATAGCTGAACCTTGATTTAATTCGGCAAAAACTGCATTGATTCCTCCTGCTGGTGCAGCAGCACCACCGGCAGATTTATCATCATCAAAGAGATTAGCTGGTGGAGGAGGTGGTGGAGGTGGAGGTGGAGGGGCACCACTACTGGATGCAGCAACAGGAGCTGCTTGAGCTTCAGCTTGTTTAATTGCCTCAGCTAATGGTTTTCCCTTTGAATTCCAAGAAGGACCCGTTGCATGATATTCCTTAACATAAGTCTTTAATTCATCAAAGATATTCATAAACTGATTAACCCAATCAACGTGAGCCTTATCCTTTTCTCTATATTCTTTTAAAACACGATCTGACCAAAATTTAGCACTATCTTTAAATTCAGGAATTAAAGAAATTGGTGTCTCACTAACAATCCACCCTAAAACCGGGGCACCTTCACTAATGGTATTTAAATGATTGAAAAATGTAGAACGACGGTTTACATCCTTAATTTCAATGATTTTACTAATCTTTTCATTCATTGGACTTAATAAATTAATAAAATTTGGATCACTCATCTCCGGTTTTTTAGATTTACTAACAATTTCTAAGAATTTACCTTGAGCAACAAATGCGTCAGCTAACAATTGGGCAGCTTGACCAACTGGTTCATCAACTGATTTGGAACTAGTAACAAATGGAATAATATGGTCATTTACAAGTTGTTCAAAAACAACCACTGATTTAGCTTTCTCTTCAACAATAGCCGGAGCAGGAGCACCAGCAGCAGTGGCAACAGAAGAAGTACCTTCAATTGATTTAGAAGTGGCTCCAGATTCAGAAGCCGCAATTGTGGAAGTAGCAGCATCTTCACCAGCTTGTGGTTCGCCTGATCCTAATCTTTTCTTATTGACTTGTTCTTGAAATACAGTGATATCTTCAAGACGAGAAGTGGCGGCTTCTAATCTTTTAAGAATGGTTACAATGTTGTAACCTTGTACTTGGAATTGACCTTCTTCGCTTGACATTTTCTCTTGTGATTCAATTGTTGGAAAGAATGTTAACACTGTGGTATGCTCAATTGAAAAGTCCGCCCTCAATTCGGGGGAGATCAACACGCAATCGTCAACATGTTTATATACAGGATAGGATTGTGCCCAGTGCTACCAAGCTACGATATCTAACAAATTCATAGGTTTCAATATTTACCAAGTTAACTATGTATTCTACATGAATATAAGCATATATGACTAACTGCTCTAGCTAGGTCTGAATATACCTAACTATCCAGCAGCTGCTTTGTTTTATACATCAGATTGTATTGCTTGTCTGTTTAATAATTTGCAATTCTATACATTCTCTAAAAGGTAGTGTACTTTTTACCATTTTCTGAAAGATTTATTTCAACAGACAGACAGAGAAGACAGACTTACAACTGCCAACTAACACTATACGCAAATAGGACCAATAAGTAAAAGGAATCCGATATCCTCATTTTCCTTAAACAATGACCCAAACCAAAGTGAAGGAAGTAGAAGACTTCCCTCCTCAAGATATCCACATTCTAAAGGACATCAGGGCCCCGCCACAACATCCAGAACCTTTCTACCAAAACTACCAATCAGATGTCCCAATTGCCCTCGATATTGGTACATCAACTTGGAGAATAGGACTCACCAACTCACCTGAACCAAATAATGTATTTCCGGCAGTTGTATCCAGATATAGAGACCGTCGTGCAATGGCTACTTTAACCATTATTGGGAATGATGTATTTGGTGATCCAGCATTGAAATCGACAATGAAGACTCCGTATGATGGTCCATTGATAACTAATTGGGATTACATTGAATATATGTTAGATTATTCTTTTGAGCATTTGATTACTGGTCCTAGTGATAATGGGAGAGTTAATAATCCAATCATAATGACTGAACCTTTGACTTGTCCTTTTAATCAAAGGAAATATATGTATGAATTATTATATGAAGCTTACCAAGTTCCAAAAACAGTTTTTGGTATTGATTCTTTGTTTTCTTATTATGCTAATTCTTCTGGTCATTCAGATGGGATCGTTATTGGAGGTGGACATGAACTGACTTGTGTCATTCCAGTCTTACAAGGTAGAGGAATAATGTCGCAAGCTAAAAGAATAGATTGGGGAGGTGATCAATCTCAGCAATTCCTTTCTAAGTTATTATCTTTGAAATATCCTTATTTCCCCACTAAATTAAATTCTCACCATACTACTAATTTATTCAAAGATTATTGTTATATCCTGGAAAACTATCAAGAAGAATTGAAACATATTTTGGATATGGACGTTCTTGAAAATGTCGATGTTGTCGTTCAAGCTCCAGTTGAAATAAATGTCAATCCCGAAAAGAAGAAATCAGAAGAAGAATTAGCCAAACAAGCACAGAAACGTAAGGAACAAGGTAAAAGATTACAAGAACAAGCACAACAAAAACGATTAGAGAAGCTTGCTCAAAAGAAAGAAGAATGGGAATATTATTCAAAATTCAAGGAAGAAACTGCCGATTTACCAAAAGAAGAACTTGAGGCAAGATTAATCAATGATGGATTTGACGATTTGGAAGACTTTAATAAATATATGACTTCTCTTGAACGTTCAGTTAAAAAAGCAGAACAAGGAGGTGACGATGAAGAAGAACATGTTGACGTAACAAGTGCATGGCCACTTGTGGATATCCCTGATGATCAATTATCCGAAGAACAAATCAAAGAAAAGAGAAAACAAAAACTTCACAAGGCAAACTATGAAGCCCGTGAACGGACCAAAGAACTCAAAAGGCAGGAAGAAGAAGCTAGAATACAATTCGAAAAGGAACAACAAGAATGGCGTGAACGTGATTTAGAAGATTGGTGTACAACCAAACGAATTCAATTAGCTGAAACCATAAGTAAATATAAAGAAAGACAAAAACTTCGAGAATCATTCAAAGATAGAAAATCAGCCGCTGCCCAACAACGTATGAAAAATATTGCCGAATTAGCTAATGACGAAACTGGTTCCACATCTGCAGTATCAAGAAAAAGACGTCGTAATGCCAATACAACAATCGACAACGACCCAAATGACACTTTTGGTGCCAATGATGATGATTGGAGTATATATCGAGACATCACCAACACCAGCATCGAGGAAGAATTATCCAACCTCTCCACCCAAATCACAGCCATCGAAGAAGAACTCTTAAAACACGATCCAAATTTCTTTCATGAAGATACTTTTGCCGCAGCAACTACTTTTGATTGGAAGAATCTGGTATTACACAAATTCATCCATGGCCCTAGACCAAATATAACAATCGCCATGCAGGCAGAAGGACCTGATCCAGATGAAATCGCAAACCATCCGGAAATCATCCGCAAAAATCATCAAATTCATCTTAATGTCGAAAGAATTAGGGTGCCTGAAATCCTCTTCCAACCAAATATTGCGGGATTGGATCAGGCGGGTATATCGGAGCTTCTGTCCGATTTGGTGAATAGAAGATTGGATGGGGTTTTTAGACCCGGTGGTCAATCATATAGTGTGGTACAGGATGTGTTTGTGACTGGTGGATTGGCGTTATTGCCAAATTTCACCAATAGGTTGACTAATGATTTCAGGAGTTTTTTACCAGTGGGTACTCCGTTGAAGGTTAGAATGGCTAAGGATCCATTGTCGGATGCTTGGCATGGAATGCAGAAGTGGGCTGGAAGTGAGGATTGTGAGAAGGGATATGTTACCAAGGCCGAATATGAGGAGTACGGTCCTGAATATATTAAAGAACATGGATTGGGGAATGTTTGTTTACGTTAGGAGTTGAAATGGATTTATATAAAAAGATGTAAAATTAATGTACACAAGAGTTTATCTATAAAACAATAAAGCTATTACTTCTTGACTGAAGCTGGGTTAATACCTTTTCTCTTTAAGTTTCTCTTTATAGATTGATCTATGATATCCTTATCAGCCAGTTCATCGAATTCTGCAAAATCATCATGAATAATACCTTCTTCTTCAGCTTCTGCCCTAGCAATAGATTCCTTTTCTTTAGCTCCAGCTTTAGAAATATCATGAGGTGAAGGAGCAATCTTTTGGAATTTGGCAACATAAAATCCATCAACATTATACGTATGAGGGTAATAACGTCTAGTTAACGATAATTTAGAATTGAAATGTTTACCTCTGTAAGATGTAAAACCTTCTTTACCAATTTGTAAACCAGTTTCGACTAATTTTACATTTGGACGTTTTCTTAATGCATAATCAACCACAGCTTCATTTTCATCAACAGCAACGGAACAAGTAGAATATACAATAACCCCACCAGTGGCAGAATTAGCATCAACTGAATCAATAGCTGATAACAATAATTGCTTTTGTAAATGCGGAATTTGAATAAAATCCTTTTCAGTACGACTCACTTTAACAGATTCATCTTTAGCAATAACACCAGTACCTGAACATGGAGCATCTAATAACACTCTATCGAACCCACCAATGACTTTTGGAAACTCTCTAGCATCGTAATTACATACAATAGTGTTTTTACATCCCAATCTATGAATATTGGCAATTAACGATTTAGTTCTGGCCTTGTTGGCATCGTTTGCAAACACACATCCAGTATTCTTCATCAAGGCTGAAATATATGTCGTTTTACCACCTGGAGCAGCGGCCATATCTAATATACGTTCATTTTCTTGTGGTGCTAATGCCATAACTGGTAAGAATGAAGAAGCAGCTTGTAAGATATAATGACCGGCTAAATATTCTGGAGTAGCACCGATTGGGACTTGGGAATCAAAGATTTGTAATCCTACTTTGGTCCATGACCCAATCGGTTGTAAATTAACCCCTCTGTTGACTAAAGTTTGGGCTAAGTCTCTTCTTCTGGTTTTCAAAGTGTTGGTTCTGATGGTGATTGGACGGGCGATTTCATTGGCTTCGAAGAATTCCATGGCTTCTGAAGGGGAGAATAAGTTAAATAATTTTTCAGCTAAGAATTCAGAATAGCCAAAGTATTCACAAATATCTTTTAATAATCGATTAATATATTCAGTTCTTGATTTTCCTTCTTCTGCTAATTCCTTAAAGTTTTCTAAAACCTTAACAACTTCAAGCATTCTTGTTCTAACCATAGTAACATCTTGAGGTCCTTTACTCATCTCTTCTTCTTCTTCAGCGGTTGGTAACACTTTTGCTCTAGGTTGCATAGTTTCAGCTTCTAATAATTCTCTTTCTGCTTCTTCTGCTTCGAGTTCTTCTTCTTCATCTAATTTTCTCGATAAAGCTTCCATATTGGCAGCATTCAAATTTTCTAAATCTTCTTCATCTTCTTCATCATCTGAGAACATTGGTCTGGCACGTACTTCTTCATCAGAATCGTATTCGGCATCTTCAACATCGAATTCATCGTTTTCTTCAAGATCAAGATCGTCGTCAACTTCTTGTTCATCTTCAGATTCATCAAAGAGTGATTTTCTAGCAGATGCTAATTCTTCATAGTCAACTTCAGGTAAATTTGGATCTTCAACAAACTCTTCTTCATCATCGTCTCTCTTTTGTTTCTTCTTTGAGGACTTATCCTTCTTAGCTTTCTTTGGCTGTTCTGATAATTCTTTTGATTTCTTACGAGGAGCTACATCAGTAGATTTTTCTTCTCTCTTTCTTTTAGAAGATTCTTTCTTTTCCTTTTTGGCTTGGAACTCGTCGAAACTTGGTGGTACTCCTTGCTTGTTTCTTGCTCTTCTACCCATATTTGTATACTTCTTTGTCTATTCCTTATCAAAATATGGTATGAATAGATCTTTTTCTTTAAAGTGATGCGATGAGCTTTGTTAAAGTGAAAAATAAAATTTACTGCAAAGAAAAAAAGATCAATTGGTAGCACCATATTGCTATCTCATCTTGCCATTTAACACGACCTCCTTTATGAAAAATTTAAACTCTTACAAACTTAAGCTATTTAAGGACGACAAGGAAGTATAGCAACCATGAAGAGCAAGACGGTTATTGTACCTAATCAGCATGTATTGATTCGTTTACCTTCTGAAGGTTTGAAAATTGTGGAATTACGTGAATCAGGTATAATTGGATTGGGTAAATTTGGATCATTTGAAGTGAATGGAATCTTGGGATATCCATTTGGACAAACCTTTGAAATTGTCGAAAATCAACAAGTGAAAGCCATTAAGAGTATGCAACATGACGTAGAAGAAGACGAACCAGAAGCGGATGTTGAGTCTTTGAATCAAGAAGAATTAACCAAATTGCTTTCTAATAGTTCTGAAAATAACCAAAATATAATTGATATCGGATCCAAGATTCAAAAGTTGACTAATGAGGATATTGACGAATTAAAACGATCAGGAGCCACTTCGAAAATTGGTCAAAAGATTATAGAACAGATGATAGCTGGCCATGAAGGTTTTGATAAAAAAACAATCTTCTCTCAACAGAAATACCTCAAGAGAAAACAACAAAAGTTCTTAAGAAGGTTCACAGTTGAATATCTTGGTGGGAACGAATTGCTTCAATACTATATCGAACGTGATTTACCTAGAGTGCTTGACTTAAGTGAAGAATCTTTAGGGTTGATCTTGACCTACGCAAATGTAAGACCAGGTGGGAAATACCTTTTGATTGATGAGACTGGGGGTTGTGTATTATATGCCATGATGGAAAGAATGGCTGGAGAGGGGACAATTGTATTAGCCCATGAGAATGAACACGCTAATATTATTGCATTGAGGCATTCTGGATATTCCGAAGAATATAAATCCAAAATGATCAAAACCATAAATTGGCTTCAGTTTTTAGAACCAGAGAATGAAAAGATAATATGGGAGGATTTATCCCCAGAAGAAGTTGAAGCTATGAAAGGGTCCAAGAAGGAACAATATACAAGACGTCGTGAACGTGCCAATGCCATAAACGAAGTCATCCTGTTAGTGGAAGAAGGTAATTTCGATGCACTCATCTCTGTGTCAACATTGCATATGACTACTTTACTTCCAAGAATTGTTGATAGAATTGGGGGATCAAGACCAGTTGTGATATACAACCAATATAAAGAGCTCTTGTTGGAAACGCAACATATGCTTTCTTCGGATAAGAGAGTATTGGCCCCATCTATATTTGAAACCAGAGTAAGACCATATCAAACCATTCCAGGAAGAATGCATCCTTTGATGACTATGAGAGGTGGAGGTGGATATGTCTTATGGGGAACCAAGGTAATTCCTCAAGAAGGTATTACTGCTATTGGAAGAGGCTTGAGTAAAAAGAAAAGGGAAGCAACTCCCACGCCTCCTGTGAAGCAGGAATCTCCAGAAACTACACAAGATGAAGTAGTAGAGGATACACCAATGGCTGAAGCATAGAATAAATATATTTTAGTACATAATTAATAAATAAAATCGCATAGTTTTTGTAATATCTCGTAATCAGTTCCCTTCTTCCATCCAATAACACACCGAATATTCTGTCTCGAGTCGTCTCTCGAACCAACTTGCCAAAACGGATTATCTTTTAAATACTTATGCACGAAATCAGCTTGTTCCTGATATCCCAATTCAAACACAAATCCTTTTGCATGTGAAGGCAAAACCACATGCTCTAGTAAATTGTAGTAAAACTCCCAATCCCCAACCAACGCAAGTTTCGGTTCATACAACTTCACTGATCTTTCAATACCTTGATGATATAACGGCTTTTCATATTCTTCAATCGGTATATATGGCGGGTTCGCAGTAATCAAATCAACCGGCTTCGTTACACCAATTTGTTCAAGTACTCTCGCATTAAATACGTCCCCAAGTTGGAAAGTAACATTCCCATCTGCTTGGCCATGAACTCGGGATAGATTCTCCATGGCCAAATCGTAAGCTTTTCCAGAAACATCAAACCCATGGATATCTGTTTTGAATCCGGCTTGGGATAATTCATGATTTAGCAATAATGGAATACACCCTGTTCCAGTACATGCATCCACAATCCTAATCTCGTCTTTTGTATTCTTTAAGCCAATCACCAATAATTCTGATAATTTTGTACACCATTCTTCGGTTTCCCATCGAGGGACTAATACTCCCTCGCGGCATCCAATGGTCAAGGAACCGAATGGTTGAGACTTGAGGATGTATTGGAGAGGAACGAGTCGTGAACGTTGTTGTACGGCTTGGACCCATTCATGAGGGGGGAGTTCTCGTTTGATCCATGAGAGTTCTAATTGGGCTTGGTTGAGGTCTTTGTTGGCACGAAGAAGAGGGGGAAGAAGCTTGGATATCGATCTGGCCTGCCTGGCTATCTTGGGTGAGACTCTTGGCATTTTTGTAAGTTTGACAGATATTGAAGAAAGAATGTGATGGATATGTGTCTGGGGTTAAAATCAACCAACCAGATTTAAGTACGGAAAAAAATGAATCACGTGATGTTGATTTTGTCAAAATATTAGAAGTTGTGAAATTTATAAATATAATTACAAAGATATATATTATATGTTTTAAATGTATATACAGGGGGGGGGTTAAACTAGGTGGAAGTATAGACAAATCTACATACCCTTTCTACGGTAATACATGTGGGCTCTTTCATGAACACTTTCGTCAAATGGAGTAATAACTTCGGAATGACCTGGTCTAGCAATTGGATCTCTCAAGTAAACAGCATGACAAGTTTCAAATGAAATTTCAATATGGTGAGGTAAGATGGCAAAACAACCAAGGAACCCTCTTGGTTTCCAGGGAGTGAAATATGGTTTTGTTGGATCTTGACGACCGAAGATTCCTTTTTGCCAAGGGAGATCAATTTTAGCTGATGATTCATTTTCCAAAACTTGATCTTTATCTAATTCTTCAACAGGTTGTAAGTTATTGGCAAGTTCAGAAGCTTGGTAGCCTCCAAATTCGGGATCTTTACGGATTTTAGCCCATTCAGCCTTTTGTATATCTGTTAAATAGTCCCTGATACTTCTCAATAATGCTTTTTCATTGTCGGATTTCTCAGCTGTGTTAGCAAGGAAAGCTGTCACTTCTTCTGTATCGAATTTGTCGAGTAATGGATGATTTGCTTTTGCTAATTTTTCATATACGGAAAAACGCAGAAGCCTTTGAGTTGAACCTGCGAATGTTTCTTTGTTAACTTTACCTGCCCCTTCTGCTCCCACAGTTTCAGTGGCTTTCTTGGCTGTGTCTAAAATGTCAACGAAGATTGATTCGAGAGTTACTTCATCTTGACGAGAATTGATTGTGTTTCTTACGATACTCAATCTGTTCTTTAATTCTTCAAGTACAGCCGAAGAATGAAAATCATCTGGATTAGCTCTAGCTTTTGCCAATTCATCTTGCGGATTGGCTTTAAATTGTTCGACATACTGATTCCAAGATTGAATTTGTTGTTGATCAACTTCAAGTGCTTGCTCTAAACCTGGCTTAGCCTTACCTAAAGCATAAAGTACTTTAACTGGATTCACACTGAAAATATCTCCACTTTGTAAAGGATAAGAACAATGCTTAATAACAACCCCATTAACTTTAACATTCCCACTCATAATAAACTGTCTGGCTTGTCTTACAGAAGATGCAAACATGGCTCTAAAAAGAGCAATTTCCAATCTCTTTTCCAATAATGCAAATGATTGCAATGAGAGAGGAGTTTCCTTAACAGGTCCACCTTTCAATGAGGCGTCAAGTTGGGCAAATGACTTACGGGATGGGTTGTACATTGCCTTGAATCTCCTCTCTTGTATATGCTCTCCATGATAAGATCTAGCGTCTTGTTTAGAATAGTACTTTTGTTGATAGTGGGTCTTACCTGCAACTTGTAATGGTGTCTTTTTGTATAAATTGAACAAGTTTAGTTTGTTCATGGACATACGAACACGTCCTCTTGCTAGATCATGAATTCTATCTGACCTCCTTGGCATTTTCAACAACGGATCCTTCTATCTGCCAATGATTTCACTTAAAGATCAGAATCGGTAGCTTTCTAATTGGTCTCTTAATTACCAAAGAGAAAATTTTTCAATGAATTTTTTTTTTTGTTTCAATTCGAGTGGATTCCAAAACAGGCAATTTAGTCACATGATCTAATTTTCTTCAAATTAAAGTCAATTCATCATCATTCAAAGAGTTCGATACACTTATACACTTCTATTAAGCCTGCCATTCATAGTAAATCAAAATGGCTCAACCAGACTATCAACCCCATCAACCAAGGGAATGGACACTCGATGATGAGATCAAATTATTCAATCTAATCTGTGATTACAAACCAGCAGGTAAGAATAAACACAAGAACATGGTTTCCATAATAGACAAAATAAACCATAAGTTACGAGATGAGGAGAAGCCATATACAGCATCTGATATATGGGATAAATTATCTACGCTATATGATTTGAAACGAATAGATTATTTAGAGGATTATAAAGATACTGATGATGAAAATGATGTAGATGCCAAAAAGAAACGTGAGGAACAAGAGGCTGGAAATAAGGAAGAATCCATCGAGGTGGACGAAGAGGACGAGAATCACAAGGGAGAAGAAGAAAAAGAAGAAGGGGCAAAAGATGTGAAAGAAGAAAATGAAGTGAAAGGTGAAGATAAAGAAATCAAAAAGGAGCAAGAACGAAACATTGAGGATGAACAGAAAATCGAGGAAGAAGAGGAAGAAGAAGCTTCTCCTGTTCCAGAGCCAATCATTAAAAAACGTGGACGGAGACCATCAAAAGAGTCAAAGCCCAAACGACAATTACGTAATGTAACTGAAGTCCATAGCGAACTGGAATCTTCAGGTTTAAGTGATGTAAACAGCGAAGATGAAGAGGAACTTAAAAAGGACACTGAGAATGAAAAGATCAAGAAGGATGTGGATAAAGAAAGTGAGTCCGATGAAGAACAAGACGCCGAAGAGGAAGGACTGGGACAAGGGGAACTGGAGCTGGAAGGAGAAAAGGAGTCTGAAGGCGACGAAGAAAAAGAAGAAGAAGAAGAGGAGCCACAACACGAGGAAATAAAAGTGCTGGCGCGTGGATCAGGAAGAGGAAGAGGTCGAGGGAGAGGTCGTGGAAGAGGTCGCGGTAGAGGGAGAGGTAGAGGAGGAATAACAAGGAGAAGTTCGATTGAAAGATCGTCCCCTATTCCCAAGAAAAGAACTCGATCAACTGTGGATGTGGAAGATAATCCTCCATCTCCTCCTGCTTCAAAGAAGAGACCTACTCGAACCACGTCACCAGTGTCGCCACCTCCTAGAAGAAGAACTAGATCAGAAGTTCATATTGAAGTAGAAGACCACAGCGAGGAAGAAAAAGATCGAAAAGAGCACGAGGGCGATGATCGTGGCGACGGCGAAGTTGAAGAGGCGGAAGATAATGACGAACTGTCGGAAGAGAAATGGGAGGAACCAGAGACCAGGAAACCCCTGGGTAGAGGACGTTCGGTGAGGACTAGGGGTAGTCGTGGTGGGTCTGTTCGTCGTGGAAGAGGAAGGGGACGAGGAAGGAAATAGTCAAGCGTTTTCAATATAGACTGAGAATAATAGAAGTAAATTTGTATAACTATTTGTAGATAACTTTGTAATCAATAATTTGTCATCTCAGTCGAGTGCTTCCTGGCATTGAAACTTTTCTCTTCCTTGAAGATTACACTAGCTTTGTTTCTTTGAGGAGATTAAGAGTATGATCAAGAAGTGATATTTATTCGACACAAGTACAAAAATAAATAAATCGTAAAGACATGAAAGCTCGTTCTGAAGTCAACACACAAGAGTCAAACCTATACAGTTTCATCATTGGCATACCTACCGTAAGCTCCAACCGCAGTATCTCCTGATTGACCAGTAGGGATACTCTCAAGTTCTTTATTCCGGCAATTGCATGGGCATCCATTGCCAACTCCGTTTCGAAAGCATTCTTCATTGATATTCCGAACAGATATCCAAGTTAAGGCAGTTGGGACAATTCCAAAATTGATCAAATCCAAAATCCCATAAAACACTGCTTCGGAATCTGGTTGAATGACATTCCCACCCTCAGATAAGCCCCAACTGATTGGATATAAGTGCCAGATAAATAAGGTAAAGTATACTAAATAATTTCCCCATTTTGATGTAGGAGCATCTGAAAGGAATGAGCGGTGTACGTCGACACAAACAAGGTAGGAGACAAACAATAATGCACAAACACCGAATGTGAAGTATCCCCATTTGTATGTAGTTTCAACCAAAGCACCAATCAAAAATAGAACGATGAAAATTTCGATATAGACAAGCTTGATGAACACGTTTTGGAAAAGTTGAATGACTCTAGTTACAAAATCAGTCTCATTATCGGTATTTGATGAAGTATGACTTGTGATTTCAAAACTTATTAAAACCAAAGGCCATGTTAAGAACCAAGCAATAAATTTTGAGTAAAAGACCTGTCTAATACCAGTACCTGCGTGGGTGAGCTCAACGGGTACACCAGTACTACCTAAATCGGAAGCATATGTAAAATAAGCATATGTCATAATTGAGTTTATTAATAATGGAATTAGTAATAACGTCTTGGAAGGCTTACGTTTATCTTTGGTGAAGACATACATGAACCCATGGAAGATCATAAGGACAGCAAAAATACAAAAAGGGGTCGCTAACCATGCACTACCATCTTCTGTGAGACGGATGGTGACATTCGATGATGGGCCATTAATGTCAACTGGAAATTTCTTTACTATTCCGTCAAGTGTTCCAAGCAGTTTGTTCTTGTCGAAAACTGAAAGCATGTTAAGTAGTAGATTGTTAATAAGTTAATTAATTGTAAGATTTAAAATGTTGCAAAATTTGTATGAGGAAAAAAGAGTTGCAAATAAAATGAGAATAACATTCAGAAAGAAGCAACCTCGGCGGTCTTTATATAGGCGATTTAAGAGCTGCTTTCTGTTCATTCCAATTAGAGGAATGCTCTGGAATCAGGTTATTTGTTAACTTTTCATGATCGTTATAATAATACAAACGTATTATTTTATTTATTAGTTAGAAATTTGACACGATTAATATTTTTTTGTCTTCATTGTTCCATTTCATATTGATTTCGTTTCTTTTCAGGAAAATACCATCAATATATGGAAGTTCTTAGATAATGCGTTCTAGATTAGAAAATATTTCTGAAGATCATGACTCAAATCATCACTAATAATTAAACTGATAGATGAGCATGTTGATATCATACGACGCCTCTTTTCTTTGATTACAATACATGACTAGCCCTTGGTCGCCTTTGTACAATGGTTTATCCTCATAGGGTAGTTGTCAAATTCCTATAATAAACTGATTCACCAAGTACTAGTATCCAAAAACTTCATATTTGAACGCCAGTGACTTAACGTATTTGAATAAATGCCTAGAAAATATAAAAAGAGAATGAATTTCGGACATGCTATCTATCTATCGGTTGTATTCTAAAGCACCAAGCCTAGAAGTCTCTCAAGAATAATCAATGGTATGGAACAGCGTTTCCTCATGTTTCTTGCCATGGTCATCTCTCGAAGACATTATAAATATTATTATTTCCAATATTTTTAAACCTCTTTCATAATAAATAATATATCAGCTGACATTCTACTAAATGAAAAGGCCGTTTTACAAGGTTGTTTTCATCGTCTTCTCGTTTCCGTTATATAATAAAATTTTCCTATACTTTTGGTAAGGACGGAAGTAAAGCCGTTATTTAAGATTTTCACTAGAATCACTGGTGTATAAGGATTAATAATCTAAATTATTACATTAAATTGGCAAGCCTCTAATTTTTTAGGTGCCTTCTATAATACATGCCTCTATAATCCTAAAATCTTTTAACAAAGACATACAATAGATGAACTATATCATCGAAATTCTCCATAATTATTTAGCTGTGATACCAATGTACTTGACTGTGTCTGGCCCGATGTACCAGAGATCATTATATTTATTTGAAGATGAAGAATAATTCAAATTTGCAATTTATAACTATTTTTTAATTCCAAAGTAAAATGAAATTATTTCACATAGATTCATCTGACAGGTATAGTCTTCTTCTATATGATCATACCCGAACTGTATGTGTAACAACAGTTAGTTCAGCCTTCCCTAATTGTTAGTATTGCATTCGATTTGCTCGTGATTTTTGCAGCAACCACAATATTTTTGCAACCAAGGGGATGGCACTAGAGTATGTATTATCCCTTCTAATAAATTATTTCCAAAAACCGCAAAGCCTTTAGATGGCATTTTGAGAACACCTTAGCGAGGAAACCTAAAACATGGTGTGACCCTTTTTATATTTCGTGTCTTTTGGTTATTTCATTTTTAGTTGATTAGGTTGCAACAATAACTGAATATTGTCTAACCAATCAAAGCAATGATGCTTTGCCTTCGTTGGTGACTTAGTGGATTTGTAATACAAGACTAAGTCCAATTCTGACAAGAATGATACTTATGTTGGTTGTAAGCCTGCCGGAGACTAGAGGCATTCCTTTGGAACTATTGGCGTTTGATTCGAATTCAGATCATCTCATTACCCGGACCCTGGATCTCTAAAAAATAATTTTCAAAATCTCCAACTTCTTGATCTCGTTGCCCTTTCAGTTAAACATTAAGTAAATATATCATTAAATGTTTGTAAGACAGGGGAAGAAAGCTATATCGAATTATGCTATAGCGAGAAAGGTCAGACTCATATCAATATCTTCTAGAATTTTTCAGCTGCAACTACAAGAAACTTCTAACACAAATGAACCTTTTGATTGGGATAGAGGAGCTCGAACCAACAAGACAAACTTATCTCCATTATACGCGTCAATGAAAAGATTGATGGATCAGAATCCAGGATGTGTAAGCTTAATACAAGTGGGTAGTTTCTATGAATTGTATTTTGATCAGGCTGAAATATATGGTCCAAAATTAGGATTGAAAGTAGCCACTAGGAAAACAAGTAACCATTGTATCCCAATGGCAGGGTTTCCCTTGAGTCAGCTTCGTAAATTTGTGGAAGTATTGGTACAAGAGCATAATGTCAATGTAGCTATTGTTGACCAAAACTCTCTGAAAGATAAAACAATCCATAATTTGATTCATAGAAAGATTTCAAGAATTATTTCTCCAGGGACTTTGATCGATGAATCATTCCTAAATTTCGACAAGAACAATTATCTTGTCGCGATATCCTTCCCTCCCAACATGGAAAGATTACCTCCTGACCCAGATATGCCAGTTGGATTGGCTTGGATCGATGTATCTATTGGTGAATCACTCGTACAACAAACAACACTTGGAGATTTGGTTTCAGATTTATCCAGAATTCAACCTAGTGAAATCTTAATCTCCAAAACCCTTCAGTCATCAAACCTCCATACTGGGAAATGGTACGCCCCATTACAAGATCTCAGACGATATTTTATAAGATATCATACTATAAAATATACAGATCTAAAACTTCAATTCAAAGCAAGTGTTCAAGCCACTAGAAAAGCACTCGAGGAATTCACTCCAAGAGAAGAAGCTGCCATGAATATGATTCTCTCTTATGTAAGTGTCAATCTTCCCGAAGCCAACTTTTCCCTCGAACTCCCTACCCAATATATGAACTCCGACTGTCTTCAAATGGATGCAAGAACAAGAGACGCATTAGAGTTGACGGAAAGAGCGATTGGTGGAAGATCATCTACAATAGGAACCCTTCTATCGACGATAAAAAGAACCACGACTGCCTCGGGTACAAGATTATTGATTCAATGGATTAAGTCACCTGTTTTAGACATCAACGAAATTGAAAGACGTCAACAGTACGTGGAGATGTTTTTATATAATCCGTATTTGACAACACAAACCAGACATCATTTGAATGCGATCGGGGATTTTGTTAGGTATGCTCAAAGATTATCGATGGGTACTGGGGATGTGGTGCATCATTTGGTCTCCATCGCAGATAGCTTAAATAAATTAGAAGCATTTGAAACATTCTTGAAAGAGGAATATGACAGAAATCCAGAACAATTGAATGTCTTGAGGGATTTTCTTAAGGAATTGTATATACCTAAGGATATTGCTAATGAAGTGTACGAAACAATTTATGTTGAAAAGCCGGTTGATATTGAGGAGGAAGAGATCGTGATGAGCGAACTCCAGCAAAGTGAAAGTGCAGAAACCGAAGGTTCTATTACAATCTCTGATTCCGGTATTGCAAATGAGCCGCCTGTGCCAGTCAATCTAGATCTTGAGAGTGTTCCAGAAAGAGCTGACTCTAAAGACGCTTATCTGAATAGCTTCCTTGCCAAGTATCGCATAAAAGAAGAAGACAGGCTCATGCCTCAATTTGCATTTACAATTAATCGTAACTACAACCCTGAATTGTCGCAATTACATTCAGAGCTTGATCTTCTTGAAACTCGGGAATCAGAACTCATTGCTAAGGTTAAAGAAGATATCCATGCTATAGATCCAAAAATTGAAGTCGTCAAGAAAGAAACATATGGTAGATATGAGAATATCCTTCTTATTTCAGGAAAGCAAAAGTCAATCGGCCAAGCGTACAAGATCCTCGAGCATGATATTAGAGAACATAAAAAGAAACTGCTAATCTTCAAGTCCAATGATTGGAGGGCATTACAACACCTAATTCGAGAAAAGCGAGACAGCATAACTGTCATCGAACAACAAATCATTGAGGAATTAAAAAGCAAAGTCATCGATCAAATCCCGTCCATCAAAGCTGCACTGAAATTAGTTGATTTCCTCGATGTGACCTCTTCCTTCTCGGTCTTAGCCAAAGAAAACCACTGGGTCAAGCCAACCCTCACGACCTACCCTATCCTCGCAATCGAAAATGGTAGGCACGTAGTCGTCGAATCCAGTCTTCAACAATCAGGAACCAATTTCACCCCGAACAACTCTACCGTCGGTCAAAATGGTAAACTATGGGTCATATCAGGACCAAATATGGGAGGTAAATCGACTTATCTTCGTCAGAACGCACTCATGGTTATCCTTGCCCAAATTGGCTCCTACGTTCCAGCATCTTCAGCCACGATCGGGATAGTTGACAAAATCTTCACCCGAATTGGGGCAAGTGATGATTTGTTTAATGATTTGAGTACGTTTATGGTCGAGATGATCGAAACTAGCAATATCCTCCAAAAAGCCACACTGCAATCACTTGCGATTGTGGATGAAATAGGTAGGGGTACGAGTGGAAAAGAAGGGATTGCGATTGCATATGCGACATTAGTGGAATTGCTTCGAACAAATAAGTGCCGAACCTTATTTGCCACCCATTTTGGGATCGAATTGGAACTGATGTTGAAGGAGAATGGAATTGACCAAAGTGATGTAAGATATTTCAGGACGAGGGTTTTGCATAATGCGAATCCCGACAATGAGTTTGAATCCCCATTGATTATTGATCATGCTTTGGAAGAAGGTATAAGTGAGAGGTCGCATGCTTTGGAGATTGCAAGGATGGCAGGGTTTCCCAAGCTGGCATTGGATGTTGCAAAGAGGGCCTTGGATGCCATGAGTTAGACTTGTATATATAAGATTTTATTTATAAACTCTAAATTGTACATAAACTAGAACATACAATATATTTACTATTGAGGCATTTGTGGGTTCTGCTTATTTTGCATCAGCTGCAAAAGTAATCTTTGTAATTCAGCAAGTTGAGCAGGGTCAACTTGTGGTTGCTGTTGTTGCGGTGGTTGTGTATTAACTGCAACAGGGTTGTATTCTGAGTGATACTGTTGTGGATATTGTGGTGGTGGTGGTGGTGGCTGGGATTGATATTGCTGTGGTTGCTGATAAAATCCCTGGACTTGAAAGTTTGGCTGAGATCCATGATGCATTGCGGCTTGTTGATTCTGATAGGTTGGATAAGCTCCATACTGAGGTTGCTGTTGTTGGAAATTGTCAGCATGTGGATAATACGGTTGTCCGTAAGTTGATTGAGGTTGAGAAGGAGCTGCCATTGGTTGGTTGTAATTGCCGTAGCCAGCAAATTGGCCTGGTGGTTGTTGATAATTGGCATATTGACTTGCTCCTCTTCTGTCCTGAACAGTTGATCTTGCATTGTTAAGTGGCTGATATGATGGGACTGCATGTTGTTGGGTTCGTTTATATGGTGTGCTCTCGCCAGCATTGCTAGTCCTCCTCCTGTTGTTCGATCCCTGCTGTTGGCCTGAACCTTGTTCCTTATTTTTATTTTTGTTTTTATTCTTCTTCTTTCTAGCTTGTTTTGCATCCAATTCCCTTTCATCGTCGGAGAATTCTTGCTCTTCAATCGGCAATTCTTCATCGTGACAATTACTTGCATCGGTCCCCTTCAAATTTTTGATTGAATCAGTATACAAGAATTGGGAATCAGGCACCACGTAAAATACTCTTTTGCCTTTACAGCCTGCAAATTTTTCGAATTCTTCTTTGGAATTAAATTTCACACTATAGACAGGTTGTTGTACTCTTCCAAATATTTCAAATAATGGCCCAATGACAGTTCTATCCTCAAAGCAGAATACAGAGCCTTCTTGCAAGACTCTAAATTCTCCCGAGGTTTTTGCTTTTATGATAATTGAATTTTCCACTAATCCGATAACTTCTCCAATATCTTCAATCGGAGAGTTTTCGGGAATCGAGTAGTCTTCAGGTAATACGGGTGCCTTTTCAACTATTTCGTTTGTTGATTTGATTGGTCCTTCATTTACTTCGTCCTCTTCGTCGTCAAGATCTTGTTTATTTGTACTTTCTTCTTCTTCTGATTCGGAGTCGGAGTCCGAATCTGAGTCGGAATCTGAACTGTCCTCGTCTTCTGAACTAGATACTTCTGAAGATGATACATCATCCACGTTGATGTCGTCATCAGACAATGGAGCGATATCTTCGTTCGGGGCTGTGGATATAAAGAAATTTCTCATGGTATCGTCTTCAGGTTCCGTTTTAACTTCCACTGTTGGTTCTTGTGGTTCTGCCTTTACATGAATATTAGGGGCGATGTCGGTAGTTTGAAGTTTTACTTGAATTTCTTCAGGCTCTTCTTTAATCTGCACTTCTTCTTCTTCTACACTCTGTCCAGCATTCTCGGACTTGTTCGTTAATTGCTGTGAGGCCTCAGATTCAGCATTCGGTATGTTTTCATGCTCGGCAGCGGTAATCTGTTCTTTCTGCTTCTGCTGTTCGCCCTCATTTGTCCGTTGAGCATCTCCTTGCTTTGCATTGGATATATCTTGATTGCCATTTAAGATGGCGGCTGATTCCATAGTACTCTCGACCGCGGGGTTTTGATCTATTGGAAGGGTTTGTTGCTGTTCCATTGTAGTGATTTTCACAGGATTTTCTTGCAAATCAGTTTGGTTTGGCTCAGCTATAGTTTCATAAGTATTGACTTGCATTTGTGTTAGATGTATTTTAGCTTATTGAATATTATTGCTTGATATAGCGAGAAGTTTGACTAACTCAAGAGATGAGCTTCGATGCGATGAGGAACGCTAATTTTGATACGAAACGGAGAAAAAATAAATTTGTCTGAAAAGGGAAATTTATTTCCGTTCATGAAGTTCCGTACATACTCGCTTATAAACTTCCAATCAAGCTAATCAGGAATGGTTCTAATCTGTAGACTTATACAGTTAACAAAAATGACGAATTAATTCTTGCGGATACACTTTGTATGAGTGCTCTATAAACTATTTTCTAGTCGAGGACATAATTTTGCTAAGTATTTCAGCAAATTTTGGTTGCAAAAACCGAACTCTATTCTCTTTAAACCTATTCGAATCGCATAGAGAAAGCAACGAAAAGATGCGTAAAACAGTGGAAAGTAACTCCTCCTTTGAAAGTGTCTTTACCTGTGAATATCAATCCCCTTTTTGTCTAATGCATGTGTATTTAAATGTGCCCCTGGCAAAGAACCAATTGGTTACTATGACGCATTTTTCATCACATGATTGGCACGTGATCAAGGAGTAAACCTGATCATGCATGCGTAAATTCAAGAACAGACATTTAGGTTTTATGAAAAAATGAGATGAAAAGGTTACCCGCACAGGATTCCAAAAGTGAAAATTTTTCTGTTGATTGTCTTTCTCACGCTTCGAGATGTTACTAAAAAAATTTTCAATTTCAATTTTTATTTACAACTTTTACATTTTAATTCCTTGTTTATCAATTAAGTAAAGTATCAAAAATGGGTGCCTACAAGTATTTAGAAGAATTGCAAAGAAAGAAGCAATCCGATGTTATGCGTTTCCTTTATCGTGTCAGATGTTGGGAATACAGACAAAAGAAAGTTATCCACAGAGCTTCCAGACCATCTAGACCAGACAAGGCTAGAAGATTAGGTTACAAGGCCAAGCAAGGTTTCGTTATCTACAGAATCAGAGTCAGAAGAGGTGGTAGAAAGAGACCAGCTCCAAAGGGTGCTACTTACGGTAAGCCAACCAACCAAGGTATTAACCAATTAAAATACCAAAGATCTTTAAGAACTACTGCTGAAGAAAGAGTTGGTCGTCGTGCTTCTAACTTGAGAGTCTTAAACTCCTACTGGATTAACCAAGATTCTACTTACAAGTACTTTGAAGTCATCTTAGTTGACCCATCTCACAAGGCTATTAGAAGAGATGCTAGATACAACTGGATCGCTAACCCAGTTCACAAGCACAGAGAATCTAGAGGTCTTACTTCCGCTGGTAAGCAATCCAGAGGTATTAACAAGGGTCACAGATACACCAAGACCAAGGCTGGTCGTCGTCACACCTGGAAGAAGCACAACACCTTATCCTTATGGAGATACAGATCTTAGATTGGTTAATAACCTTTTTAAGAATGTATTGGTGTTTTTCTTTGCTAGGTTGAGAATGTAGGTTTATTATAGGTTTTGTATATTTGTACTTTATGTTCTAATAAATTTCGTTTTTAATTGGTGTGGAACAAACTTTCTATAGATAACTAGTAAACGCCCACCTAAGAAATGGGCCATGAAAAGAGGAAATGTAGCAGATATTGGGTTTTCACAATGTAGCAGAGGCTGTTGTTCGTGACAAACTACCCAACCAGAATTGAAATCATGTCGCCCACGGAACCCAGTTTCTCCAATCAACTATTTTGAACGTCAAAAACGTACACCAGTTGTCCAAGTCAAAGCCATCGATGGGTCAATATTGGATACAGCTGAAAGGCTCTCACTCACTCTCAGCCATGAGGGTTCCAAAAGTCTCAGTAGTATATCGATACAACTTTGTTTCTAGCCTATGCATAGAAGAACTCTAATACACAATTGATTTTTTTGAATATCCACCGGTTTGACTAGGACATCACTTCTAGTTCAAATGAATGGCCAACTCTAATGATGAAATTATGAGTGAACAATACGTTTACATGCAACTGCTGCCATTCAGAGAATAGTCATGAAAGCAGGTGATATTAAAAAAGTTATAAGAAACAATAAATTTATATTTAATATCTAAGAAAAAGATCAATATTCCTACCCTAAAGAGGCGAAAGCTAGTATTTGCATATAAATCAACAATGAACTGTTTTCATTGTTGTGACGAAACGTTTTCGAAACCAAGAATGGCGATCGCCCTCTCCAAAACCGATACTCTTCGAATAAGAAAACAAAGTAAAAATTCTAGCAACCAGTCAATGCTAATCATAGATGTCCGACCCAGGTCTGAGAACCCACGGTTCTTGGAGAAGAGGAAGCACATTTGCTACAAAGTAGGCAGTACCCCTATTATCTGCAGAAGTAACCAAGTTACCATGTTCCCAATATTCACAAATTGTGTACTGATTATAATCATAACCTTCACATGGAAGCCTAAAACAACCAACCTTAGTAGTCGATTTCCAAACAAGTTGGGTAAAATGGCCAGTACCACTAACGTATCCAGGATCATTAAAATCGTAATCGTCAATTTCTTCATACCACGCATCAACCGCATTAACACCTTGATATCCAGCAGCTAAGTTCTCTCCGTACGTTGAACTAGTAGAATGGACCAACGTTCCCGAGCAGTCATATGATGATTCTGCATATGCTCTACCATACTCATATGCCTCATTACTCCAGACTAAGTTGGGAACACCATGTTGTGCTCTATAGAAGTTGTGAGCAGCTAAAATTTCCTGAGACCATTCAATGTCGTATGTTGGCACATTATCGGCAACTGAAGTTGGGGTGGAAGGCTCTGTGCTAGTCAGCAGTTGGCTGGATGATTCTGATGAGCTTGATGGTCCAGTGGAGGCTTCTGATGAAGTGGAAGTGTCAACAACTGTGGGAGTGTCTATGTCAATTGCAGTTGACGAAGCTTCAGTCGAGGAAGGCGTAGTCGAGTCAACAACTGTGGGAGTGTCTATATCAATTGCAGTGGACGAAGCGTCAGTTGAGGTAGGCTCAAGTGGGGTAATAACCGTGGATGACGATGGGACAGACGGCTCTTCAGCAACTGAGGATGTCAGACTTGTAGTTGGCTCAACAACAACGTCAGTTGACGAAGAAGATGCTTCTGCAGGTGAGGATGGCAGGTTTGTAGTTGGTTCAACAACAACGTCAGTTGACGAAGAAGATGCTTCTGCAGGTGATGATGACAGGCTTGTAGTTGGTTCAACAGCAACGTCAGAAGATGATTCTGCAGGTGAGGTTGATGTTGATGTAGTTGTCCTCAATAAATACCCTGGAGGTGTTCCGTATATTGTTGTAAAAACATAATGCGTGTTAGTGGTGGTGACATACATCAAGTAAGTCAGCGTTGAAGTAACAGTAACCTCGATTGTTAAGGTTGCTGCTTGGGCCACTGCTAAAGTGGCTGCAAAAGTTGTCAAAGTGCGTGAAAGTTTCATTTAATGGATAATTCTTAACTAGAGAAAGAGATTGCAACAAATTTCTTTTACTTATTAGGGATTTATCCTCCTTTAAATGGTGGACACCTTCCCCTAATGAGGTTACAACGAACACAAACTTAAATTGTTTTTCAGCAAATTACTCCTTGAATATGAAGGAATACCACGCCAAAGAATAGAAGCCCGGAACCAAAATCTTATTATTTTTCTTCTTTTCATTTTTGCATTCGTACCTAAAAAATATTTTGCATATTTTAGGCGAGTATTTTTTATGCGGGAATTTTTTTCGCTTAGTCAAAAATTATAAAAAAAACGTCTTCTATTTTTTCAACCTAATTTAATTCGTCTGGTCATAGATTGCACAGACGCTCCTAATAATAATAGCTCAGAATGCATGAACTGGTGCGATCGACAAATCCGAAAAAGTTTAAAAGCTACGCACCAATAAAATGTAAGAACGAAATATCAACTAGGAAGTGATTCGCTTGCCTCTCAACTACAATAGACCACAGCAATTTTAATGCGATAAAATGAAACATTCAAAGTCTATTTTTCTCCACAGTTAACCACCAAAGAACAACTGAACACAAAGATGAGAAATAAAGACTATTAATTCAATCTTAAGTTTTGACTGGAAAGTCTATTTCCAAAAAACCGTGACGAGTTTTTCTTTGTGCGCGCCTAGTCTGATAAAGGTGAAATTCAAGCTTCTTACAAAATACTCTAGCTTCAATTTCAAAAAATCGCCAATCACTGTACAACGACGCGTATCCCTATAATAAAAAGTCTCTTGTAGAAGAAGCTTCTCTTCTTTTTCTCCCAAAAGGGGAGATACGTATACTTCCCCTCTTATAATCTGAATCATAAACAGCATTAGCCGAATCTATCCTTAGACTAGTCAACCGCTCTTTGTTTCCAATTATTTATAGAGAAGACAATCTCCTTGAATAGTCATGACTATTTATTGGATTAAGTATACAGTACAACAGTAGTTAGAGATCAGTTTTACTAGAGACGAAGTACATTTGCAATCATAAGTTACTTAAGCTCCCTTCCTTGTGCACCACAGAGCCTGCAAAGCAGTTGGAAGTCAAAGAATCCAACACAGACACCGTTAGTAAGAAAGATTCTAAAGCCCTACTAAGTTTGCCCGACTACCTATTTCTGCTGATCTTCAAATATTTGTTACCTGCCGAGCTTGAGGAAATTCAAACGGTAAATAGACGATTTCATCGGTTTGCAACTTCATTATTGTGGCATCCTATGTATATATATGATCCTGACGATGATTTCAGAGCAGGAAGATTCTGACTAGAGTATTGGTGGATGCGCGTGGATCAAATTTTATTCTTGTCAAGATCTAAGAAGCTTAAAATTCAATTTATTAAACGATTGGTATTCGCAAGCGATGAATCTGTATCCTTAGTATGGATACAGAAGTTAAAAGAGGAAGCCGGGTGTTTGATAGGCTTCTTTCTAGGGAGATTTTCCAATGAAATATTTGTTCTATTCAAGTGTTTGGAATCCGACCATTATAGGTTTCACTTTAGTATTTGGAACTACTATGTTCGAAATAAAACGATTTTGTTTAACAAAAACTTTTATAGGTTGGCCAGTTTAGTGTTACGGGGATCGATATATGTCTATGATCCAATGGAACATGATGCGGGCCGGGCCGGAAGAATGTTGGACGAATTATACATGGATGAGCTTTCATAAATTTTTACATTTGACAAGAACCACACGGCTTAATCGATACGTCAAGAAGTTGGTATTTTATAGTGCTAAAAAGTTATCTTTGGAATGGACGATGAACCTACTTGATGGATTCCATGGATGCTTTCTAGGCTTTTTCGAAATCACTGATTTGGAGACTTTTCACTGGAAGACTAATTCTACTGCTAATAAGATTCTGAGTATTTATTGGGAGGAGTTTAACTACCTTTATCTACCAAGATGTTTGACAACATTCAAAGACGATTGGAGAATTCATATAATCAAGAGCCTCAAAATCGATTCTCCGGATGTAGAGTTTCTCGAAGAGACTTTGCCACTTATGAGTCTCTTGCGGATACTTCATATCGAAAATCCTAGGATGTTTTATGTCAAGAAAAAGATTTGCTTGACCAATCTGTACTTAGGATATTTCTATAAATCAAGTGTTTACCACCTTCTATTGAATTTTGATTTGCTGAAATTGGAATTCTTACGAATTCCAAAGGTCGACCCGTGCAGGTGGCTTAAATTAAATTAGTGTCTTTACTCCATAAAGGAAACCGAATTTCATAACTCAATCGAATATTTGCCTTACTATTCTCTCAGACAGGTTCATTACTTGGGTGACATTCCTTACCAGGACTTTGACTTCTTACCTTTGCATCCCATAACTCACTTATCCACGAAACTTGCTTCCTGGAACAACGTGCTAGATAACCCGAAGAAGGGTAAATTAATGGCCATACATACTTTAAAGAAATTGAAGATATCAGATAAATCATATAGAGCCGAAAGATGTCCATGGACATACGTTGAATTGCCTAAACGTTATAAATAGGGTATAACTCATTTGCCTTTCTTTTAAATATTGTTTTCACGTAGCCTTTTTATTAGGCTTTTATTTAGATTACCAGTACTCTCTAGTCTTAATCTATGTTGTTTATGAGTAGGAATACCACTTAGGAACTTGATATTTTTTTTGGTTTGTCGTGAGTAGAAGGTTGCCACTTTAGCAGCCAAAGGAGCATTTTTTATAGACAAGCCTGCAAACATGTTGTACATGTGCTAGATCATTTGATATCAAGCAGGTATCGAATTGCAGTAATTGTTGAAAGTTTGAAACTAAACGTCAAAGATAGCTTCGTTATAGTGGTTTGTGTATCTTGATGTTTAAAGTACTGGTTTTAGTAGCAATAACTGGCAAATGAATTAAATCACTTTAGTGGCTCGAAATTACTCCAATAGAAGATATAAATATGACTTCACACATTTCAATGAGAGACCACATAGACGTAGTGTAACACAACATCGAGAATGTTCTTCAGAATGTTGGATTCCCATAAAATGATACTTGTCCACTAACAATCTTGTCCGTTTATAGTTCCTTCAAGGTTTTCCAAGGTGTTGTTACTAATTTTCGGGATATTGATACAATCAAGCAATTTAAAGAGCGATAATGTGACTATAACGAGCTTCAAACTATTGCGAGGAACAGATTCAAGTCGCTATCTAACATCTTTTTTTGCAACCAATAAGATACGAACGACATTTATTCCGTTTCTGGAATGTTCCACGACATTTAAATGTCGTGTGAATTGATTGTAGTAGTAGTATCAGAGAAAATTCAGAGTCAAAATACCAAGTAAAGACTGGGACCTGAAAAGTTATCAAAAACGAGGTTTGATTTGGGAGTGTTGTTTAAGTATAGAATGTTCATGTCATAATATGCATCAGCTTAATTTAAACATGTTACGAATGCAATGTCCTATCTTAGAATAATCAATTCTATTTTCGGTATTTTAAAATCAGAATTAGGGAGAGATTCAACAAAAGAAGTCTAAATTAAAGTAAAATTACAAATTATAATTAGGGTATTAATTTCATACTTTTTATATTATTTTTCTCTTCTGATAAAAAAAAAAAAAATCCCTTAATCAACACACATTTCATCTTAGATACACACCCACACTATACAACATACAACAATACTCTCAGTTGGTTACTCTTCTCTGTCCCTCTTCTCTCTCTCTCTTCCAAATTTTTTTTTTTTTGAATATCCTCAATTTGAATCTTTTTCTTTCTTTCTCTTTCTCTTTTAATTCTAATTCTTGACAATTCCCACACTTTGAGTTCATTATTAATTGAATCATCAATCAACTCACATTCTAAGTGCGTGTATTTAACAATTGACTGAAATTTTATTCTCCCCCAAAGAAAATTTAACAGCCAATTTTATCACATCCAAACTGTAAGAAGAGGAACCCCCTTTAATAAAAAAAAAAATTTCAAACGCGATTTCATATTAAAATTTATTAAAGAAATTGAATAAATTAACCAATTCATTATTATTATTTAAACAATTCATAATGACAGCTCATAAACAAACTGCAATTTTATCTGTCTATGATAAGACTGGTTTATTAGATCTTGCTAAAGGTTTAGTTGCCGCCAATGTTCGTATTTTAGCTTCTGGTGGTACTGCCAAATTAGTTCGTGAAGCTGGTTTCCCAGTTGAAGATGTTTCTTCAATTACTCATGCACCAGAAATGTTAGGTGGTAGAGTTAAAACTTTACATCCTGCTGTTCATGGAGGTATCTTGGCAAGAAATTTAGAAAGCGATGAAAAAGATTTAGCTGCTCAAGGTATTGAAAAAGTTGATTATGTTGTATGTAATTTATATCCATTTAAAGAAACTATTTCTAAAGTTGCAGTAACTGTTGAAGAAGCAGTTGAAGAAATTGATATTGGTGGTGTTACTCTTTTAAGAGCTGCTGCTAAAAATCATGCAAGAGTTACCATTTTATCTGATCCAAAAGATTATGCTGGTTTCTTGGAAGAATTAAAATCAGGTGAAATTAGTAGTGAAACTAAAAACAAATTAGCTTTAAAAGCTTTTGAACATACTGCTGATTATGATGTTGCTATTTCTGATTTCTTTAGAAAACAATATGCTGAAAATGTATCTCAATTACCTTTAAGATATGGTGCTAATCCTCATCAAAAACCAGCTCAAGCTTTTGTTGCTGAAGGTGAATTACCTTTTAAAGTCTTGAGTGGTTCTCCAGGTTATATTAACTTATTAGATGCATTAAACTCTTGGCCATTGGTTAAAGAATTATCTGCTTCTTTAAACTTACCTGCCGCTGCATCTTTTAAACATGTTTCTCCAGCTGGTGCTGCTGTTGGTTTACCTTTAACTGACATTGAAAAGAAAATTTATTTCGTTGAAGATATTGAAAACTTATCTCCATTAGCTAATGCTTATGCTAGAGCTAGAGGTGCTGATAGAATGTCCTCTTTTGGTGATTTCATTGCTTTATCTAACATTGTTGATAAACCAACTGCCCAGATTATTTCAAAAGAAGTTTCTGATGGTGTTATTGCTCCAGGTTATTCTGAAGAAGCTTTAGAAATCTTAAAGAAGAAAAAGAATGGGAAATATTGTATTTTACAAATTGATCCAAATTTTAGTCCTGATAATTTAGAATCTAGACAAGTTTATGGTATTACTTTACAACAAAAAAGAAATGATGCCATTTTCAAAGGTTCTTCATTCAAAGAAATCGTTTCTAAAAATAAAGAATTAACTGAACAAGGTTCTATTGATTTAACCATTGCCACTATTGCTTTGAAATATACTCAATCCAATTCTGTTTGTTATGCCAAGAATGGTATGGTTATTGGTTTAGGTGCCGGTCAACAATCTCGTATCCATTGTACTAGATTAGCCGGTGATAAAGCCGATAATTGGTGGTTAAGACAACATCCAAAAGTTTTAGGTTTTAAATGGGCTAAAGGTGTTAAGAGACCAGAAAAATCAAATGCAATTGATTTATATGTTACAAATCAAATTCCAACTGAAGAACCAGAAAAATCAGAATATGAATCTAAATTTGAAACTATTCCAGAACCTTTATCTTCAGAAGAAAGAAGTGATTGGTTAAAGAAATTAAATAATGTTGCTTTATCTTCTGATGCATTCTTCCCATTCCCGGATAATGTTTATAGAGCTGCTAGATCTGGGGTTAAGTTTATTGCTGCTCCTTCTGGTTCAGTTATGGATAAGGCTGTTTTCAGTGCTGCTGATGCTAATGATATTGTTTATGTTGAAAATCCAATTCGTTTATTCCATCATTAAGAGTGTGTGACTGTGAGAGAGGGAGTGAGAGACTATATATAAGTAAATCCTTTTCATTTTTAGTTGTATATGAATTGTTAGTTTAGTTTGTTTTGTTTTACTTCTATATAATAATTTACAATTTTTGATAATCAAGACTTCTGAGAGTCTAGAAGGTTCCTTTCTGTCTCTTGTTTGTTTCTCCAGAAAAGTGCCTTTGGTTCATTGTTCTAAATGTTCCAGTTGTTGTTGAATCTCTTGTGAGAACACGTCAAGAGAAAAAAAATTGGATTTTCCAACGAATTATTTTTACAACCAAATCTTTCTCCTATTAGGGTAACTAAGGTATATTACTTATAGTAACAAAGGTAAGGGTAAAGGTACGGTAATATGGCATCTTCAGAATATAATTATGATGAAGAAGGTGAGACATGGCCATTCTTTGTATTGGCGCTTCTCACCTTCATTTTATTACCACTTACATTCAAATACATATTAAGAATCATATCTTCATCAGATCCAATAACAATTAATTCCAAAATCAAAGGATCAATCAAAGAAGATTCTACAACTATTAATGTTGAAAATAAATCAGAAATCCAAAGTTTCCAAACTCAACAAAAAACCGATAAGATTTTTAATAAGACTTTATTAATGCTTATTATTGGTTGGACGATTGTTATATATATTGGGAAATATGTTACCAAAGAAGCTGATATGTCAGGTATGTTTGATCCATATGCTATTTTAGATGTTTCTTTCACATCTACTGAAAAGGAAATCAAATCTCATTATAGAAAATTATCATTAAAATATCATCCTGATAAATTACCTCGTGATTTAACCCAAGCAGTTAGAGATCAAATGGAACAAGAATATATTAAATTAACTTCTGCATATAAGGCTTTGACTGATGAAACTATGAGAGAAAATTATTTGAGATATGGACATCCTGATGGTGAACAACCTACTTCTCATGGTATTGCCCTTCCAAAATTTTTAGTTGAAGGGAAATATTCTTCATTAGTGGTTGTATTTTATTTCTTGATAATTGGGGTTCTTTTACCTTATATTGTTGGAAAATGGTGGAATAATGTTAAATCTCATACTAGAAAGGGATTAAAAGTAGAAACTGCTGCTACGTTTACTAGAAGATTAACTGATAGAGATCCAGGAAAGGTTATTACTCCAAATGTTATTTTAGATTGGATATTAGAAAGTGAAGAAGTTGAATCTAAATTTGGTCATTTATCAATGGACCAAAGACGTGAATTGGTTTATAAACATTTTAATCGTGATTTTTCTGATTCTAATATTGAAAAGGATAAAATTAAACTTGTTTCCATGTTACCTTTTATAATCCAAGGATTTATTGATATTGCCGTTGTTTTCAGAATTCATGAAATTATAACCGCAGCTGAAGATTTAAAAAAATCAGTTGTTTCAGCAGTTAAACCATTTGGTAAACATCAAGAATTATTACAATTACCTTATGTTGATGCTCAAGTAGTTTCCAAACAATCAGTTAAAAAATTAGGTAAATTATTCGCAATCTCAAAGCAAGAAGCTAAAGAAGCATTAGGTATAACCGATGATTCCAAACTTGAAAAGGCATTAGATATTGCTTCTCATATCCCAATTCCTCGTATCGTCGAAGCAGAATTCAAAGTCCCAGGAGAAAAAGGTGTCATTCCACCTAATTCAAGTGCTCATTTATCGATTAAATTCTTAATCAAATCACCCAAATTAAAATCATGTCCCGAGATTGAAGATGAAAGATTAGAAGATGAAGAAAGCTTTGAATATTTGAAAAATCCTATGATTGTGAATGAAAAACAACCACAATTGCCATTTGCATATTCCCCATATTTCCCCACCAATTTCCGTAATTCTTGGAATTGTTATTTGATTGGACAAACTGATAATAAATTAGTGGCTGAAAGTACTGCTTATGTGATGGAAAATGTTGATTTACTGAATTTGGAAATTTCTCAAGAAGTTTGGCAAAAGGGGAAACAAGAACATGTCATATTGAGTACTTTTAAAGTTCCATTGACACAACCGGTTGGAGACGTTGGTACTTATGCCTATAGATTTATCATGAAGAATAATGCTTATTTTGGAGCCGATATTGATATTCCAGTATATTTGGAAGTTAAACCTGCTCCTATACAAGAAGAACTTGTGAATTTGAAGAAGAAATTAGAAGGTGGTATTGATGAGGATGAATCTGATTCTGAAAGTGATATTTCTGATCCTGAAGATGAAACTTTAGCTGGTGCTTTGGCTGCCTTGAGAGGTGAGAAGACAAAGAGTAAAAAGATCGTGGAGCTTAGTGATAGTGATGAAGAGGACGAGAGTGATGCTGAAAGTGTTTTTACTGATATTAATACTGATACTGAAGATGAAGGTGAGAATTAGATATATAAAAATGAATAGTGTACACTAGTGTGATTTTTTGTTGGATAAATAAATCGTATATATATACAAAGTAATATAAAATTATTTAGTTACTATAGTAGCTTGCATGTAACCCTAGCTTATACAGTTAATGTTAAAACATAAGCATCTGGATGTTCTAAACCTTGTTCTTTATAATAATCAACTACAGGTTCCTCCAGCATCTTAACAAATCCTTTCTTTAAATAAAAATTCAAAGCCAGTTCATTATCCACATGAACATGTATCACAATCTCATGAATAAATTTCAGTTTTGTCTCTTCAATCAAATATTCTAATAATTTACTACCAATCCCTAATCCACGATATTTCTCTAAAATGGCAAAACTTTCAAGATAAACTGCATTTGGAATTACTTTTGAAGGTAAATTTGCACTTAATAAATTTTCAAAGGTATTAATCTTATGTAATTTATTATATGTCTTTGCTTTGATTGCACCAACTGGTAATTCTGAATAAAATGCTAATTTAACAATTTGATCACCATTTAAAGAATCTTTATACCATGAATCAGGATATTTTGTTGGAAGACATACTTCATTGATTTTTTTGAATACTCCGAGGTTGTTGACTGTTAAGTCATCTAATGCGACTATATCTCTACCCATTTTGTATCTAAAGGTTGGGGGGAAGGTTGTTGATTGGAAGAAGGGAGAGGTGTTGATAACTGCCTGAGACTGGTTAGAAGTTGAAAAATTAATTCAAGTTCGGTAGCTTTCCCAAATAGGAAATCATGGCACGTGACTTTTCTAAGTCTGTTGGGTTATAGGGTATAATCACAAGCTATTGATAGCTTACCAATTGAAGGAAGTTGACAGTATAACAGAGAATGGCATCTTTATCATGTGACATTGGAATACAACCGTGTCAATTGAATTGTTATTTTACTAATTGGTGTATTGTTATTTGGTGAAATCTAGCATATGGAAAAAAAAAAAGGCGAGAGGGAACGAGATATTGTTTAAAATAAAGTCTCACCCCACCAACTTTTGTTAACAATAATTTGAAAATTTGCCTTTCACTTTCATTTATTCATTTGGGAACAAGTAAGTCATTCAGGTAGGTAAAGATGATTAGTACAATTATACTTATATTAATTATTGTGATAATTGCATTCAAGATTAAATCAGATGTTACAATTCCTGATAATAATCCATTAGATACATCTCAAGTAAAAGAACAACCAATAGTTGAAGGTAAATTTACTCCTAAAACATTAGCTAAATATAATGGTAAAGATGATCCTAAAATATTTATGGCAGTTAAAAGAAGAGTATTTGATGTAAGTCAAGGTGCCGCATTTTATGGTCCTGGTGGTCCTTATGAAAACTTTGCTGGTAGAGATGCTTCAAGAGGTTTAGCTAAGAATTCATTTGATAAATCAATGTTAACTAATTTAAATGATAAAATTGATTTACTTGATGATTTAAATGATTCAGATAATGAAACTTTAAATGGTTGGGAAGAACATTTTGAAAATAAATATAAAGTTGTTGGTAAGCTTTATGAAAACGATGAAATTGAATCAAATGAGAAGGATTTGTAAGTAATCGTATATAACCCATACTTCATTCATATAGCTTTTATAATTACAGTTAATAAACCTTCTTACGACATACATTAGTTTTCTACGACATACCAGTTTTGAATGCGACATAAAGGTAGTGTAAATCGGTTCAAAATGAAGGGGACAGAAAAAAAAAATCTTTCAATTCTTCTGGCTGTTTGTAGCTGTGCTGCCATTTTGACTCCATATTTCTTTCTTGAGCAGAGCTTTTGCAATTGAGCTAATCTCGTATACACATAAACTATATACATTATAGACAATGAGTTACAATCGTGGAAGGGGAAGAGGCGGTTACAGTAACTACAACAATAGATCTGGAGGAGGACAACATCATCAACAAAATGTCGATTCTTATATCGCTGCCAATTCAATTCCAATTGAAATCATGGGATGGAATGGTGCTAGTCTGACTGAATGTATAAATTTCATTTCCAGAAAATGTAGAGTCATAGTATCCAATCATTCTGTCGATGAAAATACTGGACTTTTAAAAGGTTATGTAAAGACTGAACAACAAGTTAATGAATTATTAAATTGGAATGGAGTAAGATTTGCAGGTCAGTCATTACGATTTTCTAGAGCAACTAATGGATTATCTAATCAAATGGGAGGAGGAGGAGGAGGAGCCCATGGTGCTGCAAGTGGTGGTACTCAAAATACAATTGAAACTATGACTCAATTCTTAAAATCAAGATATCAACCAGAAATTAAATTATTAAATTTAGCTAATGTTAAACAAGATCCAGGATTACAATCAAGTGGATTCTTTACAAGTATTTCAGTTTCATCCAAGTTCTTTCCAGCATTAATGAAGATTGCTGGAGATTTAAAATTAGATGTTGTAAGTGTTGATTTATCAGGAAATGAACTTGCTGATTTACAAACCATTTCAACTATGGCAACAACATTCCCAAGATTACAAAATCTTTCTTTACAAAGAAATAATTTCCAAAGAATAAGAGTATTTGAATCTTGGAGACATAAATTGAATTTCTTAAGAGAATTAATCTTAACTGAAAATCCAATCATGAATCAAACAAATCCAACAGAAATTCAAAATATAAAGCTTGAATTAATGAAATCTTTCCCTAGATTAGTTGTATTGAATGGTGAAGTATTAAGAAATGAACAATTGTTAAATACAAACTTAACATTCCCATTTGATTCTCAGCAAGCTATGTTCTTTCAGGATGATACTATTAGAAACATTTCCACTAATTTCATAGCCAATTATCTTAAGTTATGGGATTCAAATAGAGCCGATTTGATGGTATTATATCAAAATGAATCTCAATTCTCCTTACAATTGGATACTTCCCATCCGTATCTTCTTGAAACTAATAATAATTATTCAAGTGGAACCGATTTTGGTTATTATATGCCCCATTCAAGAAACTTAACCCGTGTCTCATCATCAAAATCAAGAATGTCCAAATTAGCTATTGGACAAGAACATATATTTACAGCATTTACTCAAATACCTAGATCGCATCATGATATATTATCAAAACCAGAACATTTCAGTATGGAAAGCTTTAGTTATCCGGCCCTAAATGGAGTCATGATTATAATTCATGGAAGCTTTGATGAAGTTGCCCAACCTGATAATTTAGATCATTTAAATTCTGGCCCTCCACCATCAGGTCCAAGAGGTAGATATAGTCATCATAATCAAAATAAAAATAAAAAAATCCCATTGAGTAAGAAAAGTTTCGATAGAAGTTTTGTTGTTATCCCTGGTCCAAATGGTACTATGATTGTTGCTAGTGATCAATTGTTAGTTAGACCATTTACGAATTCCGATGCTTGGAATCAACCAAAATCCAACACCATCCCACCACAACAACAAGTTCCACCTGTGCATCAGACTCCAGGAACATCTCCCGTTCCTGGGGTACCAGTACCTGGAGCACCCACAGTAGCGGATTTACCAGTAGAAGTTAAAACGAAACTTAATCCAATCCAACAGGAATTATTGGTTAAGATATTACTAGAAACAAAGCTTAATATTACGTATGGATTAATGCTTTGTGAACAAAGTAATTGGGATTATCAACTTTGTTCAATCAATTTTAAGAATTCTGCTGCTACTTTACCAAGAGAAGCTTTTGTTGTATAGAATAAGAAAAATTTTAAGTAGTATTTGTATATTAAATGTAATTAATAAAATTGAAACTTCTCATCATTGTTCAACAAATGGCTGCTATTAATGCTAAACCGCGCGCTACCATATTCTCTCAAACTACCCAAAAAATAAATCATCGATTTCTCTATCCAGAAGTCAAACCACCACCCCAGCTAATGAATCAATACGGCTGTGATCATGGGATACAACATAGCAATGGTCACTGACTTCTTCTACCCCCAACCAGGAGGAGTAGAATTCCATGTCTACCACCTATCACAAAAACTAATAGACCTCGGTCATTCCGTCATTATCATCACGCACACCTATGACACCCGTAACGGAATACGAACCCTCACCAATGGACTCAAAGTCTACTACGTTCCCTTCTTTGTCCTATATCGAAGCTCAACATTCCCAACAGTATTCCTGGCCTTCCCAATCTTACGAAATATTTTCATTCGTGAACAAATAGATATCATACATGGACATGGCTCCCTATCGAGTCTATGTCATGAAGCCATATTTCATGGCAGGACAATGGGATTAAGAACAGTATTCACCGATCATTCATTGTTTGGATTTGCAGATGTAGGTTCGATATTGGGGAATAAGGCATTGAAATTCACGTTGAGTGATGTTGGACATGTGATTTGTGTTTCACATACATGTAAAGAAAACACCGTCCTTCGAGCCTCGTTGGATCCGGTAAAGGTTTCAGTCATACCCAATGCTGTCATCTCACGAGATTTTCGACCGATTGAAAAGAAGAAGAACCAGAAGAAGAAGAAGAAGAAGGATGGGATTACGATTGTGGTTATAACGAGATTATTCCCAAATAAGGGGGCGGATTTACTTACGGCGATTATACCACGTATTTGTCTTGCTAAACCAGATGTGTATTTTTTGATTGCGGGTGATGGACCGAAGTTTTTGGATTTGGAACAGATGAGAGAGAAATATTTCCTACAGGAGCGAATCACGCTTATGGGTGCTGTTAAACATGAAGAAGTTAGGAATGTGATGATACAGGGAGATATATATCTCCATCCATCCTTAACTGAGGCATTTGGGACTGTTATTGTCGAAGCGGCGTCGTGTGGATTATATGTGGTGACTACAAAAGTTGGTGGGATTCCTGAAGTATTACCGAAAGAGATAACTAGTTTTACAGAACCAGAAGAGGATTCATTAGTTGATGCAACATTGAAAGCAATTGATCTCATACAATCAAATAAAATAGATACATCTACATTTCATAATACAGTGGCAAAAATGTATAGTTGGACAGATATTGCCAAAAGAACCGAAAATGTTTATAATTCACTTGATCTTGATCAATTGAATGAACCATTATTGAATCGACTTCAGAAATATTATTGTTGTGGCTTTATAGCGGGGAAATTATATGTCTTATGTGTGATTGTTGATATTTTCCTATATGTGATTCTTGAATGGTTCTACCCTGCAGAACATATAGATAAAGCATCCAAATGGCCCAAGAAACGAAATAAAGAACACGACTCTTAATAATTAATAATTAATATTTTTTAACGCCTTTATGATAATAAACGATTTCTTTCAGCTTCATATTTCCCAAACACTTCTTGTAATTCTAAGTGAATAAACCTAGGGGTAGACTTCGATGGAACCCATTTCTTGGTGTTGCCAGTATCAATGCAAACAGTCTTTGCATGCATTGCGATATTCCTCATTCTTCTAGATAATTCCTTAAATTCGGACGGTGTTGCCCAATGTCCATTCCCAGAGTCACATTTACCTTGCAACCATCCATAATCTTCAGAAGTATCTTTCTGCGAAAACCCCACCTGAACTAATCTTCTCAACCCCACAACTTCTTCTAATAGACTCAAGTTCTTATTATGTTTGTTCTGTGAATCTAGATCTGTAAATGCTTCGGTGAACTTTAACATCTCGTTCGAATTCTGAAGTGTCGACAACTGTGCCAGTAGTTGTTCCTTCTCTTGTTCTATCTCCGAAATCTTATTCAAATATCCTTCAATCTTGTCTTTTTGGGAATCTAGTTCCGCATTCAATTGTGATAAAGTTTGGACATTGGATTGTGAAAGAGTTTTCATGTTTTGTTCTAAGATGTCTTTATGTAATTTCAAATCATTGATTTCGGTGTCTTTTTGTAGTATGGATGATTTCAATTCTGATATTAATTTGGCCAATTCGGCAGTATTTACTTGTTGTTCGTCATCTTTGGGTTGAGACTTCGTAAGGCTAATATCAGCGTAGCATATGGATTTGAAATCACTTTCTATTTCACAGTATTCATATCCCATCTCCCTTGATTCAAGTCTCTTAACAATGCTACGTATATCAGCCCTGCTTTCGTCTGATAATTGATGAAAATCCACAGGGGATGTTGCGAGATGATACAAAACTTTAGCATTCTCCACACCCTCATTAAAAACTTCAAGAAAAGCAGGAGGGGTTGAAGTAAATGAAATATCTTTTCCAGGTAAAATACCTAAACTGCTGTCATGTAGTTGTTGTATTTCCCCACGCATACGAGTCAATAACTGCTGAAGTATGACAATATCCTCATTGACAGAACTTTCAACTAATGATTGCTCCAATCTAGTAACTAAGCTAGAGAGCGTATTATTCTCTAAAAACATTTGAGAGGCTATAAACCGCAAAACAAGGACGTTCTCACATATGAGTGTGTTTGAATGAATAGCTTGATAAGTTTCAGAAATGTCTATCAATGAATTGAATAAGACAATTGTTTCTGGAGTGATCGATTCTCGGAAATCATTTTCCTTTATTGTTTGAATAGTCTGTTGTAAAAGTTCGTCCATGGATGTTGTATAGTTCTCTATGATTGATATAAAATTAGCCGATTCATAGTTATATTCCATTAAATTCTCAAGGAAAGTAAACCAGTGTTTTAAAGTCTGTAGACAATAACTAATAAATAATTGCGGTGCGGAATCTTGATAAATGAATGTCTCAAGCAGTTGTAAATCCACGATGTTCATTCTCAAGAGATAAATCAATTCAACTATCGGAGAAAGCGATTCATCGATTTTTGGACCCTTGAATCTCGATATTAGAAGTTTGTATCTCCCTTTTAATAGTTCTAATTCCACTGAATTTATGCGATTCCTGACAGTAGAGTCTTTGATTTCCTTCTGTAATGATTGTAATTGATTTTCATACTCGGTTTTAACTGAATCATCATCTTGTTGGTTCTTCTGACGAAACGATTCCAACTTGTTTCGTATATCATTATTTCTCATTTCCAAATCCGCTATACTTGCTTTATCGATAGTGATAGTTTCTTGTAAAATTTGGATCTCACTACGTAAGTCAATTTCCACCTGGTCTTGAACCTCTCTTTCCAATTCATGCAATTCACTTCGCTCATCTAGTGTCTGTTGAAGAGATTGTATATTTCGTGTAAGTTCTTCATTCTCGACCGTTAAACTATCAGTCACTTTTTCCAAAACTGCGAAAGCATCTATTCTTTCTTGTAAGACACGAATGGTAGCTCTTGATTCTTCAAGCTGGGTTTCTAAATCCTTCAATTTGGATTCGTCTATTTGGTTTTCTTTCAATTGTTTAATCTCTTCTCGGAGATTGGATTCATTGATCTCGGCTTGTTGTTTAAAGCTATTCAATGTTTCTTCGATTTCACGATTCCGCAATATTAAATTTTTCACATCATCGTCAGTATATTCATCAATTTCTAAAATGCTTATTTCATGTTCTAATTGTTGATTTATCTCCAATTCTTCTGACACCAACAAGAAATCTCGTTGTAATTCTTGATATTTGATTGTAAGATCTTGTAGTTTCTCTTCTAATTGATCTTTTGCCAGTCTTAAATAATCATTGTCAGTTGTTTGCATTTCTAATTTAATTTCCAATGAATTTACTATCCCGATTTTCTCTTTCAATTGGTTATTTACATTATGTAATTGCTGTCTATATTCTACACTTGCTTCAGTTAATTGCCTGAGTTTGGTTTGTAATTTTTCAATAATTTTATGCAATCGTGATTCATTACTTATAGGTCTATTTTCATTTCTGGTAGTCTCAGTAGTAACAATGGCAGTAGTTATAAAATGTTCCCTAACAAATATTCCATAGTTTCCCCCACCAGATGATGTATTATGACAATCGAAATATCGTACACCATCAATTGATCCATCATTCTTTCCCCTAGGTAAATCTAATTCAATTCCATACCAAAGACCAGGAGCAAATTGGGTATTTCCAATATATCTAATAATTCCATTCTCATTTCTTACTGTGACCTTATCGCCAATCTGCAACCCCATCTCTTCAAGATACAATTCAAAATGGAATTCATATTATCAGGATTCTTTAGGAGGTAGCGATGTAAACAAACCATTTGGTTGTCAAAAAAATTACCCTTTTGACAGCGGTATTGTACCTCCGAATTAGTCACGTGTTTATCCCATTGATGTCACGTGATGTGAATGTTTTTCGATGAAACAGAGAAATATGGGGTTCCTTTCTATTCTATATCTCGAAGGTTAATAAACCAAAATATTACCATTCAGTGTATCTGATACAGTTAATTTGATTTATAAAACAGAGGTTCTTTTGGAATCATTAAAAGTTGAAGTTGATAAAAAATTTGGAATAAATTTGTAAACTTTTTCAAATAAATACTCACAACATAAATTTGCAATTG